AGTGACTAGGCAGTAGCGGCATCAAGGACTGCAACGGTACTATAAATTGTGGCACAGACAGTGAAGCGAAGACTAGTTCGGAGGGGTTTGGAGTTCATGCAAGTCTCACCATCGCTCAAAATAAATGCCACTAATTTGCATCCTGGTTAACCCGCATACTTAGTCCTGCGGGTTAAAAATATCCCTAATTTCGCTGAGTTCGGCGATGCGCTAAGCCCAACCAACAGGGTTTTACCTGCGCAAGAGCAACGAACTCCGGGCTAAGCAGACTAAGTGACCATTTGAGGTGGTATTAATAGGATGATTGTTAATTCAACCCACCAATCATCCGTCAAAAGAGGGGTTTCCAACAGGTTGGTTCTGGCAGCTACACAGCCCTCGGCTGGGGTTGACAGCGGCGACGCTCCATGCCAATGGACTGTTTCAAGTGGGTGTCAAAGTAGCAAACCGTTTCAACCCAACCGCGTGTTGGTCAAACAACATGACAGCTGCAGACTAAAAAACCTCATGGCCACGCGAGAACAATACTTAAGGACATCATGCACATCACTTTTGCCCGAGTGAGCGAGTGAGACATTGCTATTGTTCTCGGCAGCCATGTCAATGGCTTCAGCGGCAAACTACCAGGCAAGCGCCACCCTGACCCCCTGCTCGAGCCTCATCGACAGGGAGCTACCCCACAAGACGGCCGGGGAAGATCCAACCACGGAGCAACTGGCATTCGCCCTATTCGAGGAGAAGGTTCTAAAGAGACTCGAACATGTGGTATGCTTGTACAATGCTGGGAAGCCGCTTTTCCCCCGAGCGCTGCTGGAAGACCTTGACCGGCAAATTGAAGAAGGCAGGGAGGAGATCCGCATCAAGGACTTCGATGACGTGGTAAGCACGTATAGCCGGAGTGTCCCTGCTATATGCTTGGACCTGGCGTGAGTCTCCGTTCATATGGGTCGCGGTATTGTCAGGCCTGGTCTAATCAGCAACAGAACAACATACTGCATCGGATATAGCAGCATCCAAGTGCTTACCTATATCCACCCTTCCTGTGCAGCGATGATGTTCAAGGACCCGCCCCCAGTGTCCATTCTGTATACCCGTCATCCCGAAGTTACTGAAGGTAATATCGAAATGCTTGGTCCGGTTTTTGGAAAGATGCGCGAACGGTGGCAGGAGAGCGAGACATGCCAAGAACTGGTATCCCACCTGACGACCCTGCGCTTCTCCCTCCCCATACATAAGATTGTGGCGTTCGGCCTGGGGACACTGGGTAAGACGCAAAATGGACGGTGCTCCACACGTTCACATGTTCAGCATGCGGCAGTGGAAACTATGGCGACCGTTCTGGCCAAAAGTGGGGTCAGTGGAGGGAAGAGGATCGACTGCTACTTTCAAGATCCATGGTATAATGAGAATGATGTCCGGTTCCTTCACAGCATTGGTTTCCAACCACTGAACGACCCAAAGGGGTTCCTGGAGATTGACGAACATACCTTGGTGTTTTCGGTCAGCCCCAACGTACCTGTGAAGCAGATTGTCGCCGACCTCCAGTGGCCCAGTGCCATGATCTGGAATACTGTGTGCGGAGAAGAGGAGAGGAAGCAGTGGAAGAGGCGGTTGAGGAATGGCGAAGAGTTCTGGTTGGGGTAAGTAGTGCCTTGTTGCCTGGGTGCCTGGGGAATCGGTTCAGTTTGTACTGATTGATTGATGTGGTACTGCAGCCCGCTCGCTACGGACCCCGACTCAGACCGTGTCTGTGAGATGATCACTCACTATCAGAATTTCCCATTGCACGACCCAAAGGACCATTTCGGGGACCTCTCTATCTACGTTAGGCATTGATGTATGTGGCTTGCTAGGACCGATGTGCCTCTCTCTCTCGGTGCGTGTGCGTGTGTCCTATATTTGTTTTGGATGCGTAGAATATATTTTCTATGACGCGCATGGCCTTCATGCACGTACACTTATGCTAGCACCAATCGAATCTCGCTTGAAATATCTTCGTATCTGCTCTGCTTACATGTGATATCCTTTGAGATTAGCCTGGTCGGCGATAAAGTCGACCATACCAGCAATGCGATTGCGAAGTGTGCACAGGCGGGGATTGTAGATGCCTGAGGCTTGAGATAACATGCCAACGCTCCATGGGTAGAAATTTACTACTGAGCTTGGATGGTTTCTATTGGGCCGGGTGACGTGCCCCGATGCTATGATGCTTCATTAATCTGTCATTTCATATGTGAAAGAGTAAGCAGCGAAAGGATCGCTGACAAAATGTTCAGCTCTCGACCAGGAGAGAAAGTAAACTTGATAACTCAAGAATCTTCAGCCTCCACCGTAAACAAGATTGAGGAGGAGGCAAGTGAGATTCGCTATGGATATAATAAGCCTTTAAGTAGGTCGATCCCAAGTTGTATGGTTAAGTAAATCAAACAGTCCGTAATCACCGGGCAGGTGACTCCAAGGCGCCAGGCCACCACCACTGCTGGTCTGCCATGCGGCGTCAGCCCGATACATGGAAGGGTCAGGAGGATCAGGCCGAGTGCCGAGGTCCTGAATCTCGACACTATGATCAGAATTGTTTTCAGATCTTGGCGTCACCTGTGTGGATATCGATGGGCACAGTCGACGCAGGTTGTGCCCGATAAAGAGAGCCGGATGCCAGGACGTTGACAATTCGTCCAGCACAGTAATGCAACTCATGAGGTTAGTGGCATTGGAGGGACTCTCATGATCTTCGAGCAGCGCCACCGCAGCACAGAGCGTGCAATGCATGGCGGAAATTGGGCTGCGGTGGAAGCTCTGGAAAACACGGCGGTATTTCTGAGCCGTCAGACACATCGCCTTGGCAGACTCGCGCCAGACAGTTTTGGCCACGGTCACGAGTTCGCTGGACCCTGCTGCGCGTTGATGCTCGGCCGAATGGACTATGAAAGGCCGAGTGAGGAGGATTCGTGCCGTGTGGTATAGCATGTGTAATATGTAGACGTGGGGGACATCGTTAAAGCGGTCGATTCGAAGCTCCTGTGGTAAGTCATAGAACCATGTCCGCAGGTCCAAGAGGCAAGTTCGGAGGAGGTTCAATCGTTCCGGTGGCTTCGTCAGATGCCTCGGAGCCCATCTGCTCTTGTCAGACTAGCATGCCAGCTTATTCATTGATAACAAGACGTACAGTGATATGAGTATTTTTTCCTTAATGCGACACAAAGCTATCATGGCTCGCAGTAGAGGCATCCGTGCCCTTTGGATGTTTTCTGGCGTGCGGCCATGGGTATGCTGATCTTCATCCATTATTGACGGCAGCTCAACTGCGCCTTGTTGATCCTGTCGAAAGTCAGCGAGCATGTCGACTGTGTTCTCGCGAGTACACGTACGAGCATGGAGCAGACCCGACCTGTATACGTCGCAGACATCTTGTCATGACAGTACAGTGTCCAATAAACTTGTCGTCTGAGGCGAAGTTCCCGGGCAGTCATCTGTATCGTCCCTTCGAAGACTGCGGGATCCATATTTAGTCCAATGTCCAGACTCAGCCGATTAGCCATCCCGTGATGCAGCCATCCAGCTGCGTCCAAGCCTCTGGCCTGGGAGAAGATAGTTAGCATGGATTGTGTCTCGAAATCGAAATACGTACGACGTAGACCATCCCGATGACCCCCAACGCTTGAATCGTCAAGAATGTTGGATGCTCCATCTCCTGATGTAAAAGGGTCTTGGCTCTTTCAAAAAAAGCCAACCCGGCTGTATTCGAGTCGTTAGGATTACTCCGAACCTCTGGGTTGTCCGAATAACGGGATCCAAGCGCAAGGATGGAGTAATGGAGGAGCAGACTCCAATACGGGCCCTGCTTCTCCATACTTTCGCGAAAGAGGGTTTCGTCCACGATGGGATACCACGGTTGCTCCCAAGTAAAGTAGAGATCGATGAGTTCGTCCTGGAGCGCTTTGGAGATGCCTATTTCCTCAAAGGCAGGATCCACAAGGGGAAAGTTGAGAAATTCATCAATGCTCTGCAGGACAGGCTCTAGCTCAGGAACGGAGTAGGCGTTCTCCAGTTCCTCCTTCTCTTCCGGCCCCGGGGATTCGAACTTGAGTCGTCCGCTTGTTGGTCCGAAGTACCTCATCTCCCCGTCCTGGTCGAAGTTCATTGACTCGTCTAAGGACAAACGACCTTTGAGGTAATCACATAACTCCTCTATTGGTGCACTCTTCATATTGAACATCTGAGGATCATGCCCTTCATGAGGGGACCCCGCATCAATTGCTCCAGAGGCAGGGCTTGCTTGAGGATCAATGCCATGACTTTCCAGTTGCTTCTCGAGAGATGCGATCCGCTGCCGCAGAAGAAGCACGTAAGACTTTGGCGCAGGCCGACGGCCATCTTCTGTGCCAGAGTATTGACATTGCGCATCATACTGAGCACATCTCGAACAGCGAGGTTTCTTCCCATCACACTTGTAGCATCTTAGTAAGCAGGTGGTTGATCGACGGGCACCCGAGAGAAAAAGAGGCTATACCTTCGCTTTTCGTTGTCGACATTCCTCACACGCTTTGCTTGTATATCTCCCTCTCGGTCTGGAAGCGGCTTTTCCTTTTAGAGAAGAATCTGTGGATGACATGCTGATAGTTCATGGTTGGAAGAACGAATGGACAAAATGATGAAGCATGTGCAGTTCGAAGTATTGGGCAGATTTGTCAGCAGCAGCGTCATTGCCGTGCTTGTCTTGGCACGCCGAATCGGGCTAGTCTGCTTCGCTTCCCTCCCAAGTTCCAGTGTTCGCGGAATCGGCGATTGTGATCAGTTACTCGCAGCTTCCTCAACCACTCAGGTGTTCTACCGCAGACTTATCTTATCACTTGAACCAACCAACTGATCTATTGACATGATACTAACGATAGTCCTGTCTATCTGCGCCTCGCAATGCACGGGTAACAAATGAGGAAGAAGTGAATCCACCAAACACTGAGAGCCTACAAATTCGAACCCGATCCAACTCGGCCCATAGTTCAATACCGCGCCCCCACAGCCTCTCCGGTGGCTAGTGCGACGGCAACCACAGTGTCCGAGGCATGGCTGATTGTCACTTCGATGTTACTGATGCCTTTGGATGCTGCAACCGCATGAGCATTGCCATGAAGCTTGTTATAGTCAGTACCACTCAACACTCAACAAAATGTCAGAAAAACTTACGGTCACACTCAGAATACCATCTGCATTCACAATCTCAATCTCGTTCATTGAAGCTCCTGCACCTCTGGACGGCGTTTGCAGACTCTTGAAGACAGCCTCTTTAGCACTCCAACGACCTGCGTAAGAGGCACGGGGCCTTGGGGCCTTTCGGCAGTACTCGCGTTCTCTCCATGTGAAATTCCGCTCAATGAAGTTCTCGTTTTCGATGTTGATACTCGCGATCTCTTCCACATCCACCCCGACGGTGACGGATGAAGCCGGCTTAGAACGACGGGTTACATCTTCAACCATTGATTGGACGATTGCCGATACCGTGTTTGACCTATCGGTTGTTGACATCATCTCTGCATTGGTTCTCTGGACGACGAAGGCATCTTGAGTTGATGCGCTGTCAACAAACCGAGATTGGTCTTTGGCGAGGCGACTGTTTTGATTGAGAAACACATCGCGCATGTTATCGGTGTCTTTCCACGGCGCACTGGTTTTGACCTGAACTAGTCTGTTCTTCAGCAACCGCGAGATGTATTCTCTAGTTGCTGCTCGCTGTCGCTTGTCTACCTCGGTACGGTATCTCTCAAAGTCCTCCGTTGACACAGATGCAAACAGATACCTCGGGGCGACCATGACGTTGATGGCACCTTTCTGACCAAAGCCAAACGATGTGAGCATGGTCGCCTTTACCTCATGAAGCGGCAATGATTCCATGGGGTACAATAGATGCTCGAATCTTCGCAGTTGCTCATCGATGTTGTCGGCGTTTCGATTGCCAGGAACAATCCTGTCTCGGAATATTTGCATACAGCCGTGTAGTTGCCAGGCGCCTGCTGCTGCCTTCGGATGGCCAGTTAGTGATTTCTGGCACACGCAGAGCAGTGGATTGCCTTTGCGTCGACCCAAGTGATGCATCTGCGTGTTGATCACGTCCCCCTCGTTGACCTCATTGGCTTTTGTTGATGTCCCATGCATTGACACAACCCCAATGTCGTCAACAGTCAGGCCCCATGTAGCCAAAGCGGCTCGCACGGGTGAGATTGAAGAGTCCTGTAGGCGAATATTGTTCGCCCATCGCTGCTGCGCATCCCGGATTCTCAGGTTCACGACTTGCTCCGTGCGAGTATCCTCAGGCCGTATTTCGATACCTTCGCTTGACGAGTACTCTCTTGTAGGTTTCTGACCTACATGGTGCTGCTGGATGCAAGCTACTTCTCTATCGAAATTTGAGCGCCGGAATTTGAAGTCGAGTAAGGGTGAGCTTTGCGCTCCAATCCCCTCGCGTGCCGCAGTGAGGATCCCCTTACCGGGGGCCGGTATTGACCGACCGATCTGGTCACTCGCGAGTTGGTTGTAAGCGACCACACCATAAATTGGCAATCCCATGTCGAGCGCGACGTCAGCACTGGCAAGTATCTGAACACCGCATCCTGCAGATTCAGCAAAGCCACTGCGTGAACTTGCCGTCGGGCGCGAAATCTCGCTTGGCAAACGGTCTTTGGCAAGCTCTTCGGCACTGTTGGCCGTGGCTTTGATACTTGCGAATTTATATGCCACCTCCTCGCCATAATCATCACACCCGCCAACCAGAGCCATCCTGCATTTCCCGGTCGTTATTGCTTCACAACCCGAGTCCAAGGATTCAACGGCGGTGGCACACGCTCCAACCGGAGTTTTCAAAGGCCCCGTCGAAGATAACAACAACATGTTGATCCATGCACCCATGGTGTTGGCAAAATGATCCAGAATGATGTCGCCTCGGATTGGTCGATCAAGATATCGGTCTCGATACATGGATTGGATGGTCTTACCAGGGCCGCCACCAGTACCCAGGCAATTAGTTAGCTCCGATGGATGTATGTGTTGGTAAAGCTCGTATGGATCTTGGATTCCGGCGGATAGAAACGCCTCAGAAACGCAACACAACGCATACAAAGTCGTTCGATCCACCTGCTGCACAATGTCATCTGGAATTCCGTACCGTGAAGGGTTCCAGCCCTTGGGAACTCTTCCTCCAACAGTCTGGTCGAATGGAATAGTTTTTGGGATCATTAAGGTTGCGCCTTTTTTGAGGAATACCCGATAATCCTCGGATCCTGTTATAGGCTGAATAGAGACTTTCTCACCATGCCGGAGCTTGAAGGCCTCCGCTGCTGACTTTGAGCTCTCGAATGGTGGCAGGTCGTCTTCAATCACCACTTCTTGAATGAACTCTTTCCGCGATGGATCGTAACTGTCTAACTCGCTGGGCTCAATCAATCTCAGCCCAGTGCCCTTCGATATAGATTCACCGTATTTGGTTGAGATGTCTTCATCCTCGACGGGCTCCCCAGTCTCTGTGTCGACCCAGCCAACATACGGCTGGCCTTTCAGATCACCATCAACATGTTTTATCAGCCCCATTATCCAAGCCATCTCGATGTATCCCTCCAGGGAGAAATGACCTTGAGATTCCATCTCCCACCTTGTGTGAGCATTACCCCATGGCCCCAGTTCTGAGAATCCAACCACCACCACAGTGCGCGAGAGGTCTACCATACCGAGGAGATCAGGAAGCCCAGAGGTCATGTCGCGATGATTTATTAGAGGAGGAAATCCAATTTTAAGGTTAGCACGTTTCCTCTTAACGAGTGGCTCCCTTCGCTGACTGCGAGGGTGCTGGCCATGGAGAGCCACTTGATGGTGCATGTCCTCTTTTGTCAAAGCATCTCGGAGCTGTTGCTCACCATCCAACCTTTTCCGACAGGATGCTATCTGCTCTTTGGCATTCCACATGGACCCTAGTCCACCGGTCAGGTCGGCATAAATTGGTGCCTCTTCCGCAAGACTGGTAACACTAGGCGTTAACAATGCCAGTATATTCAACGCCATTTCAGCTTGCGTGAAAGTGATCACGCCGATTCTCTCCATCTCAGCAGACAACGCATTGGATGAACGCATCAAGCCAGTGCCCCGAGTCCATCCGATAACTGCTCCGCAGACATTGACGTAAGTCGACCATGTCTCAGAGTGAAAGCGGTTGAAGAGGGTTTTCAAGCCGATCTTGGACTCGGCGTACAAACCATCCCCTCCAAAGGTGCCTTCATTACAGGACATGGGTAATATCACCGTGGTTGGCCTGGTTTCGATCCGTCGCTTTTCTTTCTCACGGCGTACAAAGCCAATGAGTCTCAGAATGTTGACCAGCATTGCTCTGAGAGCAACCTCTTGTCGATTACCTAAAGAGTCTAACTCTCCTGTCTGCGCAATCGCTGCAAATGGGATAATGTAATCCAGATCACCTCCTACTGGAGAATCCGAGCCATAGATGTATTGAATCAGTGCCTCGCAGTCTTTCTTGCTCGCTTGATTGAAGGATAGTAGGGTCAAGGATGCTCCTTTAGATCCGTGCTTTCTAAAAAGACTCTGAAAGAAGGTCGCACTGCTGGAAACCGTGCGGCTTGTGGTAACGATGACCCTGGCGCCTCCAGCTAATAGTCCTTGGACTACATGCGCACCAATCGAGTCAGGTCCAGCCCCTGTTACGAGGACTGATTTGTTTGCATATGTGAAACCGGTCGTGACACCTGCATCGAGAGCTGTATGAAAGATCTCTGTCGCTGCGGGGTCATACAACCAGTCTTCCTCATCTCGCCGTTTTCTCAGGTGCACGAATGGGATCGCAGTCAAACCAGCTGCTGGAGGCGTGCGCCCTTGGCGCACGACATCAGGGTAGTTGCGAACATTGCGAGGTACTTCATCATACTCTCGTTGTCCCGACGTTGAGATCATTGTCCTCGGGCCCACCGGTGGCTGAGTGTGGATGAAAACAGGGTCTGCCATTTGCGAGCGTTTACCGAGGCGCAATATTTCATGCAAGATCGAGAGGTTGTTGCCGATCTGTGATCTGGTCGATGTTACCGCCTGTTCTGGCAATGTTGCTCCCAAATGAGTCTTTACGATTTCAACGCAGCTTGGCTCCCAACGATTAAATATGCGACGAAGGCGATCATCCACGCAGAGTGATGTCGCATCAATATGATCGCTTGAAACTTCATGTAACCATCGGAAGAGGTCTTCTCTAACCCAATTCCACCAGGACTCATACTGCCGGGCCTTATTGAGGTCGAACATCGGCTTGACAGAATCCAGAAACTGTTCGTCCAACTCAGCATTCCATTGCTGAAGCTGATTTTCCATGACCTGCAAACAGTTTGATAGCTGGATCGAGTCAACATCCAACGCCTGTTCGTCTGGCTGAAGGTGGGCTGCTAGAACCTTATACTGTTTTCGATAAAGCTCCTTCTGCTCTCTTCGAAGAGACTCGAAGTCCGCCGAGCTCATCAGCGTGGTCGATGACGAGTTCTTAACAGTACTACCCTGCCCCCCCATAGCAGCGAATGCAATACCTTCGAACGCAGCGTAGTGTTCAACAAGACCATCCAGGTACGAACGAACCTCATCCGCACTCGCAAGCCGAGATGCTGGCTCCATGGTTGTAGCGAAGCACAGGAGAATAATGGACTGCGGCTTGTCAAGTCCCCATTTCAGCTTCAGGAAATCCTGCATGGCACCTTGGTTGTTGAAACCCGCAGGCAACTTGCTCGACATGAATTTAGATATTAGCATCGACATTTGCTTACCGGGCTTGCCTGAAAAGCCACCTTGCAGTGCTTCTCCCAGAGCTATCAAAGACATATCTTCAATTCCTTCTGGAACTCGCCCGAACTCCGCAACCAGATCTCCTGTCAATTCATTTTGCAGGGTTGATTTCCCTGGCTAGTTAGCCTCTCACTAGCACAAGTGTGGTGCTCTACACCATACCTCCTGATAGATCTCGGATCGTCTTGGCCATTGGGACATGGTCGAACGGTCGTCGCAATTTCTGCGCGGTCATGGCAAGAGTAATGTGTCTTGCGCTTAATGTGACATCCTTGCTAGGTGCGTATTGCGTGGGAGCTGTAGCAGATGGCAGTGCTTCCAGGCTTGCTTCGAGAATGCGTGTCTGTCGGATTTGAGCATTTGCACTGGAAGAAACTGCGACATTCTCGCGGATGGGCTCCTTTGCAGGAGTTGTTTTTGAATATTCGTACATTATCTCGGCCTTGTCGTCCATGTACGAAAGGAACTGTAAATGAGCCCATTGAGATGGAGCATGGGAAGTGTGGTGAATGGCCGCTGACTTCCTGGCCATGTTTGCCAGAGTGGTCCTGGGACCAATCTCGATGTAGCGACGGATGGCTGACTTGGCTCTAAGAAGCTCATCCTGCGTCTCGATCCTGGAATGACTTTTAGCTGCTCTGGTGTGTCGATGAGGTCTCATGGCCAACGTACCAGCGCACTGGGGAAGCCAGTTGATATCTACGTTGTCAGCTTTGGCACAATGTTTTCGTACTCATTCGCCAGGAAAACCTACGAAAGAAGCTCTATGAACAGCCTGTACGCAATATCATCCCGACCTCGGATGTTGAAAGGGCGAGCGCCGACTGAGTGATCCATGACAGCGTTAAGTGTCACGGCAAAATCTCTCTGTCGAACAAACACAAGGAGGTGAAATCCACCCGCTAGGGTAACTTACCAGTATATAGACTCTAATCGATCGGGCAGAATGGAATAAGGCACCAAGGTAAGTGCAATCGAGAATTCATTATCGGCAAGTCACAATTTCAATATGGCCCGATGACTAAAATTGGCGACAGGTCGAAGCGCTCTACTGGAGTCACGGCGCCGCATTCTGCACTACTGAGTCGTGTAGTACGGACCTCCTGTCTTGGCCCTAGGAATAAAAACCTGGAGATCTCAAACAGTCTCTAATATGTTTCGCAAAGCCTAGCCCGATTCGCATAGAGACCCAAAACAAGTCATAAGCTGACAGTATCTGTGTTTGGAAATCGTATTCGGCCAGACGTTCAACAAAACTCCGTCTGCAAAACTCCGGTCGGTCAAAGCCAGCGTCTGGTCCTGAAAGGGGGATGTCAGCCTGATAAAACTCCGGCCTGAGACAGGAGATCCTCCAACGGCGGATGGTGACAAGACAAGGGATCCTTGATAATTGCCCCTGGACCAACCCCCGATTTCTGGTGTGTTTGGAAGTATGTGGTCGGGATGTCAACATGACAGCCCTATCGGAATATATATGCAGTCTACGGGATGGGGCTGGATAGGCATTATTAGTCAAGCTGGCCCAATGGACAAATTTCCCATGCACATCCCTTGGCCAGCTGATGTGATGCTATCTCAACCAGCGTCACTCGTTATGATACTATTATATACAGTGAACGCGAACGTACTTCGCTACGCAGGATGGGAAGCCTAGACATGTCTTTGATGGACCAATGTCCAGCCTACCTCAGTTCTAGCTCTTCTTCTGGGATCGTCATGCGTACCTCAATTCCGTCTTCCTCGCCACCTTGCCTGCCTTCGTTTATGACAAGTTCCCCAGCGACAGCTGTTGAGATTCCCCTGATCTGGAAACATCTCGATCTGACGCTCACTGTGCCTTCGTCTCAGTTGCATTATCTTCAGTCACAAAAGGATGCATTCCTTCAGTGGCTAACATCCAAAGAACCCGAAGACGAGCAGGGACTAGGATCAGCGCTGGAGTTGTGCCTTAAATATGTCGAGTTCCTCATCCGACAAAATTCTCCTCGGTCGGCCCTGGTCGCTATGCTAAGAGCATTCGAATCTCGATGCTTGCAAGATAACGAAGATATCCACTCCAAGGTTGCCGAGTTGATTCCAGATTCGAAAGGTCGACAGCTCTATCTGACAGTGTATTATCGCGCCGTTGAATTGTGCGGCAACGGCGAGCTCGAGAACTACATCTTTCCGGCGCGCACTCGGATGAGTGCGTTGCTCCAGCATGCTCAAGCCAGCAGATTTCAACTGATGGCTGTCTTTGGCGGTCAAGGGGAAGCAAGTCGAACCTGTGTACAGGAGCTAATAGACCTTCACGCCACCTACAAGCCAATGCTGCACTCATTCTTCGGCACGGTCGGCCATCTGCTCAACAAGCTTTCGAATCTTCCAGAATGCGTGTCCTACTTTGGCGCGCAGCCTCTGGATCTCCAGGCCTGGGTCAATGACGGCTCGAAAATTCCAAACACCGGTCGGATCGCTCAATCCCCGATCAGTGTACCAGTAATAGGTGTGCTGAGCCTGGCTCGGTATTGCGTAACATGCCGGCTTTTGGGCCTGAACCCGGGAGAGTTACGCGCGTTGCTTCGAGCCACGACAGGCCATTCACAGGGACTTTTGGTTTCAGGAGTCGTCGCAATGTCGGACACCTGGGAGACCTTCTATGACAATAGTGGGTGGGCAGTGGAAGCACTATTTTGGTTGGGCTGGGAGTGTCATCGAGGTGCACCGTGCACTCTCGCATCGGCGGCACATGCGCTCGGTGACTGTACAGACGACTACAGCATGCCCTCCTACATGCTCAGCGTGCGAGGAATAAGGAGAAACAGGCTCGAGTCAATACTAGCACATATGAACCAAGTCCTACCCTCACAAGCGCAAGTACATTTGGCGTTGATCAATGCTCGCGATCAGTTCGTAATAGCTGGCCCGTCCACATCCCTAGCTCACCTGCAAAGCTATCTGACGGAGGTTGTTGGTTCTGAGAAGGATCAGAGCCGGGTCCCATTCAGCAGCAGAAAGCCTTGGATCCAGTCTAGCTTCTTGCCAATCAGCACACCCTTCCATACGCCATTCCTCGCTGAAGCTGCTGACGCACTCAAGAAACGATTTTCACAGCACCAGATGGTATCCGAAGATTTCAAGATCCCTGTATATCACACCCACACTGGTCAAGATATAAGGGAGATCAAGGGGAACCTGCTTCATACTATTTTTGATGCAATCGCGCGGGAGCCTTGCGATTGGCCTACTGCCTTGACGGGATCGTTATCATTGTCCAATCCTATGCACAGTCCATCTCACATCCTTGTCTTCGATCGAGGCGGGCTGGGTCCATTGGTGAAGAAGATCCAGGAAGGAAGAGGGATCAGGATTATACAGGCTAGTGATCTTGAATCTCGCGATCCTGAGATCGGAACTATGCGTGACCTCTTTTCGCCACGTCTATTAGAAACATCGACAAGAATTCAGAGCTGGAGCCAGCGATATCAACTGCGGTTGGGGAATGGGGGCACAGTCTCTCTTGAGACACGCTTGAGCCGCTTGCTGGGTTCGCCGCCGATTATGGTTGCTGGTATGACTCCGACGACTGTGCATTGGGACTTCGTTGCCTCCATCATGAATGCTGGATATCACGCTGAACTGGCTGGCGGAGGCTATCGAAGTAGCTCGGATATGATAACGGCGATCAAGAAGCTGATTGACAATACTCGTCCCGGTCGTGGAGTCACTTGTAACCTCATCTATGCAAACCCCCGAGCAATGGGCTGGCAGATAGCCATGCTACGCCGCCTATCACATGATCGAATCCCTATTGATGGACTCACGATTGGCGCGGGAGTACCTTCAGCAGAGATCGTTTCGGACTATATCCGCACGCTTGGCCTGCGTCATATTAGTTTTAAACCAAGCTCGGTGTCCACAATACGACAGGTTGTGGATATTGCTAAGGCACATCCTGACTTTCCCATCATTCTACAGTGGACGGGTGGTCGAGGGGGAGGACATCATTCCTACGAGGATTTCCATGCTCCTATCCTGAGCACATATGGCACCATTCGACAGCAACCCAACATCTACTTAGTTGCCGGTAGCGGTTTTGGGAGCAGCGAAAGCATTTACCCATATCTCTCGGGGCAGTGGTCTATTTTGCATGGCTACCCTTGTATGCCCTTTGATGGCGTTTTGCTGGGTAGTCGTATGATGGTGGCCCGGGAAGCACACACCTCTCCTGCCGTCAAACAAGTTATCACAAAAACCACTGGTGTTCCAGATAGCGAATGGGTGAAGACATACTCGGGCCCAGCAGGAGGAATTCTCACTGTACAGTCGGAGATGGGTGAACCTATCCACAAGATCGCCACCCGAGGAGTACGACTCTGGGCGGATATGGATCGAACGGTGTTTAAGCTACCCAGAAAGGATCGTGTCGCGTACTTGACCAAGAATCGAGACTCCATCGTTCAACGACTGAACTCGGACTTTGCAAAGCCCTGGTTTGGTCGAGATACTCGCGGTGCTGTAGTGGACTTGGAAGACATGACCTACGCTGAAGTACTTCATCGTATGGTTGATCTGATGTACGTCCGTCATCAAAAGCGGTGGATAGATCCATCTTACGTGTGCTTCACCTTGAGCATTGCGACTCGGACTCTGGAACGCCTGCCGTGTGCTTCGCTTGATCAGCGCGCGGAAATATCACACACAGTACTCTCAGAGAACCCAGATCTGTTTCTTCGCTCAATACTTGAAGTGTGTCCTGCTGCTAAAGACGAAATCCTCAACCCAGAAGATGTCTCATTCTTCCTTTTGGAGAGTCGAAAGCCCGATCAGAAGCCAGTAAACTTCATACCGGCTCTCAACGAAGATTTTGAGTGGTACTTCAAGAAGGACTCTCTCTGGCAGGCGGAAGATATTGAAGCAGTGCCTGACCAAGATCCCGAGCGTGTTTGTATATTGCACGGACCCGTGTCTGCCCAAGATTCAGTTGACCGGGATGAATCTGCGCAGGAGATACTGGACGGCATCTTGGGTGGACTTATTGAGCGCTGCCAACGCGACACTTGCCTGGAAGACTCAACTTCCAGCTCCGCTAGTGGACTGGCCACTCCTGACAGTTGGTCGTCGATTTCCGGATCAAGAGAGATAGCTGTAGATGACATGTCAATCCCAACGTCTATTTCGACCTCTGAAGCTCTCGACGACCGGTCTGTGCATGTCTCGGCCGCCGGGTTAAGCTTGTCTCGGAGTTTACCTCCGTGGATACGCGCAGTTTTTGGGGACCCCGTGCTGCGACAGAACAGACGACGACAACGCAACCCATTTCAGCATTTCATCGCAGCGAATCCCGATGCAATCTTTCATTATGACCCAGACCGAGGAGAGATATCGGTCTGTGTCCAGGATGCATGCCGGGTGACCTCCTCCATGAAGCTTTCGAGTTTGAACGGCGTGAACATTGTCCTGGAACTGTACCCCCCCCAGGTGCTCGAACCACTGAGGTTATTTTATCGATTCAATCCTAGCAGCATTCCTTTCAGTCTTAGTGAAATCATGAACGAAAGGAGTACACGAGTGAAATCATTCTACAGCCGCCTATGGTTCGGGGAAGATGTGCCGACAAGTGGTAGTATCCATGATACATTCTACGGGAAGGAGATGACGCTCACCGAGCAAGTGCTCCAGGACTTGATCGCGGCTGTTGGCCAGGCCTTCCCAGATCAAAGACTTATCTTCCTCGATTCAGATGTCCTGCCCATCAGCATCGGAATTGTCATAGCTTGGGACGTTTTGACAAAGCCTTTGGTGCTCCAGGACGTCGGCGATGACCTGCTCCGGCTGGTTCACCGGTCGAACACGTTCGAATACTGCCCTAATGCGGCAATGCTAAGTGTTGGCGATGTTGTCCGTTCGCAGTCACACGTCCGAGCTATCTATGGTGAAGATGCTGGTATGGTTGTTGTTGTGGAAGCCCAGATTATGCGCTCGAGCAAACCGGTTCTCACAGTGACATCGACGTTCCTATTCCGAGGGACCTTCGAAGGGAAGAGGGAACTCTTCAGACGCATTAAAGAGCCGGAACGCAAGCTTCATCTTGGATCTGAGCTTGATGAGACTGTTCTTCGACGGCGGGAATGGTTCTACGTCAATGATGAGACGATTTCACTGATTGGGAAGACTCTTCTTTTCACGCTGGAAACCCATACTATACACAAAGATGGCGGCTTGAAGGGACTGCGAGTTACGGGAACTGCTAGGGCGCAGCTCAGAGGGTACTTGTGGAAGGAGGTAGGGACGGTGAATTACAGCTGCGATGACTGTGTCGGCAACCCGGTGCTTGAGTTCTTGGACCGCAAAGGTGGTCTGGCTTCTCCGGAGGTTGAACTTAAGAATTCGGGATGGTCAGGTTTGCCGCGTATTGAAGTACAGATGCCACCGAGCAACCAGCCGTACGCCAACGTGTCGAAGGACTTCAACCCAATCCACGTGTCAAGTATATTTGCTTCCGTGGCCGACCTCCCCGGCACTCTGACGCACGGTATGTGTACTTCCGCAGTCACAGCGGCAGCCTTCGAGCACCTTGCGCTTCACGGCGATAGACGCCGGCTTCAGTCATTCACGACAAGCTTTACTGGCATGGTCATGCCCCTGGAAAGGCTGGTCGTCCAAATCCGGCATACCGCGATGGTTGAGGGACGCATGCGCTTCGCAATCGATGTCACGCGCAAGGACAGTGGAGAAAAGGTCCTTGAAGGTAGCGCTGTTGTGGATCAGCCGGCTACGGCGTACCTGTTCACAGGTCAGGGTAGCCAGAGCAAGGGCATGGGAATGGACCTCTACGAGTCAAGTCCAGTGGCGAAAGCTCTGTGGGACGAGATTGATGTGCAGCTCTACGACTCATACGGTAGGCTCTCTGCGTGTATTGAATGGATAGGACGTCTCTAACGATGACAGGTTGGTCCGTGCTGGACATTGTGCGCAACAATCCCAAGTCCATCACCGTTCATTTCGGTGGCAAACGAGGCCGGAAAATCAGACAGAATTACTTGTCGATTACTACCGAGACGGTCCTTCCGGATGTTACACGCATTGAGACGCCCGCCCTTCCGGGTCTCACCTCTCGATCCACATCTTATACATTCACCGACCCGAAAGGATTACTATACTCTACTCAGTTTGCCCAGCCGGCGATTCTGTTATTTGAGGTAGCCGTGATTGCTGACCTGCGCAGCAAGGGTTATGTCTCGCGGGATGCATTGTATGCCGGTCATTCTCTGGGCGAATACGGCGCATTGTCGGCTCTGTCGCAGTCGATTCCGATGGGTGCACTGGCTGAGTTGTCATTCTACCGGGGCTTGATGATGCAGGCATCTGTGGCGCGGGGAGAACAGGGAGCGGCGTACGGGATGACGGCAGTGAATCCTAGGCGGGTAGGAAAGTGTAAGTATCGTGTGATTTGCGGACGATAGAACATTTGCTGATTACTGGCAGTCTTCAACGATATTGCTCTAGGACGGCTGGTTGAGGCGATTGCTGTGGTAAGCCACGAGCTACTGGAGATCGTCAATCACAACGTCAAGGGGGAGCAATACGTGTGTTCAGGCACGGTAAGTCTTCACGTCTACCTTCTATGGCTTGAATTTGCTCTTAATTTGGATCATGATTGACTTGACTAGGACACAAACATGTGGGTACTTGGGAAGGTCCTTGATGGACTGTCACAGTCGCCCAACGGACCTGATCAGATTCAGGAGATGATGAACAACCCGACGGGAACGAGGGCCGTCGATGCAACGATCAAAGATCTCCTGGCTGCGGCACACGGTCTGCGCAAGCCAATCCAGCTGCAACGGGGAACAGCCAGTATTCCCCTACAGGGTATCGATGTTCCCTTCCATTCAAGCCATCTGAAATCGACGGTCGATCGGTTCCGACAGTGTCTGCTCAAGCCCGGTTTTCTGGAGGGCAACGTGAACATGGCCGAGTTGGAAGGGCGGTACATCCCCAATGTCATGGCGAAGCCGTTCTCGGTGAACGAGGAATATGTTCGCGAGGCATACGCGTTGACGCAGAGTCCGATCCTGGGGGAGATCCTGGGGGTTACGGTATAGATTAGAAGCTCGGAATCGACTGAGTTTGCGCATATAGCTTGCATTTTGTTGAAATATGTCGAAATGAGTTCACATGAATTGACAAACAGATAATCTGAAGTAACCGCACATTGTTCCACCGTGCTGAACGAATTGACCACAGCGTACTTGACATCAACCGAGCTACACCCTCTTCTTCCCTTACCCATCAACCCATTTCCCATTTCCTTTCCTATTTCTCACCAAATTTAAACACAACCCCCGCCCTTTTCACCGTTAAACCCCCCCCCTTCAAAAACAAGAATACCCCCACGTCCCGCGCGAATACTGCCTCTGCACCTCGCCGACCATCCCCTCCACATCCAACCCCCACACCGTCATCGTCCGCCGCCGAATCTCCTCAAACACCCGGCCCATCATCCCCGTCTCCGCCGTCACCTCCCCACCGGCCCCCTCCTGCCCCTCGAACAGCTCCCACTCATACGCCCGGCACACCTCCCGACTACTCCGCATCACCCACTGCGACCGCTGAAACCGCACATCTGAGTACGCCTTGAACGCCACCTCCAGCGCCTGCGGCGTCGTCAGCTTTCTGGTCAGGATATCGGCCTCCGCGCACGTCAGGGCGGTGACGAGGGCTAGAGCGTCTTCCACCCCCACCCCTGCTCCGGCCCCGTGATGCGGGGATGCGGCGTGTGCGGCGTCGCCGACGAGGCAGACGCGGGAGAGCGCGTAGGTGGGTGGGGGGTGAGTGTAGAGGTCGAAGATCGGCCATTGGGTTAGTGTGGGGGGGAGGAGGGTGAGGAGGGTGCGGAGGAAGGGGGTCCACGTTGCGAAGGTGTTCAGGAGGTGGGTTTTGGGGGTGGTGGGGTTGGACTTTGTGGAGGTTGAGGGGGATCGGGATGGCGATCGGTCTGATGGTGGGTTTATGGGGTTTGTAGGGCTGGTGCTGGTGCTGGTTGGGACTGGTCTGGTGCCGTCCGGGGTGGTGGTGCGGCTGGTTTCGGGGGTGTTGATTGTTGTGGTGCTCGGAGTTGTGTCTGCTGTTGTGCTGTAGGTGTCACTCTTGGATTCTGGGGGGGTTGAGGTTGGGGGTGGGATTGTTGGTTGGTGTGCTGGGGTTCCGGCTGGGGCTTTTGCTTCTGGTTGTGGTGGTCGTGGTGGCTTCTTCTGGGATTGGGGTAGCAGTGGCAGTGGTCGTGGCAGTGGTCGTGGCTGCGCCGGTGAAGCTCGACACGTCCCAGTCATTGGGGTCCGGGACAAACGCGACCACATTCAAAAGCTTCTGGTTGGCGACGGGGAAGTGCAGGACGTGGGCGTGAGGCCCGCAGTGCATGTGCTGGAGGAGGGCGCGGTGGCGGCCCAGATGCGCGATGGCCTGCTCCATCGGGATCAGGCCGCGGTAGGCGAGCTGGTGCGCGTAGCGGGGCCGGTGGTCGGCGTTGGGGAACATGAGGTCGCGCACGCGCGATTTGATGCCATCGCAGCCGATTACTGTGGTTGTTGTTGGTTTTTGCAATTTGGGTGGTGAGGTTATGGCTTTTGGTCGGGTGGAACTCACCTCCATCAACCTCCCTGATACTCCCATCCCCAAACACCAACTGGATCCTCCCAGACTCTAAGTACTTGTACCTCTCCAGCCGTTTACCAAACTGCACCACCCCTTCGGGCATCAGCTTCATGATCTCCTCCAGGAACTGCGCCCGGTGGCACCCTTCGAATCCCCGTGGCCCCGCGTACAGCTTGTAGACTTTCCCCTCGATGCCCACGGGCTGATCGTTGTCGTCGTCCACGTACGTGTGGTATCCGTCCACGAACCGCATGTTGTAGTCCGGGTCGTCGGGCTCGCCGTTCTCCGTCGCCACCGCGCGCAGACACTCGTCCAGCCGCGGGTCCAGCCGCATCATACAGTGGCGCGCGGCCCGCGTGAAGCCGATCCCCGCGCCCAGCTCGCGATGGCACGCCGCCTGCTCGTAGACCTGGATGCGGAGGTGCGGGGAGTCGCGGTTCAGGAGGCCCAGCGCGAGCAGCGTGCCGATGAGGCCGCTACCGATGATGGCAATTTCGATGGTCATTTTGGTTGAGGTTGTGGACTGTACGTGTACGTGTACTTGTACTGGGGGGGACAATGGCCTGGTCTAGTTGTGGTGACTGTGGGAGAGCAGGTATACAATTCCAATCTACAGTATAATATGTCACCACCGGTACTAAAAGGAGAGTACGGTACTTGGGAGTAGCCTACCGTACACCAGGCAGAGGACGTACTTCCGAGGTTGACTCACCCTCACTCAGACATTCACTTGCTCAGTATACACACCGCACCGCAATAAAATCTAACCAACTGCCTACCTTTCAGCTTTGCTTCGCCTCGCTTTGCATCAGGCTGCAGCACGCGCAAGGTAGGGCTACGTAGTCATGCTCTGTCACTTAGTCCAGACGATTGTCAACAAACGAACGAGCCGTGGGGAGTCGCCCGTCTACCCCTTCCCCCCAACAACAAACGAATGTTTTGCTTCTCCTTCCTGTGAAGTGGCTGTACTACATGACAACGCAAACGCGATTTCTTTCTGCCAGTTAAGGTCGAAAACCGTGCGGACAAACCAGCAGGGCCTCACAATCCGGCTTGAACGGATCCGCATGTTGTGGTTTTTTGCGCGCGTCACGTCACCTCCCCTCAACCCGAGATTTCTGGGTGATGGAGCTTAGGCTACGATGTTGCGTGGTACAGTATGCCGTGGGTAGAGATAGGGGGGCCGGATAACTACCGAAAGGCTCAAATATCCCTCGTATTCCCTACCCTTCCCCAGCCCCCAGGCCGCCTCGCTGGTCGAGGTTGAATGGTAGGGTTTCGGAGCTGTCTCTTGAAAACTCGCACTCTCAACCGAGACCTCATCCCATCTTACGACCTACCAGTCAAAACGGCAAGAAATCAAAGCAGCAGCGGATAACCAGAACACACTAACGCAACAAAGAGAAAGACCAGACAAGCAGGCAGAGGTTAAACACTCCCCGTAGTACAACATCTACTTCCCGTGTAACCAGGCACCAAGCAAGAGCAAAAAGACAAAAGATATATCTCCGAGGCAGCAAGAAACTTGTGTTACGCTCTTGTTGGTGCGTAGCGTCTGTCGTACACAACGGATCGAAGTCTCGCGAAGACAAATCAGGGACCAGGTTTCGGCAGCCCCGTTTGGCCTTGATTTTGTTTTTGACTTGGGTAGGGCGTTATTGGATCGGATGAAAGCAGGAGGCCGGTGGAACGAATCGGAGGGTAGGGGGAGGGCTGCACAAGCAAGGGAGCAAGAGCTTTTGTTGCTAAATTTACGGTGGGTTGCTCAAGGGGTCTGTCTTTCTGTCCGATGGGGCTGGGTGTTCTGGACAGATTTGGGCGGCAGGATTGGAAATTGGACTTAGATCGTGGGAAAATCGCCGAGGATTTGCGGCGGATCTTGGGCCGGGCCGGCTGGTTGATGACTGGCGTTAGGGGAGGGTTTCGATTCTTAGAATTATGGGGGGCGTGAGGGGAGGTTGGGCTGGATTGGTATGGATCTGATCTGAAGTTGGGTGAGTTTGAAACTAGGGATGGGCGTCCTTGTAGTCAGATCTAACAAGGGCTGAGGCTATGAGGTCAGATCTGTGGGTTGTTTGAGGAGGGGATTGTGAGTTTTGAAGTGGCGATGTTGAGGGTTGAGGTTGCTATTTTGAGGACAGGAGATGGATGGGGGGTTTTTACTGAGAGGGAGACGTTCAAATAGTCGTGTTGGGGGGGAGGGGGGGGCGCGATATGAATAATGTCATTAACGACGTATAGGAGATGTTGACATAGAAAGACCAGAATATAGCTGAGCATAATGTTGAAATCATAGTATCTATTCATTGTGGAGCGTGAATATGGACTATGCAGTCTCTCATCGTACATATCACATTGCCAGTTAGATTTGTGATGGCTTCAGATCGTATGACACTGGGAGAAGTACTGATGAATGAACTCAATAATACCGATGGGGCGGAACTGTAACAGGCACCCTGAAACTGATATCATTCTGGTTTACTTGAACTACTTAACATCGACTCGTGGCTTCATCGCTCATCGCTCATATTCCATAATTGCTGCGCCAAATACGCGCAACCTCTTTGATCCGCATCATCCTCATGGATCAACCGATATAACGCACCACCTCATTCCACTCCTCGTTTGCCTTGAGCAACGCCCAGTCCCGCTCACTCAGGCACAACAGCGCCTCCCACCCTCCCTCCTCATCCCTCTCATCGATCACCGGCGCGACATAGCACGCACACGGCAAGGGGATCTCAAATGAGGGCCGCCGGATCGCATGCGGCTTCCCCAGCGGCCCAAACACCGGCACCGAGACGTGGGCCATGCTCGAGCACGAGAAGTCCGTCAACGGGTTGAAGGCGCCCCCATACGCGACCTTGCTCTTATCCTCCTCATTGGCCAGGAACGTCGCGTAGCTGCGCGTGGCGTGCACGTTGTGCAGTGACCTGATGTGTCTCCGTAGCTTGACGGCCAGATCATACAGCGGCAGCGAGGCGACCTCCGTGAGGGGCAGACGCAAGTTGGCCGTGCGCACCATGTGGCCCATGTAGTAAGGTGAGAGGTTGATGGTGCGCCGCAGGTCCAGCGCGCGGGTGATTTTGGAGGTGGACGCTTGTAGGGAGGGAGGCAGGTGCGGGAGGCGCAGGGTGATGAGCCGCTGCCACAAGAATGAGGTCAAGGCATCGTTGGGCGTGATCTTCTCTTTCTCGTGGTCAGTGGATGTCGACTCGACTGGTGCGAGTGGCGCAGCCTTCTGGTAGATCTTGGCCATGGACGTCTCGCTGAATCGCACGGCCCGCCATTTGAAGGTTGCCATGTAGGCTTGCATCTCCGGTGTGATTGGGCCCGACGACAGTCCGGGAACAATCGCCGGCTTCAGTTCGCTGTGATCGTCCATGGGCTCGTCATCGTTGAGCAGAGGGATGAGGGTGCGTCTGTCGATGTTGCCCTCGCGGATGGCTTGCTCGGGGAACGGCTCGTCGCGGAGACTGTATGCGAGCAGGTTGATGATCTGGAACATCCCGTTCCCATCGATCATGTTGTGCTGGGCCGCAATGGCCAAGATCAGGCCCCCCTCGATCCAGTTAAGCTGGAAGTCCAGCACGGGCGCTGGGTTCGTCTCGTTGTCGTCGTCGAGATAGGGCTGCGGAAAGGCCGGGCGAGGAGGGGCCAGCAAAGTCGGCAGCGAGGTGGTCGGCCACCCCGTCGCACGCAACTCGGCAAGCGATGCGACCTCGTGCGTCCGATCCTCCACCCGCAGGAATTTATGATCGGGAGCTTGCCATGGGATGTGAGGACGCACGATGAAGACGCCCGAGCAAGATGGAGTTTGGCCCTCGCGGACGACTTTGCCGCCGAGGAAGGGGAAGCCGGCGATGAGTTGGTGGATGGCTGACTCCAGGGCTGTCTCGATCTGATGGCGTGCTACATCGTTCACGAGTGGGAAAATGAGGAGCATGTGAGAGTAGGATTTCAGTAAGGGCAATTGGCCCAGGATGTCTTGGGTGTGGTCATAGTCCATGGTGGTGGTGGCGGTGGTGGTGGTGATGAGGAACGAGTCTGGCGTGGTTTACCCTGGGGTTACAAGGGCTACGGAAGACTACGTTAATGGGGAGAGAGACCACTACTATGTTATATACAGGACGGCGTACTTTCTTAGACAGAAACCACCCACTGCTGGCAGGTCTCACAGCAGTGTGCCACATTTTGAACTGGGCCCTGGGCAGTCCTTGTATCTTGACTACATGTTGCTCTTCTCATCTGGTGTCATCATCAGAAACCCCAACACCTAACAATAACCAACTTCTTAGCATCGGTTAATATTACTCATGCTGCTGCTCATAATATTGGCGCCAGGATCGGCCCGGCGGAAATGGGGCATTTCAATAGCGGCTGTCGATCGCAGGGCCCTTCTCTGCACGCGATCGATCTCGGCCCGAAGAACACGAGATTCGGCCGATTTTTGGGGATTCTTGTGATCAATAAATCGAATTCTGCACTCTTCTGTTGGCTTCTATTGTCTTTGGTCTTGCTAAAATGGAGGATTTGCGTGGTTGTGTGGTCGTGATGTAGTTTATTTCTTTTTTTCCTTGTATTTTTCCATTTTTCAGTGCAAGTCGGCCATTTCTGCCCTAATTTTGCCCCTCGTCGTTCCTTGACTGGCTGTGCATATTGCAGTCCCACCTGCTCCAATTCAGGCTAATGCCAGGCGACTCAGTTCATCCCCCCTCTTTTCCTTCAGATCTCGGCTCTGATCGCATGCACGGGCGCTACATACTGTCTGAGCGTGGAATCTAAGGCCAGCCCGATCTGCCATCCAGTAATCCATCTCTCGCATTCACCTTGTTGTTGTTTGAAGGTCACATTTCCACCTATGTTGGGTTGAACCGTCCCTCACAGCTGCGATGCAGGACAAGTTGACATCTGTCGTGCGAGGTTTCGAGCAGGTTGGCTGTTTGCTTGCCTCCTTATCATTTGCCACTGCCGCTGCCACTACTGCAGTGTGTGCAGAGATGCAGATGTACCTCTCTCTCCTCCCCCATTGTTCCTCTACTCTACTTACATGTACCTTCACGGGGGCGTCCAGACCCACCAAAACAATAGGCCTCCGTGAGATCCTAGCCTGCAGACCCCCTGCAGGGTTGATCCTGCTTTACTGCCAGCTGCAAAACCTGCGATCGGTCGCATTTGCTTATTCGGTCCCTCAAACTTGCTTATTCGCCTCAAGACGCATCGATGTCCTCAATTGAATGCTGTGACTCGGTGGCTGGCTGAGGGGCGTCAACGTGATCACGTTGATCAAACCGAGCGCAGTGGCACTGTTCATCTAGTGGACCCTTAGAGATCGTGGAGGTCAAGATGATCGCAGTTCACGGCTTTCTCATCGCTGTCAAGCGCCGATAGTGAGTAGAAGTGGCTCGACGAATGCTTGTCCAACCCTCATCTATACCTCTCCCCACCATCGCCCCTGATGTGTCTCCAGGATCAGCTGCAGCCTGCAGAGTGCAGGGCTATTCTAGCTCTCTCGTCTTGCCCTTCTGGTCAGAAAGGCCTCGTTCAAATAATAACAGAACCAGTCAGCGAGCGCGCTACCCACTGCGATCTGCATCCTGCAGGGCAGTCATCACATTGCACTAGCTAGAACGTGTTCCTTCAGGACGCACGTCGAGTCACCATTTAGGCCCGTATGGATCGACCGCGACACCCTTTCCGACTGGCTCGTCGGCGCTGACTGTGTGGATGAGCTTAATACCCCCAAAAAGCAAGCATCAGTAGCCCGGATGGAGTCCTCGTCCTCGGTATCGGACTGGCTCCTCGACTCTATGGTTCGTCTTGTCTAGTCCGACTCGTGTTGGTGCGTGCGGTCGATCCATTGCTTTGGTATCTTATCACGACCCCGCTAGTCATCGGCTGGAGCAAAGAGAAGCCTGGATCAACGCACCTGCTCATAGTCGACCGGGCTCGGTTATAAGTCAGGAAACCAAGCGCTGTGGAGGTCGCTTTGATTTCGTCGGAGCAACCAACAGTGGAACTGGAACTGGTCTGCAGGTTTACACTCCATCAGCCCCGACATGGTCACGTCGACGCCTACAATCTCTAGACAACGCCCTGGCTCGGCCTGTGAAGAGTGTCGACGGCGCAAAGTGCGCTGTGACCGTCGTCGGCCTCAGTGTCAGGTGTGTTTCGAGACAGGGATTGAGTGCAAGATCAACACCACCAGATTGCCTCGGGGACCTCGAAAGGGCCAGTTGCGTACGCTGCGGACAAGAATCGGTACAGCGCCTTTCATGCTCAGTGGCTGTGGATTGACGACTGACACACAACAGCTGCCCTAGAGCGCTGCCTCGCAGATCAGCATCCCGAGATCAACCACCAGATGGCGAGTCTGTTTGACGGCACGGTACTTGACTGCGACTCGGAGGATGATCCCCTCCGTGACCTCACTTCACTGTCTGATTCAATCCCGGTTTCAGTACCTCTGTCAACTCTCCCGGACCCGGTGTTGGCCCCTGGAGAGGAGCTGGAGATGCGCGAGAGAGATGCTCATCCCACTATCTCATCTACTAAGATTCAATCGCCGAGGACCCCAGAGTCGTTACCACGGTCGACAGGCCTGGTCTCGGAATTGATGCGAGCTGAACTGTATGTTGTTGCTATTGAACCTAGCAAGATTTATGAACTCTAACCCGTCAGCAGTGATCAACTGTATTTCGATCGGGTGCACCCGTTTGCGCCTATCCTCCAGCGCTGGCGCTATCACGTCTGGGCTCGCCAACCTAAGAAGTCCGACAGCCAGGTCTGTTTACAATACGCCATGTGGACGGTGGCAGCCTCTCTGTCTGCCCAGTTTCAGGCATTACGTGATCAGCTGTACACCGAGACGCGCAGGATTCTCGATTCCTTAGATCGACCGGATAGCATCACAATGGTCGCAGGGCTGGAACAGGCCCAGGCATGGATTCTGATCGGGCTTTACGAGTACATGCAACGGTCGGCTCTCCAGGCCTGGATGAGCATAGGAAGATGCTGCCGACTGGTATTAGGAATGCGGCTCTATGAGCTGGACGATTCCACCAACCCGGTGACGATGGCACGGGAACAGGAAGCTATGTTGGTGGATTGGATCGGGCTGGAGGAGCAGCGCCGGACTTTCTGGATGGCGTATTCGTTGGATCGATTTATCAGTTTCCACAACGGGCTGCCGTTTACTCTGCATGAACCCGTGGTTCGTTGCCCCTGTACCTCCATATTGAGCCCACGTACGTTGCTAACCCTGGATTATTACCACCAGATCACCACGCGGCTGCCCAGCCCGGAAGAGGAGTTCCAATGCGGGCAACCAACCCTAACGCCATACCTTCGCGAAGTAATGAACCAGCATCCTCTGCTTCATCACCCAGTCCAACCCACTCTATACCAATACCCCCATCTGCATGCTCAGCAGCAGCAACATCCTCCCCACATCTACGCAGTTCCCCATTCCCCGACCTCCCCAACCCACCTGACAATGGCCTTCCCCCCCGTGGCAGTGGCAACCCCCACCAATCCCACAGCAACAACAACCCCCGTCCTCAACCCCGATCTCAATAGCCAAGTCACCCACTCAAACTCAAGCTTCACCGAATTCATCATTCTCGCCACGATCATCGGTCGCGCCCTCTCGCACCGCCAAGCGCTGGTCATGGAGCAACCCTTCCAACCATTCCACCACCCACCTCTGTCCCCGACAAGCCCCCACACCCCGCTCCCCAATTCCCTCGACACCTTCTGGAACCGCCACCACGCCCTTCACGCCCTCTTCAGCGCCCGCATCCAGTCGCTCTCGTCCAACCCCCAGGCTCCAGACGACCCATTGATCATGTTCGCGCGCATCGTCGCGCAAAGCATGGTACTGTTCCTGCACAACGTCCTCGAGTCCGTCGCGTGGAAGTCCGGCGGCGATCAGCTGCTCGGCATCATCGAGGACGAGCGGCTCTGTGTGCTCGCCGCGCATGAGGTCGTCGGCCTGGTCAAGGTGCAAGGCCAGTTGGGGTACTTTAAGGTTAGTTGTGCCGTTTTCTTCACGTGTTGTGGTGTATCACCTTGGCCTTGAGCCGGGGCTGTTGGCCGCCCCTGCATTCGCATCTGTCTCTTCCTCAAGCCACACAGTGAGATATATTGGTCATGGAGGTGATTGCGGCCGCTCCAAAGACCTCCAATCCCACCACCTTGACGGCCAGATTCCCCCCACGACCCCCAACGAGAAATCGTGCAAAGCAGGAACCCTGTAACCGGAACGATGCTAACATCCCTCCCCGTAAAGGTCCACCCACTCACCCCCATCCCGCTGATGATGTGCACCGAATTCCTGACGGCGCATGCGTACCTGGACCCCTCGTTCGAGGTCATGTTGCACGAGCTGCTGGAATGTCTGGGCGCTCTGGAGAGAGTCAAGAACCCCGTGCAGAGTCCGACCTTGTCCGTGGTGGTTTAAGAATCGTTGCGGGATCTCTCAACGAGAACTTCAATTTAGCTGCGGGATCATTTTTCGGTGTTTGGTCGGGTGTTATTGCTTGATTGATGATTTTCCTGAGAAAGCTTGTGGTTGTTGTTGCTGTCTGGCGGGGAGATACTCAAGGCGTTATGAACTGAGGCAATCGTCTATTAGCTGTGTGCTCTCTCCTGGTTCTTTGATTGCGCTCGATTCAGCTTGGTTCGGATTCCGCTTCAATTTCCTGTGCAGGCTCATGGGATTCAATGAAATGCTGCTGCTCCTGGGTGGTGGTGTGTTGTGTTGTGTCTTGTTTTGTTGCCCATCAGATGGCAGGATAATTATATTCAATGGGGCTGGCACTGGCACTGGGCACGAGGAGGCATGAAGGTGAGCGAGCAGCGAGCTTGCGTGCTTATAACATACAGTTCAACCTAATATATTGGAATCATAACCTCGTGTATGTGCATAAAATCTTCGGGTTATCTCCTATCTCCATGGACTCCCTTTCGCCATCGACCATAACAAGAATCAGACAACCCCCTTCCCCCAAACTCCGCTGCTTATTCCCGGGCTGCTATCAACTTCAACTCCGAAAAGCCTCGTTCGTCTTTCCCAACGGCCGGCGGTTAGGAAACTACGTTCTGCTGCTGCAACTGCAACCGGAAAGAGGTAAATAAAAACAAAATAATCAGACACCCGTCGATTGATCTTCCTCTTTCTTGTTTCCGGTCTGGTCTTTCTCCCCAAGGAGTACGTAGGCTTTACGCTGAAGCCATTTTTCAGCCAGAAAATGAGGGCTGGGATGGGCGGACGGGTATGAACCTGGCGACCAGATCTTTTGTGAAACCTTGGCGGTTCTCTTCTAGTCTGGACTGGATGGATGGATCTGACAGCCAGCTAGCCCGAGGAGATACACCGAGGAATAAACTCCGGCCGTTGTGTCTTCATGCTCTTGAATTGTCTGTCGTTCTTTATCTTGTCTGGTTATTTCATTCTAGGCCGGCAGTTTCCTGTCTGGCTGGTTTCGCTTTTGCGGGGACACGGTTGGGGGGATCTTCCACCACTGGCTTCTGCTCCTGTGGATCTAAGAATAGGATGATGTCCCCAGCAGAAGAAGGAAGCATAGATTTGTTCCGACATGATCAGCTGTTAGACCGTTCCTCATCCCCGTAGTGTATGTAGTCGAGGTAAGCTAAAAAGAAAAGCAATGTAAAATGCACCTGGATATGCATACTTGTCAGCAACGGGGGTCTGATCCTCTCATTTTCTATTAGCATGCGCTGGTTGAAGGGAAGGTTTAGGTAGCAAGTTTAATGAGTTGAGTCTCGGTTTCCCGTTCCCTGTATCTTCACAGGGCTGGGTGTAACTCTACTCACCTGTTTCCTTGCACAGTTGAGTATCGTATATGCCCGACGGACTGGGTTGGGAGGCAAAGGCCGTGAGTTCGTGGGACTGACTGTGCACACATACAACGGTGACTCTACTGTCTCTCCCTCTCTCCCACTATCTTTCGGTTACGGTTCTTGCCGATAGATTTGTGCATTAAAACCTGGCCGCTCTCTGTTTTCTTTGTTATTGTCTGTGTGGATCTGTGACCTTTTCCTTGGATTGATTGATAGCAACCCTACAGGTCTCTCGTTTATGATTCTTTCTCCGGATATAGCAGTCCTTTAATCCCGCGTGTTCATTATCGCTTGAGCGGGAAAGAAAGTCTCCGGGGTTTGGTCGTTGTGCGTGCCGGTTCGTTGGTGTGTTTTTGTGGGGGAAGTTTGCTTGCTTGCGTGCTTACTTCTTACCTCATCCGCAATTTTTGGTCATTCCCTTCCGGGGATTGGTTTGCATCGATCCATATCGGGTAAATCAATACTTGCGAGTCTTGTGGACCTGTTCTGGAATTGTTGACGTTGCGTCTGTGCTGGGGTGTCCTGTTTGTTGGTCTGTTTGTTTGCCTGCTTGGTTTGTGATTTATGAGTGGCAAACATATAACCATAACTCATGGCCAGTCAATTATCACCTCCACCGGGAGGCAAGACGGTGCTGCTATTCGGCTGCCAGACGGTGCAGTTTGACGCCAACGACTTCCGACAGCTGCGGCGCGTCATTCTGGACACGCCCGACAACCACTGGGTGCTGGACGTGCTGGCGGAACTGCCCGTCTACTGGCGCACCGCCGCCACCAAGTACCTGCCGAAGCTGCAGGCGCTGCCGGGTGAGCAGCAGCTACGCGAGCTGAACCAGTGGATCCGCACCGGCAAAGTCGCCGACCGCCACTTCCCGCTGCCCTACCTCCAGCATGCCCCGCTGCTGATGATCACCCACCTGCTGCAGTTCGCCCGCTACCTGCAGCTGACGCATCCAGACTACGCCGCGCACGGCATCGTGGACGCCGAGACGAGCCCCGTCGTGGAAATTGTGGGGTTCTCGTTCGGCTTTCTCAGCGCCGCAGTCGCTTCGACCGTCACGAACCGGAGCCAGTTGCGCGAGTATGGGGCCGTGGGGATTCGACTGGCGACCCTGCTGGGCGCGCTGGGCGATGAACAGGAGAGCCGCGAGAAGTATACCTCGCTGTCGACGGTGTGGAAGAGACCGGAATTGGAGGAGGAGCTAGCTCATGTGCTGGAGCAGCATTCCGAGGTGAGCTAACTGATATTTAAAGAGGACGAGTGGCAAGATAACGCTAATACCTCGTTCGTTAGGCGTATATTACAGTTCGATATGACACAAATCGCGCGACTATCATGACGCCGCGGAAAGGGCTGGGCCGGCTGCAGCAAGCGCTTCAAACGGCCGGATTCTCTGCATACCACATCAACTTCAACGGGCGCTATCATTGGCCGGCGCATCAGAAACTATTGCATATGCTTGAGCAGATGTGTGAGGCGGATCCCGCGTTGCAGCTGCCAGATGCATCGCAGTTGCCACGGCACACATGGACCAACATCACCAATGAGCCCATCGATGAGGGTCCACTGCACCAGGTGGTTCTGCGCTCTATCCTGGCACAGCAGTGTCAATGGGGTCCCACGTTTGCGGCTGTGCATCGGGCCCAACTGGAGAACACGCAGTCGATCGTGGTGGAGTTTGGCTCTGAGCGCTGCGTTCCCCCGACATTCATGCGCACGCTCGGCAGCCGCGTGGTGCACTATATGGACTTGAACCTGGACTTCCAGTCGCGGGTCTCGCCACATCAGTCGACCCCGACGATATATGATGACGACATTGCTGTGGTGGGCATGGCCTGCCGGGTGGCTGGTGCCGATGATCTCGAGGAGTTCTGGAAGCTCTTGTGCGCAGGCGAATCGCAGCACCGGGAGCTGCCGCCGGAACGATACAAAGACTATGAGACCCCGTGGAGGCCAGGCGCGATTCGCCCCTGGTGGGGCAACTTTGTCAACGACATCGATGCCTTCGACCACAAATTCTTCAAGAGGGTGCCGAGAGAGGTCATGTCCCAGGATCCACAGCAACGGTTGTTTCTGCAGATCGCATACCAGGCTCTTCAGCAGGCGGGCTACTTCCACAAGAAGGATGCCACCAAGGACATCGGGTGCTATGTCACCTGTTGTACCGTGGACTATGAGCATAACGTTAATTGCCATCCGGCCACGGCCTATGCTGCCACGGGTTTGCTGCGAAGCTTCATGGCTGGTAAGGTGAGCCATTACTTCGGATGGCGCGGGCCGGCGCTGTGTATTGACACCGCATGTTCGGGCTCCGCCGTTGCGCTGCATCACGCTCGCAGGGCCATCCTCAATGGTGACTGCAAAGCTGCGCTGGTTGGGGGCGCCAATGCGCTCACGAGTCCACTGGCATTTGATAATTTGAATGGAGCATCGTTTGTCTCCCCCACCGGACCATGCAAGGCGTTCGACGCAAAGGCCGATGGCTATTGCCGCGGCGAGGGCTTTGCAGCGATCTTCATCAAGAAGATGTCCGACGCGTTGGCTGATGGTGACACAATCCTGGGCACCATCGCCGGCACCGCGGTGGAGCAGAATGACAACTGCACCCCGGTGGTGGTCCCTCATGCGCCGTCGTTGGCCGGCTTGTTCGACAAGGTCATTCGTCAGGCCCACATCCGCCCGCATGAAATATCGGTTGTCGAGGCTCATGGCACCGGAACACAAGCGGGTGACCCGGCCGAATATAGCAGCGTGAGACAGGTAATGGGTGGACCACAACGAGCAGCCCCGCTGACGCTGGGGTCAGTCAAAGGGCTGGTCGGACATACGGAAGGTGTCTCTGGCATGGTAGCACTGGTCAAGGTACTCCTGATGATTCACGAAGGAAAGCTCCCGCCCCAACCGAACTTCCACAACTTGAACCCACACATCCGGGCGGCTGCCGACGATTAGATCGAGATCACCACCCGGTTAAAGCCATGGCAAGCGGATTTCCGCGCAGCACTAATCAATAATTACGGTGCCTGTGGATCGAACGCCTCCGTAGTAGTCACTCAGCCACCTGGCTTTCGGACCGGGAGCGGTGCCTCTGCTATTCATGCCCCCGGCATCTCCCTTCCCTTCAGATTCTGTGGTTTAGACGAGCACCGTCTGCGTGATTATGCACGAAAGTTCTACAGTCTCTTGCAGCATCAGGCCGTTTCTGCAAGCCATCTAGCGTCTCTGGCTAATGTCTCGTTCAATGTTGCTCGCCAATGCAGCCCAACTCTCGACAGGCACCTGATATTCAGCTGCAGTTCACTGGTAGAGCTTGAGTCTAGATTGCTTTCCGTCGTTAATGGGGACGAAAGCCGAGTTGTTCGCATGGCCAAGTCCACCCGCCCCGTGATTCTATGTTTTGGGGGGCAGGTGTCAACTTCGGTCGGTTTGGATCGCACCGTTTACGACACCATGCACGTTCTGCGCAATCATCTCGATGACTGCAGCAGGATACTAGAGTCGCTCGGGTATGACAGTCTCTACCCTAGTATCTTTGAGTCCACCCCAATCGCCGATCAAGTCAAGATACAGACACAGCTGTTTGCTTTGCAGTATGCCAGCGCTCGCTCCTGGATAGACTGTGGCCTTACAGTAGCGGCCGTCGTTGGCCATAGCTTTGGAGAGTTAACTGCCCTCTGTGTATCCGGGGCACTGTGCCTTGAAGATGCGCTAGTCCTAGTCGCTAGACGGGCGACTTTGATTCGGGACAGTTGGGGACCAGACCCTGGGGCCATGGTTGCTGTAGCGGGCGAGCTGCACGAAGTTGAACATCTGCTAGCCGAAGCCACAAAATCTGTCTCGACTGGAACATCCTCCGCCAGCATCGCCTGTTTCAACGGCCCACGTAGCTATACGTTAGCTGGAGCAACAGAAGCGATGAACGCAGTGCGTGTTATGCTTTCCACACAGCCAGCATTCTCTCGTCTCAAACACAAAAGTTTGGACGTCACCAATGCATTCCACTCGTCATTGGTCGATTCCCTCGTTCCAGACTTGAAGAGGATAACTGACGGATTGATGTTCCGCGAGCCGCATTTGCACCTGGAGCGGGCCACGGAAGAGCCATGCACTGGTGTCCCCTCTCCGACCATTGGAGCTGAGCATCTCAGAAAGCCGGTGTACTTCAGTCAGGCTGTCAACCGCCTAGCAGAGAGGTACAAGTCGTGCATATGGCTCGAGGCCGGTTCCAACTCAACCATCACTTTGATGGCCAGTCGCGCGTTGGCAACAAGTGCTGCCTCAAACCATCAATTTCAATCCGTCAACATCACAAGCAAGACAGGGGTCCAGAGTCTGACCGACAACACAATCGCTCTCTGGAAGGAGGGAATTTCTGTCTCCTACTGGGCACATCATTCGTCGCAGACGCCCGAGTATGACTTCGTCTTTCTCCCACCCTATCAATTTGAGAAGAGTCGACATTGGATGGACAATAAGCTGTTACCCGCAAGTAGCCCCATCAAAGCGAGTGAAGTACAAGAGGAGCAGCCGAAGCCGAAAATTCATTTCCTAGGATATCAAGGCTCAGCAAAGATGGTCGCCAAGTTCTCCATCGATACTACGCACCCCAGCTACCGTGAAGCTGTGTCGGGCCACATAGGTGCACAAACAGCGCCTCTCGCCCCAGCTTCATTCATGCTCGATACTGTGGTTGAGGCACTGAGAAGCTTACCAGAAGGTAAAAACAGAGTACCGCAAGTAAAGAATGTCACCAGTGATGCGCCGCTGGGGCTGGACGAGAGACAAAATGTGTACATCACACTCACCGCTCAGAGCACGGACAAGACATTCTGGGACATGGAATTCACCAGCGAAAATCCCGAAAAGAGTGCACAGTCACGGGTAGTCCATTGTGCTGGTCGGATCAAGATGTTCAAGGCAAATGATCCCGCGCTCCAGGGCGAATTCTCCCGATACAGTCGCTTGGTCAGTCACCGTCGATGCCGTGAACTTCTCGACAGCTCCGACGTAGATGATATCCTGCAAGGTCGCAATGTGTACCGCGCCTTTTCCGAGGTTGTGGACTACGCTGAGCCCTACCGTGGCGTCCATAAGTTGGTCGGCAAGGGCAATCAGTCAGCCGGTCGAGTGGTGAAGAAGTATTCCGGTCAGACCTGGGCGGACACGTTTCTGTGTGACTCATTCAGCCAAGTCGGAGGTTTCTGGATTAACTGTATGACCGATCGGCCATCGTCCCAGATTTACATCGCCAGTGGCATGGAGCAGTGGATGCGTACACCTTTGTATGCTGACCCGAGCACGCCACGTCCTGAGACTTGGGATGTGCTAGCAACACATGAACGAGGAGATGGCTTCTACACCACGGATATCTTTGTCTTTGACCCGGAAAAAGGCCAACTGGTAGAAACGTTCATTGGGATGAAATACTCATGTGTGCCAAAGGCAGTCTTCTGTAAGATTCTCAGCAAGCTGGGGTCGAGTGCCATTCCTCAACAGACTCATCAGGCTGCAGTTGTGACAAAAGCAGCCTCGCCGCCAAAAGCGACAGCTAGTGATCCAGTCTCCAAAGCAAAGAAGGCAAAGGCACAGGCTTCCGACCTGGTCGTACGCATCAAGGACGTGGTTGCCGATTTTTGTGCTGTCGATCCCAGCGAAATTCACGATGACGGCAATATGGCTGATGCTGGCGTTGATTCTTTGATGTCAATGGAGTTGGCACGCGAGATGGAGGAAGTGTTCAAGTGTACGTTGCCAGCAACCGAACTGATGGAGGCGGAGACGTTCCGTGACCTCGTCCGTGCGGTACACAAAGCTATGGGAATCGACACACTTGATGAGGCAGAAAATATAGATGAAACCAGCGAGAGTGGCACTACCTCTTATACCGAGTGTGAAACAGAGTCGGATGGGGCAGTTGACGCTGGTACCACCGAGTCTGTGACTAGCATGAGCACTGACACGCCCGAGCTACATCTGCCGCACGACATAATCTTAGACGCATTCGCTGAAACCAAAGCCTTGACAGATCAGTTTCTCTCGGAGAACAACTGCAGCGGGCGCGTGCTTAGCTTCAACCCAGTCCAGATGCAACTTTGCGTGACGATGACTCTGGAGGCATTCGAGGAGCTGGGTTCATTCATTCGAAGTGCGCAACCAGGTCAGCGGCTCGAGAGGATCAAATTTGATGCCCAGCACGAGGAGTTGGTGGAATACCTCTATTCCCGGTTGGAGGAAGCTCGCCTGGTAGAGTTGGATGAAGGAACGGTGACTCGTACGAGCTTGGAGTGGACCAGGATGTCTAGCACTGCCATTCTCGACGAAATCAGTCGGACCTACCCTGAGTTCGTAGGTGCCAGCAAGCTTGCCTTTTATACAGGAAGCAAACTGGCATCGGTGTTACGCGGCGAACAAGATGGTCTTCAACTGATTTTCGGGACAAAAGAAGGACAGGAGCTTGTGTCATGGATGTACGGTGATGAATCGCACAACGTGAGTGGTTACAAGCAAATGCTGGATTTCATTCAGCGGCTCGTACACAAGCTTGGGAGTCGTTCGGGAACAGGTCAGCTGAAGATCCTCGAAATGGGCGCTGGTACCGGAGGAGGTACAAAGTGGTTCCTTCCCGTGTTGGCCAAGTTTGGGGTTGCCGTCGAATATACCTTCACCGACATCTCCCCTGCCTTCCTGGCGCAAGCCCGTCGGCGCTTCAAAGAATATCCCTTCGTGCAGTACCGTGTTCATGACATTGAGAAGCCTCCAGCAGACGACTTAGTTGGGACTCAGCATATCATTATCGCCAGTAATGCTGTGCATGCAACCTCGAATCTGCAGGTGTCAACCGGAAATATGCGTCGGGCATTACGACCCGACGGGGTGGTCTTGATGCTCGAGATGACTCGACCACAGTTCACAATTGATATTGTGTTTGGGCTCTTCCGTGGCTGGTGGGTATTCAATGATGGGCGAAACCATGCTATCACCAGCGAGAACCGCTGGGAAGCCGACCTCCATGCCGTCGGTTACGGCCACGTGGACTGGACAGATGGCCATTCGGCTGAAGCGAGCGTCCAACGGGTGCTCTTTGCTACTTCTACCGGAGAGCAACGTGAACGGCTTCCGCTGGGGCCGAATATGTCTCATGTGAGCTTCCTTGCGAGTGTTGACAATGTTGCTCGAAAGCAGGCGACTGACAAGTATATCCGTCGCAGCATTGAAGGCTTTACCGGACCGACAGTGACCCATAGTCCAGTGACTGGACGGGTCGCTGTTTTGGTTACGGGGGCCACAGGCAGCTTGGGCTCTCACATAGGTGCATATTTGGTGCAGCTGCAGGAGGTTAGTCGGGTCATCTGCCTCAACCGACGGGGTAAGGAGGATCCATTTAAACGACAGAAGAAGGCTTTTTCAGATCGAGGTCTTGGTTTGACCTCCAAAGACTTGGACAAAATCACAGTGATTGAAACAGATACGCAAGACGTAAAGCTTGGGCTGTCAGACGAGCAGCATCGATTTGTACAGAATACCGTCACACATATCATCCACAACGCTTGGCCGATGAACGGTGCCCGGGGCCTGTCCGGGTTTGACTCTCAATTCCGAACCATGCGGCACCTGGCCGATCTAGCACGCGACATCGCCTCTGTCCGACCTGCAAAGACCCGGGTTGGTTTTCAGTTCATATCTTCCATTAGTACGGTCGGGCTTGCTCCTCTCGTGACGAGTAAGCCAGAAATTCCGGAGGATCAAAGCGTGATTGACTGGGTGTTAGCCAATGGATACGGCGAAGCAAAGTTTGTCTGTGAGCAGATTCTTCACCAGACCTTGCAGAGGTATCCGGATCGATTCAATACCATGGTGGTACGACCTGGTCAAATTGCAGGGTCATCGCTCAGCGGATACTGGAATGCTGCGGAGCACTTCCCCGCCCTGCTGAAATCGGCCCAAACACTCAGGGCATTGCCTGATTTTGGCGGGGTGTTGTCTTGGACGCCTGTCAACACTGTCGCAGCCACTTTAGGCGAGCTTCTTCTCGCCGAGAAGGCCCATCCCGTCTATCATGTTGATAATGCGGCTCGTCAACCGTGGCGAGAGGTGACGCCCATTCTTGCGCAGGAGCTGGGAATTCCCCTTGGCAATTTGCTTCCGTTCTCAGAGTGGATTGAACGAGTTGAGGCCTTTGCTGGTCCACGAGAAGACAACCCGGCAGGTGTGATGGCGGACTGGTTGGCGGCCAACTTTGAGCGCATGTCTTGCGGGGGATTGCTCTTGGCGACAACGCGTGCCCAGCGAGACGCGCCCACGCTGCGGAGCCTGGGGCCTGTTGATCAGAGGACAGTGCGGGGATACGTGCAGTACTGGCGTCGGACGGGTTTCTTGATATAGATAGAGGTGAAAAGTTTTCTGAACGTCAACAGTGTGATCTCATACTCATTTAGAGGATGCGAAATAATAGACGCAAATGTCAACTTCTAGATTATTAAGTGAAGTTTTCTACACAAATTGTAGAGAAAGCCGGGGGTGGGAAGACGCGGGGAATCATCACCGCCTTGGTCACCGCCTCGGCAGGTTTCCTCCCCCCCGATTATTCTGCCTCGTGGCTGCAATCTTCCGCCGGAACCTGCAACTCTGCCTTTGCCCCTCACTCATGGAAGAACAAACAGAAGCATCGTCGTCTGTGGCAGACTCCTCTCTCTCGTCAATCTCAGCATCAGCTTCACTATCCAACAAACCAAGGAGAGCACGATTGGTACCTTCAGTGCTACCCACGCGCGTCAGTAGCGCTTGTGAACGATGCCGTCTCCACAAATCCCGGGTAGGCAGGCCGACTTGCCGCTCCGGCATAGCTTATAGATCAACGGACTGACCGACTCACGGCAGTGTGATCCATATCGACCATGTTCATTGTGTGTGCGAGCGAATGTCGAATGTCGGCAACGCTCTGCAATTCAACGCCGCGCGGCAAATCTCCCCTCGTAAGCTTTTCCAACTTTTCCTCTCAAGGCTTCAAGGGGGAGTGCGGCTGTCCAGTAGCCCCGAGCTGACCGGAACTGAAGCTCTAGACGCAGACTACCTGGCGCTCGAGGAAAGCCATCGCGTCGCCAAAGACAAATATGCAGTCCTCCACCTGGGGAATTGTTGCAGGGTCCGACCACTGGAGGAAACGATCCGGTTTCGTCTCCCCGACCAATGACGGCGGACAATCGCCGCCAATATAACCCGATCTCATCGTCCATCGAACCTGGTGAAGCCGAGTCTGCTATGGGTATTGCTCGCAAGATATGCGAGCTAGGCAGCCAGCATCTAGACGAACAAACCACATCGGCCATTCCTGGCTACTCGGCAAGTAAAGGCGTCTTGCCTGCGCCTGGCACTGCCGCAAATCGTCGTCCTATTTCCGCCATTCTAGGTCAACCATTCCCTGCCACCGAGATCATCTGCAGTCTATTGGATGATTACTTTGACACGGTTCATTGGTTTTCGCTGGTGGTCTATGAGCCCAAATTTCGTCGCAAGCTTCGAACCATTGCCGACGGTTGCGCCGACCCCACCCAGCGACCCTTCCTCTTATTACTGGCAGTCATGCTCGGTATGGCGGCATGGTACCGGTCACAACGCAGCCGTCAGGAGCTGTCTAATACGAATGACGATTGGGCGGACTGGAGTGATATTCTTATGCGACTGGTTGAAAACAATCTAATAGATGTGATGGACCATCCTTCTCTCCTCGCAATACAGACCTGCATTCTCTTCGGTTCATATCATGTTTACCACGGAAGACCAAATTTGTCATTTACTCTACTTGGGGCGACTATCAAAATGGCACATGCGATTGGCATGCATCGGGAGCCTCGACGCGGTGATATTGATGACATCGAAGAGCGAAAGCGAGTGTGGTGGACAATCTACACATGGGACCGGTTTGCATCCATCACGTATGGCACACCATTGGGCATAAACGACAAGGATTGCAATTTGAGCATGCCTGCAGACATTTACGAAAACCCTTCCTTCGCTCACCCGGCCTCTGATGACTCTGCCTCTGTCTGCTATTCGCCATATCAACGGGAATTGAACCGACTTTATCTCATTGCATCGCCAGCACTTGAGATCATCTTTGGCTCTCGTACTTCACGGACGTCTCAAGATCTAGTCAGGGACAGTTTTGTAAGTTTGGTCCAGGAGACTTCGGAAAAGCTTCATTCGTGGCGACAATGTCTCCCAAGCCACTTGGTCCTCGATCTCCAGCAAGACTTCCGTGCAACCGGTGAACAAAGCTTCAAAGCGTATGCCTTGCAAGCCTTGTCACTTCATCTAACATACGACAACATTTTGATCGTGCTTTACCGTCCTTTGATTTCAAGGCAGGTGGACCATCTTTGGACGAGCAACATGTCACCTGGGGTTGACGATATCCATTCGACTGCTTTTGCGACGGCAGCTGCTCCAGACTCGTCCAGAAGAACTCCCATCCAAGCCAGCACAGCCAACTCGGAATTTTGGATGAAAGCCGCCATTCGAACGTCCAGGATAACTGAACTGCCGGTGCTTGCGCAACTAGCGACCGATAGTCATTTAGTCGCCTTCCTCGCCATCAATCTATTCAACGCCGCGGTTGTCTTGGCAGTAATGGCCATATCAGAGCCGCTTTCTGATACAGCTCAAGAAGTCAAGCGGACGATGACCCGCATTCTGCGTCTACAGGACCTCTTGGGAAAGCGCTCAGCCCTCTCCAGACAGAGTACTCAGGTTCTGAAGAAGGTGGTTACGATGCTTCTCCGCCGGGAATCGGCCGCCATGCTCGCCCCTCTTGCGGAAACCACCACCTTCAGTGAGTACGATACCAATGGCAACCGAGCTCTACCTGATCCGCCTCCCATGTCTGTCGAAGAGACGCTGCGATTGCCGTTAAATGCGACTTTAGACATGGTGGATCCCTTGGTGGGCAGCCAGGGGAGCTCTAATTTCGATCGCGCTGGTCGCGTCAATGAAAGCTTGACTTCCCTTCAGTACGGTAAGCCATTCTCATCTCCCCTCTTTCTCTTCTTTTTTTGTGCTGATGCTGATGCTTGTGAGGAATTCTCAGTCATGGTTCCCGGCCAGGATTACACGCTCCACGTTCCTGTACTAGGAGAAAGTCAGCGGGGTCAATTGCCTACTCATCCTAACATTTCATCGGCGAATGACTGGGCGCTCCCTGCGCCAAGCGACTGGCAACAGCCCAATGGTCTCACGCCACCTGGGGAAGACGGGCATTACAACAACGTAGAAAACGGTCTCTACTGGCTGTGGGATACCACATGGAATGGGCTGTGAATAAACGTTTTTGAAACTGTTACACGGTGTTTCTCTCTATCCCAAAGTTCCATAGTCGCCATAAAAAGAAGTCACCCGCCCCGAAACCCAGCTTCTACGCCTCAACAGCATTGGCTGTTTCTGCATCCATCTCCGGTCCATATATGATACTCTTGATCCCTATCCTGTTTGCCACATTCCGAAATGCCTCCTCGACCTGCGAGAAGGAGTATTCGTGAGTGACAAGGCCGTCGACATTGACACGTCGGGCGTCAAGGAGTCCTATGGCGGTTCGGAAGTCTCCAGGGCCGTAGCGGAAGCTGCCCTTCAGAGTAACCTCTTTATCGCAGATTTGACCAATGGGAACGGTGACACTCGGTCTACCCAAGCCGACCTGGATGAAGGTTCCTCCTGGCGTGACCGCATGTAGACCACAGACAAGGCAAGGCTCCGCCCCCGTTGCGTCCAAGATCACATCTGCGCCGTCTTCGAGTCCCGCCGCTCTGAGAAGGTCGGCCGCATTCACCTCAGGCGATGCAGCACTCATTTGGTATGTATGTGTGGCTCCATACTTGCCAGCGACCGTAAGCCGACTGGAAACAATATCAACCGCAACGACAGTAGATGCACCAAAGGCACGGGCAACAGCGCAGCAGAGGAGTCCAACCGGACCCGCGCCGAAGATGATGACAGACTTGGTTTGCATATCTCCTGCGAGCCGACAAGCATGCACTGCGACACTCAACGGCTCAACCAATGCGCCCTGACGCAGTGAAATGTGAGCGGGAAGCTTGAAACAGCACTCGACCGGGACGCGGTAGTATGTGCAAAGTGTCCCGTCGATTGGCGGCGTCGCTGCAAATCGCATGTCACGGCAGAGATTATAACGGCCCCTGCGACACGGCTCGCAGGTATTGCAGGCGACGCCAGGCTCTAGGGCAACGCGGTCTCCCACGGCGATCCCTTCAGCTTTGCTGCCGCAAGAGACAACGATTCCTGTTGACTCATGGCCCAAGATGATTGGTTGCTCTACCACATAGCGACCGATTCGCCCATGTTGCCAGTAATGTACCTGTTGGAGCAGTGGCGCATTAACTCCGAAATGATTCACCAGTGTCAAGAGGATAGAAATCAATACTCACGTCGGAGCCGCAGAGCCCGGTTGCGACAATTTTCACAATGACATCCCTTCCGGACTGAACCTCCGGTACCATGCGCGTTTCATAGTAGAAGGAGCCGCCTGGCTTGAGCACGGCAGCTAAATTAACGCCCTTGAATTGAAACATCAGTGACCCGAACTTGGAAGCTTTAGAGACAGTCCCAATGACATTCATGGAATCCCCTACCTGAGTCGAATCTGCAGCAATCATGTTTCCAAGCCCTGAGCAATTTGCAGCCCAGATATATGAAGATCTGCTGATACGTTCTGGCTCCTCTCTGTCTTTAATATTACCTGCCGGCTGGTTGTGTTTATAAACCAGGGGCGCATTGACTCGCTTCCGGCGGAGCGTGTAGCTTCGGTTCCGGCCTTCCTAACAATAATTGCATTGCTGATTGCTGATTCCCCGCATCGATCGACCATCGACTAGAGCTAGTGAGACATCAAAACGAGGATCTTCCCCGGTCGCCTTCGTCCCCACTTTTAAAGGTACACAGTATCTCTTCTTCTCGTGGCGGTGGTCTCGCCTCCGATTTCTTCGGGTTCTAAGACCTACCCGTTTAGCTTGTCTCTCAATGCCTGGTCACACTTGGTTCCTGCTAGTGGTAAGCAAGGAGCGGTTCCGATCCCAGGCAGAGAGACCACACCTCTTGAATTGCCGTTATTCGACACCGAGCAAGCTCTCTTCCATGGGGACTTTATTCCGACGCAGGTCATCCGGGCCGGTGTTTTACAGCTCTCGTGGGCAGGAGCTCATTGCTGAGCATAGTGGGTCCGGAACCGAATTTCAGGTCGGGCAAGTCAGCATCCGCCGGAACCGAGTGTGCGAATCCGCCTGGGACTACACAATGCGCCCTGAATTGATATAGCATCAGAGCGAAAGCGACATACAAATGGCTCTCTATGACCTGACTTGAAGTGTGGAGTGATTGCCGTCATCTCTACTGGGGATGTATACGCCAAATTTGCACGTGACCTCCGCATCACGGCGGCGTACTAGGGAGACACTGCAGGAAATGGCCGGATTTTCTTCTCCCCGCTCGATGATTCGCCGTAGAATTTACCATTGGTGTGGCCAGTGTTCAATTTTGCCGTCGTACTGGTCGTGTGATTCTTCTACTCGGAGACAGCGGACCGATCGCTGGATGATATCGATCGCTTCTTCCAGTAGAGCAACGGTGTCTTTGTTCACCATGTGCCAGAGGCCATCTCGGGGTCGAACAACCGCTCCGGTATGTTGCGCCGGAAAATGAGCGGCTCCAGCTCGGTGCTACTGCTGCGGGCGCTAAGATTGGGGCTAGTGCGATAGAGCATAAGGCGCATGTTTGAAGACAGGCCCCTACCGCGTCAGGGTAGCGAAACCCCGAGCTCATACTTCAACGGGTGCCATGTCGGTGGCTCACACGGAATTACATGCTTACTTCAAGAACAAAAAGCAGAAAGCGATATTCACATCAAATATATCAAATGTTACGATTTCATTTCATGATAATCGGGATAAAAAGGAGTCACTTAACGACACAAGGAGCGGACCAAGCCCGGAGGTCACTGACATCAAGCCTCACTTCCAAATATGACCCTCCATCTTCAAGTACTCGAAACTCTCAGCCTGCTCCACCACCTCATCCTCCTCATTTTTTAGGAGCCCCTGGTCGAACAGATCAGCACCAAACCTGCACGGCTTGCGACACGCCGGGCAATGCATGGGTAGCTTGAATTTATAGTCGGTGCCCCATTCAATCGCACCGTGCCGGTTCCAGGCGCACTCCAAGTGGAAATAGGTTTTGCAGCCCTCGCAGCACAGGTCCACGTGCGGGTCGGCGCACTCGCAGATGTCGCACGCCGCATCCACGGGCTTGTTGGCTGGGTTATTGATCTTACGCGCTAGGACGCGGCGGCGGGCCTGCTCGGCGGGCTGCAGGCAGTCCCAGTTGCGGAAGTCGTTACTGGAGAAGACCTCTTCGAAGCTGCGGTGCTTCTTGATCTGCTCCAAGCCAGGGGAAGAACATGATTGTGCCTGGCTTCGGAGTGTCGTCGCCGGTACTCTGCGGCGTGAGGATTGCGGGGTGGCCGTCGCTGTCGCTTGACTCATTCTCGCTGTCGGTCTGCTGGGGCGTGAGAAGGACGTCCCCGTCTTCACTGCTGAACCCGGCTCCGTCGTCGGATGTCTGCGTCGCAGCATGGGATGTTGAGGAGGTCGGCACGCGCGACTCAGCGTCAGATGCCTGAGGAGCTGTGGCAGGCTCGCTTGCCGTACTAAGGCGGGCGAGATCCTTTTTCAGCTCGCTGTAGGCACGGAAGCGGAAGTAGGGCATCTTGAAGCTGAGTTGGAGAGGTGAAGTCGGGTGAAGGTGAAGGTGCTCGATGGTTGATTGTTGATGGTGATGATGGCGATGTTTCCAACTAATTTATACGCAGCAGCACGGGAATATAGAGCCCTCTACAACAAAGAGCTTACAATGCCCATTGTATCAAGGATGGAGTATAACAACCGACCTTCACGAGTAAACAATGAATGGCCTAGTTCAGTCCTGATACCCGACTGAAGAAGTACTTGCAAATGCTTTGTTACGCGACTGAAGGCAGTTCATCCTCGTTGATCTATTGCACCGAAATACTCAAACTCCGTTCATTATGCAAATGTCAGCACCAAGCACCCCCTTGTTTTCGCTTTTTCATCTTCACCATCACGCTGAATAAAGTCACAAAACATCTAAACCCAGTTACTCACACACTTCATCCTCTCCCTCCTCGTCCCCAATCCCCTCCAGAATCTATTTCGGATCATGCGCAACAACCTCAATCTCAACGCGCATATCATCCTCGCCCAGCCGCGTGACACCAACACAGGTCCACAGCGGCTCGTGGTCGGGCATCCACTTCTTGAAGTTCCGGACCATGGCGTCCAGCGCCTCGTTGTTGATGGGCACGTGGTACGAATTCACCCGGAACACCTGGCTCCAGCCCTTCCCGCCGGCGGTCTTCAGATTCAGGTCCACGTTCGCGAAGGCCTGGTCGATCTGCGCGTTGATCTCGCGGTGGATCTCGCCGGTTTGGGGGTCCCAGCCGCCTTTTTACCCGGAAATTTAGCATTGCATTGTGTATGCATGATGATGAGGGAAAGGGGAGGACCTACCCTGGCCGGAACATTCGATGCGGTCGCCGATGCGGACGGCCTGGCTGTATTTGAAGGTCTGTTGGTTGCGCTTGCCGACGCCGTCGTAGTTGTAGTAGGTGAGGTGGGACATGATGCCTGATTAAGGGTGTGTATGTGTGTAGGTAGAGGGAATGTCAAGTCAAGGTCAAGGTGAATTGGGAATTGAGCGAGGTTACATGCGATGACGATGGGGTTTTATAGAGTTCCCGGGGCGGATTAGAGACAGCGGAATATATGTTCCGCGGGGAGGAGTAGCCCTGAGGGGATGAAGTCATGGATGTTCTCTCACTTTCTGTCTGTCTCAGATTGCCGTGTTTTATCTCTAGATAAACAAAGAAGCCTCTTTCTAGTGCAGAGAAATAGAGCCTGCCAGGCTCTCCACTTCGTGAAGTGTCGAGTGTGTCAACTTACATGCGGGAACTTGCACCACGCAGCATTCCCTGACTACTCTACCTAAACTCTACTTCCAAAATTGGTCTGAAGTCCGACTTCCTAGGTATATTCCATACATAAACTGTTGCCCATCAATCTACATATGTACATAATCAGAATCTGAGAATCACCGCAAAGCCAAGGGTCAACCCAGCCAGCCCATCAAATATAATCACGTGACCCAGGGTCATGAGTAATCGACTCCCACCTTGCCCCAAAAACTAACCTGTTTAGGAGCTAGTGGCTGGCGGTGACCACACCCTCTGACCGCCCGGAGATATACTGCCGGCGGACCGCATTCGGCGCCAGCAAGCTCCGCCCGGTGGTTCCTCGTCCTTCCCATCCCCCAGCCTTGGAATTATTCGCAACTCAGGACTCAATCTGAACCACATTCTTTTACTTTTCTACTCTTTCATCCAGTTCCATTCACTCCCTTATCCATAAAAACTTTTCCTAACACTCAATTGCATCCATCCAGCATTCATACACTAGACCTCATCACCCCAACCCATCACTCGTATTCTGCCTTGCGACTTTGCGACAACAATCAGCCATTGTAAGCTCGGTAGCACCAGCGCCCCCAACAAAGACAGACCCCCCCCTCACTAACGACCAATCACCGCAGCACCCCCCACAAACCCCAGAGACAAAAAAAAATGTCCATCCGCACCCTCTCCGACACCGACTTCGAAGACAGCACGCTCAAGCGCGCGCGCACAGACCCGACCGCGCACCGGCTCTGCTACGACTGGATGATCGTGCAGGGCAACTGCCACTACGCGCGCGACCGCGCCGCCTTCACGAGCTACCGGCCCGTGACCAGCGTGCGCCTGCAGACCAACATCTTCAACCCGATGGAGGAGCTGGAGGTGGCCGGCGTCGGCACGGTGGAGATACCTGTTATGCGGTCGCTGACGGACCCCAACAACAACAACCACAACCCGTTTGACAGCACCCACCCCGACACGCACACGCACACCCTCGTCCTCGAGAACGTCCTGCACATCCCCGAGGCCGTCTGCAACGGGTTTAACCCGCTGCTGTACGGGAGCAGCATGTCGTGCACGGCCGAGAGCTGGACGGGCGCGGATCGCGCGGGCACCCCGCTGTGGGTGGCGACCCCCTTCGCGGGCGGGTCGCGGCTGGTGCTGGCCGGCGCGGCGGCGCAGCTGCAGCACCAGCAGGGGGTGTCGGAGCTGATTGCCGGGCGGTATTATACGCTGAGTCTGTATATTAGTCCTGCGGAGAAGGCGGAGTTGATGGGGTAGATGGTTGTTTGCCGCAGAGGGGTTGTTTGTGGCAACCTAGGGAGAAAAGGGAAGGGTGAATCCTGTTGGGGCGAGGCACGAGGCAACATGACAGGTGACTGTATGTTGGGTTGTGCTGTACAATATATTACGATACCTATGATAGAATATAGCAAAAAAGCAATACGATACGATTCCGGATAAGTCAAGCGAGATGCATGGCCTAGAAAGCATGGCATGGCATGGCCTGCCCCTCCGTCGGTGGTCGGATGGACACGTGGAAGAGCGGCAGTCGGAGAGCTTCACCCAGCTCGATCGATGCCATGAGTTGGGATACGGAAAGAACTCCCAATAACCTCCTGCAGTAGCTTGGGCGCTTGAACGGTCCGGTCAATTCGATTGTGGATCGAGTGACTGGGAAAGAGTGTCTGTGCGAAAGGTCAGTTAGTCACTCAGTGAGAGTGTTTGGAGGCGATTCACTGATCATCCCGGGGTCTAATTTAGGGCTCGATCCCAAATTCACGCCATGTGGGCAGCAAAAACCGCGGGGAAAGGGAATGAAAGGGGGGATATACCTCAGCCCACTATAGTTCGACCCAACCACTCGCTTAAGACCCTGAAATTCAGTTCACATGTGTCTCTATGAGTCCTTAGGACGGAGTCGAGGGCCGAGAACCTACCAGAAAAGAAAGGGTCTAATCTCGCATCTCGTGTGGCTCATCATGTCTAATCCCCATGGGGTCTCTCTCGTCCGGCTGTTCGGCCCGTGGCCCGGCTGTCACGCAAAGCACCACCCAAACACACCAAGAAACCACCCAATATGGCTCAATCTTGCCCCAACCTTTTTTCAATCCAATATCTAGCGAAATGGCAAATGGCAAATGGCAAATGGCAAATGGCAAATGGTAACTAGCAAATAGCAAAACCACGATCGCGTTTCCCTGCGGCAGTCCGGCCCAGACTGCCACACTCTCTCTCTCTTGCCTTTCGGGCATCCCCAGCTTCCCCGGATTCATCTAATCCCGTTTGGATACGGGGTCTCATCCTTGCTGCAATTAGCCCGCCACTCAGCCTATTCTTTGCGAGTTCCTGTCCCTGCCCTATCACAGCGCGTCCTCCCCAGCAAATTTTCCGCGGCATCTGGTGACAGGAAGGGACTATAGTCAGACATGCAGCGATACCCAGTCTTACCATGCCATGCCACCATCCCTCGCCCGCCCGCCCGCCCGCCCTCGCTTCAATTTTCGATGGTATATATGAGCTCCTTGATTTCCGCTCGAGTCTTCGGTTTCTCTTCTTTTTGTTTCTCAGGTCAGCTTTGAACATCAATTCGAAAGATTGTCTTCCGGAAGCTCTCTCACCATGTCTGAGAAACATACGGCGGAGGTCTCCCACCTGGACTCGTCCGAGGTCCAGGTCAAGGGGGTCCACAATGCGGCGTTGGCGGTGGCCACCATCCAGCAGAAGCCCAGTCTGTGGAGCAAGAGCATGCTCAAGGTATGCCACTCGGTGATGTGGTGCGTGGGCGGTGTGGGTGCTAACGGACAGTTAGCTGTACTGCTGTATCGCGGTCGCCATGCTCAACTCCTGCATCAACGGTTACGACGGTTCCCTGATGGGCTCGATCAACAGTTATCCCCAGTACCGCGACTACTTCGGGTTCGACCCGGACGCCGGTACCCCCTCGACCGGTATTGTGTACGCCATCTATACCATCGGAAACATCGTCGGATCGTTCACGGCCGGTCCCTTCACTGATTTCAAGGGTACATTCTTCTTTCCCCATTCCCTGGGGTCTGGTTACGGAAGCAAGGCTCTGACAGGCGTACAATAGGGCGACGAGTCGGCATGGCGATTGGCGCCGTCTTCATCATCATCGGAACCTGCGTGCAAGCCTCGTGCCACAACCTGGGCGGATTCATGGGCGGCCGCTTCCTGCTGGGATTCGGCGTGGCGACCTCGGCCACTGCCGGACCGGCCTACGTGTCGGAGATGGCCCACCCGGCCTACCGCGGTGCCATGACGGGTCTGTACAACGTGCTGTGGTTCGGGGGTGGTATTCCGGGCACTTTCATCCCCTGGCGCACCAGCCACATCCAGAGCGACATGAGCTGGCGGATTCCGATCTGGCTGCAGATGGTGTTCTCCGGGCTGGTGTTGTGTTTCGTTTACTTCCTCCCTGAGGTAGGTCTTCATGGGTTATCCGTGCCGTGAAGGCAGAGGCTAATCGTGTCCAGTCCCCCCGTTGGCTCATGTCCCACGACCGCCACGAAGAGGCCCTCAACGTGCTGGCCGAGTACCACGGCGAGGGCGACCGCAACGCTCCGATCGTGCAGCTGGAATACCGGGAGATGATGGAGGACATTTCCAAGACGGGGTCCGACAAGCGCTGGTGGGACTACCGCGAGCTGTTCAACACCCGCGAGACGCGGTATCGGTCCATGCTGGTGATCTTCATGGGTGAGTTTCCTCCCCTGCGGTGTCCCAGAGTCCCCTCACCTTAGCCACCGCAACTGACATCGCACACAGCTCTCTTCGGCCAATGGTCCGGCAACGGCCCCGTCAGCTACTACTACCCGCAGATGCTCCGCGGCGCGGGGATCACCAGCAACAACACGCAGCTGCTGCTGCAGGGCTTGCAGAACGTGGTGTCACTGATCGGGGCGGTGTCCGGGGCGCTGCTGACGGACCGGTTCGGACGGCGGCAGCAGCTGCTGGTGTCGACCAGCCTGGTGGTGGTGCTGTTCATCATCGTGACGGCGCTGAACGCGACCAACGTCGTCGACGGGCCGGATGGCACCCCGACCGCCAAGAGCGGCGTCACCGCGCGCGCCCAGATCGCCATGATCTTCATCTTCGGCTTCGTCATCTCCGCCGGCTGGACCCCCAACCAGGCCATGTACCCCGTCGAGTGTCTGCGGTACGAGTCCCGCGCCAAGGGCATGGGCATGAACAACGTAAGTTTCTTTTGACTGGCAGTCTTCCCGTGAAACCCTTTTAATAACAGCCGAACAGTTCTTCGTCAACATCGCCTCCTTCTACAACACCTTCGTCACCGGCATCGCCTTCACCCGCGCCGGCTGGAAGTACTACTTCCTCTTCATCTTCTGGGACACCCTCGAGGTCATCGTCATCTACTTCCTGTTCGTCGAGACCAGTAAGCGCACCCTCGAGGAGTTGACCGAGATCTTCCAGGCCAAGAACCCGGTCAAGGCCTCGCTGAAGCGCGATGAGGTGTTGGTTTCGGGCGGGGAGGCGACGCAGATCACCAAGGAGGCAGAGGCGTGAGACGCTGGGGGAGGGGAGTAATTGAGTTCGGAGTAGTGGAGAAGTAATGGGAGGCTTTTGGGTTGTTGGGATGTTTGGATGTTCGCTGTGAGAGTCGATCAATCCACTCACTCGGTTATGTCTTGGGCGTGAAGTCTATAAGTTATCACTTATCATTAATTAGGAAGGTGCCGCTGCTGCACCGTCCGATTTAGCCACTGCTTTTGCTCCCTGAATACCTTCCGTAGAGCCCAGATCCTGCTCCGTGCAGTCCCCAAGGAAGGTATTCCACTTATCTTATCGCAGGTTCAAGCGTGCGCGCGACCCACAGGTCAGGGACAAGATTCCGGGATTAGGGCTGCATGAGCGACAACCTGCCTGCCTCAGTGGTCATGTATCTTATCGCTGATGGCCCCAGCGTATTCACCTTCAGATAACCACCCATATAAGATATACTAGTACTTAACTGAGAGGTTAGTACGTCCTACCTTAGGTAATACTGTAGTAAAGATGAAAAGATCCCCGATTGGGCATGTCTCGGTCTTCTCGACTGGGCATGAGGTTGTTAGTGCACACGGACTCTGCAGCGCCTTAGCTGTGAAGTATTACCAATACAGAAGAATATAATTAACAGCTACTCTGTACATAAAAACACATTCTCTTGCTACTACAGCAGTGACCGCCTATAGGACTCCTTGCGTCTAGTCACGTGATGTTGGACCCAGTCCGACCCCCCCAAAACACCGTCGGCACTCGAACTCCTCCTTTCTCTCCCCTCGGTAACTTATATACTCCACCTGCAAGGCTTGTTCATCTCCCTTTCCCTGTTATGAGCTGTAAAGCTGAAAGGCCATGCTCCCACCCCACGTTCTTGTTCCAGGTATCATGACTGATACCTACTAAGAACAGACTCTTACTATTATCTCCTTTGCCTTCAACCGAGTCAACCTCTTTCTCTCGCCAAATGTCAGTCACTCAACTAAGCGCATAACTGCTGTCTGACTTCTCAACACTCTGGTTAGCCCACCATGTCTAATACAAGCAACTGTGGGGCAGACGCACTCCGTCCGCGTCGCCTCCAATCATTGAAAGTCTCAGCTTATTCTCAATTATCCTGGAGTGCTCTAATCGCATCGGGTCAATGCGCGACCAAGCTCCCAGATCAATGCAGCCGGATTCAAACTCTCCTCAACCAGACCCCATCCATCCCTTCCGCTTTGGAGGTTCCTGACTCTATCGTAGGAAATAATCTGGTCTTAGAAGGCTATTCTAGGTGGTCAGTCTCTTCGCGTTCTCAGCGGATGGGTAGCGAATGCGCTCTGGATGCCAGCAAAGCTTCCTGTCCTCGAAGCGCGTATATTGGAGTGTCGCGCCCAAGCACGTGTGTGTTGTCCGGGGGATTCATTCCCCAATGGTCCGGCTTCCAATCCTTAGCGCAATCCTCTGGAAATCATCTAGCACTCTGTGTTCTAGGCTGGTCGTACGTCCTCTCTGGTCCTGTGACTTGACATATCACCCACTGAGTCGTGCAATTTCTCACGCCGCATTTTTCGAAGGTATGGACCGTGTTGAGGTGTCCGCAGTCCTGACAGTTTCCCTTGCGACCGGAGGATCTGGAACGCTAGAATTTCCAATAAGCACTAGACATTGAAGCGGGATGCATAGATTCAGCTGTTTACCATGCTGGTGACGTGATCAGGGGAATTGAAGGGATGGTTAATGGATGTCAGTGCTTGGAGAGCAGAAGGGCAGCTCGATATAGTGAGAGAGGTCGGTCAAGTAGAGCCGCGTTCCAGTGGATTTGAACTCTCAGATTGAAGTTGGTTCTCCACTGTGTGCCAGACGGCAGACCCGAATTCACACTCTATATATGGCGCCCGCTCGGTCCTAAGATCGACACAAATATCTCATCGATTCAGCATCGCACTAAAGGGAGAGGAGGAAAAACACACGCGGATAATGTCTGTCTGGCTGCCTTTACTAGGGTTGTGTGGCTGCGAGGGCGACTGATGCGCGACAAGATTCTCCTTGGCTACCAAAAAAAAAAAAACGTCAGCTTAAAGCATAAACCAAGCGCTTGTTACATCTATCTGCGTCTGATTGGAGTACTGTCCAATGTCTACGACGGCGTCAGTACGTAGTAGTGTGGGGACCCTCTCGTGACTAACGTGCGACTGGCACGGAGGCGGCTTACAATACAGACAGAGTCAAGCTTGAAGTTGGAGTATGCAAAGCCAGTAAAAGTCCAAATGAATCGTTTTTTATCCCAAGGCTGAGCCGAGGCGTTGCGGTCGTGTGCATACGGGGAGCGTATCGCCCGGCCCATGCCTCACTCGGACATTTCCCAAATGACCCTAGATCGTCCCTAAAGATAGGATAGTGAGAGGCGGCCATACAGAAAGAAGGACGCTTCTCCTGCGCACAGTTCTCTACCCTTCGATCATAAGCTTATCTTATCTTCGCTAGGCGTACCGACGGCGCTTCCTTTAGGGTTGACTTAATTCTTTGACTCTGGGCAGCAGCCAAGAACTCACCTACCATCCGGTTAGATGGAAGTAGTATACAGATAGGTATGGACACGCCCGCGGCGGTTGCATGGCGGTCAATCAAGCGGCGGCTGGCTTAGTCGATTGGCGGCTAGTACATATGCCAAGAAGGAATCTGTTATCCAACGGTTATTGTGAAAACTCAGACTGAGACTGAGACGGGGGAAGGGGAGAGATTGCACATACAGATCCATCCATGTGCAATTGTCGATTGGGAAAGACCGAAATGCACAACCCTCTCCCCCCGCCCCAAATAAAAGTGAAATGTGAAGGAAGCAGGCGGGACAAATCTCATATAGGCATAAGCCCTCCCCCGTACCGAAGTGTCTCAATCAGATCATCAACCCAGAAACCCCAACAGGGTAGAACTATGAGTAGTGGGGGTTTGTAGTATACTGCCGGAAAGCGGCGGGTCTCCTCTTCTACAAGTCCAGGATTTTGAGATGGAAACAGGGGTCAATGTGTCGGTTTGCATGAATGTAGGGAAGCCTTCGATTGGTTTTCTTGAGGGCGATTCAGTCCGAGCGGCGGGGGAAGGAAGGTGCGTCCACTCTTACACTAGGTTACTCTGAAGTCATCGTCATCGTGGGGTCTTGTCGGTCTTGCTGGGTCACGTGAGTGTGTTGCTGAATTCGGGTCGTTTGGAGCAGTAGTATGGGGCCTAACTGGCAGTAAGCAGTTATCTTAAGCTCTTGTTGTGCTCTATGGCATTATCCTGGGCGATTGGCCTTGTCGCTCCGCCCCTACTACGTCCCAGAGACCATCGTGCTGATCCTCACCCACAATATAGCGAGCGCATGGCACAAGCGGGCTCTAGGACAGAGTACGCGGTTGGTGGTGCATCATCCTTCCATTCGTCAAGTTTGTCCATCAAGCAAGGATGAGTACAAGAACGATCCTGGAATGGCAGCTGGTGGAAAATACAGGAGTCCATTCCAATGCTTTCTCGAATAGAATCACAAGCCTGCGAGTTAGAACCAATGGTATACAAGCATTGACAACCACTTACAGCCGGAGAACACAAAACAAGCTATACCCTAAGAAACAACACTATATACAAGATCACAACGCCGTCACACAATGAACACATAGCACCTCCAGCTCCACCCCCTAATATGACCAATCAATTCCTCGTAATTATCAACTCCTGGACTACATGAATCCCTCCTTCTTCCCCCGTCCGCTGACCCTCCGCATCCACCGCCGCCAGCATGATCTGCTCATCACTGACCGTCGCCAACTGCGTCCACTGCGTATCCGGCAACGACAAGGGATGACGGAACTTCTTCTTCCGGGACTGCGAATGCGCACTCTGATGCTCTCCTTCAGAAAGGGGATACCCTGACCCTCCGAGGCCAGTCGTCGTACTTCCGCCCTTGGCGTTGAAGCTCTGGGAGGACCAGTAGGTGCCCGCCCGTTTCACCATCCGGCGACACACGGGGTAGATCATGGGGAGGTTGCCGATGATGACGGCGACGAAGGTCTCGCGACAGGCCCAGCTGCCGGCTTGGGAGGCGCCGTTTGCGCCGGCCTTGCGTTGGAGTCAGCATCGTCGTCGTTTGGGACGAGGGTTGGAGCAGGAGGTTAAGTCACTCAAGTGACGAAGAAGCAAGTAAGAGGTTTTTTACGCACCGTGACGATCAACACACACCGCAGAATCCCCGCCGCCATGACGAATAACCCGCCGCTGAACAACACCACCAATTCGAGTTTCTCGCGCCAGGGGAGACGGGCTTTGAAGAGGATCTATCCCATCTCGCAATCAGCTTTTGATCCCAAACAACAGCAAAAATCGTCGTCGGTCGGGATCGTTCCGAAGGGGGGGGGAGCGTACAGGAAACGGAATCGAAATCAAATACACGTCCGTCACCACATTCAGCGTCACCGTCACGTACACATCGATATGCGAGACAGCCGGCTGACAGTAATTCCCGGGATCCGGGTAGATCTGCCAGTTTCTGCGGAGCGGACGACACCCCAGCAGGATACTCAGGATGACCGCGAGGTAGGTGCCGGCGATGAAGAGGTAGGCGAGACGGATGCGACGGGTCATGTTGTATATTCCAGCCCTAGATTATGGGGGTCAATCGAACGGAAACCACAGACCCCGATCCATCCAACCAAGAAAAGGGAGGCGTACGTCAGTCGCGAATAAAACACCGCCATGCACGTCTTGAGCAACCACAGCAAAGTGGTATACAGCGACCATCCCAGCACCTGGGTCTTGGAGCCCCCGACGCGGAGCCGGTACTCTTCGGACTGCGGGGAGAGCGCCGCGCGCTGGGCCGCGGTCATGGAGTTGTTGGCGAGGCCGTGCCACCAGGCGCTGACGCAGTAGGCGGCGCCGGTTTCGAGGGCGTACACTACCTGCCCGCCAGAAAATTGGTTAGAGGGTGGACATCAACCGATAGGGTTTTGTATGGTTGTCATGAAAAGGGGGGCCGGGGGAGTAAGCAGCCAAGCTGGTCGGTAGGTAAGTAAGACGTACCCCTGCAACCGGCATCAAATAATCATCCAGTGCGAAATTCTTAGGCCCCGCCGTAATCCACCTGGCCGCGATGCGGCAGGCAATGGTCAGAATGGCAATGGCCAAGAGGGTAAAGGCCTCAATGACGAAGTCATCAGCCATGAAGACGGGAAAGGAAGAAAAGAAGAAGAGAACAAGAAGAAGGAAAAAAGAAAGTCGTCTGTGGAACCATCCTGAAGCAAGGCAGATCAGATCGGGGGAAGAGAGGGGGGTTTATTATGTATAAGACAGGTTTTATCGGGGGAAGAGATAGAGAGAGGGATTTGTATCATGATCTGTGCTATTTTTTTTTTTCGTTGTTTGCTCTTTGCTTCTATGTATCACTTTTTTCCCCTGGACAACAAACCCAAATGCCGACTCGTCAATGGCCCGGGAAAGACAAACGCAGAACCCGCATACGTAGGAAGGATGGACGGACATGGGCTCCACTTTTCCCCGTCCTGGTACTTCTTGCAGGTTGGTTACTACGTAGCAAGAGTACCTTTTTCTGCAGAACAGAACAGGGAAGTGGACAATAATGGGCAAGGCATAACACACTACAAAATAGACTACTGACCGTTTGGTGCCCCATGTCCGATGAACGGGTGGTCCCCCTGGGGTTATAACAGGGGAAAGCCCGACTGTCCCCGAGAGGGGGCACTGTGACACCAGTGGCCAGTGGCCAGTGGCTAGTAGCCAGGAAGTGGGCCCACGGCATGGCTTGTGGCATGGGGTGGTGTGCCGCCTGTCAGACCGTTGCTTCAGCGGATGAGCCGAGCTGTCATCTTCATTCAATGGTGGAGCCAACGGGCGACATTCACTGTTCGTTAACCCTAAGCGGTGTTAGTGGGTGAATTGACCCCGCCACAACAACACCGGTGCAACCTCCGTCGTTATTGCGATCATCCACTTTCCTTGTTCGTGCAATAATGTGAGGAGGAAGAACGAAGGGAGGGAACAGACGGAGATTTAGAAAAACTGCCACCGATCGGCACGTTATCTGTCAGTCATTTCCCCTCCTTTCCCCCCCCTTGCAGGGCTATTTTTATTCTTTCTTGCTGCCTTCCCTCCCGCCTGTTTTCGTTTCTTTTCTTTTTTGGTACTCCTTCCCATCTGGTGTCTGCTATCATAATGGAGCCAGTTGATGTGACAATCATCGGCGCAGGTAAGGTTGCCTGCATCATGCAGTTGCGCTCATCTTGAGCTCGAACTCATACTGATCCAGCACTCAACAGGTTGGAGCGGCCTAGCTGCCCTCAAGACCTACCACCAAGTCCACCCCAATGCCTCCATCCTCCTCCTCGAGGCCGCCGACACCGTTGGAGGCGTCTGGGCCCAGCACCGCCTGTACAAGGGCCTCAAATCCAACAACATGCGGGGCACCTACGAGTTCAGCGACTTTCCCCTCGACGATTCCTACGGTGTCGCGCCGGGCGAGCATCTCCCCGGAGCGGTGATCCAGAAATACCTCACCGACTTCGCAGAGCACTTTCACCTGACACCACACATCCACCTCCGACGACGCGTTCGCACCATCCAGCACGAAGCCGACACCACCTGGACCTTGACCGTCGACCATCTAGACCCTGAAACCCCCGATGCGATCACCGAAACCTCGACCCTACACACCAGCAAACTCATCCTGGCGACGGGGATCACCTCGCAGCCCTACCTCCCCGACTTCCCCGGCCAGGAGCAGTTCACCCCGCCATTATTCCACATCAAGGACCTCCGCCACCACCAGGACCAGATCTTCGCTCCTCCCCCACCAACCACCTCCCCGCCCGAAGACACAAACACCAGCGAGAGCATCGTGATCTTTGGCGGCACCAAATCCGCCTGGGATGCCGTGTACGCCGCCGCGACAACCACTCCCTACCAAGTGGACTGGATAATCCGGTCGACCGGCCACGGCCCGGTCTGGATGGCGCCGCCGTACGTGACGCCACTAAAGAAATGGCTGGAGAGGCTAGTGACCACGCGGCTGCTGACCTGGTTCAGCCCGTGCATCTGGGGCGCCGCGGGCGACGGCTGCTCCACCGTGCGCTGGCTGCTGCACGGCACCTGGCTCGGCCGAAAGGTCGTGGACGCCTTCTGGTGGGTGCTGGGGAACGACGTGCTCACGCTGAACAACTACGCCGCGCACCCGGAGACCCGCAAGCTGGTGCCCTGGATCAGTCCCTTCTGGATCGCCAGCGGGCTGAGCATCCTCAACTACCCGACGGACTTCTTCGAGCTCGTGCGCAGTGGGCGCGTGCGGGTGCATGTGGACGAGGTGGCGAACCTGTCGGACCAGACCGTGGCGCTGGGGTCGGGCCGGCGGATTGAGCAGGTCCGCGCGGTGGTCTGCGCGACCGGGTGGAAGGCCAAGCCGGAGATCCAGTTTGTGCCGGCCGCCCTGGAGCAGGAATTGGGGTTGCCCGAGGCAGAGGACTGCGTGCCCCGCGAGGTGGTGCGGTTGGCCGACAACGAGATCCGAAGACGGTTCCCCCGCCTCCAGCATCCGCCCGCCATGGTTAAGGGATACAAGCCCCTCGCGGACGATGCGCCGGCCGCCGTGGGCCATCCCCTGCGCTTGACCCGGTTCATGGTCCCCGTGGGCGAACTGGGCAAGGAACGCTCGATCGCGTGCCTGGGCCTGACGATGACGATCAACACGGCGATGGTGGCGCAGGCGCAGGCGCTGTGGGTGGCGGCGTGGATGGGCGAGAAGCTGAACCTGAAGAGTCAAGAGCGGTGTCCCGACCCAGCCCGAAAGGCCCTGCAATTGCAGTCTTCTTCCGATGTGGATGCGGATCTGGTCTGGGAGACGACGCTGCATAGTCAGTTCGGCGTGCATCGCTATCCTGGCGGGTTTGGGCGCAGGAATCCGGATTTCGTGTTCGATGCGTTGCCGTACGTTGATCTGCTGTTGCGGGACTTGGGGCTGGATTATCGGAGGAAGGGCACGTCGCTGAAATGGCTGGAACCGTATGGGATGGAGGATTATCGGGGGTTGGTGGAAGAGTGGATGGTGGATTGATTTGGTGATGATGGAAGAACGAATGTAAGCAGACTGGGTCGTTTACAAAAATAGCAGCAAAGGTTTTCAAGCTTGCCTAATTCCCTGCACTGCCTACCTGGTACTCTTCCCAGGCTCCACTACCAACATAGCCCTAACTCATTCTCCCTGGCGGACATACCTGCCTCCACCTCACAGATCAAACTCCTCAAAGACAGCCACTCCCCCGTTCACCTTCTGCCCCAGCACCTCCCCATCGACCGTCCCGGTCCACCGGAAGAAATGCTGCCCATCGCCCGCCACCTCTCGCGTCCCCAGCATCGTCACCCTCACCCCCCTCATCACCACCTCGACCGCGAACCCCGACGCGGCGACATGGCCGACCCGCTGCACGCTGACAATTCCGGCCTCACAGCCGCTCAAGACCGTCACCCCATCTTTGAGGACAGATGCGCTGGCCACGGGGATTGTCGAGTTGAGCGGCGTCTCCTGGAACCAGACCAGCGAGTAGGGGCCGACGTGGGCGTGGCCCCAGAACCACTTCTTGACGAGCGAGTGGAAGGGGCGTTCCGACCAGTTCTGCGCTGCTTTAGCACTGGACTGTATAAAGAGGGAGTGGGCAATACCTTATCATGATACCCATACCCCTCGAACCTGACCTCCTCTCCATCGACGATCAGGTCGACGGTGGCCTTCGCATGCGGCACGATATTCACCCAGCCCACCGACCCGAGTCTCAGCGAGGGATCAAAGCGTTGGGATGTAGTGCAGGGCGTTCGGGGGGAGGTAGCCTGAGTGTCCGCGTCAGCTTGCCCTATACCACCCAACCCAGACCCAGCAAGAAAGCAACAGCAGAAGGGAACCAACATTCTCCAACCTCAACCGCCCACTAACCCTGCTGCCCTCCCACCCGACCCAAACATCCAGGTTGGGGCCTGCCGCAGCACCAGCAGCACCAGCCGCCGCCGTCGACCTAGCAAAAAACCCCCGACTCGCATCGCCATCCTCACGCACAACCACCCTCTTGCTCTTCCCCCATTTACTCTTACCCTTGCCATTGCTCTTCCCCTTCCCCCTCCCCTTCCCCCTCCCCTTCCCCCTCCCCTTCCCCCTCCCCATGCCCTCCCCGACAAACCCAGGATACCCCCCGGAAGAAGCAACCCACCCGCCCAACCCCTCCCAGAACCCCACATTCCACCCACCACCATCCCCCAACACAATCCCCTCACTCTCCTCCCCGGCGACGCCAATCTCACTGACCACCCGCCCATTCCCGGCCACCGGACGGTTGCCCATGGCCATCAGATCGCCGGGCTCCTCCTGATCGCCTTTATCCCCTTTATCGCCCTTATCACCGCGGTCCTTCCCCCCATCCCCACCCCGATCCCCAGGGGAAGCAGGGGCATCCGGCAAACTCACATAAACATAACTCCACACCACGGAGCTCCCATTCCGGGGCGCCATGGGGAACGCGGCGGGACTGCTGGTGAAGAAGGTGATGACGGCGGAGAGGTTGGGGTTGTGGGCGGCGACGGCGTCGAAGTACCACCATTCGAAGGCGGAGGCGTTGACGGCTGAGAGTTTGGGGGCGGAGAGCTCGGAGAGGTAAGGGTTTGGGGTGTTGTAGGTGGCGGTGATGGGGGTGTTTGGGGGGGCGGGGAGGGCGGGGATGGGGGAGATGTATTGGGTTTGGACTTCGGGGGAGAGGAGGAGGCATAAAAGTAGGGAGAGGGAGGTGAGGAGGACTGGGGGGGTGGAGATGGGCATTTTCAATGTCATTTTTTGCTGGTTATTCTTGTAGTAGATTTGTTTGGGGGTTATGGGTGTTGTTGGGTATGGAGAACGGCATATATTGATTGACTCAGGTTCAGAAGATGGTGGGGGGTTTATTAGGGCTGGAGAGTGAAGGAGATGCGATTGCAGCTTCAGGGTACGAACACAGCCAAGTGTCGCGGAGAAACCTATACGGATCTACTTTGGCCGAGTCGAGTCGCACCACCACCACCACCACACACTCGATGCTGTTGTCCGTGTTCCACACATCAGCACGGTAGACGACAAGGAAGCATGGGCAATTGTACAAGGACTTGGGGTCAAACTCTCATATCTCCATATCCCAAACAGCAAGGCCAACGCTCCGAACTACCGAAACAAAGAAAATCGCTCTACTTACATACCACATACGTATACACAACAACAGAACGACAAACTAAACCCATCGCTGATGCCAAACCCAACAGACAAATCCCGTCCCAGTCCCCGGCCCGCAATGAAACTAGATACAAGACAAGATAAACGCTGCGGCCTTAACACTTATAAACAATTCTCACAACGCCGTAAACATGCAATGTTTCTCCGTTTGCCTGCCCCTCAGGCTTGTCCATTGGAGTCGTCGCTGCGATCCTCCTCCTTGACCGTTGGCGGTCGTGTCGTATTCGACTCGGAATCGCCCTTTCCGCACCCTTTGACAAGCATATGTCGCTATGAAGATTTTATCAGCATACACTGTAAACTAAAGATAAGATCCGAGGAAAAGCATACCTTCAGAGCATCCTTGCGGGAGAAACTCTTGTCGCAGTGGTTGCAAGGAAAAGGCTTGACCGACAGATGAATCCGCTTATGTCGTTTCAGGTCGTGGTTGCGGTTGAAGCTCTGGGGGCATTGATCGCACTTGAACGGTCGGTCGTTGGCGGGGCCGGGCCCTCCATGGCCCGGTGGCGGCAGGTGGCCGCCATACATCCGCTGCATGTGCGCCTCGAACCCACTGTTGAAAGTGTGGGGCATCAGCGAATTGGGCGCCGTCAGGGACATCTGGGCGTTCGGGTTGTGCAGGTTTGTCCACACCGGCCCGCTCGACCCAGGGAGGGTATATGACGGCCAGGGCTGGCGTTGGTAGTTCAGGTGATGCGCCGGGTGGGGGTTCGACGCGACCCGGCCGGGGGGTTGCATGCTCATCCCGGTGGGGCCGTAGGGGGAATAGCTGCCCGGCGGACTGGCCAGCTGCTGAACCGTGCTGTAGGCGGGCGCGGACGAGGACTTGACCATGTAGGGATCGTTCGAGGGGAGCGGCTGCGGAGAGGGCACGGGCGGGAGACCGTGCTGTGCAGAGAGCACGGCATGCGTGAGCGCGTGCGGGGGCTGTTGCGCGGCAGTGACAGGGATCGGTTGTTGGAACGGAGGCAGCTGGTTCATCTCGTACCCTTGCGGTATGGAGTCCGCTCCCGTAGGCGAGGTGACCGCGTTGCGACTAATCGGATTATTATTTCCGGGCGGCGAGAACGTGTCGCGACTCGCATAGGGGCTCAAACTCGACGTCCACGAGGGGCGCGCCGCCGCTGCGGCGCCCGACGCACTGCCATACGAGTTCTGGGTGGGCCAGAACGGTCCCAGGTCGGGCGTGGCTGGTACGGATGGGATTATCCCCGCGGTCGTCTGGTGCGCAGTGGTGACGGGGGTGGTTTCGCCCGATTGACTCGTCGCCGGTGGGGTCAAGAGGTTGCTGACGCTGGGGTTGAGGGCCGAGGGATTGGGGAGTTGCGTGTATTTCAGAGCGCCGGGAAACTGTCGGCTGGGGAGCTCCATGCTGGGCAGCGGGGGAGCGCCCGGGCGACGGGTGTTCAACGGCGGGGGAGCCGACAGCGCTTCGAGAGAGGGCCCCATGCCGGGGGCGGGAATAGCAAGGGCAGCCATGTTCGCGCTGGTATCACGAGGGTAGCCGGTAGACGGGAACAGGTCGACCACGTTCAACGGAGCGTTGGTCAGAGTCGAGGGCGAAGGTCCTTGGGGAAAAGCAACGGTTTCGCTTCCAAGAGTCCAATATCGACTGCCAGCGAGGCCTCCAGAGATGTCCGGAGGATCCAGGAGGGGCGATGGGATCGCCACAAGCGATCTCGTGGGGCAGTCGGGATGAGAGAGATCGCGCACGGTCAATCCGTTGTCACGCTCGTCACGGTTGTCCGGTCTCAAGGCGATGCTTGGTGAACCACTTGCGCTCAGTTGGGAGTCATATCCCAGCAGGAGGGAGCAAATGAGGAATCAAGGCAAATCAAGCCACCCGTCGCTTGGTCGTACAAAGGCGCCAAACCAGTCGCCAGCAAGTTCTTGGAAAGGTGACGATTAGACACTCACGCACATGGTGTGAATCAATGAAGATCAGATGAAGTGACAGATCGGACCGAGGCGTGGTCAAGACGAGGCAGGCGATGTGCGGCTAGATGCGACCCTCAGGTCAACACTGACGTACCGTGGAATGACGAAAGGCTAAGTGCGAGTGCGGAGGTGAGTCAACGAGGCGCAGGGAAAGGGTCACACAATATGGGTAATGATGATGTTAATGTTGATGTTGGAGGGGGAGTGGCGTGGGAAAAGAGTAGAGGGGATGATCAAGATGGTGAGATGGTGAGGTGGTGAGATGAGGATGATTAGTAGTAGTGGGAGGAGTAATAATAGTGTGTAATGTGTAGTGTGTAGTGTGTGCGCAGTGGAAGAGGGAAAAGTAGTAGTAGAAGAAGATAAGGTGGAGATAAATGATGATTCGGTGCTGCGGCTGGCCGGTCCGGGGCCTCTTTTGATTTTATTTATTCTGGGAACGGGTGAAGATTTTAGTAGACTAGGTAGACTAACCAAAGGGAAGGTGCAAAAAGTCGATGAATGATTGATTGCTGGTCGGGATGGGCAGAGACCTTCGCAGGCCCAAACAAGCCGGGAATGAAGACGTATCCAGACCAGTCCAAAGCCGGGTCTGGCCAGCGCGGGGGGGGAGGAGGAAAGAGAAAGAGAGCGAAGAGAGAAGAGGGAGGGGAACAAAAGAGAAGAATTAGGGAAACCCCGAAAACCAAAAAAAAATAAAATTGTCAGGAAATGTCAGGAAAAAAATATAACGAGGAAAGGGAAAATAGAAACCAGACAAAACCAAGACAGACAGACAGACGACAGGCGACAGACACAGAGAGAGAGAGAATGAGTGCGAGGTGAGCAAAGAGCAAAGAGCACAGAGCAAAGAGATAGCCAAGAAAGGAAAACGATGGTATTTTTTCTGGGTTTTCCCCGGTCAGGAAATATTACCAGGGAGAAATTACCCACCCAAAATCAGCTAGACTGTCAGGAATATTAGACGAGGAAGTCCAAGGAGAAAATTAGGCAAAGTTCAGGGAAAACGCTGGACATGAAGGAAAAGGCTGGAATGCTTCTGCAATGAACGGTTTCTTCAGGGCGAGAATTCGACTTCTATAGCAGGAGTCCCCTAGACCAGGAAAAGGTAAACACAAGTGGAGGAAGAGAAGTTAGAGGAGGAAAGGAAAACAATCCAAAGAGGAAGCTCAATCAACCATGGATGAAACTGCTGCTGCTGCTGCTGCTGCTGCTGCAGTAGTTCAACAGCAGCAAAGGATAATTTAGTTTAGGGTACTCCGTGCTCCGTACAATCAGTCCACTCCGTAGAAGAAAAGTGAGTGAATGTCGGGTTGCAATACCTAATCTGGGGAATCACTGCTCCTGCAGTCCGGTACGGTATGTACAGTCTGTACAGTCTGTACGGTATGATACATGTCAGCAGGTGGTGTGCTGTATGTGGTGTATTGTCTGGCACGGCTGGGACTGGATCTGAACCAGGTGAGCGAGTCAATGTCTAGACAATCCAACCATTCATTCTTTGCAGTTATTTCCCTCTGTCTAACCGAGAATATTCTGAGAGGAACAACAGAGAGAATGAGAGCAATAGAGAATGAGACAATAAGATCCTGATTGAGAACAACAGCGACATCCAACAGACAGTCAGTCAGTCAGTCAGTCCATCCGTCAGACAGTCTTACCCATCGCCCATGGATCGCAATGCTCGTTTCCCCACCCACCCTTTTTTTTCCTTCCCAGACTAACCAAGGTAACCGAGAAAAAAAGGAGACTAAAGGAGACTTGAAGGCACTAAAGACACTAAAGACACTAAACGACCAGGACGACTGATCAACGGCAACGTGGTTGACAGGGCTCTGGTACCAGACCAGACGCCCGAAAAGGGTTTCCACCTTCTCGGCTCTTCCCATTCCCATCCATCCTCTTGTCTTCCTAGTTCCTTCGTTCGTTTGTTCTTCGGTCCTGTTCTTCCTCCGCTGTGGCCACCCCTAGAGGCCTGCTTAAGTTAAGTTAAATGCTAAGCCTAACCGACCACCACATGATTGTGTTCCACAGCACACGACGTAGGGATGGAGGGGTAGGCTCGAATGACTAGACTACTATCTCTTGTTCTTGTATAGTTGTTGTCATCAGCTGAGAATCATCTCCATCCTCAAATTGACTCTGTCCCAACCAGCAACCAGCAACCAGCAACTCAACAGCGTCGAATCGGCTAGACCTCCCATCTGCAGCGTGGTCCTGACCGAATTGGTAAAGAATCATAAGCCTGAAAATTTTACAGAAACACTATCAAAAGAATGATAAGAATAATAATTCCGGACCAGAGATGAGGAATCTCAAACCCGGTTCACATCCCCCCCTCCCGCCTCCCCCTACTCCCCTCTTCATGGGGGAACCCTACTTTCCTACCGTACTTCCTACTCACGTACTACTGTACCTATACCTACACAATAGGCTCGTACCTGTGTTGAGGTGATTGCCCCTTCAAGTAACCACTCCCTCTTTCTCCTCCTTCTCGGGAAGTAAATTACTCAGCCTGGATGGAGCCTGGAGGCCAGAGTCACTTCAGTCAGGCTGCTCGCGCATCCCTATGCACGCGGAATGGCTGGAATGATAATCATCCTATTCGGCAAGGTACTTTTTTTTTCCCCTGTTCCCCCATGACCCTCTTCTCTATCGCTCGACGGTCGTTCTATTCTTACTTTCTATTGATTTTTGGCACTACTGAAGCATCTTCCCTGTCGACTGAGCTTGGTCAGATAGGCATGTGGAGCGCAGTTCGATGATCGGCCAGCCCGACCCCAGCAGGAATCAGCCCTCTGGTTCTTTTCTGTTTCCCTGTTTGGTGGACTTTGGCTTTAAGCTTAGCAGACGGGGAAGGGAAGAGGGGGCGGCCACGACGATCGATCAGAAGTCAGAATCTCACAGGGAGGAAGGGGGAGGGGGGCACAGGAGATTTGCACGTCACTTGGTTCATTCATCCTTTCCCCACGATACTACAACTGTCATGACGCCGACACAACCACTCCTTGAACAACAGAGGGATTGTCAGACGTTATCCTAGTCGCAGCCAGGATTTCCCCAAACACCCGGGGATGGCTACTAAACCGGGTAGAGAGAGCAAAGGTGTTCCCTCCAGTCCGATGGTCACCGGAAATGCGATTAAACCCCGCGGGCGCAAATCAGATGCAGCGATCGTATCATCACGATAAAAAAGTGGTCTTGGCTTTGGAGGACTCGGCGCGACGAAAAAGGGGCAAGCAAGCGATCTGCTGCTCCTTGCGTCGTGGAATGCATGACAGATGCTGGGCCGGTGTGGTCGTCATGCTATTTAGTTACCGCTGAGTCTAACGCGGGGCGGGGCGAGTCACTCTGGCTACGGAGTACTCCAGGATAATCATGGACCGGTCATTGGTGATTTTGATTGAAGAATTATCGTTTCGGTCGAAGAGGAAGGAGGAGAGGGAGAATCTTGCCATAATCAATCACAATAAAGGATGATGAGTGGATGATGATGATGATGATGTTAGTGGTGAGTTACCAGTCAGATGAAAAATTGGACTGTAACTGTGTCTGGTCAGTTCCCCCTTCTTAGTTAGCGGTCGGTGGTTGACACGCCGGAAAATAAACACGACTTTTTGACGGAAGAGACCCTCCCCGATCCACTCCCCATCGAAGCTTCGATGGCCACTCCGATCCGGTGGAATCATTAATATGGTTGTGATATGTTCCTAGTTACGGAGTACTATGTATAACTATACCTACATTAGTACTGACTATAACCTTGTAGACTGCGTTATGATCATTCTATCTTCCCTCTTCCCCCTTCCCCTGATGTCGATGATATTTCGACTCCCAGGTAAGGATTGCACTGACAGGGCCTGCACGGACAGCCAGCAGAACAAAGAACCTCATTCCCCGTCCCAGCTGTCCAAGGCAAACAACGGTCCCTGGTCCGCCTGGGAGACTCTCCCATTCCAGTGCTAGCCGAGCTCTTCCCCGACCGACCAACCGACCAACCGCCCGCGGGCCCTCTCCCTCCATCATCCATGCATGTATCTCACAGTCACCTGTGAGTGGCACTTACCCTCACCAAGCTCCCCTAATACAAAGTGCTTCCATTTAAGTGACAATCAAGACCCTGGTTGGGCGGGTGGACAGACCACTTGATGTGAGTGAGATTCCAATTCACTCCCTCCCATTCCTCCGAGAGATTAATCATTGCACCATCCGTCTGCTGCTGCTGCTGCTGCACCATAACCAACTCCTTTGGGATGCAGCATGCAGAACCCTCTTCAATTAGGGCCAATAACATGTAGGGACCCTCTGTTCCCGATCGGGGATACGGCCATTGCACCTGCACGCGTCCGCTGGGAAAAAAAATAGAGAGTAGGGCAGATCGAAGCGACTGGCAGGGGACGAGCAGTAAAGTTGCTCGGATCCTGGACCATGGATGAGCTGGGGTGGAGAAGGGGGGGGGGAGGGACCAACTGGTGGTGGCGATTGGTGGATGGCTCGTGTTTTCGCATACAGCCATACGCTGGCCATACAAAGATTGAATACAGCAATAGTACTCCGTACTAACTGGCCATCACCCTCGGGCGTCAGGGCCAACACTTAACAACACTTAACCCACTTTAGTCTAACCCCGATCGGGTCTAATGCCGGTCAACTGCTGCAGCCCGCACATGCCGAGACTTTCCCGCCTGGTCATCTTGCAGTGGTTTTCGATAAGTGATTGGCTCGTCTAGCACCACCTCCCAGTTGGAATCTACGATTCAACCGAGACGCCCAGTGGATATCCATGATTTCGCTATTCTAGTCTATATTGATCGTTTCTCTCCCTCCACCCACCTCGCTTTCCCCGTTTTGTTGGTTTCGGCCGTTCTTCGTGTTGTTTAGGTATTCTTTGCTCTTCCCTAAGCTTCTTTGGATCAAACGGCTGGTGTTGGTAACTTTGGTGCATATTTTCGCCAATCGAATTAACCTGAACTGCTGAACTAACCATCCTTATCAATCGTTCCCACTTTTCTTGTCGCTGGCGAAAGGGGTGGGGGAGAGAAGTGATGGACGGACAGAGGCATCGGCCAGACCCCGGTGGATTTTCGAGCCACCCCCTTGGGATATGCTGCAGTAGCCACTATTGGCCGGGCAGGCCCGCGGTTTGGCTGCATTGGATCCAGCCTAAAGTAGGCTTAGCTGCTTGCCATCTGGTCCTCTCTGTGTCTTTGTGGCATTGTGCCCATCAACAAGCAATAATTTACTCCGTAGATAGTCCAGTGTGGCTGATTCCCCCCGGGGGGAGGGCGGAGTGCCCGCCGTAGCAGACCGGCCGGAGGGCTAACTTTAATTAACTCTCGCAAGTCACAAGCCAGCCAGCCAGCCAGCCAACGGTCCACCACCAGTTGGCCTCTACCGACGGGAGGCGCGGGCAGCGACCAGGCTGTCGGGTATTGGTGGAGGGTTCGCCTCCGCGGTACCATTACCGCCACCCTTACTACACCAACATCAACCATTGCTGCATCCATCACCAGCACCACCACCACTACTAGTACTAGACTACTCCGTTTTAGGGTATCATCGCTTCCCCTCTTCTGCCCCCCACTGCAGTGCAAGATGGCAGATGCCTGTCCGAGGCTCATCACTCCACATTGGCATGTGTTTCCCCAGCATTTCTCCCATCCCCTGCACAGTGAGCACGGCTGCTGGTTGGATGACAAAGGTCCCTTTTCCCTCCATTCCCCCTCCCGACTGAGGCAAACATGACAGGACCGGAGCACGGATGATCTCCTCCCCACCGGAATTACAGGTGATGATTACACCACTACCACCACCACCACCTGGCAAAAAGTAGCCTTCCAACTCAATTCCGATCGGAGACAATGGTCGAATCTCTCCCATGGCGGGTTGCGATTCGAGAATCTTACTCTTTCCCCCTTCCCCGTCCCCCTCCTCCCCCAGTCTGTGCAGGTCAGGTCCCTGAAAAGGCCCCTCTGCCACCCGTGCTGGCCACCACGGATTGACAGGCACGCCTTCCGACCGTGGAGAACGGTTAACGGGTCGGAATAACTTGAGGATCGTTGGTGCAGGGCGGATGTTTCACTAGGTTATCTGTTGCTGCTGCTGCTGCTGCTGCTGCTGCTGTTGCTGCTTTATTGTTCGTCTTGGCTCGCTTAGATCGATAGACCAAACGCACTCTTTCTCCTTTCTGCTCTTCGTCCCCAGCTTGCAGATACGATCCCTACAGGAAACCCTCACCTACACCACACCACATTCCTCAAGCCTAACCACCTTACCTCCCCTTCCTTTCATCCTGCAATATTGCGCATATCCTTTCCGAACTCAAAGGCTAGACTTCTCATGCCGGAAAGTGACAGATAAGAATCATACGACAAACCACACAGCAGATCAAGAGAGACAGGGAGAGAAAGGGGTCCGGTCGCCCGACACACACCCTCCTCGCTTACTGTATGTGTATGCTGTCCGTACACAGCCCAGGGCAGATGCTTATTACAGTACATCAAGGCCTAGACTAGCCCAGATGATCGGCCTGCAGCGTGCGGCAGAGGCGTGTCTGGATACCTCGTACGGGGGAGGAGGATGAACACACCCAACAGCCTTTTAGCCTTTCATCGGAGCCGAACGGCGCGCGTGAGTGGCTTCATTGTCATCTACACTAACCTCAGTTGCTATCTCGTGGTCCACGTCTCGGCTGCCCCTGCCTGTAGACGACATGTACTCCGTACTACATCGACACTACTACCTCTTGCACCTTTGCTGTATCTTTGCTAGGTACCTACCACTACTGTAGCTCCCAAGAGAGGCCTTCTAATGGGGCACGCATCTATTGCGGCTTCTATGTAGTGTAGGTATAGTCCTTCATGAGTTTATCCCAGGCCGACGGCTCTTTGTCTAGTCCCGTTAGCCACCCCCGCTCTGATCAACAAAGAGAAAGTAACTCAACTGTGAAATACTCTTGACTTAGGATGTAGAGCTCGCGATGTAGAGTCCCTCCCAGATCAACTCTCGCTGCTGCTAACTTTCAACCCTAACTGCTGATCACTCTATATGTGCTTCCTTCCACCTAGTGTCAGTAAAACCAGAGATAAGGAATTTCAGAGTGGAACTGCGAGCCAAGTAACGTATAGGTTTCTAGTGTAGGACTATCATCATGGCGAGCTCATCCCAACTATACCCTGATCCGCCTTCCTCCGCTTTGGCTGAGACTGAAGCTAAAAGACTACTCCTTGCTATGGGGCCTTGTGGAGTGAAAGGCTGCCAGTGCGCCTCCGGAGAAAGCACATCCAATCTGCATCGCCTTCCCAGCAAAGCAAAGTGTAACATATGCTCACATCCCCTAAGCAAGCATGACAGCTATGGTTCGTTTTGCTCGTGTTTTCATCCAAGCTATATCATTGATTTAATCGCCAGGTTCTTCCGGCTCTCGACTTCCCGGTGGCGCAGATCACTGAGCCCCAAGGTGCGTACGTACCGTTCTGATGTGGGAAGGGGAACCTGTCTTTGACCTTTTGCACCTGTGCCAACGTGGACTGCTAGGCGACCTCACTTCGTCCATGAATTGATCACTCGCTTGGACCGCTACTGCCTGATTCGAGTGAACGGGACCCCTGCCTCCGGGAAGACCACGATGATGAATCTCGTCGCCAACGAGTTGCTCGTTGCGCCACCCGACCACTCCGATCTATATCCGGGACGACTAGGAAGAGGCAAGGGTCGAGAAAGCCGGCGGCTGGACCCTTTATCTGAAAGCACTGGTCGGGGTCCCCGGACGTTCGCTCCGGAATCATCCGTGTTACATCCTGGTGGACGAGGCACACGAATCATACTGGGACAAGCAGCTATGGGGTGCGCTCTTCAAGTCCTGCGGGCCCGGCGACGCGGCGAGGATCGTCCTGTTCACCCGCTACGGCACGACCGAAGGCTATGACCATCAGCCGGAGAAGGTCTTTCAAGACCCCAATGACCTTCCTTCCGCACCAGCAGATATCACTCCGGCCGGAGGCGATGGACCCAGAGTGGAAGCCGATTGGCTTGCTGCTTGAGGAGAGCGAAGCCAACGACATCCTCCCACAGTGTCTGCCCACCGTGATTCCAAATAGTGAGAAGCTCTTGATGGTCGCGAGCTGGTGGGGGAGGGATGGCCTGCATGCCCTCGCTAACCGGTCTTTCCCAAATAGATAGAAGCTCCAAAAACCGATCCAGAGCCGTCGCCCCCTCGACTGGAAAACCGCATGCGACGGGCTTTTCAGTGATGGTCTGCTGTTCTTCGAGCATATCAGGACCACCATCTTCTCCCGAGGCTTACCGCAACTGAAGGTGATGCAAAAGTCCGCTTACGCGACGGTTATCAAGCATGCCGTTGCTTGCGACGGAACGAGCCGGTCGAGCTTTCCCAGCGATTCGGATGAAGAGAGGGCGCTCGAGGATATCTGGAGACACGGATGGCTCCATGCAGAGCAGATGAAGGGAGGAGAGACAGAGGAGAGACATACTACATGTTCCCCACACAAATTCATCGGTGGTAACTTACTTCACTCCTGGCCGATGACTGTAAAGCTTGCTTAAGAGTATCGCCAGATCTTGCTGGGGCTGATCAAGGTGGCGTGGTTCTCCTACCTAGGTACTGCCAGTTCCTCTTCAAGCCAAACAATCCCCGGAAAGAACTCGTCTATCAGTCCCCCCTCGAGATGGCGGTCGACGCGATCCGCAGATTCCACCCCGACCAGCTCTCAGATATTCCTGATCTGCCGATTGAAGACCAGTATCAGCAGGAGTTCTACCGCTGCCTCTTCCCACTGCTCATCGAACGCCACATCACCGTCGCCCCGGAGTATCTGATCAAGACGGGGATCCGGAGCGGGCGGATCGATTTCCTGGTGCCTCAGAAGCAGTGGGGGGTGGAACTGCTTCGCAGCGGCGACCGGATCCAGCAGCATATGCAACGCTTCAAAACCAAGGGGCCGTACTTCCCCCTGCTGAGGGAGAAGCTGATCCAGGAATATATTGTTCTGAATTTCACCCGAACACCACCGCGGAAAAGCTATCCAGGTAAAACATCTCTGCAGTAATCCTTCATACTCAATACTCAGGGTTTGCATTGGTTTCCTTTCTATGGTTCTAGCATATCGCGGTCATCTGTATCACATTGTCTTCTCGGAAGATTTTCGAAGTGTCCGCGTCGTCGACGCCTCCGATCTGAGCGAAGTGATCGCCTTCGTTCTGGGCTAAGAACGCACTCTTTCTTTTTTGTTTTCTTCTTTCGCTAGAGCAACTTTATGTCTAGCATAGATTGAAGATATTGTTCTCTTGTGGGGGGAAGAGATGGAGCTTGCCCTAGGGGGTTGGTTTCTCTCCAGAAATAATGCATAATGCAGGCATACACACACTTGTTACTGGTTTCGCTGTAGATAGTTTATGAAGCACAACAGAACACATTGTTCTGATCCACCATGTTTTGATTTCCAATGCAGGTGGTTCTGGTGATTAGTATATATATATATACCATAAGAGGGCACTTCTCCAAAGCACGACACACCTACGAGCACAGGGGGGCCAACTTGATCACGGGGAGGGTGGAATGGTCGGTTGTTGAACAATGTATCTACTGTACTCAAACACTTAAGTTATACGCAAGTATCTGGTGTGATTTGTTAGGATAGATAGGTAGGTAGTACCCTTCTTTGTTTCGCATTGTACGGAGTATACGGAGGAGGTATGTACCTAGTACCCGTGACTGGTTCCCGCCTGGTAGACACCGCAACCGGGCCACTAAGCTAGAGTTTTGATGGGGGACACTACGAATGGGTGCGGTGCTGTGCTGCTGCAGAGCCGAGCAGAGCAGAGCAAAGCCCTTTCTGGACTGTCCGTGTGACCCGGCCTCAGCTCCAGGCTGACTTTCCAAGTTACCATACAGCCTAGGCTGGTAATTCATGGACTGTAACATTGAATGAATGAATGGTATTGATTCATCCTCCCCGCCCTCCCTCCCTCAACCCCAAACCAAAATCCGAGGACCGTTCTCTGCACTCACTCGGCTAAACTTGACCTGACACTCACTCACTCATCCCCTCACTACCTACTGGATACGAGTGACCCCAGTAAAAGAGAAACTAATCCCCAGGGAATAGATTTACCCCTTAATCTCAACTCGAGAACAAGAAAACCTCACCGCATCAGAGATATGCTGCCGTCCTCGCCCTGGGAAATCCCTCCAAGGTTCGGTCCCCCTCATGTAATAGCGACGCGAGTGGGAAAAAAACAAACCCATCACATGACAGGAATGTCTGCAGCGCATCGGTATGGAAGAACGACCTAGACCGGTCCAGACCGTAGTGGGGTTGGGGGACTCCGTACAGTACCGGGAGTAAGAGCTGGGGGGCAGACAGACAGACAGATGCATTGATGCGGTGCAGTGCGCAGGCGGCCGACCGCAAGGCAAAAAGCCTTTTTTTTTTTCTCTTTTCCCTCTCTTTTTTGATTTTAACTTTTTGGTTTGGTTTGGTTTGGTTTCTGGTTCGGTCTTTTTTTTTTTTTTTTGTTTTTGTTTTTTTTGATTTTCTGGGGTTGACGGGAATGGAGCAGGGCGGCGTTCGCCGTGGCGCGGTGGGTGTGTAGCTTATCTGTTGATGGTTTGGGGTTGGGTGCAGAAATCAGGGATTCGATTTATCTGACCTACGGAAGACCACTACTTACTTACTAACCTGGATGATTTGTTTGGGTGTGGTTACAGTTGTTAAGTCATAGCATGTGAACAACATCTGGAGGCTCTCTCTTTCTGATCTTGATCCATACAATCTGAGGAGCAGTAACAGCAGCACTCACCCGTCAGCTACTATTGCTACTGTTGCTGCTGCTGCTGCTTTCCCTCTCCTGCCTCCCCCTCATCCCCATCCTCAACATAAACATGGTACTTATACCGACTCCCCGCATGATCCGCGCGTAACTCCCTCTGCCCGATGCCATACACCTTCTCGCGCATCGTCACCCCTTCCTCCGGGACGGAATCAGGATACAACCCGCGCCGCCGCAGCTCCGGCACCAACAACTCGACGACATCCTCAAACGTGCCCGGGGTCGTCACATACGCGACGTTGAACCCATCGAGATCGGCCTCGCGCACCCACCGCTCCATCTCATCGGCCACCTGACCGGGATCCCCCACGGCGACGGGGCCCAGCCCCCCGATCGCCGCCTTCTGCGCCACCACGCGCGGCGTCCACCGCGGCACCTCGGGGCTGGTCGTCGTGAACGCATCCAGCATGCTGCGCACCTTGTGCGCCTCCGTACTATCCGCCGCCGTGATGTCCTGATCGATCGGGATCTTGGAGATGTCCACCCCCGTCCACCCGCTGAACAGCACCAGCCCGCCCACCGTCGACGCGTACCGCTGCGCCTCGGCCAGCTTGGCCTGGGCTTCGCGCTCCGTCCGCCCGAGGATCGGCGTGAACGTCCCGAAGAACTTGAGACTGGCCGGGTCGCGCCCCTGCGCCGCGGCCTGCGCGCGGATGGCCGCGATCTTCGGGCGCAGCACGCTGGGCGCGTGCGCCGACACGAAGATCGCCTCCGCGTGCGTGGCCGCGAACTGCGAGCCCGCCGCTGAAGTGCCTGCTTGGAACAGGAAGGGCGTGCGTTGCGGGGACGGGTCCACGATGTGCCGCGTCGACAGCTGGAAGTATTTGCCCTGGTGGTGGATCGTGCGGACCTGGGCTGGGTCGATGTAGCTGTCTTCGGCCGGGTTGGGCGATAGTGCGGTCGGGGACCAGGAGGATTCCCAGAGTCTGTTTACCGGTTTTAGTTAGTCCGGGTTGAGAGGGTAGTCGGGGGTGTGTGGCCTACTTGTATAGCACGCGTAGGTACTCGTCGGCTTGGGCGTAGCGCTCGTCGTGCTCGATGGGAGTGTCGATGCCGATGGCTTTGAAGGCCGCTTTCTTCCACGAGGTCACGATGTTCCAGCCGATGCGCCCGTTGGTCAGGTGGTCGAGGGTGGAGAAGCGTTTCGCGAGGAGGAAGGGCGGCTCGAAGGAGGTGGAGGCCGTGATGCCGAAGGCGAGGTGCTTGGTCACCGCTGCCATGGCGGAGATGGGCTGTTAGGGCTGGTTAGCGTTCAGGGCATCTAATATATAAAGCAGAAGATCTGCATTGGGTGAGGAGAGGTGGGATGTCTCCTCTCAAACAGCCAGTGATCACTCGGTGTAGACGAAGCTGTTCAAGAGGCCGGGGCGGGGCTTCCTCGTCGTTGACATCTCGAGGAAACAGGGGATTCGAGAGGTTTGTCCCTCGGATGTTCAGATCTGAGAATGAAGATGGATGGGAAAGTGGAATAGTGCAAGGATTAGGGTAACTCATTCCTCTCGCATGCATGGCTAACCGACAAAACGAGAGGTTTAGGTCTCCTCGTGTCCGAGAGGAAAGCCAGGCTGGATCATCCGCCACCAAACAGCTGAAAAGAACGTACAATCGTGGGATCCGTCATCGGCCACTGCGCCGCCCGTCGGATACATTCATCCAGACTGCCCTCGTACGTATCATATCCCCCATACGTGTCCGCCAGGAACAAGGCCGTGATGCCCCCGCGCTCCAGCAACTGGGCCAGATCCGTCCAGTACTTTAGCGTGCGCTTCGTCCCCGACCGGTCCTTGGGGTTCTTCCACTGCCCCGGCGACAGGTGGCCGACGGTGGACATGTCGAACGCGTTGAGCAGGATCTGCTTTTTGGGTGCATCGTGGGTAGCGGCGGTGGATGACATGGTGGTTGGCCTTTGCTTTGCGTTCGCCTTTTGGTGTTCAATCGTGAAGGATGAACGGTTTGAGGTACAAGGTATACTCATATATAGCTGGATAGTGTCGATCGCGGCGACGAGCATACCCCTCACGCGCCATCAATCGATCGCATTGCGTGACATCGTCGAGGATGCTCTTCATGAGTTATTGATTTAGCACCGGTTCTCTCTCCGCACTGTAGCAGGAGGATGATTCAACGGAGTAGTTCCGAGATAATGCATGTTGGGAGATTAGCTGGTGTCGTGAGGAGATGGGGTTATGGCGTGCTGGGATTCTCTATCGGTCGAGAGGGATGCTGAGGCTATACGATGTGGATGCTAAAGCTGTATAGTCTAGTATCATTAAGAAACAAAAGTAAGCATGATTAGAAGTGTATTCACTTCCTATTTGATTGAATACAGTCTTGGTCTGTGCGTGCATGGTTAATGATTATATATAGTTGGAGTCCGCGCGGGCATGTGGATAGCTCATGCTGGACGAATGATGGACATGAGAAAAGAAAAGAAGAAAAAAATAAAAATAAAAATAAAAATAAAAACAAAGATAAAAAAAGGAAAGAAAGGAAAAGAAGAAAAAAGGGTTTGCATGAGCAACATATCATTGGAAATCCTATCTTCATGCAGATAGATGCCTCTGGATATTTCGCCCGATATGTAGTTCATAAAATGAACCTGCATTGATCACCTTCGCACTTCATCTTAGGCAGACAATAAACCAGCATTCCCATGGCATTAACACCCCAAATGCGCTGGATACTTCTCACGCCAAATTTATCGACTGCATTGATAACACTTGCACTCGTGTAAACCCTCGTATAGCTCGTACCAAACCCCGATATTGAAGATCTTTGACGGGCGAAACCGGAGAGGTGGGGGACTCGGATGACGTCGGTGGGGAATCCCCTCAATTCGCTTGCTCTCCTGCAACTCTCGCTGCTCGCTCCCTCCATTCCTCCTTTGATTCACAACTACAACCTCGACGATTTTACGTCTGCCTCAATCAGTGCGTCCTCCACCAACACCTCTTCTAATATGTTCACCAGACAGATTCTAACCCACTCTCTACGAAGGTCCATCTCATCGCTGACCAGATCCCCCACAACCACTTACCATCCTCTCCGTACATTCCACTGCTCCACCACCGCCATGTCGGGAGTCAACAAGGCCTGCTGCTCGTGAGCATCATATCTGTCCCGGTCTATCTGCATCAACTGACGAACCAGGATCCCCCCTGTCGTCGCCAAGGGCTACCAGCCCAAGGGTGAATACAAGACCATTGGCGGTTTGAAGACTTGTCCGTATCCCAGCTTTCAAGCTCATCTCCAGCCAGCCAGCCAGCCCAGCTAATCACCAGCAGATGTCACCGGTCCCGAATCCGCCTCCAAGGCCATCCTCGTCATCTACGGTCAGCACATCTTCCCCCTATCATCTCTCTCCACCACATCTAACCGGACACAGACATCTTCGGCTTCTTCGACCAAACCCTCCAAGGCGCCGACATCCTCGCCCACTCCAGCACCCAGAAATACCGGGTATTCATCCCGGATTTCTTCGAAGGCAGCCCCGCCCACATCACCTGGTTCCCTCCGCAGACCGACGACCACAAGCAGAAGCTGGGCCACTTCTTCCAGACCAAAGCCGCGCCGCCCAACAACCTTCCCAAGATCCCGGGGATCGTCTCCGACGCCAACAAACTCGCCTCTTCCGGGAGCTTCGAGTCCTGGTCGATTTTGGGGTACTGCTGGGGCGGCAAGATCGCGACGCTGGCGACGGGTCAGGAGAACTCGATCTTCAAGGCGGCGGTGCAGTGCCACCCGGCCATGCTGGATCCGGAGGACGCCAAGAAGGTGAGCGTGCCGATGGCGGTGTTGGCGTCCAAGGATGAGAAGCCCGAGGACGTGGAGCAGTTCGGCAATAATCTGGGGCAGCCCGGGTATGTGGAGACGTTCCCCACGCAGATTCACGGGTGGATGGCGGCGCGGTCGAACCTGGAGGACGAGGAGGTGAAGAAGGAGTATGAGCGCGGGTATAAGACGGCGCTGGGATTCTTGGAGAAGTATGCTTGATTTAGTTTGTGCTGCACTAGTTTGTACTGCACTAGTTTGATGTGTAATGTTCAAAAGTCAGTGTGATTGTTGAGCAATCGAAACACATTTACTGCTATCCTCATCTAATCGTATCACTACTCCAGTGTTCCCCCTCTTCCAAAAAGAGTAAATAGCTGCTCAGCTCAGCTTGGAAAGCAAGCGGCCACTTTCTGCCCACCCGTCCGAATCCCCACCCAGCCATCCAACCAACCACCACCCACATCCTATCTCACCGCCTTAATCCATTTCATCACGCAGCCTCAACTCCAGGCTGTTGTTCCCTTCCACTCCAATCCATTCTATCACCAACCACCAACCACCAACCACCAACCACCAACCACCAACCACCAACCAAAAAACCATCACAACTCACTCACACATCCCACCCGACCTCTATACCTACACAAGAAACAAGAGCGCAGACTGGACTAAGTCCACGTCGGTGCCACCGCACCGCACCACACATCCAACACAACACACACACACACACACACACACACACACTCCTTCCAGCCAAGGCAACCACACAAAATGCCCGACTCCCCACCACAACAACGACCACGCTCCCGCTCTCGCTCTCCACCCCGCCAGCCCAAGAAGTCCTCCACCGGCGGCTTCCGATGGAAGGAGAAGCGTCGTCCGGAGCGCGGGGACGACGACGACGCCCGAAGGTTGGATCGGGGGTATCGCGCGCGGTCGCCGCGGCGGGAGTACGATTCTCGGGATGATGCTCGAGGGGGTGGGGGTAGGGGTGGGTATGATTCCCGGGATCGACGGGACTACTCCGGTCGAGATGGACGGGATGCGAGAGACCGTGAGCGTGATCGTGATCGGGGGTATCGCGATCGCGAGAGGGATGACCGGTACCGCGACCGGAATCGCGACAGCTACGCACCCCGAGGTCGGGACGACCGCGACCGCGACCGCGACCGACCGGCCGAAAAACCCACCTCCACCGACGACCCCACCAAGAAGGAGAAGAAGGAGACGAAGAAGAAGAAACGGCCGGCGATCCCCTCCGAGCCCATGATCCTGGTGCATGTCAACGATCGGCTGGGCACGAAGGCCACGGTGCCCTGTCTGCCGTCGGATACGGTGGGGGATCTGAAGACGCTGGTGGCGGCGCAGATCGGGCGGGCGCCGCGCGAGATTCTGCTGAAGAGGCAGGGGGAGCGGCCGTTCAAGGATTTTATCAGTCTGGGGGACTATGGGATTACGAATGGGGTGCAGTTGGATTTGGAGATCGGGACGGGGGATTAGATCCCTTCCGGGGTGGGGGTGTTGTATCATCTCATGGTTATTCGGTGGTGGACAGATCAGCTAGAGAATAATCTGATGATGTGCTTCGGGGGTTAGTATCGCCTGCGTGTCCCCCCCGTTGCTGAGATCTTCTCCCAACTCCTCCTCCTGTAGCTGTAGCTGTAGCCGTAGCTGGGTCTCGCGCCACTCGCCCAACCACCCGCCGACGAACCCGATCACCTCGCCTTGGGCTTCCCGCACGCCCCTTGGAGGCACCACCCTCTTCCCCTCCCAGTACTCCTCCGCCCCAAACACCCCGTTCTGATCCCAGTGATGCACCCCGCCCTCCATCCCATCGTAGACCTCCTCCGCCGGCACACTGATGAGAATCATCGGCTCCTCCGCCGTAGAATCCCTCCCCGGCAGCCCCGTCGCGAAGGGGCTCGCCTCCTTCCAGGGATCGGCCAGGCCGCCGATGTGCGCGACCCGGGGATACGAGAACGCGAAGCCGCCGTACCGATTGATGCGGTCCGTGTCCGGCGGGCTGGTGATGCCGTAGGTGGCATTGCACATGTCGACCCAGAAGTCGGGGGTGAGGAGGCGCGAAACGAGCGGCGCGATGTGCGCCGGCACGGTCGAGCCCGGCATGAAGTAGCCCCATTCCGTGCAGACCTGGTAGTTCCAGCTGGTCGAGGCCGTGCGGGGGAGGCGGTTGTCGTCGTCCTCGCCTGCACCTGCCCCTTCACCACCATCTTCCTTCCCAGCGTCCGAAGGAGACGACGCAGAGGAAGAAGGGGGAGAGAAAACCCCCTCCCGCCGTACAAACCCCACCCAATTCACCACCCCCGTCGCCAACTCCTCCACCTCCTCCACCTTCCCATCTCCATCGCCAACCACCTCCCTCACCAACCCCCTCACCCTCGCCCCCACCTCCCCCTCCAACACCTCATCCAAAACAGCAGGCGCAGTGATATTCCCACAAAACCACCCAAACCCGCGCCCCCCAACGCTCGGCTCCCAATTCCGTTCCTGCCACAACCCCAACGGCTCCGCCAACCCGGCCACGAAATTCTCATCGGTGAGATTAGGCGCATTCCCGCCGAACACCTCCTTCAGCACGTCCGCACGGTCTTTTGATTCGGAGGAAGACTCGTTTGCGTTAGAGGAGGCGGATGCTGCCGCCTTCGGCAAGAGAAGCACCCGATCCACCCAGGCGATGAGCGCCTGCTGCGCCGCCACGCATTCCCTGGGCGCGTGCACGCGGATCGGCTCGTAGTACTCCCAGTAATCCTCGATGGCGGCGGTGACGCCGGAGCTGGAGATGGAGGCCCAGAAGAGGTCCGGGTAGGAGTGGCGGAGGAAGGCGACGAAGGCGCCGGCGTAGGAGCCGCCGTAGGCGATCCAGGGGGTCTTGGCCGGGGAGAGGTCGGTGATTCGGGGGATAATGGAGGAGGGGAGGTGGGTGGCCAGGTAGGCGTAGTCGGCGAGGGCTTGTTCGGTGGTTAGGTAGGTCAGGTCGCTGAGGGGGATGGTTTGGTCGTCATCTTGGAAGGTGGTGGTGGTATTGGTGGTGCTGGTGCTGGCAGGGTAACTCGTCCCGTAGTACCGGTGTTCGACGATTAGGGCCACCCCCTGGTAGATCCGCGCGAGTTCGTGGACGATCCCCTGCGATAGGAAGGGGAGGCGGTTCAGCGCGGAGGTCTCGCCCCCGGCGATTATGAAGACGGGGCCGCCGGGTTGGTAGTGGCTGGTGTCGAGGATGTAGCGGAGCGGGAAGGTGAGGTTCGTGGCTGGGTAGCGTGGGGAGGTGGGGAAGTGGTTGAGTGGGGTTGTTAGATTGTGGATTGGGAATTGACTTTGTTCACGGGCCGTTGGGGTGTATTCTTGGTTGTTGAGGTGGGAGTTTAGCCCGCCTAGGGCGAGGGTGGTGGTTGTGTAGTATAGGAGGAGGAAGAGGTTCATTGTTGTTGGTGGTGGTGGTGGTGGTTTGTGGTGGGAGGGGAGAAGATAGGAGGATGGGTTGCGTGCGGGGAAATGCGTTTACTTATACATGATTACTTAAACTGGTTATCAGGTGCTAGCAAGGTATGGTGCTAATCTCCTTGCTTGCTCCGATTGTCTCCGAGTGGGGACGGAGAGGGCTGGAATGTTACAGTTGTTGTTGCAGATACCCTCCATGTTCTCTTGGCTGTTACACGGCTATATTTATCTATAACCGCTTAGGAAGTTACACATTAACTTAATCCTAACTAGAGATGCTCATCGCCCTACAGCTCCACGCGAGGCCCCGTGAAGTTCTTCCGGCCATCCACCACCCACTGGATCAGCGAGATGATCAGGATGATCCCAAATGCAACCACGCAATAATCTACCCCAGTCAGCAGCTGCCAATACACTATGCATCAATCCAGCCAGGGAGCTTACTCATGTTGCTGCCCGTCACGGGCCGGTCCGGGGGAAACACGAACAACACTGTGGTCAGTGCGATATACGAGAGAGAGATCTGGCCCGTTAGCAGGGAACACACCCCCAGTAGCAACCCACTCACCATATCAATCACCCAGCCAATCTTGTTGGGGATCTTCCATTTGCGATCGGGGAGTGTCCGTCGTCCGCGCAGGCAGTTCACCGCGATCGGCATCGCGTACGAGAGATCCAGAAGCACGACTGACGCCGAGACGATGGCGTTGAAAGCCCTTCAATAGTCAGCGCCGCTCATTTGATCACACGGCACGGGAAAACATACGAGCTCGAGCCAAGGTAGATAAAGCCGAAGATAATCACCACGACGGTGGTGAGAATCAACGCGTTCAGTGGGAGTCCGAGGCGGGGATGCACCCGCGCGAAGAACTTGGACGCCGGCAGTCCGCCGTCTCTGCGAGTTCGTCAGTTGCGATCTTCACTCATGGGAGACAAGGCTGCCTACCGTGCAAAAGCAAAGATCATGCGACTGCTGGTCGTCATCACGCTCAGCGTTGCGAACAGCAGACAGATCAGGGGAAGCCTGCATCGGATCCGTTAGCAACACTCTCTGGTAGCAGTGGGCTGCACATACATGAGGAGGCAGATGGCACCGGCGCGGTTGTTGGTCGCGTGGATGAAGATCTGCAGCAGGGGCCCGGCGCTCGAGTTGACCACCTCGTCGATGTCGCCGGCCACGAACAGCAGCACGATGAGGAAGATCGCTCCGGTGAAGGTGCCAATGCCCACGCAGATGACCATGATTTTGGGGCCTTTGATGGACGGTTGCGGGATTTCTGGACGGTCAGTTGGCGCTTAGGAGCTACAGGAGGGCAATCTCACCTTCAATCATGTGGCAGACCGCATCCTGGATCGATTAGTGGTTGATTGACAGACAGTCGATGGGGAAACTCACAAACGCGGTCACTCCGAGTCCACCTTGCAGCAACTGCGTCTGTTAGCTACATCATCATCACAGATCGACGACTGCACTCACACCCAATAGCCAAGCCACACCATCCGGCCCTAGGAATGTTAGCGATGCTTGTAAACATCCAAGCCTCGGACTTACAGCCAGTCTGGTTGATGAAGTTGGTGAACACAAATCTGCAGCAGTTAGTAAGCTAGTCCCAGCGGCCGAGCATCACAGCTTACGAGGCAGAATTATAGTCCGGCGAGGCACAAGCCAGCACGGTAATCGACACCAGCACGAATCCACCAATCGACCAGGTGACTTATCTCATCAGTTCAAGCTCATCCACCCCCAAATAGCTCCCGGTAAACGTACAAGCACCACGGTAGATGATCGGAAGCACCGAGTTCATGAACCCGTTCACCACAAACGCCAGCACCGTGTAGGCAATGTACATGAGGAAGTACTGCCATCGTTGCCACGCGAAATCCTGGGATCGTCAGTCTGCAGCCCATTGCCCCACAGAGAAGAAATGAAAAGACGTACAGGGTAAACCGAGGAAACAATCCCAGCGATCAGCTGACAGGAAAGCAAGGCATTCGTAGCCACCAGCGCAACCTAAACTGTTAGCCTCGCATACACTCTCACATAATAAAGGAGCCTCACCCATCCAGCCACATTGACCCAGCCAGTCACCCAGGATAGAATCGGCACCCAATTCGGCCAGGAAACTGGTGATTCGATGAGAAACAGCGATACAAGCGGGTGACCAGCACCGAAGAATACATACTAGCTGCGCCGTCGTCAGTCAAACAGACACTATAAAGTTCCACGAAAAATAGGGAGGAATGAGAACGCACCAGCCACCCAATGATACTGTCCGCCCGCCGTGGGATACGCCGAGAGGAATTCTGCCAGCGAGATGGCGATGCACAGGTTACATGCTCCGGCGGTTACCAGACCTGGTCGTGTTGCCGTGAGCACAACTGCGTAGATCGACCCGACGGGCAATCCACCCCGGAAAGGAGCCAGGCAGCCAGACAATAACTTACCCCAGACAACACTCACACTGCCCCCAGACGGTAGACTGAGCGATAAACTGGCCGACAGAGCCGTCCACGACTACCCTCTATCATTAGTTCCTCCGTTCTTTCATGCGTGTTGGCTCTTCGGTGATAGCATCGGAAACATACATTCAGCACCGCAAACGCTAAACCCAGCATCGACCTATATCACCCTTCACAATTAGCATTACATTGGCTTTCGTGGTTAGACAATTAGCAAAACCAGGGGCTGACCGCACAGGGTAGAAAAGTTCCGATTCAGCTCGGCCTTATGCCCCATCTGGGCCAACTGGACGTCATCATCCTCATTCTCGAGATGCGGTTGCTTCTTCTCGTCCATCATTGCTGTTGTCATGATTTCGAATAAAGATTGTCAAGAATTGACATCAGCAGAACACCGATTGAAAATTTAGAAGTAGACGTAAGGCGGGTGGTGGGGGGGGGGGAGGAGACAAATAACTTAAATCGCCGAAGGGGGGGGAACTGGTACTTGGTTGGTATCGGCGATTGACACGGCATCAAATCTAAGGATGCATGCGGTATGTCCACCCAGGGTTGCGGGGGAAGCTTATTTTGCTTTGCGGGCCGGGATGAGATGACACAACGAGCCAGACGGTACGCTAAGGCCCATAACCGTTTCAAATTGGTTGGTGCATTCACTTATCTCCTTATATATGATTTCTCCCATGCATGGGGAGACAATGTACGCGGTAGTCATCAGGACGATAGCAGTAGTTAGCATCTTGAGCTGAGGCTAGCAAAGCCCGCGGCAGGCAGAATTCATCGCATGAGGGCTTATCGGGCCAATCAGCGGCTGGGATGTCGTGCCCCGCCTGGACATGCCCGATTGGGGGATCTTTTCGTCTCCGACGGTCTATCTTATGTAGGTGGTTATCTGGGGGTGGTTATTCTGGGGTGTCATCGGTGTTAAGATATATGATCACTAAGGCTGGATAAGATAACTACTGTAATAAAATAAACTAATTATCTGCTGCAGTCAGGGGGATATGTTGTTGCTCATGCAGCCCTAATCCCGGATTCTTGTCCCCGAGCTGTGGGTCGCTTGCCAGCTTCCCGGTTGAACCTGCGATAAGATAAGTGCAATAGCTTGGTGTCCAGTCTTTGCGAACTATCTCCGGTTCAAGGTATAATCCCGTACACGGCACCTCCCAGTATGGTGTCCAGAGTGTCTGTGAGCGCTAGAGATGTTTCAGACGGATGGGCAAAAGGATGTTGGATCCGATAGAGGGTTCTGATTCTGTAGTAGATGCCTCGAAAGGATTGGCATGGTTGCTGAGGCCTACTTGCACTCCGCAAAGCTAGTCCTTACAGGCTATCACGATCATGAGAGAAGCCTTCACTACAAGCATCTTTACTGCCTAAGTACATCCAAGTCTTTCACCACTCTCTCTCGTAGTGAGGATCAAGATCTACCCTAGCGAGTTCGAATCAGTCTTAGCCTCGGATTCGCTGAGTCCGCTACTGGCAGAAAGGGCTCAGCGCCACAGCCGGCCGCAGACTGGCTCGACCATGGAATGTATATGAGATTAGTTTTACCGACGACGACTGAACCACCAGTCGAGACTTCTAGGTCATAGCTTTAGCGGTCTTTATCCGTAGCCTCCCTCGCTACGAATTTCACGACTTGTAAAAATCTCCAAAATCGATTGAAATTCAACCAAAGTCTTCGATCGGAGTTTGAGGTGACGATATTACTTATTGCATGCTACGAGATTATTTTATCCAATTTTTGATGCGATTATCTATTTACTTTGGTGCTGGAACACCATTTGAAATTTATTACAAGTTGTGAAATTCGTGGCGAGGGAGGGTACATACCATAGTATGCTACAATGCCTGAGTAGACTGAATGATGATCAGGAATTTCATCTTCAGTCAAGTAGTTGGGGGAAGAAGGAGTTTATTGACAAAGGCGAGAGAAACCATCCATTAATTCTGTTTGAGATGAAGCATGTTCAGTAAAAGCGTGCACCACACACTCCACGCGGTTAGAGCACCTACCCCCTAAGGAATTGACGCCTCTCGAGAAATAGAAATGCTCAATTCCTGTTTCCGGCATTGGGTGTGTGTATGAGCTGGGAACGCATCAGCGAACGGTATACCCACGAAGCAGATCCCCAAAGTACCAGGATAGAGGCACCTCCTCGATGGGGGCGAGGTGATAGTATATCCAGCCATCATTCTCATCGTTCTGGTAGTACCCGAGACGCCTAACGAACTTGTCATGGTAGGCGTCGGCCTGCTCCTCGGGCCAATCCACCGTGGTTTCGGCGCAGGCGCACTGGAAGCGCAGCCGGTAGTGGCCCGGGGCCAGCGGCGGCGCGGTGGGCGGGAGGTCCTCTGGCCTCCAGAATTGGACAAGATGATGGTCGTCCAAAAAGAAGTAGACTTTCTTTTGCCCTGCTGCGAATCTGTAGAGTTCTATTTTGGTCACGGAGGCTGGTCTGGGCTCTCCATGGGTGTGCTCTCCTTCGCCGAAGAGATGGACTTTGATTGGGTCGGGCTGTGGTTTAGCCTGGTCAACGAGGCCTTCGGTGGTGGGAGACATCTTTGCGAGTCGGAGAGTTGATTCGTGAAGTGGGGAAAAGATGCTGGTGTTGGGGTCTGGGTCTGGGATATGGGTCATTATGAGGGGCAGACATGCTGAAAAAGGCACGGATATTTATCATTCCAGAGGAAGGAGCTGCAAAGACAGCTGTATCATGATCCGCGAACTTAACCGTAAGGCTCGATACGATTCTTTTCATTATACTGATTACTTCCAGTAAGTTCATGATTATTTTGTCGGGCACAAAGAGACAAAGAGGCAAGAGGAGGATGGAGCCAGGACAGGATCGCAGAGAATGAGACAATGGTATCTTACTCCAGGTCAAGAAACCAAGGAATATGATTGACCGTGAACCTGACTTCAGAAAAACGATGCCAGTGAGTGCTCAAGACAAAGGCATCGGGTATCCTTCACTTGTTGCTTATGGAGAAAGAGGAGAGAGGGAGAAGAGCGTCTCCCCACTCGACCAAAAGGAATGTCTGACACTATCTCGCGGATGGCCCTTCTGGAGAGAAAGGCTTGCCAATGCCTGGGGACCAGAGCATACAAGCTTCCATCTTTCCTGCTCTTCCTTCGTCATCGCGCCTCTTGAGAGCTCGTATCCGCCACAGAAAGATATACCGGCCATTCTGCAAGAACGAATTCCCTTAGTGTATGTCCGCTAGGTCCGCTAGATAGGGCTTGGTGCCACAGCCGGGTGGTACGGTACACACATCAAACTTTAGTTCTACCTCCCAAAAGATAATACCAAAGCAAGATGATCAGTTGCTTTTTGGTGAATAGCTTTCACAGCTGTACATCTAGTAATGTCTGGTATACTGCAACACCTGATTGTGATCAGTGAGGGTCGACCTCTTGGCAATGAGTAAAGTACAGGGCGGAGCAGTCCAACCCACTCGGTGGCCGACATAAGAGCTTGGAAGGTATAGAGAAAGTAATCGCTATTGCTATGGGGTAAGGTCTACGATTCGCGGTACTGGAGGCTCTTTCTTACTCCGGGGGAGCCTATAAATCAATCTACAAACTGATACCACCGCAAGTCCCGGCGAGAGTCCCGTGTGGATTGAATAGAGTCTGATAAGAATCGCTATGAAATGCTATATACCCTTTACCCGCCTTCATCTCTGATGACTCAGTTGCAGTGCTACAGTAGTATGCGAAAACTGTATATTGCCATTAGTAGCTTGCAAATGTAAACTGAAACCTCTAAGATACTGACTGTCGGACTTGGCATGGCATTTTTGATAAAGAAGTGACTGAATTGGAAAGGTAAAGTTTATTCGGAAAGACGAGAGAAATCGTCCGATTAAATTTCCTAAGAAGACCCAAACAGTCAAGCAGAAGCACATATTGGTCAGTGGCGGGGCAGCGGGGTGGCCCAAGAGCTGGGAGCCTTTAACTCGCAATTTCTGAAGAGGCGAGCGCTTAAGGTTCTCGGGCCCCCAGACCTGCACAAGGTGGTGGTCGTCTGTGAAGAAACATGTCTCCTCTTGCTCCCCGGCGAACCTAAGGATCTCCTCAACGGTCGGGTCCTCTATGGGCGGACCGTGAGTGTGTTCCCCTTCACCAAAGAGGTAGATTTCTGCCGGAGTGGATTGCGACAGCTGCTGCTGCTGCTACTACTGCTACTGCTGCTTCTCTGTATAGTCAATCGCTTTCTCAGTGTTGTTAGACATTTCCACAGGGTTACAGAGTTTGTTTAAGACAGGCGTTGGGGTTTTAGTATGAGAATTGGTCCTACACTTTGTGCGTGACTTGGTTGACGAAAATAAGCTTGATTGGTAGGACACTGTTTATATACTTTATCAGGGAGGGCCTGAGAGGGCAGCTTGACTCAGTCATGGTTGCTTTCTTTCAGTAAGAGTCTTCGTCATACATCAATAACAGTCGGCTTCCTAATAAATGCCTCCGTCAGAGACAAACAGACAAAAGGTCTCGGTATGAAGCCAAGGCAAAGATTTGCAGGGCGAGGTCTTTGACTTTCCTCCGCCATCTCAGACATAATTATGGACCTGTGCTGTGAACAAAGTAGAACAACAAGACCACTAAGTACCATCTAGACAAGGATATTGTTTATTCTTCTAGTACTTAATAGATATCTCCGTCAGAGACAGACAAACCAAAGCTTAGAGTATGGAGCTAAGTCAAACCTCTGCCGTGAGTAGAAGTAAAACAATGATGGCATTGAGTATAATTGTGGACAAGGACATTGTTTACGCACTCTTTCGGCACTAACTGCTTATGACGTCAGTGCTATGTTGACGTCTGGAGACCTGAGGCACCAAGGTTTCCTTTTTTCCCTCCCTCTCCCCCTCCCATCACCACCGAGGCACTGTTTCTTGCATCCTTCCACCATTCTACCTGCTCTCATCTGCGATTGCAGACTTCCTCGTTGATCCAACAATGAGACATCCCAAATCTCAGCATCTGGTGCATCATGTTCCACCATCTCAACCTTTCTTCAGCTGGAGGGGGGCGGGTCCCGGCGGGATCCCCCCTTTCGTTCCATTCTCTCATCATGCTTAGCATGCTTGGTCTTGCAAAATCAATTCTTCATCATCCTTCGTACCGCACATGCAGAAGGGAAATGCCGTCTAGTTCAGGTCCCAGTCCGGGGCCCCGCACCCCAATTCGGCATAGTAGCCTCAGTCCGGCGCTAAACAACCGGTTTGTGTCGGGCAATTGTCGCCTGCTGTAGAAAAATGGGAAAAACCCCGGCGGCACAAGGCCTCGGTTAGCCCTAGTCCGCGATATCTTCACGATGCTGCCTGCCACCATGCGGGGTACCTGCGACTCGCCTCCAATAACCCCGTCGGGATGAAGTTGTCATTCTGCAGCGTCGCATGATCCGCTGCCAACAATTGGGCATCAGAGGTGGAACAAAATGTTCCGTCCAAATGGCTGGAATTGAGTGTTCCTGCCACCGTGACGCATTGGGATGTTGATGGCCGGGAATCTGCAAGGGACGGGCGTGGTATAAAATCCTTTCCTGTTCCTGGGTTCCTTTCAGGGGCCGCTCAAGCATCTCTCACAGTCTCTCTCCACATACAGTCCTCCAAGATGCCTTCACGACGAACCCTCCTCGGGCTGGCGGCCACGGGCACCCTGGTCAGCGCCGGACCCTGCGACATCTATGCCTCTGGCGGGGCGCCCTGTATCGCTGCGCACAGCACCACTCGTGCCTTGTACAGTGCCTATTCCGGCCCCCTTTACCAAGTCATCCGTGGCTCGGACAGTGCCACCACCGACATCAAGCCCCTCACCGCCGGTGGGGTTGCCAATGCTGCCGCCCAGGACACCTTCTGCTCTGGCACGACCTGCCTGATCTCGATCATCTACGACCAGTCCGGCAGTGGGAACGACCTCACCCAGGCTCCTCCGGGCGGCTTCGATGGACCCGAGTCCAACGGCTACGACAACCTGGCCAGCGCGATCGGCGCCCCCGTCACGTTGAACGGACAGAAGGCGTACGGTGTCTTCGTCTCGCCCGGCACCGGCTACCGCAACAACGACGCCAACGGCACTGCCACCGGCGATGAGGCCGAGGGCATGTACGCCGTCCTAGACGGCACGCACTACAACGATGCCTGCTGCTTCGACTACGGCAACGCCGAGGTCAGCAGCACCGACACGGGCAACGGTCACATGGAAGCCATCTACTATGGCACCAGCACGGCCTGGGGTTATGGGTCGGGCAGTGGCCCGTGGGTCATGGCCGATCTCGAGAACAACCTGTTCTCCGGGCAGGCCGAGGGGCTCAACTCGGCGGACCCGTCGATCTCCTACCGGTTCGTGACGGCGGCCGTCAAGGGCGAGCCCAACCAGTGGGCGATCCGCGGGGGCAACGCGGCCTCGGGCTCGCTGACGAGCTACTACAGCGGCGCGCGGCCCACGGTGAGTGGCTACAACCCGATGAGCAAGGAGGGGGCGATCATCCTGGGAATCGGCGGCGACAACAGCAACGGCGCGCAGGGCACCTTCTACGAGGGGGTGATGACCTCGGGCTACCCGTCGGACGCGACGGAGAACTCGGTGCAGGCCAACATCGTGGCGGCCAAGTACGCGACCACCTCGCTGACCAGCGGGTCGGCGCTGACGGCGGGCTCCTCGATTTCGCTGCGCGTCACGACCACCGGGTACACGACCCGCTACCTCGCCCACAACACCACCAACGTCATCACCTCGGTCGTCTCCTCGTCCAGCTCCTCCACCCTGCAGAAGCAGGCCAGCTGGACCGTCGTCACGGGACTGGCCAACTCCGGCTGCTTCTCCTTCGAGTCCGTCGACACCCCCGGCAGCTACATCCGCCACTACAACTTCGAGCTGCTGCTCGCCGCCAGCGACGGCACCAAGCAGTTCAACGAGGACGCGACCTTCTGCCCGGAGTCCGGCCTCAGCGGCTCCGGCACCTCCATCCGGTCCTGGAACTACCCCACCCGCTGGTTCCGCCACTACAGCAACGTGGGCTACATTGCCAGCAACGGCGGCGTGCACACCTTCGACTCTCAGACTTCTTTCAATGCGGATGTGACCTGGTCGATCAGCTCGGGCTTTGCGTCCGCGTAGATTGAGGTCTAGGCATTTGGGATGACTGGTGGGAGATGTTTGATGATTATGCTTGATGCGAATGTGGAAGACCTTTCGAGGTGGACCCTTGTAAATATGTTGTTGTCGTCAATACCAGTCCAACTCCAGGATGATTTGGAATTGACCCACGCTCTTTTGAGTTTTTGACTTAGATTCTCGTAGTATCCGACTGACTATCCCAAGAAGGTTGCCCTAGCGTTACGGGTGGTGCATAAAATATCTATGTAGTAGACCCTGTCGCGAGCATTGATGTCTCACAATACGCACAATCTGTGCAGAAAATGACAGAAAGGCTTGATAGGACATGTAGACGTCGGCATTGGATATAGGCAACCGGCCATCGAGCGACCCAACTACACAACCCCATTATCGGTGCATCGAAGATGGTCAGGGGCTATGATGTCATTGTGCATGGCTTCCATGCCAAGTTTTCATTCAAAGGTCAGTCGTCGACCTAGTGCTGGAGAGACACAATCGTACCGCAAATCCACGGTGCTTACTGTAGCTTAGTTGATGGATCGACCGGGTCTTTGGATTGATGGTCCAGGATGGAGGAAGTGGGATGTGTGGACGAAGCAGAGAGACTAATGTGTTGGCCGCTCTTATGGCTAGCTTCTGCCGGCAGGATCAAGATCGGCTGACCGCCTGCGTGTCTCTCTCCACCATCTCCCTTCGTTGTCAACATCACTCGTTGTCGAAATGTATCTGGATTCGAATCTACCATCGAACAAGTCAATTATCTCAATCTGAGAAGCATGAACTTCTAGGAGCCTTTCAAGTGGCGGAGGCTTTACGCCATCCTAAAGCATGTAACATCCTGATAAGCATCATCGCGAAATTGCGACAGACAACAGGTGAGGGAACACATGGCACGCCATCACGACCATGATAGCCACCGAATTCTGTGACTACTACGAGCGATCGGTGCTCTAAGGTTCACCAGGTTGCCCGCGAAGGCTGAGTGTCGACTCTGATTTCAGGATCCCGCCTCGTCTGGCCAGGATGCTAGCTTTGGGGCCGCCCCCAACAATGCAACACCAGAAGCCGTCCCGATTTGCCCCCGGGCGCACCTCTGAGTCCCAGCGACCTTGCGCCTCGATATGTGTGGTCCGTCGAATGTTGTGTCTGGTAGCGAGGATCCTGTTGCGTGAACTTACGCAGGAACAGCGAGCCGGCTGCCGCGTGCCCTGCCTTTCGCCCCCATGCGACGCAGGAACCGAACTCAGCTCAGGGGAACTTCTTCGGAATGAGAGCTCTTCTCTTTCTTCTTTCTTCTTGCAAACTCTGCCAGTTGCGTGGTCTTCATGCCTGTATGGGCTGTCAGTCTTTCATTCACTCACTACATTGACATTCATTGAAACCCATTCTCGCAGGTCACTCATTTCCTTGCGGGAGCCAGTCATCCTTTGCCCGCAGTCTGTCGTTACCACAACTACCCCACAGATAATCACAATGGGAAGCAAGCTTGCACACACCCTTTTCACCCTCGCGAGCGTGGGGGTCCTCGCCTCCGCCCAGCTCGCCGTAGACACCACGCCCGTGACGGCCGCCGCCTCCGTCGAGACCGTCTCCATGATCGACGCATCAGGGCTGCCCATCACGACCGTCTCCGACGCCGGCGACAACGCCTGGTACATCCCTCTAACGGGGCCCGCCAGCGCCGCGACCGCCGCGTGGGGCGCAAACGTGCACATGCACAGCGACGCCGCCGCGCTGCTCCCCATCACCTTCGGCACAGCACCAGCACCCACCAGCACACCCACCGTCCACACAACCCGAACCCTCTCCCAGGAAACCAGCGCCTTACCCACGGCAACTGTCTCCCCAATAGGCACGCCCTCCGGCGACGAATCCACGACCTCCACCCTCGAAATCCCTCTGAACCCCGAAGCAAACGCCCTCCTCCTGGGCGCCGACACAGCCCTCACCATCTTCAGTACCGTCATCGCGACCGCCGAGAACCCGACGAACATCAGCACCACGAACCTGACCACCCTCCCCGTCGGCATGAACCTAGGCTTCGGGTCCCACTGGCCCGGGGCCCTGGTTTTCGGCGGCAACTACGACGCGAACCGCATCTGGAACGAATCGCACTGGCAGACCACCCCGGAAACCAGCGCGGGGAATGGCAGCTTCGCCCAAACCGGCACGCAGCTCCTCGCCAGCGGCGTCCAGCTGAAACTCTACCCCACGCCCAACCTTACGGGCGACACAAACACAACCTACTACCCCTTCGACACCTCCTCCAACCCAACAACCACCTCCACAACCCTCCCCGCGACCCTCAACTTCACCGCTGAGACCCTGACCGTCCCCGACGCGAGCTTCTGCGATCGCAACTTCACGGTGGTCTTCAACCCAGCCAGCGCGACGTACCCGCTCTTCGGGATCCCCATCTGGGCGGATCTGGTCCCTGCGGGGTCGCGGTGCGTGGTGGGGAGTGGTGGGGACGAGATCATCCTGGGGAGGCCGTTCTTCCAGGCGGCGTATGTGTACGTCACGGACGTGGGGGATTTGTATTTTAGTTCGATTCGGCGGGATGGTTCGGTTGGGGTGGCGCCGAGGGAGTTTGATCTGCATGCTGTGTTGGGGACCGGGGGGGGCGGTGGGGATGTTTATGCTAACGCGACGGCGGAGGAGGCGGGGGCGAAGGCGAGTGCGGTTTCGGGGGCGGGGAGGGTTGCTCCTATTATGAGTAGCAGTGCTTGGGGGGGGGTGGTGCTTGTTGTTGGGGTGGTGGTGGTGGGGTGGGCTGTTTAATTGGGGGGTTGTTGGGGGTGGATTTCAATTTGTTTTTGTTGGATATAAGATGTATCATATACTATATATACCCGTTCTTAAGATTCTATGGTTGATTTCCTGCCCGAGTACAGTACGAGTACGAGTTTAATCGAAAGAAACCTTGATTCCATGATCAATATCCGCAGGGCAGGTTGCGAGACCTAGACCCAACCCCTGTGTTGTATGTAGCTATCTGGCAAAGAAACAGAAACAGAAACAGACCAGCTGCATCCATCCGTCCATCCCAGCCAGTGCATTCCGGTTCATCCCCAAATATCCAAACCCGCTAATCCAATCGACCAAAGAAATCCATCCCAGAACGCCGTCCATAATCATGATACCATGCAAAGGGACTCAATCCCACTTCATTGCCGCCCTACACCCATACCGCAGCAAGCCGCGTTAGGGCCGATCCGCACCACTTATGCATCGCACAGCACGCATCCCACCCCATCACTGGAGATCATACACGACCAGCGCGCGCTCGATGTCCTGGAGGGTCTCCTTGTCGCCGTAGGCGTCCATCAGGGCGCGGTTCTTGCGGAGGCGCTCTTCTTCTTGTTGTTGGTAGAGGTGTTGGTTTTGGAGGGCTTTGGTGGTGGTGGTGGTGGTGGTGGCGGGGGCGGGGGCGGTGTAATGGTTGTAGGCGCCGAAGCCTGTTCTTGTGGTTAGTTCGGGTTGGGATGGAGAGTGACGGGGTAGGATAAGTGGTGGGCAGAACGCAACGTACCAAGAGCGATGGCCGCCATCAGGGGCAGATACCAGCGGCTGGGTTTCTTGAGGGAGGCCGGGTTGATGTGGGGGTGGCTTTTGAAGAAAGGGCGGGGGTGTGGGGGGGAGAGGTTCATCATCTTGCTTCGTTGAGTTATTTATGGATTGAAAGAGTTGTTAGGGTGGTAGTTGAGTAGAGGAATGTAATTGAATGAATTGTGCTTGGATGATGGGATTGTTGCAAGTATGGTCGACCCAGATCCAAAGACCAGTTGGTTGTATTTATAAAGTCAACTCAAGGGAGGACTGGAATGCATCACTCCCACGTATTGGTGGCCTGATCGGGGGTAGTCGATCCGTCATACGATGCCAGGCCCGCCCGCCCCCCGTCGATCCCGCTTTCTGGGGTATACTACTCATATATACGAGTATAAGTAAGAGCAACATCATTGGCTGAGTTGGTGCGGAGTGGAGCCGATGATGAAGGATCGGATGCACCCATCATCTCACTCCACCGTCGAAATCCTTTTTCCGGGTGTGCTGATTGTGTTGTGCTCACTGTGCTCACTGCCTTGGGTGCTTGCCGGGGGGGGATTCGGGAGGAAATATCGGGTGATCGATCCTACGGAGTACGGAGTAGTATGGTCTGTGCGCTCTTCACTCGGTGTGGACTCTGTCTTCTCTTCCTACTATGCGTTATTGTTTAGGAAGGAAATGCTAAATCCATTTTCCGGAAGAAATACTGTAGTGATCCTCCGAGATGGAAGAGCGGGGGGTGGGCGTGAGGGTTGCCAAATAGGGAGTTGGTGCCTTCTTAGGATCAGTCGTCAGTCAGGACTGGACTCAGGCAGCTGCATCACACTCTCACTGTATACGATACACCTATCGCTTTCTCAGCGCGTACAGCGACAGAGCCTGTGCCATTGTTAACTGCTAGCTACCGTCACAATGTCCCACAACTTCATCCTATCGAGAAGTTACAATCTGCTACCAGGAGCATCTCCAGCAAAGGTGACTGACAGTACTAATGCTTCAAGCGTCTACCTATATACATGGGACCAGAAGGTTAGTTACTCCAACGGCACCGTATCCACAAAACACGTCTTCAACGTTTCCTCCCCATACCTCCCCCCGAGCACCTCAACCTCATCCACCACCGCCCTGATCCTCGCGACCTCCTCCACCTCCAACCTCACCCCCAACGCGCCCACATTCTCCACCAACGCCTCCGGCCTTGTGGTTCCCGGAATCGGAAAGATATCCTCCCCCTGCGCCAACAACCACGCCAACACCAGCTGCCCAACCGTGCACCCTTTTTCGTCAGCAAACCCCCTCAAGCGCTCCACCAACGCCAGATTCCTCCCAAAGTTCTCCTCACTATACCGCGGCATGATCAACCGTATATCCCCCGCGGGGAAGTCCGCCCGCGACCGGACCCGCCCCGTCAGGATCCCGCGCGAGAGCGGCGAGTACGCCACAACGGCGACGCCCAGCTCGCGCGCCGTGCGCAGCAAGTCCGTCTGCGGGGACTCGATCTCCAGCGAGAAGGGCGAGTACTCGACCTGCACGGCGGCGATGGGGTGGACGCGGTGGGCGCGGCGCAGCGTCGCCGCGCTGACCTCGCTCAGCCCGAGGTATCGGATCTTGCCGGTCGATCGCAGATCGGCCATCGCTTGGACGGTCTCCTCGATGGGGACGGTGGGGTCGAGGCGGTGCGCGTAGAGTAGGTCGATGGTCGGGACGCCCAGGCGTTGGAGGCTGCGCTCGCAGGAGAAGAGGCATCGGCTGCGCGAGCTGTCGATGATCATTTTGCCGTCAACGAACTCGGCGCCGAATTTCGTGGCTAGGAACAGGTGCGGGCGTTTGCTGGGGTTGGCGCGGAGCCAGGTGCCCAGCAGGGTTTCGCTGTCGCCGTAGAGGGCCGCTGTTTTTGTGTTCCCATGTTAGTATGGGGATTGTGGGGAGGGCCACTTGGGGCTGCTATGGAGAAGAGGGGGGGGCAGTGGAAGTACCGGAGTCCCAGAATGTCTCGCCTAGTTCGTACGCTTTGTCGAGTAGGGCGAGGCGCTCGGAGTCGGGCTTGGGGGGCCCGTAGAAGGCACTCAGGCCCATCGTGCCGAAGCCCAGGCGGGGCACGGAGGGGCCGTCTTTGCCCAGGGGCCGGGTTTCGAGGTGCGCTGACATTTTGCTATTCTTTATGGTGGAGTTGAATCGGCGTTCTGCCATCTCATTGGGATGAACGGTGCTAGATATACTGTTCTTCGGCACAACCAAGTATACTTCGGCCGGATATACCGGATTTTACGGATTTGCCGCTGTCATCATCGACTGGCCGTGCGGGAAGAGGTCGAAAGTGGGTCTAGATACATGTATCTGGAATCTCTGATTGGAAGGTTGTGAGCTTTATGCACCCGGCATACGGGTTTATGCTCGGTCTACGAGGTAAGGGTGTGGTGGTCGGAGTTAATCGGTTGCGTAGGTGGTCTGCGGGGGCTCAACCTGAGAACGTCGAGTCATGTCTTTCCCCCGTAATGCATTTGTTATACACCGAACCAGGACATAGAGGGGATTGTCTTGGGCGAGTAAGAAGCTGATAAGGAGATTTGAGGAGGATAATGCTTGGATTATGACTACGCCAGGCTATCTGCGGAACTAGCTAAGAACCACCCAGGTGGGCGGAGAGCAAGCAGTCTATTCACTAAGGCCAGAGGGCCGCCGTCAAGACTTACAATGGGCAATGCTTGCTAGATATCTATGCTAGTAGATAGACTCGGCTGGCTTTCTATACTGAAAGCAAACCTCCAACTCTCAGTGGTCAGTGCCTGTCTAGACGGTACGCAATACAAAGGTAAACACCATCTTTGTAAGACCGCAATCTCTTTCGGCTATTGTCTGCCATTGCATTCACAAAGCGGATAGCCGGCGATCATCATGAACAATCGACGTAGGCCTCATCAACCCTCAGATCAAAGGTCCCTGGCAATGGATATAAATAGGTAATATCCACACCCAGCCGAGCAGACCAATGACTGATCCCAATACCAACCCCACGAAGAAACAACAATCGGGTAACCACTCGATTGACTAACATTCAAGGTATACCGATAACCCAGATTCAGACCCACTGATTTTGTGTGTCCAGACCGCCACCATGTCAATGTCCCGGTCACAGTCCCATGTCCCCGACCAGCCACGCCCCTTTCTCCAACGCGTCACGGACATCGGGCGGCTCCCGTACGGGGGCCTGCCGGGCCGCTGCGTGTACGGGCCCGACGATCCGCCGGCCCACTTCGACGCGACCCTGACCAACCACTTCGTGCGCCAACACCTGGAGGCCAGCCTCAGCTGGGACGGGCACCACCTGCTGCAGCTGCTGGAGCAGAACGATGTGGAGAACATGCGGGTGATGGACGGCTACCGGCCGCTCGTCCTCGAGCTGGACCAGTACCTCGCGCGCTTCTGGTGCCGCGCCGACAACGGGTTCTACTACTTCGTCTGCACCAAGCTCCAGGGGCTGGAGTACTGCAGCCGCTTCGTCAAGTGGGTCAACGTCAAGAGCACGCTGCATCCGGTGGTCGAGGCCACCACGGGGCCGGGCTTGCAGCCGCTGAGCCAGGAGCTGGACGACCAGTTCAACAGCGTGCGTGACCAGCTGCTGCACCAGATTGTGCAGCTGCAGCGGACGATGGAAACACGTCCGTCACCGCAAGCCCTGCACGAGCTGCAGCTGCAGAAGGAGCAGTATGTCGAATCGGTGGTGCTCGAACAGAAGCATCGGGTGCGGGCTTCACAACAGCAGCAGGTACAGCATCAGCAGGTACAGCAACAGCACCCGCAGAAAGAGCAGCCACACAAACGGCAGCCAAAGCAGCAGATGCAGGGGTTTCACAAGTTCCGGCTGGTTCAGCAACAGCAGCCACAGCAGAGGCAGCCGATGCAGCCGATGCAGGAGTTTCACCAGTACCCGCTGGTTCAGCAGGAGCTGCAGCGGTACCACCAGCAGCAGTGAAAGCAGGCGCTGGAGCGGTCATCACGGCAGCGGGAGCAGAAGAAGGAGCAGGGGAAAGGTAACTTAGAGGATCTGACCTAGTCCCATGATAATGGGTTAAGGTACGCACCTGCCCTTGCCCCCTCCGACTGAGCCTTCGGTGTCGTGCACCAAATACAGTACCTGCTGTTCACAAAATGTCAGGTAAGGCCTCCCCCGTTCCCTACAGGTATAACTAAACCACACCAGCAATTAATTTCACCCTCCTTTCGAGGTTCATTCATACTTAATCAATCTCCATACACAGTAAACCCTAAACTCTCAGCAATCCCTCCCTCCACTGTCCCAAAATCCCAGAAAAAAGAACCCCAGAGCAACCATGCCCCTTACCCCCTCCCCATCTCATCCCATACCGCAACCCTAATCGCATCCCCCCCCTCCCCATCACCTCTTTCAAATCCACAACATCCACCAACCTCCCCAATACCCTCTCCAACGCAAAACCCCCCACCTCCCCTTCCTGATCCATCACCCCCGCCCTTACCACAACAACATGCAAATCCATATCCGCCCCTGCTCATCTACGTCCGGATTTGCCTCACCACGGGTACCACCCTGTGACGCAACGGCACCAGCCCCACCTTATCCTGCACATCCCCCGAAAACCGATCCATCGCCGCATGCGCATTTATGAACGCCATCCCCGGAAACACATCCGTCCCGCGGCCGAGTCTCTCCAGTTGCTCCCTCGCCCAGCACCGGCACTCCCCCTTAAACCCCAAGTTCATAGACTGAAAGAGCACCATTTGCATCACCATGCCTACCTTGGGGTGTCGGAACCGCGCACACTCTTCTGTTGTGTGTTCTTCGTCCCAGAGACCCAGGTGGATACGGAAGTTGCGATGGATTAGTTGGAATATATGCTGGTCGTGGTCTGCTGTATCCCTGAGGTGGAAGCGGCGGCTAAGGCGAGGTAGTATTTTCTGAGTGTCATGATCGGGTGGCAAAGGCACTCGTTCCAATAACACTTAAAGATCAGGCACAGCCTCCATCAGCTGCAAGAGCAAGAAGCGATACATACCTTCGGTCGTTCTTTCAAGCTGCTCACCACGCGCATTTAAGAAGAATGAAACATTCACAGTTCTGTCATCCTTGGCCGCATGGGCTTGTTGGGTTGCAAATTTCATGATTGTTCACTTGCCGCTTCCTGCTTCGCCTTTGACCCAGAGAAAGCCATGATGATCGACGTTCTTGGCTGTGTCAAACCAATCCAAATATTCTTGTTTCTCCAAGAGCCATCGGCATGTCTTAGCATGGGCAGCTTTGATTGTCGCCTGTCGACTCTCTATTTGTTCGAATCGCACTGCATCCATGACACACCTGCGATGGTCGACGCCGCCGGATATTTGCTTTCTTGTTGATTCCCGAGCTATCCTAGGCCCTGTGGCGTTGATAACCGCCAACAGCTCTTTGGCATAAGCAGCAGCCGTGGCGGCTGCGTATCCCTGTCATTGCTTGTTATGCGAATCAGCAGAGTCTGAGATTCCTCGAATCTTTAGGCAAGGGAAGTTATTCATCAGGACGGCGGCTTCCTTCTCAAAGCACAATATATCGAACTTCGCAGCAGTCGGTCACGGGTGCCTGCATGCTTGATCACCTGGTTTTCGGAAGCGATCAAGCCGTAATGGACAGCTGGCTGGGTGTCCTTGCATGCTGAACGCAAGATCAATTTCTTTGCATCACAATTAGCGCATGTGCGCTGGGATGGATCATGTTCGTAGTTCGCATGGAACAGCCTGTCAGGCTCGTTGTCGGGACGAGTGAATTCTCGTACCATCGGAGGGCGGTTGGCTAGCATTTGAGCCACGAGTGCTGCAATCAGATTCCCGCTGCAATAGTGGTCGGCTCGGAGCTTTGTGACTGCGGCCAGGAGGGATGTGGAAGGTTTGCTCAGGGTTCCTGTTCTCTCAAAAGTATCCTTTCCTAAATTGTCTTCCCGTAGTCGTACTGTATCACACCCTCACATCATGGTGTCGGGACGCTGACGACGACATCACCAAGCCTCAGATCGTTGGGTTCTGATGGTACCCCTCCGCCAATCCCCACCATGAGGAGATGCTGTATGGAGCCAGAACTAAAGAACATGGAGCTCGCAACTGTCGCGGCTGAGGTAGTGCCATAGGTGCCAGCGGGGAGACAGGCGCTCACCACATTGTGCCCACTGATCGCTCCTAGGATGTATGCATTTGTCATTCGGGTAGGTTTCGAGGGCCGAATGGATTTCATCAAGCATTGCTTTGGCAGCAGCAGCTTCGAGAGCAAGGGCGCAGACCCAACCAATCGTGTAGTCATCATGGCTGTGTGAATGACCATCCTCCGCGTTGAGTTTCCCCTCTCTTGGTGGGGTTGTGAGGGAATGCGGCTGCGTCGCTCATGTCGACAGAAGGACATAGAGAGATTCTGAAATCAGCAGGAAGTCACACGTACAACCCGCCACGCCCTGATGCTTGAGCTGCAGTTGAGAAGGGCGGCTAGAGGCGATCACAACACCAAGCTTTCAGCCTCGCCGAGCCTTCCGATCGAGCTTATCCCGCGAGGCTGTATTGAAAGGCATACGCATACATTATTGAGATCTCGCTCCCTAGACATCGAAGGCACATTCCGGCTTGGTAACCATAGTGGCCAATTCAACCATGAATCTGTGCACGTGGATAGGAAGCTGAAGACTAGATTTATGTTGGGGCAAAAAGCGGAAATTGTTGTTTGTTGTCAACATTCACCGAGGGTGGAAAGAGTTGAGAAGGAAAGCGCCCGTGAGGGGATATTTGGCCGCCTGAGGCAACCACCACCTTACAGCCTAAACTTATTGTGGCCTGAGGCCGAGCCAGGTCTTTTCCCCCGCCTTGCCCGTTTGGGACGGATGCACATTACGTCAGTTCTCGCTTGATCTTGTCATTGTTCTTATACAACCTCACGACATCTTTTGATTCCTGGATGATAGGATCCTTCCTCCCTTCCGTCATCCAAGGAATCTTACTTGTTTTCTGTGCTATACTTTAGTCGGAACCACTTTCCCTCCACTCTGAATACCTTCATTCTTTCCGCTGTCAGAATATATATCGTGGAAACTGCCAGGCGGGCAAATTCCCAGCATGCGAACTCAGGCTTTGGAAATTTGTAGTCGATTGGTTATCGCAATACTGCCGATGTGCAAGAGATTGTGCAGCAGGTCAGGAGAAAACAGGATGTCTGCAGCGAGGAGTTCTTTTTGCAATGGTCGGCTGGCTCGAATACCTTTTCCCGCGTAGAACAAGTTGTCGTTGGGTGGAGGTCGGAAAGGAACATAATTCGGGAGACTCTTACCATTTGCAAGTTTGCAAGATGATTAAGTGGGGCCCCCTACGTCCGCACTTGAAACCAGGCACTCTGAAAGTCGACGAAACCTAAAGTTCAGCCCAAATCGACTAGAGGACCCCGTCGATAACTGCCAAGCGCGCTACCGGAACACGAAGCAGTGCGCGACAAGGGGCCCTTGAGATAACGCAGGATAAACCTCTATATCTTATTACAGATGTCCTCTCGTCCAAATTTGCACAATGTGGAAAGCCAGGCATGCACTGAGTTCGGACACATTCCGAGCGGCGGAATGAACTCGACCGGGCCGGCCAAGGCCTAGAACCCCCGATGTAACGCAATCTGCCCTGCACGCTGTCAGGAGCACTCTACGGCACCCCAGTTTGCAGAGATAGCGAGGATTTCATTGAATCAACATTGCTGGCACCCGTTGAATCTCGATCGGCGAAGGGATTGGAGCGATGAGGTCATTGCCTCGTCGACTGAGCGGGCCCCATATAGGGGGCAGGATAACAAGACTCCGACAGCGATAGCCGTAATGCGGGGATGGCTAGTCTGATGAGACGTTGCCAATGCAGTAACTGACCAACTGCAGCTGCAGCTGAGCGCTGATCCTTGCCCAATGGGTGGTGTTAGCCAAGTTAGTGGCAGTGATTCCCCAGACAGGTGCAATTCCCCCGCATTTACGGCTATTGAACTGGGGCCAAGATCGACTCGGCCTGCCGATTACGGCGATAGCGCCCGTTCCCCAATGACTTCACAGTCTGGGGTATAAATACCCACTGCAGAACTCCATGGGGGAAGAGAATCAAGGTCTTCTCTCTAGATCCATAGCCTTTATTTTTCGATTCCTCCAAATCCCTCTTCTCCGTTTTCCTGGCCGAGTTGCCATCATGTCTCGAGACAGTGACACCTACAGCACCAAAGCGGATTCTACCGCGAAGGACAGTCTCGATGCCAAGCTCGACACCAAGCACATCGAGGTTGCAGCATCCACTCCAGGGTCAGATCCCAATGGGCTTGCAACCAGTGTCGCCGACATCCCAATCACCTGGTTTGTGTGGCTCGTGGCATTCACGGCTTCAATTGCTGGTATGCTCTTCGGCTACGACACTGGTATCATCTCCGGGGTACTTGTCGTTCTTCACGATGACCTGAACGGTCGGCCTACTACCAGCTCCGAGCAAGAGATGATCACGTCACTCTGCTCAGGCGGAGCGTTCATTGGCGCCATCTTTGCAGGAAATACTGCTGACCGCGTAGGTGTTGCCGTTCTCTAAACGCAAGAGTTTGTCAGCGCTAACAGCCCATAGTGGGGCCGCAAAATGGCCATCTATCTCGGCTGCGTTCTATTCGTCGTAGGCTCAGTCCTACAAGCCGCTGCGTACACGATTGCACAGATGGCGGTGGGACGGGTAGTGGTTGGCCTGGGCGTGGGGTCCGCCGCGATGGTAGTCCCACTCTACATCGCAGAAATCGCACCGGCGCGCGCCCGCGGTCGCCTTATCGGACTCAACAACATGTCCATCACCGGTGGGCAAGTGATCTCGTACGCCGTGGGTGCGGCCTTTAACAATGTCAACCATGGTTGGCGATACATGGTGGGCCTGGGTGCCGTGCCCGCCATCATCCTCGCTGTGCTCATGCCGTTCTGCCCCGAATCGCCCCGTCACCTGGTCTACCACGGACGATTTGAGGAGTCGCGCGCGGTCCTCCGCCGCGTCTACGGCACCTCCGCTGCGGAAGCCCAGATTGATGCCCAAGTAGACTCCATCCGCATTGCCTGCGACGAAGCGCGCGAGCTCGCTGAGACCGGCAGCGGATGGTCCAAGATCGTGCAGCTGCACACGGTCCCGCGCAACCTGCGCGCGCTGATCAGCGCCTGCGGACTGATGGTGATCTCGCAGATGTCCGGCTTCAACGCACTCATGTACTACTCGTCCACCCTCTTTGCACTGGTTGGCTTTGACAACTCCACCGCCGTTGGACTCGTCGTCGCCGGCACCAACTTCATCATGACGGGAGTGAATATGTTTGTTGTCGACACGATGGGCCGCCGGCGACTCCTCCTCTCCACGGTCTGGGGCATGTCAGTCGGTCTCGTGGCTGTAGCCGTCGCCTTCCACTTCATTCCCCTTGACATGGACACCATGCAGCCCATCGGCAGCGGGGTAGGCCCCGCAGCGATCGTCGTGCTCGTCTTCATCATCTGGTTTGTCATCTTCTACGGCGTCTCCGTGGGTAACACTGCGTGGATGAGCACCGACTTCTTCGCCCTCGAGGTCCGTGCCATGGGCACGATGTGGATGACCTGCTCCAACTGGGGTAGCAACGTGATCGTCTCCAGCACCTTCCTCTCCATGGCCAAGGCGATGACCCCCTCCGGCGCCTTCGGTTTCTACGCGGCTATCTGCGGAATTGCCTACGTCTGGATCTACTTCTTCTACCCCGAGGTCTCTGGGCTGGTGCTAGAGGAGGTCCAGGAGGTCTTCGAGCATGGCTTCGGCGTCAAGTATGCGAGGCAATTGCGGAAGGAGCGGAAGGATATCATTGAGGAGAGGTTGAAGAGTGCGGATAGACCGGTTCCGATGGGACATTGAGCCGACCTGCGGCGTACTGTACATGAATTCTCAGACCCTTCAGACACTGATGATGAAATTCACTCTGGGAGTGAGGAAAGGTGTATGTGGATTTTTATGAGCAATGACATTTCTATTTTCAGTATTCCAAGTCTGCTTCGGAGCGTATTTTCCTGTCAAACCTAAGGGATTCACACTAGATTGCCCTTCGAATAGCCATGCCTCCTAGCCCGTAGCCAAATCCGCCACCGTCGGCGTTCATACCCTAGGCACGGAACCCAGGTCCCGAGGCCTTGGAGTCATTTGCCGCCTGGGAAGGGCGAGGTGACACAGAAGGATAGTGTGAGCGGTTTAAAACGATCCTCATGTTAAATGATACCCGACTATTTGGATCTGAAAGTCAAACACCGACAGAGCGAGGGCATCGGAATCACGAAACCGAAAGGTCCGGCAAGAGTTATTATGAAGGAAGCTGAACTTCCGGTGACTAGAAAAAAAAAAAAAAAACCAATCAAGCATTTCACTTGCAACTCCAGAACGCAGAATATCTCATGCTCCACACCATCGATTCTCATCTCCAGAAACCACCGATTCAGTTGCCTGAAACCAGAAACTACAATTCCTCCATATGATGTCTCTCATCCGGGGTGACCGGGAACTTCTTTGTATCGACGTTGGGGTTGGTGCCACCGGCAAGATAGCGCACGAGCGTGTCGTAGACATCCTGGGACGTTGCGGAGCAAGGTATCAGACCAGACATAGAGATCCTGATCTTTTGGCCGTCGAAGATTGCCATAAGGACGCGCACGTGGGAGGGGGGCATGAACGAGAATACCATTACCTTAAGAAAAAGGTCAAACGTGTCAGCAAGACTGGAAGAAGGGATTGATCAAAGGAAACAGAATGGTAAGTTTAAAGAAGGAAGATGAAAGGGAAAAATCGTACTGGCATAACGACGTGTTCCAACATGGACTCGACCCGCAAACGCGAGTGCATGACCGCCAATATGATTAACAGCTCAGACCGGAGCAGATCCTGTTCTTTTTCGGGACCAACCGCACTGCTCATGATGAGCTTCACGTGGGGGTGCTTCGAATGGACGAATATGTCGTAGGCTTGGTATAGCCCGCTTCCCGACCGAACCTCCGCGTTTGGAAATCCATCGATGTGAAAGTCGCTACCTGTATGCATTAGTTTCTTTGATGAAATCCTGAGTCTTTGCGCGCAATTTATGAGGGACTCACGTGTGTGAACGCCATTTCGTTACCGTACGCAATGTGCTGTCCCCGTACTCCGGGTCGAGGTTCTTGCGCCTAATGCTCATCTCATCCCGGAATCGACACGCCAGAATTGCCGAGCGTCCTTCTGGGCTCAGTAGTTCTCCATTGCCGGCAGGGGAGTAGTTAGGTGCAAGGCAGGTTCGATGTAAGTTTAGGCCGTCTTCGGTCTCCTTGTCAACGATTCTTGGGTGTTTGTCATGGAAATCCACGGGAAGCGGGACGAAGTAGGCAGCAGGATTGAGGCTTGAGGTTGTGTCGGGTGACCTGGAATCGAGAGGATCGAAGCTTGTTATTTCGATATTCCAAAGACTCATTTCGTCCCGTGTGAACGAGTCTGAGGCGGCATCCTCGGCTCTCCTGTAGACTTTCCAGAGCAGTAGAAGAACCCAATCCGAGTCAGCGGCTTCCTTAGAATCTCCCTGTACGCCAGAGTGCTTGGCACGAGCACGCGAGAGAGTGAGGCGCGAGAAGGTTCGACGCAAGAAGGAAGCCATGAAGAAAACTCAACTGAAATTAGAGCTATGAAGAAGGCGTGATAGATCTCCGAGTTATCTCGTCACAGCGAGTCAGATAAGGCAGACAGGGTCTTGCGAAAGTTAGACAACAGAGTGCGAGGATGTTGAACTAGATGTGTTTTATAAAGAGAGGAAAGAGTCTGGCTTCTTGTGAGTTGTGAGAAAGGTGAACCGGGTGTGTTATAACCCTGATGTCAGCGGCCGGGCTTTTGGTTTTGACTCACCCTGCTGTCACATGATTCTCACCCAGAGCTCTTCACTCCACTGCACAAGTAAATATGCCAGTAGCTTAGCGCTCACATCCCAGGAGCCTAGCCTGGAAGTGGATGATGACAAGTTAGGTATAACTCATGTAGCGCTTCGATGTCTTATGGGAGGAGCGTGCAGGTGCTTCCTCGAATACGGGTGCTGTGGGCTGCTTTTCAAATTCCTTCATTTCGAACACAGTCATAGTCTTCCTGGTGCTGTACTTTCGAGAAGGTAGTTGCGAGGTAGAGCAAATGCTATTTTCCAACGTCCATAAGATTCGAGTGCTGGATTCTAACGACAAACGCGCAATTGCGATAGACCTTGCGCGTACCTCTCTCGATGCAAATTGTCTGTTCCTGATATCATAACTGTCAACTTCATGAGCCCAAATCTCACCTTCCACGGACACGGTGAGGTTTCATCCTGAATAACAGACGGTGGGTGTACAGCTTGATTCGCTCGGAGTCGCAATTTGGAGATAATACATCTGCAACTACTGTCGGACCTGAAGTCATTACTTATCTCTCACCTCGAGGCTCATGCAACATCACATCACTTGAACGCGACGCGAGCTAGCCAGTGTTACTCTGACCCTGGCGGGCCTGCTCTCTCTCTCTTTCTCAACTCTCCTCAAGCTACTGTTGATCTTCACCTCCAGTCCTGAGTATCGCCTTCCTCCAAGTTCTTCCTCGTTTTCCAAATCTCTTGTCAAGTGCGGCACTGCAGCCATGTCGCGCTTCATTCCGAAGTCCAAGAAGGCGAAGCACGAGAAGTCTGAGGAAGAGAAGCCGGAGAAAGAGAAGTTCAAGAAAATTACATACGCTGATTCTTTTACGGGGAGCTTCTCCATTGCAGCAAATAAAGACGACTTGCTTAGCATCCTCCGAACCAGCAAGCTGAGTGGGAAGAGTTTACACGATCTCATAAAGATGAGATCAGGATCTAAGGCCCTGAAAAAACAGTTCGTTCTCTTTCGTTCCGTATGGAAGGCTGCTGTGGAACCCGGAGAGTCGTTAGCAAACATGACTCGCTACAAGCTGGGAGGCGCTCTGGAGCAAGCCGTCAATCTCGTGAACGGGTCACAGGAAGTGGAAAAATATCTTGCATTGCTCAAGCATCTGCATCTTGTCCCCGATCTGCAAGAAGGTGACCCACAATGGGCAGGGTCTTGGATGCCAGTGTTGAGATTTCACGCCAAGTGCGTGGCTTTCTCTCGCAAGGAAGACGATACGCGTGTGGTTCCAGTCCGTCTTCCTGCGCGTCGAGGTCTCTCACCCCCCCTGAAGAGGAGAGCGGAAGGTGAGAATCATTTAAGATCCAAGCTTGTCACTGTGACTAACATTATAGAAAGAGGCAGCTCGCCCCCCCACCGAAACCGGCCTTCCTGGAGATGACGAGGACCCCACAGGAGATGAGTCGATAGTTAACGCCGCACTTATCCTCTTTCTCGATGCCGCCGCTAGCCTTGTACGATCATCACAATGCGAGTTCACCATGGTCCGCGTCCCGTTCATCGCCAATTTCCAACACGCAACATTTACAGCCCTGACCGACGGGGCTCTTTGGGTCCGAAGTACTGAAGCTATCCGTGGCATAATTGAAGTCAAGAAGGCTCGGCGATCAAAGATCGGTGATAAAGTTACTATGCAAGAAGCTGCAGAGTTGGTGGGATGGATTATGAACAGCCAGCCTTGGGAAGAAGCTTACTCCGGATAGTAAGTCAGTTAGCTTTCATGGATGGATCATGTCACTAACCAAAGCTTATCTGATTAGTAAATGCCTGATATGCGAGGATGGTGATGAAGCCTGGCTCTCATTCGCCAAGCCGACCGAACCCTATGCCGCTTACCTTCGTGATGGCACCGTGGATGAAGACGCGTTGCTTATTGTGGAACGATATGGACCGTATAGGGTGGATAATGCGGAGCACATGTTACTCCTTCTCTACGCAGTTGTCGCGATATACCTTCAAGCTGTCACCTTCGATAATGTATCCCAAGCCTAGTGTCCGCCCAGGTCTTGAAGAAGACTCTCTACCGAGTGAATTGATCAAGACGTGAATGTATGCCGTCATCCTTAAGGGACAGTCCTTAGGGCGGGATGCTGTTTCGCTGGTGAAGAGCATGGATCTCGCTTTGTTTTTCTCTATCTTTTTTACTTTGCTTTGAAGAGTAGGCATCTGATTGAAGAAGAGCCATACGACGTAATCATCGAGAAATGACACTTTGATTGTTGAGTTGTTGAGGCCGGCCATCTGAGCCGTTGAAATTTGGAGAAGCAAGGCAATCCTGAGCCGCAATATTGATAAAGACAGGATTTAAATGCTTGACAACCGTGTCGATACTATACTGCACATCATCTCTGCTGAATAGTTCGTGTGAATTGATAGATACATGAATCCAATCCGCAGCATACGCTGCCAGCGTGGCAATAATGTATTCTGCCAGATTGCGGCAGAGGACGAAGAGGATTGAGCCCGATTCCATGCCGTGGCTTTCAAACCAGGGCACAAAACTTGATACAGCACGCAGCAGTTCCTTGTACGTCCCTTGGCGAAGACTCGATCCTTGCGGCGGAGGTTCGTGGCCTTTTACTTTGCCGATCTCAATGAGAGCTGGTCGACCATGTTGCCGACGAGCAATTGATTCGAATTGCTCGTATACCGTCTGTGAGCAAGCTGGTAATGGGTCACCTGTGATGTCGCTTAAACTCTCCATAATACCCGGACCAGACCGAAAGGAACGCTTGCAGCTCCGCATAACAGTCGGGCTTGACGGGGAGGTTTTCAAAACGGCTTATCCAGCCATGAACCTGTCCATTGCCGACCGAAAGAGAAGAGAGACAGGATGAAAGGAACGTGATAAGATCGGCATGGTTCCGACAGGTAAAGCAGACAAAAAGGTAAAAGTTCGACCAAAGGAATCAGGCAAGCCAGTGACCAGCTCCATGTTTGCGGCCTTTTATACTTCGTGGCTAGCGAATCTACATGTCTGGTGCCTGTCGTCGGTTGACCTGCGTTCTTGGTGGGTCCAGTTGACCCAAGAGGCATCCAGGCGGCCGGCCACAACTCTTCGCCTTAGCCGTCTAATGCTCAATGATGCGTTGTTTCGGTATGAAAGAAGGCCGATTCTGCGACTCGGGGGAGAGTACTTTACCTCGATTCATGGCCCCAGGCAAGCCTGACAAAGCTCACCAACCCCAGAGGGAGCCGTATGAATGATACCCATAGAAGAGAGCGTAGCGTGTTTTTAGCGAATGCGACCTCTGTAACCAATGCTGCTTGAGCGCCATGATCGTTGAACTCCCATCATTCGTGGAGACGGTCAATCAGGCTCTGACGCGGAGAGTTTTCTCGACTTCTGCCAACGCTCGCGAAGCTCACGAGCCTGAAAAATGACACGATTGGTCGAGGGCGGAGATTTTGCTCGGCATCCTCATGACGACACGCTGCAGAAATGGCGCAGAGAATGATGGCCAGAACACAAGTTCCGGTAATGCACACCTGGATGGTCATGATCAAGGAACGGACGGCGTGAGCCATGAAGGCTGCAAGCCAACTAGTATCCGTGCACAAACCAGGATAATTGGCACAGACCAATGCACGACACCTTGAGTGGAAGCCCTTTGTGTCACACCATCCATGCCCAGCCTAGTCCTGACATAATGGAAGAATCTATGATCCCCTCAGCCGCGGATCCTTCGCGCTTGTCAATGAGTAGGCAGGTAGATAGAGTTTCCGCCGCAGGTTGCATCTAGATGGTGGAGAGGTTGCTGACATTCAACCTGAAGGAATTTCCGAAGGATATTGATTTTAAAGCTGGACGTATAATTCAGTCGTGAAGACACCACTGGGTGAGGTGGGCCTAGCTTCGACGACTGTCGTCTGCACTAACCAGGGTTCCCCTCTTTTGCACCTCCACACTTCATCAACTTCCCCGCTCGGCAAGGGAACTATTGCTGCAGAGCTCTCGTCAACGAGCATCAAGGCATCAAATAGAATGCGTCATTTGAAGTCCTTTATGGTAGCACATCCCTGTTGTGAAATGGCTTTCGGCACAAAGGTGCCCATCTACATCTTGTTGGTGGGCAGTTGACGGTCGCTTGCGATGGAAATGGAGCGTTGCGACAAGGTACTCGGCCAGGGAGATGAATGGCTAATTCAAGAGTTTCGTGGCATAAGCGAGCGTTATGCCGGCATTGATAGGCATTTGTGTTCCGGCTGCGATTTGTAGTGGTGGGGAGAGTGAATGCACGGGCGCCTTATAAATATCAGTCCATTTTCAGTGTATCTGCGCAACATGTTGTAGTCTGGTATTTGATGTGAAAGCTAGCGCCACCTGAATGTGTGGACGCATTGGAAATAGACTGCTTTTCTGACGACCGAGACCTTGGGTAACAATGGCTGCTTACGTCCTGCAACATGTTGTTTATGAGCATCATCATCTTCTGCTTGCCATCGGAGTGGTGGGTAACGATCGTTGACGATGGCTTTTGCGATGGATTACTGATGCTGTATGGTTCGATCTAGATCCTCCTGGCGGGGGTGATGAACGGCTGCTACGAACTCCTGTTCAACCCTCTGAGAAGGTTTCCGGGGCCGAAATTGGCTGCGGTCACCTACTTACTTTCCGCATACCACACTGCGAAGGGTGACCATGTGCTCTGGTTGCAGAGCCTGCACCGTACCTACGGTGACGCTGTCCGTTTCTCTCCAGATGAGCTGAGCTTCACTTCGGCGCAGGCCTGGCGGGACATTTATGGTCATGCTAGTGGCGGTAGAAGAAGCACCGAAAAGGACCGCCGCTTTTACGGACCGACCCCTAATGGTGCGCCGGATATCATCCGTGCCAATGCGCACGATCACTCGCGCTTCAGGCGGAATTTCTCCCATGCGTTTTCGGACAAAGCGCTCCGAGAGCAACAGCCCCTGATCGCACAGTACGCGGATATGCTTGTCGACCAGCTGCAGGAGAGCGCCCGGGAAAGCCCGGAGGCCAATGTTGAGATGGTCCGCATGTATAATCTGACCACCTTCGATATCATGGGAGATCTGACCTTTGGAGATCCGTTGAACCTGCTCAAAGGCACAGGGTATATGGAGTGGGTGAACGGGATTTTTGCCAGTGTGAAGGTGCTCTGCCTCCTGCGCGTGAGCCGTTACTACTCCTGGCTCACTGCGATTATGGCTCTTGTTGTCCCTCGCTCCCTGCGGGAAAAGGCCCGGGCGCACTACAAAGCCTGCAAAGCACGGGTTGATTGGCGAGTCAATCAAACCCTCGACAAGCCGGATATCTGGGGACTCGTGATGGAGCAGAAGGAGTCCCTGCAGCTCAGTCGCGACGAGATGTACTCCAACTCTCAACTCTTCATGGTGGCTGGGACTGAGACGACCGCCACCGCGCTAAGCGGCCTCACATATCAGTTACTGAGGCACCCAGAGAAGATGCGGAAGATCACGCAGGAGATTCGGGAGGCATTCAAAGACGAAGAAATCGAGATGACTCGCCTCGCGCACCTGAAGTATCTGAACGCATGCATCGAGGAGGGATTGCGGGTTTATCCACCCGTGCCTGTTGGCGCCGCTCGTCGGGTGCCAGAGGGAGGGATGACGGTGTGTGGAGAATTCATCCCAGGAAACGCAAGTGACCCCATCCAGCTCCTTGTCTATATGAGCACAAGCTTACCGGGCTGCAGATTTCACTCTCCGTGCACCACTGGGCGACATACCGTAGCTCGGAAAACTTCAGGCGACCGAACGAGTTCATTCCGGAACGATGGACTGATGATCCGGAATTCGCCAACGACAATAAGGCCGCCTTCCAACCATTCTCCTATGGACCACGCAACTGTTTGGGCAAGAAGTACGTATTGTCGCTAGCTTGTGGAATACCCTGCAGTGCCTGTAGCACGATAGCTGACATCCGAATTAGTTTGGCTTATCACGAGATGCGGATTATTTTGGCGAAGGTGCTGTACCATTTCGACTTGTCATTAGCGCCAGAGTCGGTGGATTGGGATAAGCAGAAGGTGTTCTCGCTGTGGGAGAAAAAGCCACTGATGGTGAAGCTGCATCCACGGGTCTAGGCCTCGGGCCGGTCGCGTGTGCCGCCGAGAAGAATTCTGGGGACTCTCTGACCAGTGCAAGATCAAGTGGATGATCGTCTTCGCATCGTATTACCCTACGGATAGAACGGAAATACCAGCGACTTTCTTTGATTCCTCGGGTGAGCCAGGAATGTAGGAGAACATAGGAAAGAAGTAGCCGAAGTATTGAAAGCTGCACTCGTACTCTCAATGCAACACATCAGTGAATCTTACGGCAGCAGGGCGCACGCGGAATGGTACACACCCATGCATCACTGAGCAGGTGCACCATGGATCCGATCCGTCTCGACGTCTTTCGCACACTTGATTCGAGTCTCCATGTAGACGAACAGTTATTTGCAAACTGAACGGGCGGGCAGTAACCTACGAGTAGCTCTTCTGCGGGCGGTGAGGCGGGCTCAGTTGGAAGATTTAGAAAACTCCGACGGCAAAATCTCGGGCCGAAGTGGGCGTGCTTGAATGCCGCCTTTTACGGGACTAGGAAAGAGAGAGTTCGGGTTCGCAGCCTGAGGCAGAAAGGCTCCTTGCTCCTTTGAGTATCCCCACACCCGGAAGAAAATTCCCTTATCCTTCATTAGGGTTGAGACAGTGCAGTCCAGTACTTTAGGGTAGGTACCTAGTGACAATCCACCTAACCACCCCAAGCTACTGTGTGGAAGCCACTTAGCTTAGCGTCTATTGTGTAATCTTCAAGCTGCACTCGGACAACAAAAGTACCTCATTACCTACACAGGTACCGTCCCATGCTAGACACTGGTGACGTCAGGGATCGTGGCCACCAATGATGAGGGCGGGCAAGATAGTTCCGAATGGTGGCGTTCTCTCCTGGGATACTTTCAGGCCCATCTGGCCGTCATTGTCCGTTTTCCCGCGCGACGAATGCCGCTGGTTCGCCTATCGTGCCCACACGGTGGCCAGACGCGCTTCTTGAACATTCCCCCTTTCCAGTTAGAACTTAAGATATATTCCCGAGGCCGCCCAGCTCCCTTCCCAGTGCGGCCCCAGTCTGTCCACCATAACAGAAGATCTTCGTTGATTTCGTGAGGACCGATCGCACTTGGCAGGTCTTTGAGGAGGGACTCTACTGAACACTTGTGTCTCCGATGATCAGTCGGAAACGGCGACCGGGTCATTGTGTAGCTGCATGGTTGGGTGGTTTTCGCCACTGCCTTCCTTCTTCTTCTCTTCACCTCCCGGTTCCCTTCTCCGTGGAAATTCTTTTATCTTTCCTTTCACCTGAGCGAGGGATGTCAACAACCGTATGCGAAATGACTGTGTCTTGGGCCTGCACCATGGTTCCTGCGCCACACTGAGGTGCATAGCACACTCTACCAGGACCCTTCTGTTCGACGCGAATCCTACCTCTTTGAAAAATAATGCAAACCGAGTTGGTTTTGTTTACTCATATGTGCAGTCGAAACCCCATCAACTTATCGCATAGTCCAGAGAACATGAACCAGACCAGTGACCGGCCAACCGAACTTCCAATTCTCCTCGAGGCCTCGGCTCGTCTTCGTTTTGCGTTCATGCACTGTACAATGCCGTCTCATCTTGCAGTCCCGGCGTATATTCGTAGTCGCCGGAGGGGTTTCCTTGTTCTGTGTCGTTCCGCTGATCAGCACGCCAATGCACAGGAGCAGTATGCGACAATAAATTCTCATGAGCGATTCCTACCGTCTATTCCTTTGTCGATCATGCTCTAACCGCGGAAGCAGTCAAACCTGGGGCGTGCATGTGTTGTCCTTGCTCACAATCTTCGTTCCTCCGCACTGGGTAGTCCGGGGTGCAGCTTCAGTGCCCCGAGATGGGGCTTTACCATGACCCCTCTGCAGATGACCATTAGGTCTCTTGTTCAATAACACGACTGTTTACTTAAAAGAAACATGTGTGACTCGTTGCGGACAACATCATCGTCTCGTGGCTCTCTCATGGCTCTCATCTCCTAATGTAACAGGAGAGAACGGTCCGGGCGGATAGGCATCGGTTCTGGTAGTCTGAAATCATCAGGGGCATGGTTTTACATGACGGCATCGAAGCTTTGCGCCTTGAGGGTTCCAGTGATTTACGGATTGTGCCATTCTCGTGGTTGTGAGGCGCTTCGCGATATACGACGACCGGTGGTGAGGGTGAATGTCTGTCGGGCGACGGGCTGGGAAGACAGGAGACTCTTCCATTACGCGAGAACATTCGACGACTTTGGCGTTTATTACCGGTGGGATGTATATTTGATGCGTTCAATGGCATTCTTGCATGGTGTGCGGTGGCTTTGAGACTTTTCGGAAGGCTTTCACAACAACCACTGTCGGAAGTATCATGTGTTGCTGGGATAGACACAATGTGGTTGACAAGTTGTTATCCACGGTTGACCAGGCCGCCGACGTGGGTGAGAAGCGGGTGGACGGTCGGTGTGGCTCGCTTCCTCCCCGGTCCCAGCCCATGCCTCAGGCTCTAGTTGCCGGATGACGGGAGTTGCCTTCAAGCTGTTCACTTCAGCACACACGGACAGGGAAGGATAAATGAAGATCCATCCCGTGAGGCAACCCTTGCGTCAATCACTCAAACCAAATCATGTCAAAAGAAAGAAAAAAAAGAAAAAAAAAAAAGAAAAAGACATCAAGGGAGGTGTGACCCGTTAACCCTGTCGACTGTTGATACCTCGTGCAGCTGAGAGTTTTGGTGGTGGAAAGAGACTCCTCTCCCCGGCCAGATTGGTGACATGGATTGGCGGGCCCGCAACGGGGCATGCAAACCGCACAACAATAATAAGACCCCGGTATAGCAAACAGGTAGGGTCGAGGGGGTAGAAGAGGGCACAGATGGATAGAATGAAGCAGGTGGGACACACGCGCACAGACAGATACAGACAGAGACAGGCAGAAAGAGAGAGAGAGAGAAAGAGAGCGTGCAAACTTCCGAGTGCTGGGAGTTGGTCTGGCCAACTGAGTTTTCGCTTCACATGATTCAATCATACTTACTACTTCCAGCAGGTCGTGGTCTATCAGTTATTCTCGGCCCAAACTTGCAGCCATTCATGTCGCTTGCACTTGACAAGCAAGCACTTCGTCCAGTTTTTGCGACGGGACTTTTGCTTGCTTGCCAATTGGCATTCGGGGATCCTGGATGTTTGCAAACAGTTGCATCATATTCGGGAGTTTGATGCCGAGCGGACTGTCAACCATGACCATCTTAGTCATTTTACGCATCCGTGGTCTCTCCAGTGGCGGGTTTTGTCCTTCACGGCCTGGGACAGGGTTGCTCTGATTCCTACCTGAGTTGCGTTGCTCATACGCATCTCGAAACACCTGACTGCCGGTACTCTTTTCCATGATCGGGATGATTTACCTGTCTCACCTGTCTCTTATCTCTCACATTCTTGGTCTGACCCTTGGCGGTCTGGCACCATTCGTCCCTAGCGCTATATGGATACAAATCCTGGCCGCTTGTCCGGATTCTACCACTTTCTATCGCTGTGCTGACAATTGGGGGATTCTTGCCGTCTTGGGCTGGGATCTACGGGCCGCCAACCGGCAAAGTTGTCCATCCAGCCAAGACCCCGACATTAGACTGGCATTTTTTTTCCTGTCATGGTGTCTCAACTCGATGAATCCTTTTGAGGTTCGTCCACATCAGAGGGTCGTGATTGATAATGATTGCTGATTTGTTCTGTTCATCTGCCACCTGGAAAGGTCACCATGGGGGGACAGTTGCCTCGCCCGATGCACGAATATGGTCACCTCGGTCTGGACCATTGCACACGGCAAGCATCTCACCTGGCCTGGCGTCAGGCGGTGCGATACATCACCTCATCATGCAGACTCATCTCCATGCATGCTTGACTTCACAACCTAATGATCATTGATGGAAACCGAGCAGGAAGAGAAAAATCCTTACGTGTCCTCTCTCGGTAGCGGATACAGAAGCCCACTAGAGAGGTCTTAGGTCTTCTAGATCGTCAGTAGTGTCGCAAACCCCGTACGGAGAATCCAAGGTGATTCGAAGAGGCCTCCATTTCAGGCCCCCGACAGTTGGTGGAACAGCTCGGTCGCCTCTGCGGTCGATAGATACGAGCCTGTTTCCGGTCCTAGTCCCATGTCTGCTATGTAAGACACCCAGCTTTCGGTGTCGTGGAAATCGTATTGCTCGCCTCCTTTTGGATCTGCAGACTGAGGTGAAATTAAAAATGATTGCTCGTATGAGATCTTGGGAGTGACCGACAAAGTGTTTAGGAAAAAGTGCCGCACGGGTTGACATGAGTCTGGGCCGGCTTTCGGTAGCCGGTCTATGATGTTAGCATGCAGGAGTGGGAATGGGTGGGTGGATATGGGTTGGAGAACTATTCGATATGTTCGAATAGCGAAAGACTGATCCTCCGATAGGGGGGGGGAGAAGAGGCCCGTTGCTCAGCAATGACAAAAGTATTACGCCATAAGCATAAGCTGGAAAAGTGTTCCGACCGGTTAATGGGATGAGAGATAGGAAATGTGCTTTGGTGATTTTTTTTTTGGGTTCGTTTTTTTTGCCATTCTTACCCATTTTGCCTTTTTTTCCTCATGGGACAAGCAGGATTGACTGGCAACGGGAATCAGGTGACCTTCAAATCTGACTGTCAACTGGCAGGTAAGCAACCATGTTTAGAGTAGCCATGTTTGTCTCCCGAACAAACTCGGAGGGCGATCGACCACAGAGTGCCGACTCAGTCCACTTCCACACCACGCTATGACGTTATCATCCGTTCGTCCCTGCTCCCATCCAACCTCAACTCTTTCCAACATTCTCTCCCGAGTCCCTTTCGCAACCACCGCAGCCACTCACGCGCTCCTCTCTCTCCCCCATACCAACCCATACCAACTTAACGCCACACCACGTTTCGATCCGAATTTGGGGGATGGGAGGGAGAAAAGCATGGGTGCACGGCTCCATGGGTTCATGATTGGGATTGGGGTTCCTAGCATCCTGACTGGGTGGAAAATTGTACCTTTCTGTGGCTCGTCCCCCGGATCACCAAGCTAACCTGAATCAGGTAGTGAGAAAGGTACCCAAGTTCCCCAAAATCCCAAAATCATTCCTTCCGAATCCCAAGAGATTATTGTTTCCAAATCACGAAAGGCTTGAATGATGGCTGCTGGGACCCGCCCCTCCCCAACATTATCCTCCGTGCACGCTTGGCCCCTGGCAGTTCCCCTTTCCCAAACATTAAAACACTGTGACTTTTGTCAGAGACTGAGAATATCCCGGCTCCGAAAAGCCCAGTGGCGGCCGAGGACACTGAAGGGCCCCCTCTCTTCACCCACCCCTTCCTCCTCCTCTGGGCTCTCCGGCTCTCCGTTTCTTTCTTTATTTCTTTCTAGCCCCAAAATGAGGCTAATGCAAAGTCCAGGTTTGTTCTGGGCCAGGCCTTGATTGGGTGGGAGTTTCTGCCAACCATCAGCAACCCGCCGTCAGCCCGGCACGAACCCCCCCCACCTCTCTTAGCCTGTCTGTCCTGTCTCCTCCTTCGCCTTCCTTCCATCTCGTCGCTCCCCCGACCCGAACAGACCAGTCCTAGCTGGTTAGGCCCGCGGAGATTCAGTTTGCAACCCAAGATTCCAGAATGATCGGACGTCTTTCTTCTGATTGGAGAGGATTTTTAAGGTTCTTGTTCCGGTTGTGCCCTTGCTCTATTACAGGGGCCAAGCAACGAAATGGGCAGGACACAAAATAATATTATCGTTGCAATAATTCCACATCGACAGTGACGAAGCGTCGGTTACAGGCTATCCCTCGGCCTCATTCCTTATCCGACCTATATAACAGTATCGTCAACACGATTGCTGCAAGGTCCGTTTCCCCCTCCCCTCCCGCCCCGTCTCATTTTGCCACCCGGTGCGCTTTTCATCCCAGGACAACCTCCTGCTTGTTGTCTTGACTTATTATTCACTTGGTTCAGTCTGTATTAATGTCCGATCCGCAGTCCGCCTCCCGCTCACTCGCTCCCGCTCCCGGCCTTCCGCAAAACACGAAGAGTCCCGACAATGTAGTTCAGGGTCGGAAACATAAAACCACCGCCTGCACGGCGTGTAAGCAGAAGAAGCTCAAAGTAAGTGAATCAAAGGAAGACATGACTATGATAGAGTGCGAATCTGATTATTCTTCAGTGCAGGGGAGATCCACCATGTCAACACTGCGTGGCCAACGGCATCGAGTGCCATGTCGACGAGATGGCTGATATGCGTCGCAAATTCGCCATGAAACGGAAGCTGGAGCGGCTCGAACAAGCCGAAGAGACTCTGACGCGGCTGCTTGAAACGCTCCGAGATAGCGAAAGTAAAGATCTGGCCCAGGTGCTGAATCTCATCCGAAGCAACGCCTCATTCGACGAACTCCAATTGTATCTTGACAAGCAGTTATCCGGGGATGGTTCTGAAATATCACCGGGCCTGCAGCAAGTTCGAAACCAACTTACTCGCCCATCCGAAGAAGCTGATGAAGTTGGTCGGTCTGCGCGCAGTGGCAGCCGCCGTATTCTGGATGTGCGCCGCCTCGCAGACACCCCGGTCTATCGAGTACCCGCAAAGCCGTGGACGAGGGTCACCGACGACGATGAATTGGTATCTCATTTGGTCTCGCTCTGGTTAACGTGGACCTATCCGTTCTTTGACTGGTTGGACAAAGACGCCTTTATCCGGGATATGCAGGCAGGCCGACTTAACTGCCAATTCTGTACACCATTCCTGGTAAATGCCATCCTCGCGGAGGCTAGTGTATGTTGCCTATCTTAACTGTTGTGCTTATAGCGTCGCTTGGTTGAGGTGACGGCTCATTCATGATTCTTATGCGTGGCACAGTACCTTTCCGACTACGCCGAAGTATTTACCGTCCCAAACGACATGTTTTCTCGAGGTGATCACTTCTATGAAGAGGCGCGTCGGTTGTTAGAGGAAGAGGAAGGGTCAGCTAGTCTACCGACCATTCACGGCCTCCTCGTGCTATTTATCCGGTCAGTGCTTACCAGTACCACCTTTGGTCGTCCCACCTAACGCTGCGTCGTGTCAGTCTCACTCTTATGGGAAAGGATAGATTGGGTTGGATGTATCTCGATCTAGCCATCCGAGCGGCCCAAGAATATGAAACTGCACATCCACCTAGGTCGACGAACTCGGAATCTGATCGCATTCTTGAAGATGCGGCGAATCGCACTCTCTGGGGCGTCTTCTGCATGGCTTCGTATGTACTTCGCACCTGTTGGTTATGCTTTTGACTGACCAAGCCAGCACGGCCAATGTTTCCCTGATGAAGCACCTTAGTATTGACCCCCCACGGCGCCCACGCATATCGATGAAACACGGCGATCCTGAGGACATTTGGTACCCGTATCCTCGCGAAGTGGAATCCGTACCAGGCCACCATACCTGTGTATTCGACCGCTGGTGTGATCTTTCTAGCATCCTTATTACGATCAGTCACGCATTTCATGATTACGAGCGTCGAATCCCCCGGTCGGATATTGCGACATTTGTGCCGGCCATCTTTACACAGCTCCAGGGCTGGTATACCAATCTGCCGGAATGCTTACAGGCGGAGACAGCAACTGTTCCCCACGCCTTAAGCCTGCATCTGCTATACCATACGACTGTGATGCAGATTTTTGGGTTTATGCGCGCCAGCAATGACCTGGTTCTAGATCCGGCCACAGCCAGTCATGCCCGAGAACTCTGCCTCGCATCCGCCCGCCGAATCACCCATCTATTAGGTATTCATCGCGCCAAATGGGGCATTGATCGCATGTCACCCTCGACGATCCAGTGGTGGAGCATTGGACTCTTCACGCTCATGGAATCTCTCGACTCCCAGGAGAATAGGAATGCCTTTGTCGAATTGTGTATAATTGCCCGCGCCTTTGCTCGTCGGATGCCTCTCGCAAAGGGAATTCTCCGCATGATTCAATTGTCCGCCAGTCAGATGCAGGTTGTTTTACCGGAGGAGACGGAGGCGCTCTTTGAGGACTTTGAGACTCTAGCTTGGAAGGCAACCGATTCTCGGGGATTCAGCAGTTTCTACCCACACTTCCATACGGTGGTTCAGCAAGGGTCTTTGCGGCAACCCGAGATGGATTTGGATCAATTTCTGGCTAAATGGGATTCGTTGAGTATATCCAAGCTCAACTCCCACGATCACGACAATAATCATGACGCCGACCCTCCTGGTGGGCCATGAGTCTCGTCTAGTATCATTATACCATAATTGGACAAAAGTTGTATTGGGTTAAAAAAACCAAACTATTATTGGGTTGTTCTGGGCTGGATTCCGCCTATTCTGTCGGTGTAGAATCGGAGAAGTATTTTTGGTGGCAAAAAGTCACGCGGCGGATACCTACGTTGTTCGACGTTGGAGGGATCCTCGGTCGGGTCCTGCATCAGCCTCTCGGAAATGACTTCCTGCAGATCTCACAGGGAGCAGGCCACGCACAATAATAGGCAGACTAAGCCGGCGCCGAATGTCGTGCTGCCCATAGCGTGGGACTAGGCGGACTGGCAGCAGTACAGCACAGTACCCAATGCTAGCCTCGGAGGTTAACCCACCCCACCGGTAGAGTGATCAACGATTCATGGATCATGGGTCAGGGCTCTAGACCGTCGAGTGGCATGCGGCTAGCCCTTATCTCCCTGCATCAAGCCACCCTAAGATCTGCCGAGACGTTCCCACAGGTGTCAAGCGGAGGAGGGGTGGCGACATTTGGCGAGCCACGCGCCCACATACACAGTACTAGCACTAAGCCACTCTACGTTACTCGTACTTGAGGACTGTTTAGCACACCTGCATATCCACCGTCCCAGACCAGACTGACTCTGACTTGCTTCGTTGCCACAAACTGATAATCGGTCGTAAGTTTTACTCCTCGGTCGATCGCGGTGGCAAGGTCAGGTGATGTGGTCGGTACTGAGCAAACTGGAACTGGAGCCGATCAGCAGCAATCTACCCAGCACGGGCCCACTTCGTTGCATCTTTCCTCCTGACATTCATGACAACTGACAGGAGCAAATCGCCCGCCAACACTCCAGATGAGGAGCAGATCTTCGTTCGAACATTTCGATCCTCATTGAGTACGAGTAAGAGGGTGGAAAATTTCTTTACTCCTAATTTGCTCTCTTTTCGTATCTATCCGCCTCGGTGTCGTGTCAGACAGGGCGGTGATCTCTCCGCGGGAATTCGCACTATCAATGCACCCAAGACTTAAGGACTCAACATGTGTGGCAAATCTGACACCCATCATTTCCGACCTGTCTCAAATCGCTCAACAATTCCGCTCGTGTGAAACTGGCCTATGATGTGAAACTGTGATCATGATCCACTATCGAAATAGGGCAAAGATTGATCCCAGTGCTTAACTCCTGAGCTTCGTCTGCGACCGTGCCGAGCTCCACGCAACACATACGCATTTGACCGAAACACCGCCCGTCGCATGACTTTTCTTAGCTCTTCGGTGACTGCCATGGCAAAATTATTCCAAATCTCCGTCGTTGGGCGCACAATCCCTGGCCTGGGCATTTCCGCCATTCTTGCTGCTGTTGATACAGCAAACATGCATGTGCTTGGGTTCCTGGCCGTGCACCCGATCGGCCACTGCCCCGAAAGAGTATGGTATTGGGGAATCAGACTCTCATTGGAATTGAGTCTGACGCCCTCACAGTCGCACCGTTCCCATTGTACTCCGTATGCTCACCAGATATGCATCGCGACGTGTTTGCTTTTACATCAGTTAGGCTCGCAGGATGATTCCAATTGTTGCCGTGTCGGTTTTGCTACCTCTACCGACCTCATTTTCTTTGTCGGCCTGGAATGGCTATTTTTGTGCCTGGGCCGTGTGTTTGGTGCTGGCACGGTGCTTCCGTGCTTTGATCTCGAGCAACTTGGTTATATCCTCCCTTAGATCGCTTTCCATGATGGAGCTATTCGCGGTGTTAAAATGATGAACTCGCGTCCCCCCGACCAGTTCCGCATTCTTGGTCTCATTTTCGGGACTGCATTTGCAGGTATAGCTACCGGTACAATCAGCTAACGCATGCCCTTGAGATTGCGATGTCGCGCCCTCATGGTTGCTGGTGCAGCTGCCGGCATTATCATCAGCTATTCTGATGGCTTTCCAGCTATCCAGTGGTGTTTTAGTGTTTTACTCTGGTCGGGGGGTTGTGTCTCGGCAGTCTATTCCGGCCGCTCAAGACTTCATCGCCGTGATGGATGGCAAAGGTGATCTAGTTATCACCGTCAACCTGACATAGCTTCCGGGGTATATTCTCCCTAGGCGGAATGTGTTCTTGGTCCGGCCTGTGTAGGGGTGGTGTTCACTTGCTTCAGATCATTATTCCGTTTGTGAACGCGAGTTAAGCGGAGACTTTGGGATTGAATATCTTCGCAGACCTCCCCGGAGCATTAAAGGCTCCACGGTGCTTGGATTCTTCATGGGGCAGGCGAAAACTCATATAGTATGATCCGGAGCACACCCTTGCCTGGGCAGGCTACCACCGTAAGTCTCGCCGCGCCTTCGCCTTCACCTCCTTAATCGGTTCTTCCTTTCATCATTAAGACATCTCGCCCCATCACTTCCGCGCGTAGAAGTTGCCAAATTTCGTGTAGCCGAAGTTGAGATGAACATGGAAACTGTATTTGTGGACTGGTTTGCGTGCCTGGCACAGATCTCCGTCGTTACGGTAAGCTTATTCAATTCACCGGAATACGAATAGCATAATTCAATGCAAACTTTGTCATGCCATATGCTATTATGGTCGAATTCGCACTGAAGGAGTGGGGAATCTGCAGTGCCGGCGAAGTCTCCGAGCGGGCATCTCTAACCTGCATAATTACATCTAACTATATATCTTCATGATTGGGCGATACTAGATTGCACATATCCCACACACCTCAGGACCGTCCCTCCGGCGAAAAATCTCATTTATCCCCATCGGCATTTGACGCAATGAGTCATTGAGATATAAGTTTATGCCAAACCTACACCCAAACTCAGTTACCAACGGAAATGCTCAAGAAAAACAAGCTTCGGAGCGATGAAGTCCGCGGGTAAATAAACAGCAAAGACCAAATTGAACGCTTCCCGACCGCGCGGGATTTGACTTGTTTGGTTCTCCGCAATCGGCGGCAGAATTTTTTCCTATTCACGAGCGATAATCTTATCTATACATCACTCCAACAATAAATCCCCGGCACTTTTGAAAACTGTTGATTCCTCTTGTTCGTAAGGAAAAAAAAGAAAAGGATGATTCAGGTCCCCGGAGCTGGGGGCGATGAAGCCCATGACCGACACAAAGATGAAGCTTTGGAGGTAGTCAATAGCGAAGAGGGGTTTGAGATTGACCCCGCGGTGGAGCGACGGGTCTTGCGCAAGATTGATCTGTTCTTCATGCCTGCAATGTTGGTTGGTGCGTGAGATATACATCTGTCATGGAAATTTTGAGAAAGTTGAATGGTATACTGATAGGCTGAAAAGGCTATGGCTTTGTTTACTGGGATAAGGTCTGGTTTAACTACTTCTTTGTGGCAATATGATTCTGACTACAAACCACAGGCTATCCTCGGTAGTGCCTCGTTATTTGGCATGACCAGCGACCTGGCTCTCTCGGTGGTCGACTACAGCACCACCCCCCCGACCAAAAACACCTCGCGACTGAGCTGGGCCACCTCCATCTTCTACTTCGGCATGATGGCCGGTCTGTACCCGATGACTCTGGTGCTGCAGCGGTTCAAGATCCAGCATGTCTTGGGTCCGATTGTCATGCTGTGGGCCATCACCTGTGCGGCCACTGCCGGCGTCACGTCGTGGCGGGGTCTATTTGTCCAGCGCTTCTTTCTTGGTATCTTTCTCTTTTCATCCAGTTCAACTGATCCGTGCTCCTGACACCATGATGTAGGATTCGTCGAAAGCGTGATCCCCACCGGCTTCATGACTGTGATCAGTGGGTACTACACGCAAAAGGAGCAAACCCTACGCCAGGCGATCTGGTTCTCCGGGACGGGGTGGTTCACCATCATCGGCGGCGCGCTCAACTACGCCTTCGGCCAGATCACCACGGGCGCGCTCCGGCCGTGGCAATACATCTACATCTTCGCGGGTGTCCTCACCTTTCTCTTCGGGATCTGGTGCTGCATTCTCCCCAACTCCCCGGTGTCCGCCTGGTTTCTGACGCCCGAGGAGCGGGTGGTCGCCGTGGAACGCCTGCGACGCGGCCAGACAGGCGTGCGATGCCAGACGATCAAGACGTCGCAGATTGTGGAGGCATTCACCGATGTGAAGCTGTATCTGATTGCTATCATGATGGCTGCTGCGTGAGCTTTCCTCCGTCTTCCCCTCACCTGCTTCTCTGCTAAATGATCTCACAGCTACACAATCAACGGCGCCATCTCGGGCTTCGGCCCCCTGATCGTCTCGACCTTCGGCTACAACACCCTGGCCTCGATCCTGTTCCAGTTCCCCGTGGGCGCCATCTGCATCATCTTCATCCCGCTGGTCGGGTACATCCCCACCATCCTCCCGAACACCCGCATCCTGTTGCTGGTGACCTGCTGCCTCCCTGTCATCGCCGGGTGCGTCATGATCTGGAAATCCAGCTGGGGGTACCGGCCCGCCACGCCAGTGGTCGGCTACGCGCTGACGGGCTTCTTCGGCCCGGTGGTCAGTCTGATCATCACGCTGGGCGCGAGCAACGTCGCCGGCGCCACCAAGAAGACCATTATGGCCGCCACAGTGTTCGTGGCCTATGCCGTCGGCAATATCATCGGCCCGCAGCTGATCAAGTCCGAGACCGTGGGGCAGCACTATCCCGAGCTGTGGACGGGGATGGTCATCTGTTACTGTATTGTGATCGCGGCTGCCGGGGCGTTGTGGGTGGTGCTCTGGCGGGAGAATCGCCGCAGGGACGCGGCCGGGCTGGATGAAGGGTTGCGGGATAAGTTGGGGTTCCAGGATCTGACGGATCGGGAGAATGGGTGGTTTCGGTATGTGCTTTAGTTGGACAGTGATGTTGTGGGGTTGATCATGTCTGGTTCTGGCTGGTTCGGGCGATACTTGTATGGGGAAGCTGTTGGCTTGATTGAGCAATGGACTCGTCAGGGTAGTCCTCGGGAGCAATGATTGTGTTGTTTTGGGGCTACCCTGTTCCAGTCTGTCTGTACAACATGTGACGTGGTCCTGCATTTCGGGATTTTGGTAATGGGTGAATAAGCAGATTTGACATCCACTGCCAATGAAATGTGTAACTTCCATACAAGCAGAGCCCGCTAGGAGGCTTGATCTAGAAATGTTGGGCAGAGAGTGAGACATAGCCCCCTTGCGGCCTTTTCGTGAATGAGGATTAGATGCACCATGCATAAGAGCTGTTTGACGAACTGCAACCATCGAAGCATGTTCTACGGTCATTCGCATACCCTGAGCGATACACCTCTTTAGTGTGTAATATCCAGAAATCCATCTCTTTTCCGTCAGCGAGTGATCGTCCATTCACCCCGCCATACACCCCTCACCCCGCTCCACCCCGCTCCACCCCGCCGGCTTCGGCTGACTAGCTCCCGATGAGTAAGCGGCTATTGCCCCTGTTATCCACTGGAACAACCATAGGGGTTGGAAGGACGCAAGAAATTGACTGGGAAATGAGAATAGTCGGTCCGCTAGACCAGTGTCCATTTTTCATTTAAAGAACGCCAAAAGACTCACCCCTCGTTTTCATCGCACTGATTTCTCCAGTAAACACTCACACTGTCCCGCAAAATGGCCACTGCACGGTTCCAGACAGGCTTATATGTCGACGACACCCTCAACTTCACAGTCCGACGAGACCTCCCCATCCCCAAGCCAGCCGCCGGCGAGATACTAGTAGAAACGCTGTACTCCGGCGCCAATCCCGCCGACACCAAACACGCAACGCAGCTGGGCATCTCCCCCGCCGTGCTGGGCTACGACTTCTGCGGGAAGGTGCTCGAGGTCGCGCCGCAATGCCACCGCTTCCGCCCGGGCGCGATCGTCGCAGGCTACACGCCCACAGGACTGAACCGCCCAGCCAAATACGGCACACACCAGTCGTACCTGGTGTGTCCGGAGGAGATGGCATTCCACGTGCCCGCCACACTCCCGCTACCGGACGCCGCGGCTCTCACCGTGGTCACCATGACGGCGGCAGATGCACTGTTCAATTTGCTGGGGATTCCCCCTCCACAGGAAGAAGCCCCGACCGGCGGTGTACAGGCTGGCAGCAAGGGACTCCTCATCTGGGGCGCCTCCAGCAGCGTGGGCATCTGCGCGGTCCAGCTCGCGCGAGCCAGCGGGGTCTCCCCCATCCTTGTGACGGCGTCCCCGCAGCGCCATGCCCTGCTCATGAAGCTGGGCGCCACCCACTGCTTTGATTACCGGTCCCCTACGGTGGTGGACGAGATCACACGAGCAATTCAGGAGAGCAACTCCACCGTAGCTTACGGTCTCGACGCCGTGGGCAGTGACACGGGGACTGGGGACTCCTCAGCAGCCCTGCTGGCTCGGTGTCTCACCCCGGACGCGGACCTCGTCTCGCTGGTCGTTCAGGACGATCCCCGCTTCCGTATGCCCCTCGCGACCCCTAACCGTGATGTGACTATTAAGGTTGCAGCGGTCCCGCGGCCCGTTACCATCCCGGCGAGGCCGGCGGACTTTGAGCGCGCGTGGCGGGTGCTGGAGTGGGTAATGCGGGGTTACCGTGTGCGCTTCCGGCTGCCTCGCGTTGAGGTCTTCGGGGGGTCGGCGCAGGATGCGCTGGAGGTGTTGACGGGGCTGGCGGAGGGTGGGAGGATGTTTGGGAAGGTGGTGCTTCGCCATCCGTTGGTTTGAGGGAGGTTTAGTTTGAATAGGAGGAGGGGATAGTAGTGATGGTGAGGGGGTTGGTTGATGGAGTTATGAGTGCATTCTTTAGAGTTATTTAGGGCTATTGTTCCAAACTACACGCAAACCCATGTTGGCTTTTCCCCCCTCTGAAGCCAACCCAAAGAAAAAAAGCATTATTACTATATCTATTCACAAAGGTCGAAGTGAGCTAGAAAGGCAAGAGATACCATTACAGCTACCATTAACCTACCCAGCAATTCAACAAGCAAGCATCAATCAATACACCACCACAGAAGGCGGCCCAAACGACCCACGATCATCCCGGGGCCTTTTCAGCGCGGCCAACTCCGTCTCCGCGAGCAGAAAGACCATCAACTCCAACTCCGACTCCTCATCCACAAAGTGACAGTGGTATCTCTTCAGCGGAAACGTGCAGTCCAGACACTCGTGCCCGCCCAGATCGACTGCCAGCACGTCGCGGGCCTCGTGCCATTTGGCGTCCGAGACGACCACAACGCACCACTCTATCCCCGGTGGTGTCTGGCCGTTGAAGATGAACTCACGTTGCGGCACGTATTCGTAGTCGAAGGGGACCTCCTCTTCGAAGTGTTGGATAATGGGGGTGGCTGCCATGGTGTTGAGGTGCTTTTGTATATTATATGACTAGTTCCTACTTGTGAGTTGGGATAGCTGTTAGCCTCAGGTATGGGTGTCTTGGAGAATAGAGGGGTTTCTGGTCCGTTTTATATGTTTCGGGTTGGGCTACGCTGATTACTGATGCATAGAGCTTGTTGTGGTTTCTTTGTGCTACTGCTTTCGGTATCAAAGCTGATTGCTAGCATTGTTCGGCAGGCTTTGTGGGAGGAAGATCCCCAGATGATCACATTGTTGGCTAGACTACAGGTGGTTGGTTGACACTTCAATGCACTTTTATCACGGTCTTTGTCTATTCACGGGGGTCTAAGGAAGCTGTTCTTTCGGCGTCTTTACGCCACTGACACCCCACCCCGTACGCCCCTTACCCAAAGGTCGGACAGAATACTTAAGTCTTGAAAACTAGTATTCTTTCCCTAACCTATATCTATGAACTGACAGCTCAATACTATAACTCAACTCATACGTACGGGTATTCCTGATTGTGCTGTGGAATAGTTCTCGGGGGGTGGAGGGGGAAAGGGATGAGGTCACGTGACTGGAGATCCCCCGCAATCGGACCGACCGGAAATACATTGTAAATCCATCCTTCTGTCGCCATCGTCCCTTTGTCATCATCGATTATATCCCGCCAACCGTTCGAAAATGAGTGCTACGCGCAGTAGAACATGCTTGAGCTGTAATAGGACCTTCTCGAAAGCCGAGCACCTCACGCGACACTTGCGGAGTCACACTAATGACAGGCCCTACGAATGTCTGATCTGTGGCAAGTTGTATTCCAGGAGGTAGGCACCTGCTTTTCTACATCCCACATGTCGTTGGTTCTACCGGATACTGATCTCGCTGTTGCAGTGATGTACTACGCCGGCATGAAAAGATTCATCAGACAGCCTCGCCTCAGTCTCGAGAGCGTCCAGCAGGCGAGAAGGCAATGTCGACGCCATCATCCCAGCAGGCAATCAACCCTTCAGATGCACCAACAGGCACCTACCTGGTGCCAGAGCATCAGCTGCATTTCGTCAACCCCATTCAGCATAGTGAGCCCAGCTCTTCTTGGTCTCCAGGAGCGCTTCTCGATGTCGACGCGCTGGATTTCACCTTGACCTCGGCGATTTCGGAATGGGCGCAACTGCCCCCCATCCTGTCCATCCCGAGCTTGACTGATACCGGCCCCTTCCTTACCCCCACCTCAATGCAGACTGCGGAATTGCCAGGTGACGTTGTGAAGCGAAGATGGTTTACGCGTCTGACTGTACCGGAAGACACACCGGCTTCCCAGAACAATTCCGGCACTCGGGGCGGGGAGGTTGGTCAGGGAAACCTCGCGGCCGATGAAACCTATCGAGCAGGCCTCTCGCAGAAACTCCAACCTCGCATGCACGATGAGGCTCTTCCCTCAGCGGAGCAGCTCAATCTCTTCGCCAACCAATTCTTCACTCGCTTTCACCCACTTCTGCCGATCGTGCATGTTCCCTCGTTCAAGCCCACCACTGAGAACTCGTTACTATTCATCTCAATCTGTTCGGTTGGAAGCCTATTTGTAGGGTCGTCACACGCGGTCGCGCAAGGGAATCGACTGTTTGAGAGGTTGAATAAAGCGATTTTGGCGTCCTGGGAGTCAGTTCTGGCTCGCAGCTGCTCCGACGCGTTGTCCATGGTTCAAGCAGCGATCATCGGCCAGACATTTGCCATTCTCTCCGGCCGTCCCAAGGACCTCATTCTGGCGGGTGTTCTGCATGGCACGGTCATGGCCTGGGCGCGTGAGTCCGATAGGAGTGCACTGCCGCTGCCCGTGACCCCCCGAGGTCTCGACCTCGATGAAGCTTGTTTGGGCGAGCAGTGGAGTCGATGGATTGATCGCGAGCAGCGATTGAGGGTCAAGATCGCCCTGAACATCCATGACGCGGAACTCGCGAGTCTATTGCACCATGAGCCCATCTGCAAACATCGGCTCACGCAGTACCCTCATTTGGCCTCGGATGCATTGTTCACGGCGCCTACGGCGGTGAAATGGGCCAGAGCTTACAAACTCACGACGACTCCAACGAGCCCTCGAATGTCGAACACGTACCTCGACAACATTCTCCCAGGAGATTCTAGATTTGCAGCCTACGGACTACTTGAGAGCATCAGTGCCCACGTCAGTGAGGCTCGACGGTCGAATACACTCGATGACCAGGAAGTGGGGAGATTATCCCACATGCTCATGTGGTGGTGGGGGAGCAATAGCACCCAGTCTACCTTACACGACAACGAGGACGACCCCTTTGCGTTGCAAATCTTGTGGCACTCCACCTACATAGCCATCTACGCCGACCTCGACCTGCTGGAACGAGCCAGCGGCCGGGATGGGGAGTCTGCTGCGCAAGCCAGCTACCCGCTTGTCCGTTCTTGGTCGGGGTCACTAGGCGCAAGTAAATGCCTGGTTCATGCTTTCCTACTGCAGCGTTACGTGGAGAAGATGCGTGTCGCCGCCGAGCCAGCCATCCACATCCCTCGAGGTCTATTTCACGCCGCTTTGTGCTGGTTCGCCTTTACTCGAATTGGAGGCCAGCAAGGCGTCGATGTTAGGGCGTTCGAGGCTCCGGAAGTCCAGTTGTCAGACAGCCATGCGGCGCCGCCTGGCGCACTCGGAAAGGCTGGCAGAGACTGTATCTTGGCGGACGCCAACCAGGTGCACCGCTTGATCGATATGCTGAGCCGAGTCGGACGATGGGGCATTTCATCTTCATTCGCTTCGGTGTTGTGTGCTGCGATAGAGGGTCATTCTGGGGCATAGATCACTAAGATCCACGAAGGAGCTGGTTGGTCAGCATCTTCGTGACCATCATCCTCCCAAGGGGGGCTGATGGCATCTTTGCAGTCACCCCGCCTTGCTCGGAACGGCGTGGCGGGGACGCGGCGGGGTGGCCGGCGGGGTGCGCAGACAAGAACAAACCGAGGGAATCACTTTTCCCCAGTGTCCTCCAACGAGCAATGGCAATAGTACAGACCTCACGCTTGATACTAGCCGTTTTATTTGCCGAAGGCTCATCCGGGTCGCGGGGTCTAGTCTTCTACCCCCAGCTTTCTCCACGCCTAACCCCGCAAATAGAGAGATAGATGAAAGCTTATGTACCTTTGTTGCCGACCAAAAGTCCAAGTTTTCAAGTCATATCGTCCACAGCCCTGCTTAGGTCGACGTACAATTTTATTATCTCAGCAAATCACACCATGCCGCTCTTCACCGAACATGCCTCCAGCTGGCGCGACCTAAGGGTCCTGCCGTCTTTGGCTCCCCCACTGCCTCGCTTGACACCGGCATTCGTACCTTCTCCGGAGAGCGAAGTGGAACGATATGAAGTACTTATTGTCGGGGTAGGTTGGCTCTCTCCATATCAAACAACCGGGCTCAGTCCTGAAGAGTTGTGCAGATCATCAAAGACTAACCTATGTCACAAACGATAGGCCGGACCCGCCGGGCTAATGCTCCAACTACTCCTCGCAAGGTACGGATTGACAGACGAGTCCCTTCTATGCATTGACTCCAAGCCGAGCACCCTCAAATCCGGCCAGGCCGACGGGGTCCAGCCCCGCACCTTGGAGGTATTCAAGAGCCTGGGGATCTCCGAGGAGATCGAGCGGGAGGCATGCCAGATGTGGGAGTTTGCGTTCTGGAACCAGACCGAGAGTCCCGGCAACAACCAGAGCATCCAACGACAGACCGTCGTACCCCAGGTGATCCCGCCGGCCCGGTTTCCCTACGAAGCCACCATCCATCAGGGCCGCATCGAGCGCATCATGGACCAGGACCTGCTGCGCTACTCGCAGCGCGGGGTGCTGCGCAACACTAGGCTCGTGTCGTTGGAGATAGATGAGCAAGGCGACGCGGAGTTTCCCGTGTTGGTGCAGATCGAGGTCAATGGCGCCCAGCGACAGACCCTTCGGACGAAGCACCTGGTCGGGGCGGACGGGGCGCATTCCATGGTCCGCAAGGCGGTAGGTCTGCACCTCGAAGGCCAGTCGCTCGACCACATCTGGGGCGTGGTGGATCTCGTGGTTGACACGGATTTCCCGGATATCCGTCGGCGTTGTGCGATTCACTCCCGGGCCGGTTCCGTCATGGTCATCCCTCGCGAGCGCATCTGTACGGGCGAATATATCACTCGCATTTATGTGCAGGTCCCGGGTCTAGTGGATCCGGAGAGGAAGGAAGCGGATGCGGACCTTGGGGAGGGTGCAAGGGGGCGACGGTCGCAGGTTACGCTGGAAGGGATCTTGAAACAGATTGAAGACGTGTTCCAGCCGTACTATATCCGGCCTAAGAGGGCCGATGCGATTGATTGGTGGGCTGCGTACCAGATTGGGCAGAGGGTCTGTCCTGAGTTTATTGTGAAGGATGCTACTGGGGTTGGTAGGGTGTTCATCGTCGGTGACGGTACGTCTTGATCACTTCTAGGGGAGAGCTTGGACTGACAACCAGCAAGCTTGCCATACACACAGCCCGAAGGTAAACTGCCGCAATTAACCTCCTGCAATGATGAGACTGTACTTAGTAACTAACACTGGATTATGCAGGCCGGCCAAGGCATGAATGTGTCAATGATGGACTCATACAACCTGGCATGGAAGCTCGCTTATCACGTCAACGGCCTCACCCCGTCTACATTAGGGAATGCGCTACTCAACACCTACCACATCGAACGCCACGCCAACGCCCAACAACTAATCGACTTCGACAGAAAGTTCTCCACCGGCTTTTCGGATAAAGTGGGCACGGCTGAGTCTAAATCCGGCATCTCTCACGCCGAATTCGTTGACATGTTCAGCGCTGGTTGTGAGTTTACCAGCGGCTGCGGCGTAGAGTATGTGGAGAATCTGGCCGTAGACAGAACGCCTTCGACCGGCACCACGAGGCCCGTCGTCAGCGGCCACGACTACCTGTCCGGGATTCTCCGGCCTGGGCGCCGCTTGCTCAATGTCAAGATGAAGCGATTTGCGGACGGAGCGCACCGGGATATCCATGACGGTAAGACGACCTCTCCCTGTTTGACGCACAGGACAACCATCGCTGACTGCTTTTAGACTTGGGATCCACCGGGCGCTTCCGCATCCTGTCCTTCCTCTCCGTTGACCTGCTAGACGCGAACGGCGTATCTGCAATTGCGCTAAAGGACGTAACGGGTCTGGCTCAGCAGTTTCCCCCGTCGCTGCTTGAGCAGATTGTGGTGTATCCCGAGTTGCCGGGTGCGGTATCCTGGGCTAATATTCCGGCGTGTGTGAAGGAGTACGCAGAGATGTCGTTCTATAGTGGTTATGCGGTGGACGATGCGTATGGGATCTATGGTGTTGATCCTGCGCAGGGTGCGCTCGTGGTGGTGCGGCCGGATGGGTACGTGGGGATGGTTGCGCCGTTGGGCGAGGTTGCTCGGGTTGATGGGTATTTGGGCGGGATTATGACGCGAGTTGCTTAGGAGAGACTCTCTTCTTTGTTAGTGATGTATTTGGTATGTGTTAGTAGATGATATCCAAGACCTAACAACGAGTTTAAATAGGTTTTGTCGTCACAGCCTGCTTGTGGGATGTGTGGCGACGAGGGGGAAAGAGACGTATATCGGCGGATCAGAGCCATACCAATGTACTGTAGAGGTGCCTTTTAAGTTTACCGTTGTACCGACCTATGTCCTGGATTTATGTCTTCGATCCATTATGCTTTATGGCTCACTCAGAATGTTGTATGACTTTACAATATATGAATGTAACCCCTGTGGGGGGTGTGTGTGTGTGTGTGTGTGGGTATCTCGTTCTCACTTCTGGCAGCTATATAGGTCGTGTGGGGGTATTCATAGTGCAAAGTCTAGCCTCCTGGCTGATCCGACAAGAATATTCGTTCCAGAACATCAAATAAGATAGAGGAATAAGCAGCATGGTCGGCAACCAGGCTACCATTTCGAAAATTCATCAAAGGCATCGACCAGTTGTCGTGCCATCTGGCGGGGTTTCAAACGCGCACCCTTGATTACAACAGAAGCTAATAAAGTTATTGACAGTGCATCCGTAAGTGTCGACGGGGTTGCAACATTTGCCCAGGGTGCATTTTCCAGATGCACACTGCGAGTACCAAGGTTATCCTGATGATGCTTGAATTTGGGGGGAGCACCCAGGGTCTGGACCTACAGTGGTACCACACTTTCCACAGTTCTTCGCATCGGTGTTCGTATCCGTGCAAGCTCCGCTGCATACTTGCTGCGACTGTGATGTCTTCGAAGGGCCACAGACATAACACGGACCCTGCCCAGTTAACGCAGGGAAAACGCAAGTGGACGACGGGTTTGGGTAGTTCTTGTAACACCAGTCTGTACACTTGGCTAGGTTGGTCACCGAGGTCTGTGGCGTTGACCAAACGGGGGAGGCTGGAGATGTTAATCTCATCCGTTGAGCGGATTGTATGCTTGGATGTTTATCTTACTGAGCGCCAGTAGGGCGAGGATTGTGGGCTTGACCATGTTCAACTGTATGACGGAGATGAAGCGATATCTGAAAGGGTTATGCTTGTTGATCTTTCTAAAGTCGATCATAGGACGACGCGGACATTTATGTTTAGCACACACTCTTGCCATGACGTCCTTGATTAAGAGTAGCTTTAATGGTGAGGATGATGTTTTTGCTGCTTTGATGCGCTGCAATCCCGGACTTGTGATCTAGACTCCGCGCCAAGTATCCGCTGACCGATGGTTCCTTGGTACTATCAACAGACACATGCCGGGAGGATTTGGGTCGCTTGTGGGGAGGGAGCGGTGCGGAAACTTGGACATCTATGGTTGACGATAAAGTTCGAGATCTTGTTCTCGAGACCCACTCGCTGTGGAAAAGATATTGTGGTAGGAAATAAAGATAGGTCCCTTAGAAATCTTTGCCTTGATATATTAACATGTCTCAATGATATCAACCTGGCCTGTGATGACTTTGCCGGTCGTCAAGTAGTCCGATGCTGATCACGTTGCAAATTGACCGAGAGATCCCGCCATAGACCTCACTGGGGAATCTCAAAAGTTGCAGTGTGATACGGCAGTATCCGAGATCGAACACAATGTGAGTAGCGTGGCGCAGTGCATTATACCAGTCTTGTGGCAGTGCCACCTTGAAGTCTAGACCAGACTGTACAACAGTGCGCTCTCGAGCTCAACACCATGACAGCCTAGGGGTACTGGATTGGATGACCGTACCATTACATCCTTTGAGGGTGTGCGCGATTTCTGGATGTCGTACTATTACTTTCTCAGCCACTAACGTGCAGTGTAGGTCGCTGTAGAAACACCTTGCTCAGATCGATCCGATCGATCCGATCGATCAGTGCTGGTCGATCTCGATCCCACCAAGTGGGCCGGCCATCTCAAGCTTCCACTGCTTAATTTCACCGCAAACGGCCAGGACCCGCCCCCGATAACCTTATTTCGTACCGAATCATTTCTGCGCGCACTGCAGATACATACAAGGAATAAGAATTGCCTAGACCAGATCATTCCCACGTGGGCGGATCACAAGAAAACCTTGGCTCGGGTCTGAATCAATGCCAGAAGACAATTCAAAGTCTAGACACAAAGTTCAGCTGCCCCGGACCCCAACCGCATCCCCCACCGGTACGTCAGATGGTACCCAGCGACATCTGGTACTTCCTTATCATACATGGTAGCCCCTTAAGCATGATCATCTGTACCTCTATTTCGGCATGGAGGCACTTGATGTTAGAGTCAATGATGCGGATTTGCGCATCATAAAGACTCCCTGCAGCCAATGAAATGCAGTCCCGTAGGCCAAATGCTAATGGTGTAGTCTCTCCAAACCCTCGACCACACAATGAATCAATGTTATCTAAGCTGTGACCTCTATCGTGGCGTCCGGGGTTCCGCGAAATAAAAGGGTATAGATACCGAGCCGACCCTGGGCCTTGTTGCAACCCAAGGTGGTGTCCATCTTCAAGATTCAGATTCTATTCCAAGACACCGTTCAAAGATATACCACCATACAAGATGAAGCTCTCGCTATCAATAACTTCTGTTTTTCTTTCCCTTGTCCTCTGCTCCGACATCGCCCTTGCCAGAATCGTCACAGGAACTGCGTCGGACGGGGCGTTAAGCTGGGTTAGATATGTCCCCGACGAGACTCCTGCTCCCGAACGTGCCGCCTAGGGAGGAAAGCTAATTCGGTCGGATGCGAAATGATTTGACACCTGATCTGACGTGGTATGTGATAAGACCCCACCTTTTGTCTGCGGCTACTGTCTAATATATGCTCGACTAGACTGCACTCTGCTGCAGATAGACACAAACATAGCATCAATGCAGATTTATGGCTTTGGAAGGGCGATTAGATGAGATTGGGAGCCCCCGGGTAGATTGACCAATCTTGATTTCTGGAGCATTGTCTGTTGTCGAGTAGCGTGGATGCTCATCAATGTATAGCCCTTCCGATATACCGAGTACCAGATCTGACTCTTGCCAACTTTGATCTTCTCTCGAGCGGTGGTGTAGTGTTTGTAGTCTTGACCGTTCTCATGGAAACAGTGGTTTGGGGCCTGCTGGCGATAGTCCAATTGATGTCGGGATTAGTAGCATCTGTAGCATCTTTCCAGTCTACCATACCATTTTATTCCATATATCGAAGGTAGGGTGTTTTACAAACCAGATAATGACCTTATTAGTTTCAATGCCCGGTACCCACAGATAGCATGCGACTGCCACAATCAGGATCTTGATAGCTTCAACATCAACGGGACCTTCTGTATAAACAACTAAATATGGATCCTCAACTTTCTTCATCCTATATGATACAATGGTTCGAAGTACACGTTCCAACAACACTACGTGACCCTTGGGATTGCGACTCATATTCTTATCACTGTGAGGGTTACAACATCAGCAGCAAGTTTGTCAGACTCCCCGGTCGCATTGAAGAACTTCATAATCGCCGATCTCTTATTCTGTTCCGAAGCTCCGGGTGTCAGGTAGGTATCCAGGGTTGTTCCAACAGCGATTACTCCATCTACCTCGTCCGTTTCCTTGCTCCCCGGGCCGAAAGACAGAAAATGATCATTTGAGCGCCAGTCATGACGGGGTCCCGTCACAAAGAGCTTCCAATCTTATCGGGACATCCGGGGGGCCGGCTTTCTTGCCCGGAACCGGCCCCGCAGCCAACCCCAACCAAATAGTCACTGCCCGGAACCGGCACGGACGGGCCCACATTTGGGCCTGCCTGAAACTTCCATCCCATCTCCCCAAAACATCTCAGCCCACGCATCAATTACTAGTAAAATAATTCACCGCCACCACCTCCCCCAACTGCACCTCCTGCACCCATTTATCCCAATCGTACCGCACCCGCGGCCAGCGTCCCACCTTCTGCCCCTCCGGGGACGCGTACTTCTGGACATCGAAACCGGCCGGCTGCTCGTACAGGAAGAAGACGTAGCGATGCGGTGCGCTACCGGGCGGGGGCCCGGGCCCGATGTAGTTCGCCACGAAGGGGGCGGTGACTTCGAACCCGTAGGTTTCCCCATTTGTGAGCGACGTTGTCGTCGTAGGAACGGGACGGAGACCGGGTTGCAACCAGTGCAGGATCGGGCCTAGGAAGCTGAATGCTGGAAAGGGGGCATCGAGGTCCAGGTTGACCACCATGTACGTGCGGTTGGGGTCGGGGACGGGGAAGGTGAGGTCAGGAGCGGAGCGGGCGTCTGTTTCTCTTTTAGTTAGTTTGGGTTTTGGACTTGCGCTGGCAATGCGTGGTCGAGGAATGTGGGAGAGCGAGACAGACCTGCTCGTGGGATGTATTGGCCCGGTTGGATGTTACGGTGGGCGCCCAAACTCAGCCCTAGGGTTTTAGATGGGTTCTGTTTGAGCAGAGAGAGTGCACTCTCGATTGTCTTGCTGCCGAGCATCCTGGGTGATTGAACTTTTTATCTTTTTCTGAGATATGGAGAGAGAGGGAGGAAAGAAGGATCAATCTGTCTACATCCCTTGCGGAATTTGAGCGAACTGGGGAAATTGGCATGACCGGGACCGGAGATAGTGGGCGGTGATAGGAGGCTATCACCGGCCTTATCGCTCAAGCAAAGACTTAATGAACCGGACTATAGCTTCCCTGGGCTCTGGAAGCAATTGATCAATACTCTAGAATTCGGGAGCTATGGATCATAATTGTTCAAGTTACGGCCTGTGAAAATAGTTCAAACATGATTGACAAATCTCATTCGCAATGCTTGTGTGCGCTGTTGCCTCGATATTAGCGGCAAATATCTGGGGGTTGTATGACATTGGTACTGCACCACACTACCTAGCTGAAAAGGAAACCTCTCAACGCGGCCAGATGCAAATTAGCTAAACCTATCCCCAGAGGAACTGAAATATATGAGGTAGAACCATCCTTCCAACCGATCAGTCTGCCATTTTTGATCGCTACGGAACCAAGTCCGTTTTGTAGTTTGGAAGTTCTGGTCGAGACGAGCCAGATTATTCAACAAAAGCATATGATTCAAGTGACAATCCACTATCCGCGACATAGTTTCAGACGGGTGGGGCCTTCGAATACGAGCCAGGGGCTCAATTTGATAGAGAAGAAAACCCTATCCGATATTCAGGCTAGTCCCAGCTACTTCCCGTTATCAACTTTGCACACCACAAAGGTGGTATATTGCGATCAGATAGAAATAAGGGCGCAGAGTTACAAGAAACATACAATATTCGGCTTCAGGCAGAATAGGTAATACTTCTTGCACGAGTCGCGGTTACAGCCTTGAAGAGGCGATTGCCGGTTAGCTTATACCTTGTAGAAACAATCCAACGAACATCTCACCCTTCATATCTTGACGGCTTCCGACCCTTGTGTCCCATAAGACATCACTAGCAGTTTCCTGGCTTCCAATATCACAGCAATAGAATGGACAGACAGCAGCCACGGCATCAATCGCCGTGAGTAGACCCAAAGCAATCTCGACACGCATATTGTATTCGTGAGCGTAGAGCAACTTTGAGTGTGAAAGTTACAGTATAGTTCTGGTCAAGTTTGGTGTTTTCAGGGGGGCCTAAGCATACACTTCATGGGACCGCCTGGGTCGATCGGTGGTTCTTTGCCTTCATAACTGTTACATCTCACACTGGAGTATGAACTCGATCCGGAATTTCCGGCATCACGAGATAGCCAGCCATTGAATGATCCGGTCCAAAAAACCATTCTTGGTTGAATATAGTCAGGGACCCCACAAGTGGAAAATTATGGGTTATGTGGAATCGGAAACCTCTAGCTTTGGCTTCGGGGTTACAAGCCCGTACCCGTACCGGTGTTTCAAGGGCGACTCTAAATGCCTGTGTCTGTTTAAGGATGATATTTGACTCCAGTGTACGGGCAGGATAGTTGGGAGCCAGTATTTAGAATTGATAGATTGGCCCATGGGGTGAGCGAATGAGCATGACTGTTGATAGGCTTGGCTGGATGCATGGTTGTATTAGGTAAGGAATCAAATTTCACCTGCGGCTCGATCGATGATGGGCTCGCAGGAATCTACAGAGAGTATAGTAGTGTAGGAAATGGGCCTGGAAAAGATGGAGAACAGGTAAAGCAAACTTTGTGCCCACTCCTCGTGACCATGGGTAACGCAAATTAGTTCAAGCTTATCGCTGCTTCCCAACATTTAACCTGGCATCCTAACGGATGGACTCTTTGTCAGGAATCATATTGCTGGAGTTTCTTTAGACATCATTCCAGATCCGCTCAAGTAATCCTGGTGTCGTTAGAAGACTCTCTATAAAAAAGGTTGACGCGGAAATCTCCTGCCCATGTATTGCCGATTTATTGGCTGCTGAGGGCAAGAATACAATTGACGGCGGACCTGCGGCCTCGCCCAGGCTGCCGCCCGCCGGTGGCCTTAGCCAGTTCCTCCGAGATAGTCTCATGTAGTCAGAATCCAAGCATCTTACACCGCACTCTTCATTAAACACACTAACATACTCACCGGACGGGGCAGGCTATAGAAGAATCCATCTCAATAGAACGGGTATGATGTGTGCCCCGCTAGCCCGTATCCATGTACTACTGTACTGTATAATACACACAATCAAGGATGGAAATATAGTATTACGGTAAAGTAGTTAGTTCCGGTAGGCAGGAATAAACTCCCAAAGTGGCTAGTATCATGGCCCCTGAACTAGTGGCGGGCAATTGAAGCAACTGTCTGACATGCACTAACTCACGGCGGTTTGATATAAAATTGCTTCTGCCTACCCACCCCAACTTGACACTACCTGGTAACCCGCAGCTACTACTTCCGATCACTCCCCCACCCCAAACATTGACCTCGAAGATCAATATGCCTCTCTTGTCATTACCACCTGAAGTTTTCCACCTGATAATCTCAACACTATCAAACCGCGAGATCAAATTGCTGCGTTTGACGTGCAGCCTTCTCTGCGACGTTGCTCGCCTCCGTCTTTCTCGCGTCTTCCTTTCTGCAGACCCGCTGAATATCCGAGTATTTCGTGCCGTTGCAGAACATCCAATATTTCGCAAGCAGGTAACGGAGATAGTGTGGGATGATGCTCTTCTGATCGACGATCCAACGCCAGAACATGACCCGTATGACGTTGACGCAGGCATCGAATCGGACGACGAGGAAGAGGAGAACAAGGACTGCCCGAAGTGGTTTGTCGCAATATGTAGGAGTAATCTCGATGAGCTGTCAGTGCGGATGGACCGAAATGAAGATGGATGGTATAACGCGGAACGTTCAGCCCAGCGGGACGCGCGACCGTCGCTATGGACCTGTTGGCAGTATTATCAGAACCTCTTCACGCAACAAGCCGAAGTCTTGATTCGTCAGAGCGACGTGGAGGCGTTGGTCTATGGCCTTCGACGGTTTCCTGCTCTAGAGAGAATCACTCTCATCCCTGCCGCTCACGGTTGGTTATATCAGCCACTCTACGAGACGCCAATGATCCGGGCATTCCCCAACGGCTTTAACTACCCAATCCCGCGCGGGTGGCCGACAGCGGCGGAAGGGGATCCTACGCCGGAGGCTGAAGACTGGAGCACTTTACCGGAGAAAGCCAAAGGGCAGTGGCGGGGAGTCCGGCTTGTTCTGCGTGCTTTGGCCCAGCATTCTGATCACCGCGTGGCCGAGCTAATCTTGGATGTTAATCAGCTGGATACGGGGCTCAATTGCACCATCTTTCACCAGCCCTGCGAGGAGTTCGAGAACCTGATGGTCCTGCTGCAACGCCCCGGATTCCGCCGCCTAGACCTTCCCCTAATTGTCCGTGGTCAGGAATATGAGGAGTGGCCCGCCTTCCGCAACGGAAACCTGCGCCGCGCCTTGAGTGAGGCATCGAGCTTGGAACACCTCAGTCTCTATACGACAATCGAGATCGACTCAGTGGCTAATTTAAGGTGGCAGGGGCAACAATGGATAGAGCCCGGGCAGAGGTCATTTCGCTTTCATTTCACCTCTCTTCAAACTATCTTCCCAGTGGCAAGCTGGTCGGGATTGCAAACCTTGAAGCTATCTCGGTACATTGTGATCCAGGACGACGTGATATCTCTCTTGGAGCAACTACCGGCCCTCCGAGAGATTGAACTGAGCTTCTTGGGGTTTCTAGATAACGGGGGCAATTACAGAGATCTCTTGGACGAGATTCGCGCGAGGTTTCGGTGGTCGGAAAGAGATCAATAGTTGAGACCCAAGCTGAAAGTTGCAGTTGCACCATGGCCCCCTCGGCCGGGCCTGGGAATCTGGCTCGACGAAGAGGTGCACTCCTTTCTTTACGACCATGGTCGGAACCCCTTCTCTATCTTTCGCGACGCTCCGAACCAAGTACCCCAGGGAACTGGGACGCTCCGGGATTCCTTCGAGCCAGGCCATGAGCGCCCTTACTTTGGTTCATGCAAGTTCCTGAGTACCGCGGGAATCGAAGATCGTCGCAATACTCGAGTATCTACAGAACTATATGGTTAGATAATTATGTCAGAGGTAAGAACTGGAATGACTATCAGGATAGCTACGAAACCCAAGCGTACCCTTTCTTAGGGGCTAGGTTAGGAGACGCATCCAGAGGCCAAATCTTGCTGAAGTGGAAGAGCCCGACAAAGAATATGCACTGCATCGAGATTATGGTTGTGTGAGTGGTATACCAGTAATGTCCGAGAAGAATGCCATAATCCGTGACACTCTCAGAGGATATCTAGTAGTAGGTAGCAGCTCATCAGTTACCCAGATGTCCCGAGCGGCATTCCGAATAGAGAATAGGACGCAGTATCTCTCTAAGCAAAGTACCAGGGCGATTATTCCAGCGTGTATTCCCAGCGGGGCGTAAAGGACCTTACACCGCCGGCCACGGTTAATTACCCCAGACAAGGACACTATAAGGAAAAAGTCCATGTGGTTAACCTCAGAAGATCATACTAGGTGTCAAGATGGTGGAGGCTCATCGGATCACGGGAACGCGATATTACTTTCATGTGGAATATGTCTTCGATGAGAGGATATAATATTTCGTAGAGCAGAGTTAATTAGTTGATAGAAAAACTGAGAATGTGCATTATACTAGGCCAAGCCAAGCAAGCCCTAGGCTTTTGAGTAAGTTCTGCCATACTGTTGGAGGCTTCCCGCTCAGAGACCTTAATTTGACAACCGTCTCCAGATCAGCGAACACCAGTCTTCGCTCTTGATCCCGCGCCAGTAGATGCGCAGTCTTCAGCACATTCTTGATCTGTCGACCGTTAAGTTCCAACTCCGCTAAGCTATCCAGCTGCGCCTCCGTAACATCTGCGGTGGCGCGAAGGAACTGCGCCCAGATCTGCCGCCGGGATACAGCATCGAGTTCCGGATATTGGAGTGAAATATGAATACGAGAGTCGAAGCCCTGGTCGATGTTCTCCGCGCGATTACTTGTCAGGAATAGGATACCCTGTTGACACGTCAGCGTCGCTCCTCGCTAGACTTCAAGTTGATGCATACATACCTCGTAGTACTCCAATTTTCGTAAGAATATCGAGACCAGTTCATTTCGGGCCAGATCAGACACCGTGCGGGCCTCCAGAAAGACATCGACCTCGTCAATCAGAAGTACTGCGTTCCATCGAGGCACGAGCTCGAGGACTTCCTCTAGCTTTGCTTCCACATTAGCCACAGTTGTCCCGAGGTCCCCGGCTCCAAGCACGTAAAGCGGGACTTTCATAGCTTCCGCGATACTTTCCGCTGTCAGCGTCTTACCAACGCCCGGCGGGCCACTTAGAAGCAGGATCACACCCTGGCCCTTGCCTTGAACCACATCGTCAAATGAGTCATGCGACTGGGCTTTCGCGACGGCGAGAATCAACTTCTTTAGATCTTGTTGCCCTCGGGGGAGGACCAAGGAGTCGAAGGCATCCTTGTTCCAGACAATATCCTCAACATCATCAACCAAGAACGCCCGCCACTCCTTCTTCCGCAACGAGAAGCCGCGCACCCACGGGGTGGCCAGCAGCCGGTGCTGGTCGGTCATGGTCGTCCCGATTTCCGTGACCTCGGTCTCCCATCCACTCATATGGCTGTGGTTGTGCTTCTTATATTCAGCGGGGTCAATCATCACGCGCCCGTGGTTCGGCACGTGCTTGTAATGCGAGCAATCGTATGATTCCCACGTCTTTCCGCGTGCAATCAGCCGCTGTTTAACGCTTTCTGCGTCCCGGTGGCTTGTCAGAGGGAAGATCTGCAGCGCGTCGAGGGCCATCGTGCCCTTGAATAGGCAGATATTAAATGCCTCGTGCTCATAGTGATAATTCTCCCCGTCGTAGTCAATGTACCTCGTCTTGACCTCGACAAAGCCGTCCTGGCCGTGCGTGAACGAGTCTACGCACTCGTACGCCCGAGGGGTGCCGCTGCCCGCGCTGAAGAGAACCGTCTGCGGATTGAAGACCGTCCACAGGAGGTCGTGGGTAATGACCCCGTTCTTGAGCAGGTCTGCCCGACGGGTGAGGATGTCGCCAACTCCGGTTTCCAGAAGCTGGTGCAGCAGGTCGAGGTAGGAGCGGATTGTCGGGTTCTGCGTATCCTCGCGGGTCTGGCAGAACTGCTGCCACCGGCGTACGAAGGGTACGTATGGGTACTCGAATGTGAGAGTCTCCAGAGTCATGGTGATGCCGGCGTAACCCGCGAACGCTGGCGTCAGAGCCTGCTTGATCTCCTCGCTCTGCAAGGTGAAGGACCGGGCCTGCCAGCGGGCGTCCTCGTCCTTGGTCCATCGGACTATCATGGGAGACTTTACGGCTTCCAGGCTTTCGACTGGCTCGGTCAGGTCTTTTGGAATCTGCTTCGTCCACGGCTTGTCAGGGCTCAACCGGTAGAGGTTGAGAACATCGCTGGGAGCATAGGCTTGTGCCGCTGGCCCAGTTGGGTTTTCTTCTGTCATTCAATGTTATTTGACTTTCCCTCTAGCGGGAAGATAAGATAGTTCGCCTACCTGCCAGCTCCGCTATACTGGATAAGACTTCATCACCATTGTCCACGGGAGACGCAGAATCCCAGAGCGCGGCCATAGTGATGTGTGTTCTATGGCGGCAAGCTCAGAAGCGAAAGAATACTGAGCTAGAAGAAATTAGTTGAGCGGGCTATCTAACTGTTAAATACTTTTTGCAGCTCATGGAAAGCTTTGGGTCATTGAATTGCAACCCCATTATCGTCACCATCAGCTCGAACGTAGCTCTGTGTTAGATTGCTACAGAGCTCAATGACCCACTGGGTCTCCACTTATCGGGGAACGTCTTCGTCTTAGTTCAGCCATAAGGGGCCAAGCCTTGCCTGTGGCTGATGCACATCTCACTTGACGATTGTATTTGCCAGCTTTGAAGTTTGAAGTGAAAGAAGCATCGATATGACCAGATTCACTTTTGGTTCATTAGTAGTTCACATGTGCTGAGAACCATAATAATAGAAAGATGTAATCTGTGGAACAGGGGTGATTCGACCAGCTTCTCAGCCGGTTAGTCTGTAGTCGAACATGACAGGTAACATGCCACCAGGTGCTTGCGATGGCCAGCTTCTTAGATAGTTTATCCTACTGCTGGGATGCGCCACGAAGGCCTCCAGTCCGAGTCATTTGGGCAAATATCAGTGGTCAGTCACGGGTATCGGATTGATTTCTCCCTACACCGTTGAAGATAGGCTTCGCTTCAATGCCTCAGGCCGCGAACCTTTGGATGATGGTTGCCTCGGCAATAGCCTTCGCTTAGAGTTGAAGATGCAAGATTTTTCTGAAGCCTTTGGGAGTCTAGACTCCCGGCAAATTAGCGAGGAGATTACATCCGTTGCCCTGCAGCATTGCCACAATCGCTCCACCGTTTGTCCGGGCTCGATTGGAAGCCCCGCATTCGCTTCCATTGTCCTATCACCGATGTGGCGGAGAACAAAAAGAGAGATGGTCGATCAGCCACCCAGTCCACTCCAGATTCTTTTCTCTTCAATTGGTAGCTATTACATAGCTGACGGGCAACTGAGATTCGCAGTTGTCCGGAACGGAACGACTCGCTTGCGGCCTGCATGCATGTCGGATTCGGCTAGAAGATTTACCTCTGCAGGAGGATGGTTTGTGGATGAGATCGATTGACGGGATGGATCCATGCACGATGGCCAAATACACATGTTAATACAGGCGGGCGAGGCTGCCCTGATGTCTAAGCTCATCAAGGTAGTCATGATTGAGAAATACTACTAATTAATTTTATCAGGAGGTCATCTAGATATCCCCAACATTTACGAGCTCCACCGCGAAGTTCCCCATCTGCTTATTGGCCTCCTTATCCCAACTGGAGGTGAAGACGGCGGGATAATAATCCTCGTCGAACAACGTGTCAACGATTGGAGTCTCGCTGAGATGCAACGTGCCGCCCATCCAATTTCCCCAGATGATCGTTTCGCCCGTCGCGGTTCGATGGCCGTTCAGTGTCTCGCCCTGTTTCTTGTAGTGCCAGTAGATGGCATCCACGCTGGCCGAGATCCCGTGTTCCTCGGCGCCCCGCGCGCGTTGCACGTTGAGTCTCGCATCCTTGTCGTTGATCTAAAACTCATTATCTTCGTGCAGCGAACAGAGTGCGGCATGCTCGGGGCCGAAACACAGGGGTCCGAAGTAGTCGTATCTCTTGTCTTGCGGGACGACAATGCTCATCTTGCGGCCGTCGCCGTGGGGTAGGCGGATGTGGTAGTAGCAGCCTCTTTGGAGGCGGTAGGCGCCTGTGTCGCCGATATAAGTGGCTGTATTCCAGGAGGACTGGGTCAGTCTGGGGAGGCTACGGAGGATTTGGGGATTCTGAAAGAGCAAGCACGGGAGGAAACATACATCGTTAGGTTCGTCTTAGTGTTCTCTTGGCATGGTGATAGTTAGTATGGCCCGGGACCTGGCTCATATCATAACTGCTATTAATTCAAGTGAGGTTCTGGGTTTACAGTAGGGTTTTGCGCACGGTATTGACAGAACGAGATTTTGATAACGGCGTTTCAGGGTGGGGATCTCTTTATGTCTATATTGGGGGGTTACGACGCGCTCATAAGGTTGAAACCCATTATGACGGCCACTGATCCAACTAGCTATACGAGTTCCTCGATACCCGAAGCAGCTAGTTAGCTTGCATGACCGAAGTTTGTATGTCGTGCGTCGTGGGGACTGCCTCCACCTGTCACGATGTAGGGCTCGGCTATCGCCGAATCGGGTCTCCAACCCGTATATGGCTGATGTGGCTGGCTGAGTCTTCAGCCAGCCACCAAAACAATTGCCCAGTGGTCGGGCTGGCATATTTGTTGAGCACACATCCTGGCTACATCAATATATCTGGTTAGGTACTTGCTAGAATCTCACGGGGTTTACATTTGCACTCCTGCTGAAAAGATCCAAAGTCTTCAAGCGTCATGTCGTTAAACCTTTTAGTTCGTTTCCCTATTTCTGCATCCCTAAGTCAAAAAATATTTAGTTCTAGTATAAATCCAGCCCATTCCACTGGATCCCTGGTTAGGAGCCAGCACTTCAATAGACCACCGCCGATATCCATCAACCCTACATCCAGTGTCCTAATCTTAGCCAGGCTTGTTCATCTCTGCTAGTCTAGAAACGTGAAGATAACGGGTGGGTGGTGGACGGTGATGGGCCAAGCGGTGGCTTAAATGGGATATTCTGGGAGGCTAGTTTCAAAAGGTAAGATGCACTAAGCAAAGCCAAAGTATTTAAATTGTAGTAGTAGAACAAGCGAATACTTCCTTAATCTGGATCGAGCAACCGAACAATTATGGCGAAAAGGAAGTTGCGATGTTACAACTCGGCCCTCACATTTGGGGATTGCATAGCCAACTCAGGGTTTAAGCTTTCATAAAAAGGATCTTGTCATATTATATCTTAAAAGTCAAGGCATTGTAGTGATTATACACTGCAAGTATAACAATATAGGACCGGTTTAGTTGTAGCATGCGTCAGAAAAGAGAACATGATCTCGGAGTCCGAAATCAGCGTCTCAACAGCAGGTAATATCATTACAGGAAAGCTCCATCTAGAGTTGTATACTTCTCTAGCATCTCGTCAATTTAAGTACTTGCTTTCTCTCGCTGCCCGAAGTGCTGCGTGGACATCGTCATCTTGCAACGTCGACCCGCTCTCATGATTGAGCATTATCGCGATAACTCGCTGGTGGCCATTTGCTGCAGCTCCGTATAGTGCCGTACTGCTAGGCTCATTGCCGTGCATGTTCGGGTCTGCTCCATGGTCAAGTAATATCCACAGTTCTCGGATGCCCACTTGCTGCCGCTATACGAAGTGCGGTCCCGTCTTCACTTTCTTCATTGACATCATCTCCACTATCAAGCAGTGATTCCACAACCTTTTGGCGCCAGCCTTGCACCGCTATTGTGGCGGCCGTTTGAGGAGAGCATTCAAGGCTAATATCGGCTCCATGGTCGAGTGATATGTACACAGTCTTGACGAATCCATCGGACCAAAGGACAAAATTCGCTAACTTCTCGAACTGTGCGCGTATGGTTTTGTCCTTATCACCAATGGTGATCTTCCATTGCCTCCTTTCTCGGTCTAGTACAAGCTTGTTTATCGCGGCTTCCACGGAACTTCGGCTGGAGGGGTCTGGGTTGGCGTCACCAGTACATCCTCCAGGAGCGCCTAGGTGGCTTTTGTAAGCTGTCACCAGATCCTGGCCGTGGTTTTTTTCTGAAATATCCCGAATGACCGAGCCCAGAGATCCACTTGGTCTTGTTCTTGGGGTCTATCTCGACCGATGGCGGCTCCGTCGCGGTTGCTCTCGTTCAATTTGAGATGATGGAGAGACCGGAAGTGCGGACCTGGTGGTGTTGACAGTCGAAGCCTCCGGCAACCTATTTGGCTTGTGAATTCACGTGTTCTCTCATTGGCTGTTTGTTCGTTCCTTCCGGAGCCTCCCACGTACTCGGCGCTTCAGACGTCGCACTAGGGACGGCATTTTGTTCATCCCTCGCCCAAGGGTCAAATCCGCAACTACATAGTAGATTGATTTTCTTCGTCAAAGATAATCCGGCGGGGCAATGAACAGCTTGTATCTATTTATGTTTGCTGCACTGCGGGTCAAAGATCGAGCAAAGCGATCCTCTGTCAGAAAGTGGTTTCCGTGAGTTGTCTTGCATTAACTAGTGCCGCACGAACACGTAACATCGCACCAGGGTTGTTTGTAATTCAGTCGTTCAAGTCATTGGGCCCCACTATTACATCGAATAGCAGCTGCCATCCTCTTTACTTTCTACTAGATACTTCCAAGGTATACCACAATATATCGTACTGTAATTCTCAATGTTGCGGAAAAGACCCATGGTTTACCACCTAACCCTAAGTGAAGTACTCTGTGCCACCCATGTCACAGAGTACTACGAAGCAGCGTACAGCATTGGTAAGAAAGCAACATCCTGGGAAATGCGAGTTTGGTGTTTGTTTAGAGAGGTTTATTACTCAATGTGAATAGAATATAGGAACATAAAACCGCATGTTGACGCAGACGTAAACCAAGATGTGAGATTCTTCGTGCCTTACTAGAGTCAAATAGGACAAAGGCCTTACAAGAATACCAACGATATCGAAGCTGTACAGAATGACTCTGAGAAATTTGCAAAGCGAATCACTGAATGCAAAAGTCCGAAGTAAAGAAATGAAGAAATTGACAAGTTCTTCGAGGTTGGTAGTGGCACATCGACCCGCAAATCGGTCGTGATGATTCTAGTGAGGGAAAAGACAATGGCCCCGGCCGCGTTCCACAAGCCCATACACCTGCTTCACTCAATCCAGAACAGTAACAGTGTCGGACAATGCGGTGCAGTTAATCGGAATATTGATCGGGGGATATTGACCACCCGGGGTGAAGGCCAGACTACTGTAGTTGTATGTGGGGCTCAGCATCATGATCTGCCCGACAGTGGTCCCGAAGTGGTCGGCGAGATCCTTGTACACACCCCAGCTGAAGGAGTAGGGTTGAAGGATACACTGGCTGGGGTCGCACTGGGGCACCTTGATGAACTGGCCGACAGTCAGGAGGGCTGTGGGCGAGGTCGGGTTGACCAGAGTTTCGTTTGAAGACCCATCGACATGCATGAGGGACTCGACGGTGATGTTGAGACGCCGTGCGATGACTTCGTAGGTGTCACCGCGCACCGTGTAATAGAGACGTGGTCCGCCGTAGATACACGTGCGGGTGGCGGTGGTGTTGGGCAACAGGCAGCTGGTGTTGTCTGGCTCGCACACCTCGGCTGGGATCAGGAAGGACTCCCCCACGTTGGGAATGATGGTCACGTCCGCCATGAGGTTCTGCCGGCCAATGTCGCACACGCCGCGGTTGGTGGCGCGGGCGACATCAAAGACGGTTGTGCCGTCGACGGTGATATCGTACCAGTACGTAGTCGTGTTGAGAGCGGTGGTGTTGCAGGTGCTACTGGCGGCTGTGACCAGCGGAGCCAGAAGAAGAATCCAAAGAGAGTGGACAAAGGAAGGCATTTTGAATGATGGATCCAAGCAAAGCAGACAAAAAGAATGAAAAGAGCTCGGAGCTGGAGAATGAAAGAAAGACTGGATGTTCTCTGCTTGAACGTAGCATTGCGAGCAGACAGACCACGTTTTTATACTCCGCTGCTGAGCTAGGACTGGGGCTTTTCGCGTCGGACACCCATGCAATAATGCCTCCCTCTGAGACAATGTCCGAGCAGTTCCAAAGAACGAAGAGCGAGTCCGGTGTCTGAGCTAGCTGCAGCGTCAAATTGCTATTTCGTCGAATGTTATCGCGTCGTCCGATGTGATGACCGACCAACGCTAAGGTAAACTACTGTACCTTAGCCAGAACGCGTGAACGTCCCCTTCATTTGTGGAAATTTACGTCTTCACAGAAAGCGGCTTCGAAGTTTTTTCAACCATTTCGTCCAATGTACAACTGTGTCGGTATCCCGAGTTGATCGATGAATTGCAACATTGGTGATGAAGACCGAAGCGGCTTTTGGCCTCAAACGGGTATGTCGATTGTGAACCCACCATCCTGGTCAGCACTCACTGTGTTCACCCATATTTGTGATTGCACTATCAAGAGATCACGTTCCACCTGTCAAGTTCCGTGTGGTAGTGCGACGCCGCTAGCGATTATAGGCCTCACACCATAACCCGGAAACACCATACAGCGGCCAATATCAGCAATGCAATTAGTTAGTTGGTAACTGCACGGACGCCGCGGATGCTGTATCCCCGACCCGAGGCTATTTTGCCATTGCACCGTGTCCGATATCGAAGTATTTGTCCCAATGGGAAACACCTGTCTGCTGCAACCGTGAAGCTAGTGAGAATTAGTATCTGAACTTCCCAAGTCGCGTCTGCAGTCGTCATCAACCCTAGCTGATTTCTCCAAGGTCCGAGCGCAGGACAAGAGAAAACAAGCTTTGTACGAGATCTATAATTATTCGCGCCTTTGCCAGAATTTGCCGCCAAGCAGCAAGGTTGACATCCACAGATCCTCCTGCCAAGATTTGGACTCCGGGTTGAGTTCTTCAGGGCTTGCCTCACAAAACACCAACTTATTCAAAGTAATACAGATTCAGATATCGGGCAGATATTGGTGAATGTACATGTCATATCTAGAGCCCTTGTATGTGGGGTTGTGCCGACCTGATTTCCTGCGGAGAAGAAACTTATCCTAATTTGGTGTGGGTTTGCGAGGGCTGCTTCGGACATGTAGCTTCCCCACACAAAGGCCGCGTATTATCAGTCTGACACGTGACTGCTTGGAACTGGGGTAGGACCATTCCCCTATGTGCTCTAGGTGATTGCAAATTGGGCCATCTGTCGACTGCTCAGGCAGCGGGTGTTGCTTTCTGCACATTGTGGAGATGCGGCAGGAAGTTCCCGCTCCCGCTACTCCGTACACCGCGGCTACAACCGAGCAAACCGGTTGTTGACTAGTTAATTTCGGACTTGATTCCCATTCTCGAGTCCAGAGACACCTTCTGTAGACCACTTGGCTCGGCAAATGGCAATCTGCTGGGCGGATTGAAACCGTGGAGAGGATCTTAGCTTGGCGACCCTTCTCCTCTGTCGAAACTTCCAACGAGCCGACACGGAGAAAGGACCTAAAAGCTCCGGGACGCGGCTCGTATGGGCATTTCAGGCGCAGTATGGCAAGGTTCGCCGCTTCGAGGGGAGACAATTCGAAGCCCCTTGCCTTCGCCGCAGCCGGACTGACACCCTCCACATCGACCTTCTTCCCCAGATAGCCTGCCTTGCGCAGTGGCAGAACATTCTTCTCAATCTTCAGCGAAGTGAATGCTTTCCTCTGCGCGGCCTCGCCCGCGTCCTTCCAGCGCGGCTGTCCCACAATCTCCCGCGCCGCCTCCTCATCAACAAACGGGTCGTCAAAGAGCCCAAGGTCGAATCTCTCCCGTAATGTCCGACGGACCGACGAATCGATCCGAGCCTGGTCATTGTTGGCACGCTGGTGGCGGAGAGGCTACACTCTGGAGCTTTCAAATGCATGAGATACATTAAAGCATCACCACACACAACGATCAAACTGGTGAATAAGTGACTCGCCACGATCTAACACCCTATCGTGCAATAAATCCACCTTCCCCGGTTGTTTGGCCGTTCGACTCCAACGCCCGGCCTATCCATTGAGCCCCAGATGCCAAACAGCGCATAAGTACGCACTGTACTTTGTGGCATCCGACGTCGATGCATAACTCGGATTTGTGCAGACAGAGAACCCGCGCGCGTGTGGGTCGCGGCCCCGTCCAGCCCGGCCCTGCAAATTGTCGGTCGGGATGACGAGACCGCAAAAGGCGAACAAAGTCCACGAGATCGGCTATCGCCCGTATTTTTCTCCCCTCATTTCGAAGGAGAAAAAGGAGAAAACAACAGGGTGGTGGGGAGCTGATGGGACGACTCTTTCGGAGCTGCAGGGATTCGGTTGTACCGGATTTCTGCCTCTCGGCTGTGCAGGCTCTCTGTCATTGGGTAATATATATATCATAGTCCCTGGTAAGTGTCCATCATGTAGTGATCTCGTCCCCCAAAAATAGAGACCTAGAACCCTACGTTGGTAAAACAATCAGAGTACATAGCCGCAAGGCGAAAGTTAACACCATGTGAAGACTTCGAATAAATTTACCTTTTGCCTGTCTTTCGTCTCCTAAATCCCTTGAACCAAATCTATTCTTCGTGAACTGTATCCGGAACGCATGGGTACCTGGTATACTCCATCCGCGTCTATATCTACCGTATACGCCTTGCAACCCATTATTAAGAAGACCGAGAATCAAAATAGTAGACAACAGATACATAGATCACTTTTCACCTGCTCCTGCTGCTGCTGCTGCTGCTGCGCCTCCTCCTCCTTCTCCTCCCCCAACAGCCTCCGCAGGACCCGGCTCCCCATCCGCCAAAACCACCGGCTCCCCCGTCACCAGCCTCTGATTCTCAACCACTTGGGCCTTCCGCGCCGCATTCTCCTGCAAGGCACGCATGTAGCGATCCGACTCGGCGGCAAACTTGCACTTCTTCCGGATCGCCGCTCCATACCTATAAAACAGAAACGGGGCTGGCATGCATAACAGACTCAGAAACGCCGGGATGGAGGGGGCCCAGTGGATGCCCGCGCCGCTGTACATGTAAGGGGCGATGATGGGGAAGACGGCCCCGAAGATAGAGCGGAGGACGGTGTTGGCGGCTAGCACGGAGGCGGCGTAGATGGTGTAGGAATCGATGAGGTAGTTCATGACTCCCAAGTAAATCAGGATGACGCCGAAGCCGAAGGGCGCGGTGGCGATGATGCTGACGCTCCAGTGGATGGAGGGGGAGTCGGTCCAGGCGAACCAGAACTGGCTGATGGGGATGGCGAGGGCGCCGGGCATGCATTGCAGGAGGCGGGCCTCGGGGGGCGCGAATCCCCCGTGGCGGTCTTGGACCTTGATGAAGTGCAGGTTGGCGGGGATGGTGACGCCGACGCCGATGATCATGCCTACCATAATCCCTAGAAAGGCGAGGCCGCCGACGCCCGGGTTCCAGCCGCGGATGTCCTCGTAGACGATTGGAAAGGCCGAGAAGAACATGTAGAGCGTGCCGTAGACGATGGCGATGTAGACGGCGAAGAGGAGGACGATCGGCTCGCGGAAAAGCAGGACCCAGGGGCGCGAGAGCGTGGTCTTCAGGAGGCGCGGCAGCGAGACGGGGCCCTTGTCCAGCTCAATCTTGCTGCGGTAGACCCGGCCGGTGAGCTGGGAGAGGCGCAGGGCGCGTTGCCGGAGGAGGACGGGCGCGTAGGTCTCCGGGATGAAGACGGCCATCAGGACCCAGATCAGGGCCGCCAGTAACGCAAGGAAACCCTCCACCCAGCGCCAGCCTGCGCTCATCCCCAGGAATCCGCCGATGATGGGGCCCAGGGCGGGTCCCAGGAAGGGGGCGGCCGCGTACAGACTTAGGGCCAGGCCGCGCTGCCGCGCCGTGAACATGTCCGAGATCGTGCCTCCCGCGTTGGTGAAGGGTGAGGACCCAAATGATCCAGCGAAGAATCGCAGGATGCACAGTGTCCAGATGTTTTGCGCTCCGGCGCACCCGGCTGAAAATGCGGTCATGGCGAAGAAGCTGACCATAAAGGGGGTTTGGCGACCGAAGACCTCGCTGACCGGCGCCCAGAAGATCGGGCCAACCGCGAACCCCAGCACGAAGAGCGCCAGGCCGATGGTCGCGACTTCTGAGCTGACATGGAGATCTTCGACGATTTCCTTGATGCTGCCGCTGTAGGTGGAGGAGGTCAGGGCGACGGTCAAGGTGGAGAAGGCGACAATCAGAGTGATGGTGATCTTCCGCGCCGCGCTGAAGAGCAGTGGGTTGCGGCAGTCGTTGGGAATCCAAGAGACCACATAGGGATCCTCCTCCGTGCCACTGCCGGGATATTCAAATTCGAGGATCTCTTCGTTGATGGCGCCTTGGTCGAGGAGCATGCGCCAATGGGGGATCCGAGTGCGATAGACCCCCCTGGGAAGGGTGCCTTTTTCGCGATGCTGTTCCAGATCCTCGACCATTTTAACTTTATTCCCTGCGGACTGTATTCTTGGAAAGTGGTGCAGTGATTCACGGCATCATAGCATTGCTTCGGGAAATGTTATAAACCCAAAATTTATTCACGCTTTCGACGGGGCTGTCCGCATAGGGAGGAATTGTCTCAGACACCTGAGGGGGTGGGTGAGACCAGTCGGGCGACTCATTGCTTTTATCGTGCTGATTGCAATCTGACTCGGTGCAAAACAAGACGGCAGAAGAAGAAAAAAAACCAGCACTAACGAATTGGGTCTTTACGGACCCACAGCCCCGCAATGAATGCATGAGAATGATAGTTTTCCTGCAGCATGACTCGGCCATTGAAAGATTAGATAACTGAGAAATAGACCCTTGAGGTGTACGTGTGATGGACTGCAAGACCCTGCGCATCGTGCTGCAATCGAAGCTTGTTCTTAAGATCCTATCGGCGCATCCCTAAGGGCAAAAATGGTCGGAGTGTTGTTGTACCGGGTATTCGGCACGGACTGGGGCTCGGGAGGGCAAAGACCCAAAGACCCATCGGCCGCAGTGCCTCCTCCCGCTTACGGGGGGCCGAAAGCCTCGGCAAGGGTGGCTGATTAAATTATCGACGCGCATTTGCCAGGGCTAGGACAAGATGTCGCGATCTGTGAGGGTGATGGGATGGGTGATAAGGGGTTCGGTTCCGGTCCACCTTTTATTGGAGGGATTGGCGCCAATCGTGACAAATCGAGTCAATGCGGGTTCAAGCCGATGTCCTGCCCTGCTGAGATCGATGGCAAGCGGGAAAGGGGTTAAGATAAGCTTCCCTCCCGTCCGCTCAAGGGTGTCCCTTAAAAGTCTCACTCACTGTCTATACGTGGCCCTTCTATGAATTTCGTCAGGGTGACGACAGTTTAGTCTCTCCACGGTTGATAATCTAGAGGGGTCCAAGCTGTCAAAACTCCCTTTTTTCTTACTACTCATGCAGCCATCAAGGTCGGTTAGCCAGGATAAGTATGGTCGAGCGTCAAACATGGCTCCGACACTCTGCAAAATATTGCTCAAGTCACTGCTAGCATTTCATCCGATCGAATCTTGACCCAGCTACATCTCTCAGAAAATAACCTAGAACAAAGTGCCGTCCCCAGAGTTCAGGATGGGACTGGACTTAGTCTCCGGCCGCTTTTCCGCCGCGAGCTCCCGACCCGCTTTCCACGAGCCAGCCTCCAACATCTGGGGCAGCGTCAATCGAACATCTCCCAATTTCCCACTCCCCAGAATCCGCTTGTGCAGTTCGTCTAGCAAAGCAACCGTCATCGCTCGCCATTCGACAATCTCCCCATCTCCCACCGCGAAACACGGCAGCGCGGCCCCGGAGGTGCGCAGCCCACGCTCCATCGCCTCTGGCTTGAGCGTCAAAACCCCCATGTCCACGAACAACCCTCCATTGCGATATTCGGGCAGACCGGTTCCCAGCTCCGCATTCTTCCAGGTGATTTTCAGTATGCGCTCGAAGGGAACCTTGAGTGAGTAAGCCAGCCACTGTGTCAGCTTGTGGAAAGGCTGGATGGTGGCCGTTTCGGGGTCTGTCGCGGTGATCTGGGAGGATTCCGACAATACAGGCAGAGGCCATGCGTCGCCGATCGGGTGTCCGCGAACGCGAGTTCGGTCGGATGGCCAAATTGGAATCAAGGTCTGCTGCAGCACCGCCCAGAGTCGGGCGTAATCGAGGTTCTCCGCGCCCGAGGAGAGAAGATGGTCTGCATTAGTCAGTGTACACTCGGGTAGACTAGAAAGCATTGAGCTCACCGAGAAGCTGGCCAGGGCGACCGGACGGTCCGAATATCTCAGGGAGACTGGTTATTGACTGCCCCAGTCTTTGTAGGATCTCCACGCGTGCACCGGCTCCAACGAGCGGATTGCTTTGATCATCAACCTGGAACCCCTGGGTCAATACATCCACCGTCAGGCCTTTCAGCGCCTCCCCTGTTCAACAACACCAGTCAGCCTTGCTAAATGAAAGAGGACAATGTGGAAGTCTACCATGCACGACATCATTCCTTTCCGACCCCTGCTTGGCAAAGTCCCCGTTGAGGAACATATACAGCGAAGCGACCGCGATCCCTTCACTGCGGTTATACACATTTCCCGTCTCTGGTTCGACATACCGCCAGGTATCGCCCGCTCCGGCGTCGAGGAGCACGGAGACGAAGAACAGATCCAACAGACTGCGCACCTTCTCCTTCTCGTCATATCCAGCTTGAGTCCATCGCTCGAGAAGCTGCTGTAGTCGAGGCACCCCGCCGACTTCGAAGTGCTGCCAGCGACCGTGGGGAGGGATCTGATCGTATCGGGCGGGGCCGAAGTCGCGCTGTCAGACATATCGTGTTAGGTTCTAGCTCTGTTGGATCTATGAGTAGGATGTCGCACCGTTATGATGTTGATAACATAGTCCACGGTCGCGTCCAAGCGGTCGGGGTGATAGTCGTAGTGGTGGAGCTTTCCTTGCTCGGCTAGGCTCAAGACAACACGGGCGCGATCGCGGACAGCCTCGAGACCGAGAAGTTGCTGGATGTCGGAGTCCATGGTAGCTCTCGCACTGCGTATCTTTCGTAGGCTTTCCCAAAGTGTTTTGCTTGAGTGGCTCTGGTTGAAAAGAATCAAGAAGTTGCGTTGGAGGCAGAAGTAGGAAGGAGGGGAAAGAAACAACAACTCAGAGCGGGGAAGGCGCTTATCATCCCTGTTCCTCGGCTGATACCGTCTATCTTATCTGATAACACCACGCGATACAGCCTGTATCGCCAGCGTTGTACGGTATATCGCAGCAACAGCATCGATACATTGCAAGTTTTCCGTCTATGATACTTGAGCCAAGGCATCGGAGAATAAATACAAGCACGGCAAACCGTCATCATCTTGAGACCACACACACACACACACCTTTGCAGCTGTATTCACACCCGACATCCTCCAGATTTCACCACCACCTCACCATGACTGTCTCTCTCCCTTCCAACGTGCACCACGTGCACAACACCACCTTCACAGCCCTCCTCCAAAGCCTCCGCCAACGCGACCTCAAGCCCTCAGAGGTCCGCTCCCTGGTCCGTGAAATGACCACTACCCTCTCCAAGTCCGTCCATCTCGACACCACAGCCCCCGAAGAAACGGTAGCCGTGATCGTCGTCCTCCGTTCTGGACTTGCCATGTTCGACGGCTTCATGGACAGCCTGCCACAGAACCTCTCGACAGCAGTCTACCACCTGGGTATCTTCCGAGATCAGACGACGCTGCAGCCGGTGGAGTATTACAACAAACTGCCTCTTAAGCCGGCGCAGATTAAACGGGCGGTGGTGCTGGATCCGTTGATCGCGACGGGTGGGACGGCGGCGGCGGTTGTTGGGATTTTGGAGTGAGTCTCATTCTTCTTTCTGTTTTTCGACATGGGTTGAGCTGTCAGAAGCCCCGTGATGGAGTCGCTAATGCATGGCCGTAGGGAATGGGGCCTGGAGAAGGTAACTTTCCTGTCAATGCTCTCGACACCAACGGGATTGTCTCATGCAGCCGGAGTGTGGCCGGAGGGGAGTCGGTTCGTGGTAGGCGCAGTGGATCCGGAGGTGAATGCCAAGGGGTATATTCAGCCCGGGGTAGGGGATATTGGAGATCGGCTGTTTGGGACGGTCTTCTGATCTTGGTTAGAGATAGTCAAGCAAAGTGGCTTTACAAGACGAAGTGAATAGTCCCATCCGGAAATCAAGTGTTTGATCTGGTATTTGCAATATAACAGCGAAAGAACATTCCACTCAAAAGACCCCCACCTAATGCGATGAATATACAACCTAAACCTATCCAACCATACATGCAAGACATATCCAAATTCCAGCCTACGATCCACCCTCCCCACAACGCAAAGAAACACCCAAAAATCCAAAACCCCACGAAAGAGATACTACACTACCATAGCCACCGAAACACCGACTGCCCCCTCCCGCCTCGAGGCATACTCAGCACGTACCATAGTATCTGTCCCCGAAGTCACCCAAACCAGGGCTAATGTAGCTACGACCAGTCAGTACTCCTGTTTTGCATGACCCCTCCAAGATGAAGCAGGAACACTCACTTCTGCGCCGTCAGATCCGCATCCACCGCGGCCGACACGATCTTCAACGCGGGGAACCGGCCCGTGACCACCTCGAGCCCCTTCTTCGAGGAGACGACATTGACCAACACGATCGACTCCTCCGGCACGCCATGCTCGGTCAGCGTCTCCACCGCCTTGATGACCGAGCCTCCGGTCGCGAGCATCGGCTCGAGAAGCAAGACCACTACACTCGCCTGGTAAGAACATCTCCCAGAAAAAGAACAAGGAACCCTAAAAGAAGACAGAAGAAACGTACCATCATCGCGAATCCCCGCCGGCAACTTCGAGTAATAACTCTTGGCGATACTCGTCTCCTCGTCGCGCTGGATCAGGAGCTTTCCGAAGCTCAGACGCCCGCTACACAGCCCCTACAATCAGCCTCCCATCTAAAACTCCAACACACAACAAACCGAAAGGATGACCGGAAGCTACTTACGTCCACGTATCCCGCAAAACCTGCTCCATGCTCGCGCCGGCGCGCAGGATGCTCACGCCACAGACCCCCTTCGTGAACCGGAGGCCCTTGTACGTAGTATCCAGCGGTGTGGTGACGGTATACTCCTCCGCGGGGACATGGTTCAGCGCTGATATCCTCTCTTCGCATTAGTGGGTTTCTTTTTTTCTACCTGCTTGCCCCGAACAAAAGCACGTGACCATACCGGAAGAGATCAGACGATGCACGACTTTCTCCACGGCGGAGACGAAGGCGCGGTCGTCGGTGTGCACGTCGCGGATGATGGTCATGAGGCTCAGCAGGGAGCGGTCCTGCTCGAGGACAGTGACGCGGTCCATTGGGGGGGTGGGAAGTGCCGAAGTGGTTCCGGCAGTTGGGGCGGACATTTTGGGCGGAGGCTTTAGAGTTTGACTGAATGTATTTGTTTTGGATATACGGTACTAAATGTGCCAGGTTTGCGGGGGGTTGGAGATGGGAGAATTGGCGAAACTTCGTGGAAGGGAGGAGAGAAGAGGTTTAACAGTGGAATACCGTGGTTTATGTCCAGGTTGGTGTAGCGGGGTACTTTGCTTGGTGGTGAGTGAAGAGGGGTACAATGCAGTGCAGTGAATGATGCATGCGTGGGCGGAAGAAGGCGGAGAAGAAAATTCACAAAAGAAAAAAAAAAGAAAACAGAGGAGGGGCTTGGCACGCGACAGTTAACTGTGGTTGATAAGGCGGATCTAATCTTATCGCTGTCCTGATTTCGACTGGGGCTTGTTTGTCAGGAGGAGGAGGGTGAAGAGGGTACTATCTTCTATGGATGTCAAGGAGTAGCAGTTTTATACATACCTATGAAGTTTATCCTTAAAGGTGGGAGTGGTTCAGTCTCATCTATGTCTGTCGCGTGACCTGAAGATCGGAACACCAGTTGTTGGCCATGCAGCAACAGTCTCTCGATACGAAGGCACATCTATGGAACCAGGGTTTTACGTCCATGTCTCCCCATTCGTGTCTGGCAGCATGATACAGAGGTCGAGTCAAATTTGCATATCTCAAGTCAGTCTCAGGGGTGTGAGCTATGCCCAGCTACTTGAGGCTACTAGCTCTGCATGAAAAGTATGGAGTCGCCCTGTCTGTTTGTCAAGACTAGGATAAACTCAACGGTCGCATAGATCTGTGCACAGTACGAAGGACTAGTATACTGCATGAATCCAGTATCCACCTATAATGACCCTCTCTTAATTTCATTACCCCAATCCCTAAAGAGCAATGAGCTAAACCCAGACTTGCTTATCAGCGATCTCACACAAAGCGGGGAAATCCCTTATCGCGCAACCCCTCGGGGAATCCCGACATGCCTTAAGAACTGATAAGCCGCCTCGAACCCCAACATCCAGAGATAATCAATCTATCGTCTATCTTCCCTCACACTCCGCCTCAATCTCCTTCTTACCCGGTGAGCGGATAACACAATTGTTTGATATGCCGCGAATCTCGACCAAATCGTCGAATCGGGCGGCGCGGTTCGCCCCCTTCCCCTCGGGATCGCCCACTCCGAGCGACGATACGGTCGTCTCCAGCGAGCGGGCGTCCCGCCGCAGCTCAGATGTAGGTGAACTTTCTTCCGATAAGCCCTACGCAACAACCCCGGGTTAATTTCGATGTTAGACCCGCTCGCGGAGGAGTAGCACACGGTCTAGTCATGTCGAGGACGCCACACCCCGTGGGGAGAGCTCGGAATTGGACAACGATGGTGATGATCATGACGAAGGGTCAGAGACTCCGGTCTCGCCGGCGCCTCCGACCGTGACACATCTCTTTATCAACAACGAGCATGTTATGTCCAAGTCACAGAGCTGGAGCAATGTATTGGATCCGGTAAGAGATTTTTCCCCTCGAAATTGTCCTATTTCTGTATTCGCTGACCCCACTTCCAGGTCTCGCAAAGCTTACTATGTAGGGTGCCTGGAAGTACACTGCAGGAAGTCCAGAGCGCTGTTCAGGCGGCACAGGATGCTCAGCCCGCCTGGGCGGCGCTGGGGTTCCAGGTGCGGCGGGAGCGGCTGTTAAAACTGGTGGATGTCCTCAGGCAAATGTCGCCGGAAATAGTAAGACTCCTTGCATCCAAGATTCAACGCCAGAAAGAACACCAGGTAGCTAATTCAGATTGACCGTAGGTGACCTGTCTATCCCGTGAGGTGGGGAAAACTCTAGCCGACGCCGATGCCGAAGTCTTCCGTGGACTGGACTGCATCCACGCGGCCTGCTCCGTCGGGCCGGAAATGGCGGGCATGTTTCTCGGAGGCGATGCCACCTTGCTGCAGACTTTCTACGAGCCGGTGGTCAGTGCTGACTTTTGACTGTATTGAACTGAAAACACAGTTAAGGTGCAATGCTGATTCAAAACCCGCAGGGCGTCTGCGTCTCCATCACCCCGTTCAGCTTCCCGTTCATGATCCCCCTCTGGTCGTTGCCCTATGCTCTGATCACAGGCAACACGGTGGTATTGAAGCCGTCCGAAAAGACACCATCGACATCCGCCTTACTCGCCGAGGCCTTCCTCAAGACCGGCTTCCCGCCCGGGGTGTTCAACATCCTGCACGGTGGCCCGTCGACCGTGCAGATGCTGATCCACCAGCCCGCCGTCCAGGCCATCAGCTTCGTCGGCTCGGAGCCCGCCGCGCGACAGGTCCACGACCTTGCGCGCGCCGCCGGAAAACGCATCCAGGCCGAGTGCGGCGGCAAGAATCACGGCGTCATCCTCGAGGATGCCAACATGACCTCCACCCTCTTCGCCATTGCCGGCAGTGCCTTCGGGGCGGCCGGTCAGCGGTGCATGGCGCTCAGCGTGGCTGTCTTCGTGGGCAGCACGCGCGAGTGGATCCCCCGACTGGTCGAGCTGGCCGAGTCGATGGTCGTGGGCTGTGGGGGCGACCAGGAGTCCAAGATCGGGCCCCTGATCGACGAGGCGGCCGTCAAGCGGGTCGGCGGCGTCATCCAACGGGCGGTCCAGGAGCAAGCCCGCGTGCTTCTGGACGGTCGTCAGGTCCAGGTTCCCGGTTACCCGGATGGCAATTTCATGGGGCCGACGATCCTGACTGAGGTGGAGACGTACATGGAGTGCTACCAGTCGGAGATCTTCGGGCCGGTGCTCATCTGTATGGAGGTTGAGACGCTGGAGGACGCGATGGAACTCATCAATCAGAATAAATGTAAGTTGGCTGGCCACCTCAACGCCGTCGAATCCGGTGGGCTGATCCTGATCACGTAGATGGCAATGCATGTTCCATCTTTACCACCAGTGGTAAACATGCCAATACATTTCAGCGCGGCGTCAACGTTGGGCAGATTGGGGTCAACATCCCGTTGATAGGTATGTTGTTAGCTTTGCTGGTGTCTGGCAGTAAACTAAAAGGTATACAGCCCCGTATGGTACTGCTGTTCGGACGAGCAACAAAGATTCATTCCTGGGAGGTAGGGACCTTTCTTCCTCTCAATCCGGAGCGGGCGCACTGTGCTAACTATGTCAGACCGACATGCTCCTGGGAAAACCTACTGGCCGTTCTTCACCACGACCAAGACTGTGTCATCGCGGTGGGAGCAGTAGAATAGCAGAGTTGCGCTGAACGGTCAACTGTCGGGGAAAGTTGACTTTGGTCACTTGATCACCAAGTGGACAGCAAAATAGCTGAAGGATGCTGAAGGAATATAGGCTAGGATTAGTCTAGTCTGGTACGTGTAGTAGCACTATAGTGGCATGTCGCGTCACTCAAGGAGCAGTCCGTACAGTCCATATATGCATGGAGAATGCATTAGATGAGTCGAGAGGACTCAAAAAGGAATACCATCCGAGATGCCCCGAGGTGAGGCTGCGTGCCGTGGCTGAGTCAGATTGTTGGAAGACGTCATCTTCCCTTGTCCGCTCTGCCAAGACATCGTATTTAAACCCAGCCATCACCGCATTCCATCAACACAACCACTTCTCACCAATTCACAATCACAATTGACAAGTAAAACAACTCATGTGAGACGGCCTCTTCCCTCAAAGCACCTCATCATGCCGACCCTCAACGAGGTCCGCCAGTCCAACGCGACCCTCTCCACCAGCCGGCCCGAACTGATCGCCGTCTTCGTCGGCGGCACCAGCGGCATCGGCGAAGCAACCGCCAAGCAACTGGCCCAGTCCGTGAAGCAGCCCACCATCCACGTCGTGGGCCGCAGCGCCGCATCGGGCTCGCGCGTTCTGGAGGAGCTCCGCGCCGCCAACCCCGACGGCAAGTTTCACTTCATCCAGGCCGATCTGTCCTTGCTGCGCAATGTCGACACCGCCTGCGAGCAGATCAAGGAGAAGGAGAAATCCATCGACCTGCTCTTCCTCTCGACGGGGCATCTGGCTATGTCCAAGAACGGTACTTGTCTACCCAAACCCCCCAAAACCCCCAAACTAAAGGGTCACCAGAAACCGAAGAAGGCCTAGACAACAACCACGTCCTACGCTACTACGGCCGCATGCGCTTCATCCACAACCTCCTGCCCCTGCTGGAGAACTCCTCGGGCGCGCCACGGGTCGTGTCCGTGCTGGCCGCAGGGCAGGAGGGCCACGTGGACGAGCACAACCTCGACCTGCGGCAATCGTGGTCCTTCCGCAAGGCGGCGACCTACGCGGCGACGCTCAACTCGCTGGCGCTCGAGCACCTGGCCGCGACGCACCCGACCGTGGGCTTCGCGCACGTCTTCCCGGGGATCGTGCGCACCCCGCTCATGAAGTCCACCTTCGGGAACTGGGCCGGCGCCGTGATGAGTGTGCTCTCGCGGCCGGTGTCCATGACGCCCGAGGAGAGCGGCCAGCGCAACCTGTTCATCGCCACCTCGGCGGCGTATCCGGCCGCCAAGCCCAGGGATGCGTCGGCGTATGTGGGGACGCCGTTGGCGGAGGGGCTGCGTGCGGCGGTCGCGTCGACGGGACAGGTCGGCGCGGGTTCGTATATCTTGAATTACGATGGGAAGAATGTGACGAAGGAGAAGTTGATGGCCGAGTATCGCGAGCGCGGGTTTGCGGGGAAGGTGTGGGAGCACACGCTGGAGACTTTTCGGCGGGTTTTGCAGAAGGAGTGAGCGGGTTGACTCTGTTTGAATTGGTGTATGTGTATGAGTAGGTAGGTGGCTTGTAATGAGTATCTCCTCTTTTCGACGGTGCAAGTGGATTATGCGACAAATCATAATCTGACCCTTCATCTCGTCTAAACGCCCAAACTGAACGCGAAACCACACCCACGCATACAACCCCCAACCCTAACCCAGCAACCGCTCCGCATTTCCAAAGTAAATCCCCTCGCGCAACTCCTCGTCCATGGCATACTCATCCAGATACTCCCGATACCCGGCCACTTTATCCGCATTCGCATACGGGAAATCTGATCCTATACTCCATATTAGTATTCCTCTCCAACCTCCCCGCCACAGAACCCAAAGAAACATGCCAACATACCATAAACCACCCTCCCCCGGTCCACCGTATCCAACACCAACCCCACAACCGCCGACGTCCCCACCATCGCCAAATCATAATAAAACGAGCGCACCCCCTCCATCCACTCCGCATACGTCTTCCCATACACCGTCACATTTTGTTGCTGGACGGCTTGCGCCGTCACCGCGATCCTGGAAATCAAAAACGGGAGGGTGCCCCCAGCATGCGGAAGGATGCGTTTCACATCTGGATAATCCCGCGTGACGTTGCCCATGATCATGTCGATGGCGGAGCGGGTGGTTTCAGCCGGGAAGTCCAGCATCGGGGGTGGGAGGACGGGGTTGATCCACTCGTTGCAGGCGGCGGTGGTCGGGTGGATGAAGGCGACGGCACGGCGGGTGTTTAGGGCAGACCACAGGGGTTGGAAGGATGGGTGGCCTAGATAAGTGTTGTCGGGGCCGTAGCGCGTGAAGAGGGTGACGCCGTCGGCGTGGAGGGTGTCGAGGGCGTAGGTGAGTTCGGCGAGGGTGCCGGTGGGATCGTCGAGGGGGGAGGGGAGAGAGGCGAAGAAGCCTAGCTTGCTGGGGTGGGCGGAGACGAGGGCGGCGGCGTAGTCGTTGGCGCGGCGGGCCAGTTGGCGGATGGTTGTTGTGTTGGGGCCGGCGATGGTGGGGCCCGGGGTGGTGAGGGAGAGGTAGGCTTTGCGGACGTTGTTGGTTTGCAGGTGGTCGAGGGTCGTTTGCAGGGTCCAGTTTGGCGTGGGGATGCCGGCTGGGTCGCCGCCCGCTGTGTCGATTGCTGGAGGCGATGGTGGGGGTTAGGGTTGCCGGCTGCGTGGGGGTGGAGTGGAAAGGGAGGTTACTGTACCTTCGCGGTAGAAGTCGGGGACGAAGTGGTGGTGCGTGTCGATTTTGGGCGGGAAGGTTGTGGAATTTGTAAGTGCTGGGGCTTTTGAGCGCTGGCTAAGCTTGCTGAGGCTGAGGGCTCCTGTGAGACCTGCTAGGATAGTGCCTATGCCCAACATGATGAATGATATGATGGCTTGGGGTTAGAGTGGGTGAACAAGCAAACCACCTCGGTCGCGGGGAAGGCTTTGGATTTAACACCTCGGATTGCACAAGTAGGGGCTGAACTGCCCGCTTAGAGCGGTCAGTCCCACAGCTGCTGTGCAGGAGGCGTCGTCCCTTGCATTCAGCTATGTTTGCTCCGCCTGCTGTGGGTGAGCGCTCTATCGGGGCTCTGTCTGAGAGACACGGGCTCAGCTATATTATAGCCTTCGTTGAGGGAGATGGAGAGGCATACCATGGTCTACTGCACTATCTCACCTTTGCTGCTGCCCATACTGTCGTCAATCCACATGTCACATTATATCATAGCCCTATGTAAAATGTGCCCCTTGTTTAGGCACAGCTGTCCAATGAAGATGAGCCAGCTCGAGACGAGTCTCTACACTCTTATCCTTCCTCCGGAAACACCACATTTTCCCCACGATATCGATCCGCCCCATAACGTACGCGACGCCTCGCCCCTGCAAGTCACTTCCCGTTGCCGAGCCACGTTGCACCGGCGCCTCGAACGCCGTAGCAATCTCAGTCGGGCTCATCACGCTCGCGAACGTGAAAAAGTTCGTGAACCGGATGTTCTTCGCGGCGTCGTAGAAGCTGTTAGCCAGTTGTGTATCGTCTACTGATGACGTGGCGGAGATTCGTCCGACAGCTAACTAAAACTGATCTGCTTTGGGCGTTTTACCTCGGATAGGAAACGCAAACGGTCCTATGAGCATTGTTCGAAACCGTTTGCACCACTTAGTCAGAACCATCAATAATCTTCCTCCCAATCTCCCGCGAAGCCAAGCCGCTCAGCGTGCGCTCGCGCAGTCGTTCCCCGAAGCCCATCAGTCCCACCACGAAGGTGAAAGCGAAGATCGAAAAGAACGCCATCATCCCATAAACCCACCCGAACCCCACGCGAGCCACCCACTGATTGATAAAGAAGGGGATCACCAGCCCCAGGGAGAGGCGATAGGCGCCCATGAAGGCAGCCACCTCGGTGGGCTGGGCGGCGACGCACTCGATCGCGTACGTCACCGCGGCGGGCACGGAGCTCATCGAGGCGAACGTGATGAGGTAGGCGCCCAGCGCGAGGACCATGTAGTGCAGGTGGTACTGCAGGGCGGCGCCGACGATGCCCAAGCCGATTGGCAGAATAACCAGAGAAGGAATCCAGAGCGTATGGAGCCGGCACTCGGGCTTCCAGACTCCTTTGTTCCGGGTGCGGCAGACCCAGAGCGCGATGCGGTCGTTGCAGAGGTAGCCCCAGAGCTCGGCAGTGAGGAGGCCGGCCCACAGGGAGAAGATGACTGTTATGGTTTAGGTGTTAGGTGGAGGGGTGAGGGGTGAAATGATTCGGGATACATACAGAAAGCATTCCGCTGAGGGGTAAACCCCCATCCGCCGACGGTCACGGGTTTCTCGAGCCAGACGGTGATGAGACTGTGGGTGGCCACGAACCAGCCGAAGGAAGCGAACTGGAACAGGCCTATCATCAGGCCGATGAGGGAGAGGCCGATCCGGAAGGGTAGCCATGCGATACGCCCCTGTGAGATGCTTTGTTAGAGAACACATTTTCCATCACAGCCGGGGAAGAATCATACCAACTCAGAGCGACCGATTCCAGTTGGATGGGGAAGCAACGTGGCCATCCGATTAGCCCAGAAGGACGAAGGCTTCTGGCTCGGCACTGCCGTCCCGTCGCGTGGGTAGCTGGTGTCTTCGAGGAAGCAAAACGCTGTACAGTCGGAAAATTAGCCCTCATTCACATTGTATACATTGAAACATAGAAGGTGGAAATGCGACGAACCTAGCACAAGCACAACACCCTGTGCGATCACCACCCACCAGAATACCCACGGCCAATCGGTATGCTGCACGATAAAGCCCCCAAAGGTTGGACCAGCCACTGTTCCAAAAAGAAAGGAGACGTGGAAGGCCGCGTAGGCCTTGCCGCGCTCATGCAGGAAGAACATCTCATACACAGACCCGACTCCGAGGATGGACGGAATGGATCCGAAAATCCCATCAAACAGACGGGACGCCACGAAGCGTTCATAGTTTCCTCGGCCGGTCATGCTGGCGGACCAGATGGCGCATGCCATGGCAAAGAGAAGACACCAGAAGATGATCGCGGTACGACCGAAGGCATGGGCAAGGGGGTTGATCAGGAGCGGTCCGTAGGCGATGCCAGCGATGGAGGCGGACAAGGTGTATGTGACTTCTATAACCGCCTTGTCCCAGTTTTGGGCCTCCTCTTTCTGGGCCAACTGATTCGCCAGGTCCAGTGCGGTGCCCGCAAACCCAGCCATGCAGAGGATGACCAGGTTCTTTAGCTTTCGAGCCTTGGTCCAGTTCTGTGATGCCGTCAGCACATGTGTAAGCAACGGTTCACGGGCAACAGAGTAACAGAGCCTGGGCATACCAGTGGATCTTCAGGGTCTTGTGACGGTTGGGGAACGAGAATCACCCCATTCTGCGTTTTTGGATTAGGATCTGATTCAGCCACAATATCCAATTCCAGCTGAGGCTTGACATCGACGGAGTACTCAGCCATTATGTGCGGTCACCCAGGGGGATCTCTCCTGTGCCAGTGTTCGCAGAGAGGAGAGATGAGGGAAGAGTTAGAAAAAAAAGAAGAAAGAAAGTGGACAATGATTAAGGAGTGGTTTTGCAATCCCAGGACAGGACATTGGAACCACTGCGGCTATTTTAGATTGCATATGATTAGTGCTTATTGATAGGCATATTGATCCTTGCAATGGGCTGCATTAGTGATTGCTAGCACAGGTCACTAGATGCGGGCTGGCTAGTACTTGCTTTTTTTTATTTCTGTGTATCCTTTCGGGCTAAATGGTGTATTCGTGTGGACGATGCTATGACATCCCTGCAAGGAGGGTCGGATCCATGGAGCTATGAGAAATGACTTGATTCCGATAGTGATTGAAGCTGGCCGAGGATGGCCTGGTGTTAAATAGACCACATGAGCATACAATATTCGTTCCGATAGTAGTCAGTTGCCACATTGACTTCAATGTTTATTCATCATGGCACTGACACTCACTGGAGTCTACAACGCGAGGCAGCTCCAGATAGTGGTTATTAATAGTGTTCTCGTGTTCTTGTCACTGGCTTCTGTGTTGTTGCGATTCTGGGCACGAAAACTGCAAGGACTGGAACCATTCCTGGAGGACTACCTGATAGTTGTTGCCTTGGTATGTGATTCTCTCCTCAGGATCATAGAGAGCGAAGATTGAGCGACATGAATACAGGCGCTGTCCTTGGGAGTGAATATCCTTCTCTTTCAAAGTGAGTCCACGCCTCTCGTTTGTACCAGCAAGGATTCTCTAACACAAATATCTAGGTCTTCATGCCGGCGTGGGTGAGCATGTTGACTCTCTGACAACTGCGACCGTACAGGAATACTCCCTGGTATGTGGTCTTTATGTTCCCGGTATCCTACATGTTCCTGACCTCACTGCACGAGCACATAGAACCTGTATATGATGGAACTATTCTGGAACACCTGCCTCCCTACAATCAAGCTTTCCATTGCCCTCTTCTACCAACGCATATTCCCCGTCCGATCCATGGTCATTGCCTGTCGCTCTATCATCGTCTTTCTATTCGCTTGGTACCTCGCTTTCCAGACCACAGCCATCTTCCAATGCACACCGATCCACCACGCGTGGCAAAAGAAAACCACGCAGGGAAGATGTGTCGAATTCGTTCCCTTTGTGATAACGTTGGCCGCAACGAACTTGTGTACGGATTTACTTCTCCTTGCCCTGCCCACCCGCGAAATTTGGAAGCTTCAGGTCGCGCAAGGGAAGAAAATCGGATTGTCGGTCATTTTCACTCTGGGTGTTATGTCTGCCCCCCCCACTCTACAGCAAAGTCGTCCCTGTTGTTCTCCTTGGTATCCGATACTAATGAATGCCTTTGTCGACCAGCGTCTGTATTATCTCGGTTGTACGGCTCGAGAATCTCATTGCAATCAGCAACGCGGACATCACGTGTGAGACAAATTCACCTCTTCCCTATTCATTTTCGGGTGTCTACCTGCCGCATTGAAAACAGCAAATTCTAATTCCTGAAATTTTAGGGTCTGATACATATTCCCATCTGTGGACGGCGATCGAAAGCAGCCTAGGGGTGGTGGTGGCGTGTCTCCCGAGTCTGATGCCCATTACGCGCCTGATCCGCCATGGAAAGGGGTGGAAGGGGGGGCTGCGCAGCAAATCTCTTCCTGGTGCCGGTCGGGGTTTGTCTTCCTACCCCAGTTATTTGCATGAGTCTTATGAGCTGTCGCAATTATCCCACCCCAATCGCCTTAGCTCGGGGCCGGGTCGGCCACGTCTCCGCGCCGGCAGCAGTGATTCGGCCTTGATCGAGAAATATATGGGGGAGATTGAGGTCACCAATGAGATCGCGCAGCAGGTGGAGTCTAGTCCTACCCGTACTTAGACTTTACGAGATAGACTAGGGGGATTTTAGGACGGGTGTGTCATGTTGAATGTGGGTTGGGCTCCTGCTCCGACTAGTCTTGAATAGCACGAGCCGATGTGGGGGGGAACCCCAATCTCGTTTGATGATGCAGTGGCAGGATTCAGATCCCTGCCTTAACTCGGTCAGTCTTCTTTCAAGAACCTGTGGCATGCTCATAAGGATTTGACAGGAAATATTCGATGCGCGAGCTCACTTGCTTGAAAGTAAGACGGATGTGAAATGGTGCTCTAGGGCTAGGGCACTGCCATCGGGGCAACGATGCCTTCTTACTCTTCCCCAACTCTTCCCCAACTGTCAAAGGTCTCATGATAGCTCAGTGATGACAAGCTTTGTTCCCGCGGGAAAAGGCCGCTAAGTCTGCTTAGCATCCGTAAGGCCTTTTTAGCGTAGCCGGTTATAAGCTTAGTGCTGCGCGGCGGGGTTTGCGCCCCCGGCCTGTCAGAGTGTCTCAATGCCCCTTTCCGCCTTGACTCGGGGGATTTGCTCCTCCACTTTATCCCTCGGACATCTCTGTGGCAAAGAGCATGCCATCACTGACATCCCTTCCTTGACTCACTTCTCATCGACAGTCAGCCATGGCAACCCCTCCACCCCCCGACGGCCCCGTGCGCATCGCTATCATCGGCGGCGGCATCGCCGGCCTGACGCTCCTCCTGGCCCTCTTGAAGCACACCTCCCGTGACATCCTCGAGTCACACTTGTACGAAGCCGCGCCCGGGTTTTCCGAGATCGGCGCCGGGATCGCCTTCGGGTCCAACTCCCTACGCGCGATGGGGCTCATCGACCCGGAGATGATGGCCACCTACAACAAGCACGCCACCGTGCAGCCAGACGAAGGGGCGCGCGAGCGGAAGCTCTGGTCCAGCTACCGGATGGGGATGGACGGCCAACGGCGTCCGACCAACACTCTGAAGGCCGGCGACCATATCCACGAGACGCGCGCCTCGGTGGCTCGGAGCAGCGTCCACCGCGCGCGCTTCCTCGAGGGGATGACCGAGCTCCTCCCAAAGGCAGCGCAGGAGAATCATGTTTCCTTCGGGAAGAGACTGGTCTCGTTGGAAGAGAACCCCGACGCGAGCGTGACGGTCCGGTTCGCGGACGGCACCGCCGCGACGGTGGACGCGGTCGTCGGCTGCGACGGGATCAGATCCCGCGTCCGCCAGATCTTACTCGCCGGCGAGCCGGAGGCCGAGCCCGTCTTCACGGGCAAATACGCCTACCGGGGCCTGATCCCCATGGAGGAGGCGGTCGCCGAGCTGGGCGAGTCCACGGCCCGCAACAACCATTTCCACTGGGGGTACGACGGGCATGTCCTGACCTTCCCCATCGAGAAGGGGCAGACGATGAACGTGGTGGCGTTCCGCACCAAGGCGAACGGGATCTGGGAGCACGGCGCGCAGTGGGTGCTGCCGGGGAATAAGGAGCACATGCTGCGGGACTTCGCGGGCTGGGGCCCGGATGTGCAGGCCATTTTGTCCTTGATGCGCAATTCCGATATCTGGGCCATGTTCGACCACCCCCCCGCGCGGACCTACTACAAGGATGGGCGGATATGTGTTATCGGGGATGCGGCGCATGCCAGCACCCCGCATCAAGGGGCCGGGGCAGGGATGGCGATTGAGGATGTCTTCGTCTTGTCCCGATTGTTGAAGGAGGTGCGGGACCGTCGTCAGCTGGGCCGCGCATTTGCGGCGTATGATGCGGTGCGGAGACCGCGCACCCAGAGGCTGGTCCGTACAAGTCGGGATGCGGGTCTGCTGTACGAGTGTCAGAAGCCAGGGGTGGAGGATAATCTTGACAAGATTCGGCAGGATCTGGATGAGCGGATGCATTGGATCTGGGACTTGGACCTCGAGGCTCACCTTGCAGAGGCATTGGATGTCTTTCATCAGGGACCGTAGACTTTGATTCCAGATATTGGTCGAGGGTTTCGGTTCTAAAATTGACAACTGTGTCCCTAGGTAGGCTTCAATGACTGTCAGGCCGGGAGTCTCAAATATGAGTCTTTTTGCAACCAGGCCTGATGATTTGTAGTGCGGAAGCTTAAAATCCAAGTCCATTTTCTGGTGCACTCGATTTCAAGTTCATCATGTAACGTGGCCAGCAATACAAGATTTTCTGTATACCTTCCCGGGCGATGAGGAAGTAGAAGGCTTGATCTATTGCATAATATTGACGGCAAAACAGGTCAGATGGCAGTTGTGTTCGTCCAATCCGCATCACATGGGACTGGATCAGCAATTGGCCGTGGTTGGTCGCACAAGGGCATCTCTCGTCCTGATCATGTTATATATGTTTCCAACCCCACTACCACGGACGCCTCTTTTCAATCGTGTAGCAAGCCCATCGGTGCAGTATTTGCATGAAAAAATGCGGATCTTGCAATTCTCTTGGCCGCTTCTAATCCTCCAAGCCGCATTATGTCTCCACGCCACTCATGCACGCCCTGATGCATGGACAAGGTCCAATTCGTCCTGGTCCGAATCGCAACAGAGCATCATCCGAGATATAGCCATCATCGGCGGTGGCTCAGCAGGAACATACGCCGCAATTCGTCTACGCCAGATGAACTATAGCGTCGTCGTCATCGAGAAGGAAGATCATCTTGGCGGGCACGTCAACACATACACTGAGCCGACGACAGGAATTGCCGCCGACTACGGAGTGCTGTACTTCGAGGATGAGCCCTGGGTCCGCGACTACTTTGCTTATCTCCAAGTCCCGGTGGTCAAAGTCTCCGTTCTGGGGCAAGGTGTAATGCGCCGTGTCGATATGCGAACCGGGGCCTCCGTGCCCCTCTCAGATGGAGCCACGATCCCCGCGATGGCGGCGTATGCGGCACAGTTACTGAAATATCCCTATCTCAACACCGGCTTCAATCTTCCCGACCCCGTCCCGGAAGACCTCTTGCTCCCCTTTGGCGAGTTTATCAGGAAATACGATCTGGACGGGGCGGTGGACATTATTGCGCTGTTTAACCAAGGGGTCGGAGACTTGTTGCAGCAGCTAACCCTCTACATGATGAAGTACTTCAGCCTGGGAGTGCTTCGAGACGCGATCGGAGGGTTTCTCCAGCCCGCCAACCACAATAACAGTGAACTCTACGGCGCAGCACAGCGAGAGTTGGGGAGCGACGCACTACTCAGTAGCACTGTTACCGCCACAAACCGTGACGACGGGGGAGATGGAGGGGAGGACGACTGGGTCCATCTGCAAACGCGCACACCCACCGGGGAGCAGACGATCCAGGCCAAGAAACTGATCGTCGCCATTCAGCCCAGGCTCGAGAATCTGGCCGCGATAGACCTCGATCCGGCCGAGCGGGACCTCTTCGGCCAGTTCAACAACACCAACTATTACACCTCTCTGCCCATGTGCCCGGACTCCCCGTGGGCTCTCTGGTCCTAAATCGTGCAACGGATACCCCGTATCATCTACCGCCGCAGCCAGCGGTCTATGTCATGAGGCCGACCCAGTCTCCCAACCTGACCTCCATCCTTTACGGGAGCGTGGATCATATGAGCGAGGACGAGGTCAAAAGACGTATCACGCAGAGCGTGCTGCAATTGAGGCATGCTGGTATTCCGGTCCAGGCGCCGGAGTTTGTGGCCTACTCCGATCATTTTCCGTTCTTGTTGACCGTCTCGGCGGATGCGATCCGCGGGGGCTTCTATCGGGAGTTGAACGCCTTGCAGGGGCGTCGCAATACGTACTATATGTCTGCGTCGCTCAATACCTATGACTCGGCGGAGATTTGGCGCTTCATTGATGAGATGTTGAGGGCGCATTTCTCGCAACCGGAGGATTAGATCCCATGTCGGTGTATCGTCCTCTCCATGAAGATTTCATTCTCGCGAATCCACATATACGTCTCACACAGAGACCTTCTGCCATCACAGAATGAACAAGCAATGAAAGTACGGTACGTCGGCTGGAGATTGTAATGGACCATCTAAGTACCGTTATCTGAAATGATTTCCTGCTGTCGCTCTGCTGCATTGCTGAAGAGATGGAGCGGTAATTTCGATACCTAGCAGCTGAGGGGAGTGGACGATTTCCGAGGGCTGGGATGCGGGTCTCGCATGATACCAGTGTTCTGTTGCCAGTATTAGATATTTTCATGTAATGTTCTCTTCTATGCCTCACACATCTCACTGGCCTCGATGTAGTTGATCCGAGCGCGCCCAATGATACTGGCTCATGAGCAGCCGACGACTTTTGTGGCACTACACCGTCATCAAGATCGATGCCTTGTGATTACCTGTCACACACCAGACATCGGTAACGTCGCACTGCCAAGCTGAGCAGCAGCTCTAGGACATCATATCTGCTGTAGCAATGTGACAGCAGTTTAGTCAACTGACCCCTGGGTTTATGCATCTGTTGTCAGGTTGTGTTGGTCCCTTTGGATTGATATTTGTGACGTCAAACCCCAGTCCCGCTTAGTTTCTCCCCGCTCTTCGCGTAGACTTAGTTATGTTCTTAAGCTCCGATCATCAAGTTCGAGCGATTTGATTTCTCGTTTCCCTTGCCGCATCATATCCAGGGAACCAACGACAGATCAAGAATCTTGGTTCCATCGGGAGAGATCCGAGATCTATCGCGATCGAGATCCCAATCGCTGCCCGTGCACTGATGCATCTGGTTAGAGTCTGCGGGTAAGCCGGTCCAGCCACGGGCGCGCTCACTTGGCCTGTGCCATTCAACGATGCCTGGACCAATGAACGCGGAACGCCTGGAGTTGCGCTTGGTGTGCAAGAGGCTGTCTAAAAGGCCATACCCACAAGAAGCGTCTGATTTAGGGGGCAAATAATAAGGCCAGCGCTTAGCAAGAACAATGGAATAATAAAAAGGCAGCTATCCCAGAAACAAATGGAAAGTAACCCCTTTTCTTTTATCGTCGATTTCCACTTATTCTGAAAAGTCCAGCCACCCTGTGTCATGGTATTGACCGGCACTACAGCCAGTAAAAGGAATCTGCTCCCTGTCTTCGAGTTCCGTCCATGCAGCCAGCCGTCAGCGGAAATGGACTTTTGGCACATAGGGAGTGCTAGATACCAATAAATTGATACCAACGAAATGAGCAACTAGAGGTTCATCAAGTTTTCAAACAATGATTATGGCATGAGTAAGGAATTAATTATTCTTCAGCGGGATTGGGCTTAATTTGCCTTTATTGTGATGCTAACGTATTCTTATTATATATAATACGTGGCGACTGTACTAGGTAGGTAGGGTAGTACTTGGTAGTATGGCCGACTGTCCCGGCCGGCTGTCCCGGCCGGCCCGAAGGCGAGAGCCACCGCATAGAGCTGATGCGACCGCCGAAGGCTGGAGCAGTGTTTGCAAGAGGGCGACGTGGGTGCTACCCTACCCTAGGGCTGTGAGGCTACTACTACTCCGTCGGCCGGAGTTGGAGTAGTATTATGATCATGGCGCATTGGGAGGCTGGGCGAACGCGGGCGTCTGCCCGATCGCGCTCTCCTGTTGAAGATTGCAGCGAGGGCGCTAATTGAGCTCGACAGCCACCCGCGGCCGCCCTGCGATTGCGATTGCGCCTGCGCTGGTGGACAAGGGATGATCTCCTCGTGAGCGCTCTTTCTCGTTGTTGTTGCGTCAGGGTCAGGTGTCTTTGCTGTCGATCTCGAAGGATCATAAGTGCTCTGGACTGAAGCATGTGCTTGGGCGCTGTCGCGGATTGGCTGCTGAGACGGGTCTTGTGGTCGAGATTCGAGAGACGGCGTGGTGGTGGTGGCGGAGGATGTAAGCGAATCGCGATCGCTATGCGACTCCAAGTGCAGTTGGCGTTCAGCGCATCGCTGAGACACCGAGTGGCAACGTTGGTGGGCGAACCCCGATCCTGACTGAGCTATTTGCATCTCACTGTGTTGTAGGAGCCTGAGCTTTTTGGAGGGCCTGGAGCTGGGCGCGCACAGGGGACAGAGGCGGCATCGCTCGTTTGAGTGCCTGATCCACGGCGAGACCCGAGGACTATCGCCGGGGTGAGCGAACAGCCTACGCCACAGCTCGGGGCGTAGTCGATGAATCGGGTGAGGAGGTCTTTGCACGGGTTCTGGTATGCGTATGCGAGGGCAGTCTTGCCGTCATTGTCACGTGTTGTGCAGCCTGAACCGTCCTTGAGGAGGACTTCGACAGCCTCTGTGGAGGAGCCTTGTGCGGCGATGTGCAAGGCAGACTGGCCGTGGGCGTCGGTAATGGCGGCGCACATGCCGTAGCTGAGCAGCAGACGGAGGATTTCTGGGTGGGCGTGGAGCGCGGCGAGGTGGAGGGCGGTTCGCCCTTCAGGATTGCGTGCGGAGAGAACACTCTCATCCTTTGCGTACTCGCGCTCAAGGGCCGTGACATCATGCATCGCAGCGGCGTAGAGGAAAGAGAGTGCGCTGTCCATGGCTTGCGGTCGCGAGGTACAGCAGCAGCAGTTATGTTTCGAAGATAAAGAAGTGAGATCTGGTCGATTCCTCGTGAGGACGACGGCGTCTTTTCAACGCACGCCTCGTCCCTAGTATCGTATCGAGTCCTGTTCAGACGAGTGCCGCCTCCTGTCGGTAAAATCCCGGATGTGATCCGCCCCCTCTTTGCGCTCATGCTGGTCACTGGACCAACTGCCCAAGCTGGCCTGGAGCGGGCATTGACAGCCAACGACTGACTGGAACTGGTCCCCACTCTTGCAGCCGAGATGGCAAGTGATTCCTAGCCAGACGCGTTATCTGACACCGGGGCGCGCGCTAGCCTCGACTGGTCTGGCCGAAGCTGATGTGTCCGTGCTGCCCAGAGTCATGAACAATCGCTAAGACTTCACTAAGCTTCGAGGTTCGGCTAAAGATGGAGCCCACGGGTGAGGGAAGTGGAACTGTTCTCCGATGTCTCATTCAAGCGAGAGAACAATGTGTCGTGGATCTGCCTGCACCGGGAAACCTCCTTCAGCCTTTTGTCGGAGACGGGCGGATTTGCCGAGAGAGATTCCGAGCAAAGTCGACAGATTGGCAGCTTCATAGATCGCAATCTTGAGCTAGCGAAACAGATTGCGCCATTCAGGCACGTGGGCCCGCGCTTGGCTGTCATTCTCCGCGGGTCCCCCCTCAACTCGGGCTATCCCGGGTTCAGAATGGATGGGCCCTGGTGAGACTCGATTAGGGTCTCTAATAGAGAATGTCAGCAGAACTGGAAATTCCCATTTGTGGGGCTGCCACTGCAGCCCAGCGATGGAGAAGTGATCGCCCACCAACAACAGAACCTCAAAGTGCAATGATTGAACCCGCTCGTTATCGGTTTGGGCTACGCCCAGAAGAAATGATTGCTAAGCTTAAGCTACTTTGTACATTAAGGAGGCGAATCCTTCTGCATGTCACAACGGGCGACTTCCTTTGGCAGCACAGCATCAAACAGATATTAAGCAATATTTTGCCGCAACGATTCCAGATCCACAATGGCGTCAATGGTGTTGGGACGGGTAGGCCCAAGGTATTCTTCAAACAGGTCGACGCAATCCTGAAGCAAGCCAATGGCATCGACCTTCCGATCTTGGGCTTCCCATGTATGTGCCAGATTCCACATGCTGATTAGCGCGTCAGGATGCTCCGATCCCAAAACAATCTTCCTTCCTTCCATCTTCCTTGCGCCCATAATGTTGATGCCAGATTGGCCATGCTGGTTAGCACATCGGGGTGATTAGGTCCCAGCGTCTTCCTTCGCATCACCATGACATGCGCCTCCGCTTCTTCAGCTTTACTTATCCACCTCTGGCCAATCTATCAGGGTGCTCGGGTCCCAAAATTGTGCCCATAACCGTCGTAACTAGCAGCTCAAGTTCTTCAGCCTCTTTCGTGGCCACGGCCTTCATTCCGGCCCTGGTTTCACAACAACGGGATGATGCAAGACAGCAAACGGGAGTCTATGGTCTTCAAACATCGTTTTCCCGAGACTTGAATGAAACGACAAGATATTGATTCCTGGCTCAGCGGGGGTTCTTGAACAGAAACCAACCCCTCTCTGCAACGCCACCAGCCAACGTCGATGGTGGCCCTCGAACAAAAAGCCGAAAGGTGTCGCACAGCTCATCCGGAACCTTACGGCAACAAAGCCCTGTGCGAAACCTACTTCATGAGCTTTTTCTGTTAAGCCTATCTATCTACTGCACTTGGCCGAAGTCTGTATTGCTTTCTGATTTTTATCCATTCCCTTCAGCAGGTTCTCAGTCTTGATTTCGGCGTTAAGCTAATTTCAGCTCTATTTAAGATAACCTAGACTTCTCAGAACAGTACCTGGTATAATTACTGACTTAGCTTTGTATAATCTTAGAATAAAATACGCCCAAGGCTTCTAAAGAAGCTATAGATATTTTACATACTGGGTTTTATGATGCTGTTAATGCAACACCAGATAAATTCTTATTTTATAGTAGGATATAACGGAAATTCATAATAAGACAGCGAAAACCGAGGAGCATGGGCAGAATAAGACTATTTAGGGCACTGGAGTAGGTCAGGCAATTTTTTAAGAAGACAATAAGCGTTATTCTATTCTTGAGTAGAAAACCATATTAGTTTAAGATGCTTGTTTACTATAGGAGGCTCGCTAACTAAAGAACAGACAAACACAGAGCATCAAATTTAGTCTTCTATTACGCCTACCGCAGAAGAATACAGTTATAAGAATATTGATTATGTATTTCTATTATCCATTCGAGACCCATAAGTGAAAGAAATATATAATATCTTTTCGAACATCCTTTTAGCTCAAACAGTCAGCCAGACAACAGGTTCTTTTACAAAACGTGTTGCTCTTTTTTCGGGAATCAAAGTAAACAATCAAATGGCGGTTACACGAAGGTCTTAGTACAACTTGCTATCTGGTTAGCTGCTGGATTAGAAAAGTTGTCGTGCTTATAGGGTCTCTATAAAAAGATATCACAAAGTCGCGTGCTTCTACCGGCCATTGGGTGAATAGTTATAGGACATGATTGGAACCTATATATTGTTTTTAGAGGTTGCTTTGAAGAACAAGACAGAATCGTAAATAGAAAACATAGGGTAATTCTCGTATCTTGCTAGTAGTTCTTGGTAGTATGTGGAAGGGTCTGTCGAAAGTCTTGGCGCTAGTATACGCACATACTACGGCATTTCGAGTTAATAGATCTCGTTCGCAAGCTGTCATCATATGCCGAAGAGGTGTATTGGTCATGGATGAAATCAGAGATATCAACGCCACTAGCGAATACGGGCTGAGGAATGTGAATCTTAACGCGGGGAACGAGAAACAGTTCAAAAAGCCCTTGCGGCGTCGTCATCTGCATTAGCTCCCTACCAACGGGCACAGGCATGGGGGCCCGGTGTTGGTGGAGAAGGTGGTGAGAAGAGGAACTGTGGGCCGATGGCGACTGGCGAGCCCTTGGACGATCATTGGGGTGGTCAGACTATTTACGTACATGCTATGGAGGGGAGTGAGTTACCATAAAGAAAACTACCTCTTCACACGAATAAACTTCATATTTCATTGGATGAGATAAGTTGCGGTTCTCATTTGCGTGGCGCGAAGCCAACCTGGGTAGGAAGCATCAAGCACTCCAGGTGGTGACGTTATCCAAAGGTCCAGACTCCTCTCGTCTCACCACATATCCACTGGATATATAAGTACCGGATCAAATTCATTAAACCCTGGAAGTCCTCATCAATTGCGGTGTCCGAAAAATTTCTGACCTATATTATCGTTGGCAGCTCACAAGCAACATGCCGCTGGACAATTACGGCGTTTGGAAGGCTCAACCCAGACGTTACGATGTTGAACGCCGTGGGGCCAGAACACCTCATCTAACTCTCTACTTTCGCGATAATTCAGGTCCTGACTATCGCGCCGCCATAAATATCAAGTCCGGAGACCGAGACGAGTCGCGACTTGTCTATTGGGTAAATGAGGATATGAGCGGCCACCCGCTCGTTGATGGTCTATCGCGTCTCCAGACCGGCTTCCACCGCTTGGATGATCAAGAGCCAGAACCGGGCGGTCCACGACTTGACTATATCCGCAGCAATCTCTTTGACGTGGACACCGGTCGGATTCTCGAGCACGACATTAATGGTCCAAACAACGACATTATTGATGTCCTGGAGCCTAGGATACAGCAAGCAATCGCCGAGGGGGCTACTGTTTATATCTTTGGCGAGCAATTTAACACGGGAGATGGAATACACAATATTCACATGAACCAGGGCAACATTCCAAGGTACTCAGGTGACGATGGCGTGTTCCAGGACGGGGCCCTCATCATCCATTTCCCTCAGTCCAAAAAATGGGTCGGTATTTTCCTTGCCTTTGCATCGCAGGCCGTGCATACCAGTGAGGTTGATGGCCATGCCATTTCACGAGTGAGGTGGAAGGGCCTCCTGCTTGACGACCTTGTCGAGAATTCAGTGGCTATCCGCCGGGCCCTTGTGAATACCACTGAAGGGCAGCAATTTGTTACCCTGGCGAATCTCACAAACCGCAGGGTGTCGCTTGCACGTTGGAGAATTCGCAATTCGGAATGGGCACAACAGGTTCTTTCTAGGAATTCCGCTTTAAACGCGAGAGCTACCAATGACTTTTCTATTCCGCACTGCCCGCTCTCTCAGAACGGTGACACTATCACACTTCTCGATCGCGATGGGCTCAAGGTCGCTGGCGTCAGGTATAACTCTCAGCAGGGAACCCAGAATGGGCCAATTGATTTCGCAGGCCAGGGTTAACAACACACTTCCTTACAAGTGTTTATACTGTAAATCTGTCTGTCATTCGTCAAAAGTGATCAATCAATATTTCAACCCTTTACCAAATCATTCTTGGCGGAGGATTGGGGTGTCTTAATGAAGATGTCAATCACATTTCGGTTGCAGAGCTAGATAGGTTTAGTCTAGTCATAAAATGGCACACCAAAGTCATTATCGTCATTTTCGACTTTAGATAACAAGCTCTGAGTGCAGATAACCATACGACCGCTTGGGAATAGGGTTAGTAATCAAACCGCGGATGTTATAGAGCAATTTGTGGACATGGTCTTCTTCTGAGAAGTTTCCATTAGTTCGCATACTTCTACGGGTCAGGGAAATAGAGCTATATATTACTAGTGAAAAGAATCCTTCTTCTAAAGCCCATTTTGGGGAGGCATATGTCTAAGTACCTAGCTGCTTCTTGGAGCATGCTAGACCCTCCAATACAAGCTCCAGCCTCAAGGTTATGCGCAAGTCCACTAAGCGTGCTTAAGGACTGCTTTGATGCAGGTTCCTGCTCAGCAAGGCTGTCGGACAACTGAGTATCGCCCTTGTATGAGCGGCAGATTGTTTTGCACAGAGTTGAATGTTCTCGAGCAGTCAAGACACGATTTCCTTCCAGAGTATTTAAGCTATTCGCGCTTGATTCATATCCCGATCTTATAAGTCGAGTGCATAAGGCTAGGACCTCAATGGGTCAAATCACAATAATGACGGGCGCAAGCACGGTCAATACCGCCTAGATCTCTTCGGTCGACTCCCTAATTTCCCACAATTGCTGCTCCTCCTTGATGCCATTCCAGTACTCATCAGACTCCAGCCCCGGGCACTCAGTGACCGATTCCGGTCCAGGTTCCATGAGCGAAAGCTCGGCGTAATTAGCCGTAGGTTCGGGGTCGCGAACTTTGCCCGTGGAACGTAGTGGGTGGCGCCCTAGGGACACCAGGTTCTCGGGCACAGGTTTATCGTTGTTGACATGTAGGTACTTGGCATCCAGTCGTAGATATCTTGCAGCCCACACAAGTGGCTCCTTGATTTGTTCCCGTTGAAACTCGCTTTTGATTCTTTCCGCTTCGGCATTGGCACCTACAGGTACACCCAGCGCTTCGAGTAAGTCGGCGGAGATGCCGCCGCGGGCAGCAAAGGCTCTTCTGCTTTGGCTGAACGATACGGTATCCGCTAGTTCGTACAGCCCTGTCAAGTACCAGATTTTCGGGCTTGTGATCCATGTCCCGAGGCTGGGGTTGGCTACAACCAACCACCTCTCGAGGGTTTTCTTGCACGACTCCCTTGTCAAGACCCTCTCTGTAAGGAACTCTCGAGGACTGGGCCACAAGTCAGGGGAATATGCCATTTGGGAGGTTGGGAGAGGTTACGTACTCCTGTAGCTCAATCTTGCGCCCTGTTTTTGCGTATACGAACATAGAGTTGGACTTGGAGAAGGAGGATCCCAGCGAGGCAAGATCCAACGCGTTGATTTCAGCCGATATCTTCACCGACGGGTCCGTTCCGAACAGCTGGTTCTCAATCTCGAAGACATGTGCGGATTTCTTAAGTTCATCAGCCCTATAATTTCACAAGTAAGCCAAATGCCAGACGAGGGAGGGAGTGGCTCGTACTGAAGATCCTCACCAGGCGAATACCACAGGGAATCATCGGTCGCTTTGGAATAGTGCCCAAAACACAGGTGGCCAAGGCGTAGTTGCGCTGGCTTCTTCCCGGTCCCGTAGAGAAAATAGTGTTGATCGTTGCACCTGGGCATGTTGGTTGACCAGCTGTTGTTCGTTACTCAAAGTTACCTCCCGGTGCCCTTGAGCCGTGATCTTCTTCTCTCTTCTTTGGGCCCCAGAAATATAGTGTGGCTTAGCGGGAGAAAGATATAGTGTCAGACGATCGGCGTCATCCTTGGGTCAAGGTCGGCAGCGCGGCTAGATTCGGCTTTCATGTGCCTGTCGTGTTGATTCCATGGAAACCTGATGGGCGGTGCCCCTCCGTATCCATCTCACAGCCACAACCATTCCCGCGTGTTCCAAGATGTCAATAAATCTGGGTCGAGCCAAGATTCAGAGGAGATTCGGGGTTGGCCGTTTGATAGCCCGGCTTCGTCGATAACACAGTAGCACAAGACTCCATTCAATGACGTCGAAGAAGCTCGCGCAGGTTACGTGATAAGACAGTGTGCGTCTAGCATACTTGGGAATATGCAGAGCACGCATACTGTCTGAGAATACGAGATGTTATTAAGGGACACTGGACCTCTGACTGCGCGGCTTAGCATGCCTGAGAAATGATGATGCAATCGAAACCGCCATCCGTCAGTACTGAAAGCGGTCCCGAACCTGTCAGAGCATCTATGGTTCGTGCTGGTCATCGGACATGGCACTGGCGACCTAGAACAGTGACTGTGCAATCAGGAGGTGTCTTCAGAGTCCGTTGGGGATCTAGAACAATTGTCATAGACCTTGTGATCCTGCGCATCCTCGGGTTGAGCCATGGGGATAGCAGCCTGTCAATGAACCAGACCCGATAACTAAGATCAACGAGGGGCGCTGTACGGGACTGTGCACTGGTAGGAGGCTGCAAAGGACCGCTGTATAACTTCTATACGAACCGAACCCCTCGCCCACGACTGGAGAAAGTATCATCTTGCCTGGATTTGTATCGCCACGGCACTAGTACATAAAATCATACAACCCTTGGTTTTTCCAAACATCTTGTTACAATACATGCACTCTCGCCTATCGAAGGGTACTGCTAGTGGCAATGGACTTTATCGAGATCTGCGAGGTGTTCGGGGGATCAATACTCCCGGACGAGTTTCGTGGTAACTATCAGGACGCGGACCGTCATATCGCGGCTCTTGAGCAAGAGATTATCGCAGAACCAAGTTAAACAACTGCGAGAGCGAGAACGACCCTTCTCCGAGCCATTTACTACACGCTTTCAGGAGACTTCAGGCGGGCTTATGAATATATACATACCCTTCGAGGCTTGCACCATCGAGGGCTAGAGCGGATTTGGGTGCTCCGTGGGCAATTGTACGAATTTTACGCTGCCATGCTGGAGCATCGACCAACAGCTATTGCGTTTGCGATGATCCCTGGGGATCCGTACGCAAGGTTGTGGAAGGACGATTCTGAATTGGTGACTCTGCACGTACAGGCCAGAGAGGCTGGACGAGCCATATGTGTTGCCGAATGTACAACCGTGGTCGAGAGACTAGAACAGGCCGTGATTCTGGACGTATGGTCTTTCCTGGATACTTTGCACTTTTCCTACCTTGAACACCGTGATTTCACACCACATGTTACCGCGGAGTCTCTACCACAAGGCCAGGAACGGAACCTGAGTTTCCTGAATTTCCCAGTTCCATATCTGTCCGGTACCCTGGCAAGCGACATGAGTCATGCAGGGAATTCCACGTTCCAGAATCTCTTGCAGAGAATGTCCAACGATATTGAATGGGCGAAGGGAGCCTCAAGTGGTCAACAGGCGTTTTCCCACCTCCAAGCCGAATATGAAAATGCTCTGGACTATGCGGGGCTGGGCCTGTGCAAAATAAATGAAGGCGATCGCATACTATCACCCTCATACACGAGTCCTGTAGCGTTTAATCTGATGTGTGAGTTGCGCGACAATGGGTGGGAAAATATGGCATGGGACTCATTAGAGCCAACGTTTCTATTGGAGGATAACGAGCAGGCTCATAGGCGCTATGATGAAGCTCTTTTTTATATGGAGGCTGCGTGTGCCCCAAGAGGTCAAGCCGCTGTCTACCTGCGCAGGGGGTGCGTGAATCATGCAGCAGGAATCCGATCTAAGGCGGGACCTGACAGCGCCCAGTTCAAACAGGCTGAGGAAAATTTCACAAGAGCACTCAGCCTTTTCGCCAACGACACTTTTAACCAACAGCTGGTTACCTGTCATCTCGCTTTACTGAACTGTAGCCGTGGACAGACTAAATCCGCTGTGGAGATAGCAAGACGCCTAGGGACCGAGTTGCGCGAAGCGCAAAGCTCCAAACTCTCCCACTTCCTTGGGACATTGATACTTCGATTTGCTCACTTCCAGCTCGTGCAGCACAAGAACACTAGGGTGGCTACGGCTTGTTGTGAATGTGCCGCTGTCTACCATGAGGCATTGGAGAGCCCTCTAGGTTCCCTTTTTACAGCGGAGGCATTTATTACACTGTTCAGGCAAACACATAACTGGACGCTCGCGCAAGCAAAGGTTACAGAGAGCATAAAGCCCTCTGGAGTTATACACCGCGCATTCGCATACATCGACGACAGTGTGTCTCACAAAGTCGACCTTCACAACCTCCGTAACTCAAGGAATTCGCTCCTCCTCGAGTTCGACAGGTTGGTCCAATCCGTCTGTTCGATGACTGGCGATGAGAATCTACGTTCGCAGTGGGAGGAAGTACGCCGGGGCCTTCAGCCAAATGAGCCACAGGGGAGTTCTGATTTCATTGACCTTGCGCCTTTGAGTGACGAGGCGAAGCAGCATCTTAATGACCCAGAACTTGGGTCAATGGAAACCGAGATGATGTACTTCTGCCAAACGTTTGAGGCGCGAAAAAGGTTCAATGCGGGTTACGCCCGAGCCATTGGGGGTTCCTTCAAGGCGATCGGATTGGGGGATATGGACGCCGCCGATGCCCAACTCGAAGCGTTTGTCTCGACCTGCGACTCAGAGAGCACTCTCAAAATAAGGGAGGTGCTCGACTACATGATCCCGACCCTAGCACAACTTGATCGGGTGGATGAAATGAGACAGGCTCTTCCACATTATCTTTCGGACTGGTTCGTTAGAGGCGGGGTAGAGGACATTCGTCTGGTCTGCGATCGTAAAGGAGTCACCAGTGATGTTCGGGAACACGCGATTAAAGTTCGTAGGGATACTGCCGAGCAGGACATATCCATATGCTTCATGGCCCAGGCTTGGGATAAGGGACCTAGGATACTGCGGAATATCGCCACCGTGCTCCCCGACTTTTTCTATAAAGCAAGGACACAGCCAAAGCCAGACACCTGGCAACTGCTCACCTTCATCGGTGCTTTATATGAGCGGGCTTCGAAGCTCGACAAAGCGATCGAGAATTATTTAGACGGTCTATACCAGGTCGAGAATCTGAGATCTATGATTTCAAACCCCGACGACCGGCGCAAAGCTTACTCGACGCAGCACACTGCAGAGTTATTCTGCGGGCTGGCTCGAACATCAGTCGCCCTCTCGAGGCGGACTGATGCAAAACGTCCAGATGAGTACCGCCTGCCGACATCCTCTTGGCTAGATCAGGCGCTCATCTTCCTTGAGCGCGGCCGGGCAAGAACGTTACTCGATATACTACAGGCACATGATTTTGCAGGTGTGGAGAGCCTTCAAGCGTCGATGGAAGAGTTATACCGAACTCGCCTGCTGTCAACATTAATCCATTCACATTGTAGGCCTGGGGGTGAGCAGAACCTTTTGCAGAGGGCACGGAATGTTGCAGAGAAGCTCGGAATATCTGCGGATACATTCGATCCGGTTGGAGAGGCTCTTAAAGGGAGGGACGAGACCATAGCACAGATCTTCAAAAACACCATGTTCGTCCCAGATGTGGATGGACTTCTTCGCTCAATTCCTGCGAACGCGATCGTCATAGAAGTTGGCATTTGTATGAGTGGCACAATTGCCCTGTGCATCTCATCGTCAGGCATCCAATCCGTGCACCAGTCTGACCTCGGAACATTCGCATTACGCAGACTAGTTGTTGGCTATCTTGGAAAGATATTAGCCTTCCAAAAGGACCCAACGCCCCCCGAGGCGGCCAATCTGAAGGAGGGTCTTGATGATATCGCGGCTAGGATATCTACCCAGCTGATTGAACCTTTTGCTGAACATATTCGTGGCAGCAATACTGTCATTTTTGTGCCTACTTCATATCTGAACGTCTTTCCTCTGGGTGCATTGATGCTAGACGGCGAGCCCCTGATCCTAACAAAACCGTCCTACCAGGTACCGAGTTTGGCTGTTCTGCAACGAATTTCTGAAAAAGCAGCCAAATCCCAGCCGGGGACCACGATTTGCGCGGTAGCAGACTGTGATAAAGCCAACCCGATAGTTTATGTTGGTCCTGAAGTGGTCTCAGTCTGCAGTGCCTTCGGCGTAGAACCGGTCACGAGCGACCAGTTCCCGCAAGCCATGAAAGCAGCTGAGCTCATCCATATCGCAGCTCATGGTACAGAAAATTACTCCTCTCCCTGGGAATCCACAATCCTTGGCGACACGTTTCGTGTCCTCGACATGGCCACAAAGGATTGCGGCGCCTCGCTGGTGGTATTCAGCTGCTGCCTCAGCGGCAAAGGCGAGATCAACGCCGGTGACGACCTTGTGGGGTTCGCACATGCTGTACTTCAATCCGGGGCCCGGGCATTTCTTGGGGGCTTATGGAGAGTCTGCGACGAACTAGCCATGCTCTTGATGCATCTGTTTTACAAGATACTATCAAGACACAGAAATGCCCCTCCAGGCGCTGAGATATGTGTGGCAAACGCCTGGCACCAGGCCGTCCGAGCTTTTTACCGGCTGGACGAACGAAACGCACTTGCACTAGTTGATGAACTGGAGAACCTCTGGCGAGCCACCAAGGACACAAGTGCCAGGCCGGACGGTGATTATGGCAAACTAAAGTTTCATTTGAATCAATTACGGGCGATGATAACGCAAGGGAAAGTGGACTTTACCTCTCCTCGCAATTGGGCTCCCTTTGCTCTGGTTGGATGTGGGAGTGTCAAGATTGTGGGATCAGCTCCAGACGCAGAAAATAATGGACTCATTAACGGCCCCGGCGAAGTATCATAATACGCTAAATTTCTTGGTGACTCTCGGCAGAATCAAAAGTTTCATGGCGCGGGTCAGCACAATCGCTGTTCCTTTGCTCGGTTGGAATGAGAGGTCTACGTTGCAAAAGTGATTACCGCGTCATGTCATATTGCATATTCTATCGGTGAATACCGCCAGTTCTCTCCATGTCCTAAGCCCTCCTTGCTTGCTCATACGTGTAGAGTTGGTTTACAATCTGTGATATCTCCGTAACCTTGTTGATCGTAGTTTCATCCACCCGTGCGCAGAATAGGTGCTGTAATTTATCCGGATGCCACCTCAACCGCTCGACTTTTAGAATAGAAAGGAGTTGAGACCGCGCATTCATTGAAGCACCATAGTGCAGAAACGCTTCAATGTCAGACTGGGCCACGTCTCGACAGCTTCGAAAAGATCCGGCCTCAGTCGGCCAGGGAATCGATGTGCGCGGGTCCATACTCCTACGAGAGGCTACCGTCGAGTTCTTGAGCTCTTCCCAGGCGCTGTTATACTCCTTCCACCGCTTCGCTTTAGCTTCCTGAGCAGCTTTGGCGCCTTGGCGTCTCTCCTCGCCGTCGCGCCTGGCTTTCGCTTCACGCTCTTGTTGTTCCTTTTTCCCTCTCTCCTCGCGATCCTGTTGCTCTCTCCTGAATCTTTCCTCGCGTTCTCGACGTTCTCGACGTTCTCGTTCGATCTTCTCTTCCCTCTCCATTTGGGCCTGTCGCTCGTGTTCACGCCTGGCTCGAGCCTCTCTTTCTGATTGATGTGGCGTCCCTGGGTCAGGCAATGAGGTGGCTGGCCGTCGATAATATGAGCGGGTACTGAAGTCATCATGAGGATGCCGAGCATACGAACGCGTGTTCTCATACAACAACAGCTCTTCCAACTCCTTCTCCAAATGAGCTCGAGTAGTTCCATCTAAGTGCGTTGGAGAAAATGCCTCGGCCCAAGGAAACGAGCGCACGATCATGTTGTAGATGTTTATCCTTCCAATGGGCGTAAAGCTGTTCGCAAGACCATAAAGACCATCATTATTGATCCACAAGGGACCTAGACCCAGCGGGACGCCATTCGCCATTAGCTTTAGCGTGTCGAAATGGTGAAGCAAACGTCCGTTTACAGTGGCACCAGTCGTATTACGAGAGCACACTCCCTGTGGGACGGCGCCGCCGCCCATGTTCATGCTTGGAGGCAGTATGCCGAGGCATGGCCCACCTAGCTTACCCCATGCACCGCATACACCATCGTACCTACCGATGAGATAGATGTAAATTATATGTGTCAGGCTGTGTAATTATATGGATGGGACTGACCAAAAATGACCAGCAGGAGGATAATATCCCCTCAAATGGAGGTGGGTCAGCTGAACCCTGTTCAAGGCAACACCATTGATAATGACACATTTTGGGGGGCTGGGTAGCTCCAAGAACGGATGCGAAGACTGCTGCGTAGTCTGATAACCGGCCACAAAACCGATCTTGAACCCTCGCTTGAAGTGGGACCACGTTGACTCAGGCTGGACATAACGGGTGTAGCTGGACATAGTTAATAATAGGGGACTCCTGGCAAGTGGTGTTTCAATATGATGAGGGTGAATTGATGGGGTTTATTTTATCAAAGTGCTAGCAACCTACTCATGAGCAGCCGGTCCTTATAATTCAATTGTGGCGAACGATGACGGAGCACGATAGTAGCTTTCAAGCAGTGGAAACAAGCCACGGTACCATTGCTCCTGTAGGATGTATCAAGGGCCATCGGCATGGAGGCTGAGCCCTCGTTCCAGTACATTTTCGTACCATCGATTGGCTCTTACCGCCGGTATGTACGAATACAGCTTCAACCGACCTGTGAACAATGTCCAGGACCAAAGCACTTTGGGCATCTTTATATTACCGACTTAATGTATGGCATTCCTGTTTGCTTCATAATAGGATACCATCAATTTCTTGCTAGGCAATGTTCGAATTAACATATCTCACAGGCATATTGCAGTAAGAATATAGGCATGTAGCTATCGCAGATATCCACTCACCCACACTCCAGGCGACATACTAGCCATCGTCATATCATGCCTCCAAGCTCCCATCCTATTCAATTCTTCCAGATATATGCCCAACTCCTCGTTGAAATCCCTCGTCATCTCCGCCTCTCTCGACCACGTCTCCGAATCCCTCTCCCTGGGCACTGAATTCCTAGGAATGGGCACTGACGGAAACCGCCGACCAGTCATGGGATCCACCAAATCACCTCTGTGGGCGGCCAGAAACGCATTGAATCTTTGGTACTGTATCTCGGGATCCCCCAACGTATCTCTCAACATTATCAGATGAAATCCGTCTCTGGTCATTACTGGGGCATGGCCATTCATTACGTGTTGGATGTCATGGGTGCGGTAAAATATTGTCATGGCTTGATACGCAAATTGCTCAGGGGCGGGCATGTGATTCTCTGAGGCAAACATGTAGTAACGGCGACTGAGGTTGTTGTTGTCGGAGTAGAAGAGGGCTGTGAAGACAGAAGCATATTTGACGGGATCAAAGCCCCTGGAGTCGACTGGTGGGGTGTTGGTGAAGTAGATGAATATTGCATCTAGGAGCCGGGTGAACAGAGGAGTAGGTTGTTTGGAGTCTGTAATTAGAGGACCCCAGCCTTGGTGCGCGGCTGGTTCATCTGCATGCCTGAAGAAGTGTCCGAATGGCATTGCTGTTGGGATCTTGAGGGACGTCAACACATTAAGTTTGCTGGGCAATTCCTGCGGATGAACAGGCCTTTTATGGGTCTATACTCCCTGAATATCTACGGGATAGCTGTTCTGGCGATGATCTGGAGACATGAATCCAGACCAGCCTCGACGGGGTCCAGATGACCGGTCGTATGCTTTTGACTGAAGGTTCCACGGTACTGATTCCGGGTTGAACTTTGCAGGAACCAGATAGCATCGGGAAACAAAGAAATCTGGCAGGAGGCGGTGCGAACCATAGATGAGGGCCTGTGGCTGGAATTCAGCACAGATGATGATCTTCGGGTGGCTAATACGCCTTTGATCGACATCTGTCGGTGGTAAGCTGCATTCTGTGCTACATAACTAAGTCCAGAGTCCTAGCGAGTAACATTTGGAGACGAAAGCGGCATAATCCAAGGAATAGCAACTGTGGGGTTAAAAGCACTGATGCAGTTGTAGAACAAATGCAGTAAATGTTTAACCTTGGCGATTGTTGCTGTGCCTGGGCTTTCGCCACTTTAATGATGTTGACGTTCTCAAATTCAAACCCGCTAGAAGAAGTTAGCTCAGAAAGGAGACAGTCAGGCCTATGCTTATATGATACTTGAGTCATCATTGGCTTCGAGAACTCTGAAGTCGGGGTCAGCTGCCTGTGGGAACTGGCTCTGGGGTGCAACAACATAGTTGCTCGATGCTAAGCCTGCCTGGCTGCTGTCATGCAAGCTTTCCATGTTCTCGATTTGTGTCTGTGTGATCGAAATAAAGTTAGATATTGTTACATTGTCTAAGGAAAGGGCATTAACTGTTCCCCTTGTCTATTAGTAGAGTAATCAGGAGGTCCTTAATTTCCTGCTCTGGTACAAGGTGGTGCTCTTTCGGGCCATTGCAAAAGCTTTGGAGCTCTGTAGACCCAGTATTGACCAAGTACTCCAGTTGTTTGCTAAGGAGTGGAAGCAGTGTTACCTAATTGGGATCCGCAAGAATAAGATTTATCGTGCTATCAAGTTTATCGCGAGGCAATTTAAGAAGATCCCTGTTATTTATATCCAGACAGAGTACCTACCAAATCCTTGAACTAAACAGAATTTCAAAGGCGAGACGCTTAGCAAGTCTGCTACGCAGCTCACCTTCCCCTGTGAAGTTGGAGCCAGATACGCTGCCGCTGAGCTTTCTGTAACTTGCTTGAGACATGATTTAGACGTGGGTTGCATCGCTGCCAGATGTTATCCAGGACCTTGCCAGCACCAGTACTATTTTTGATTGGCTGATGCTTCTTTGTGAGGGTGGACTCTTGGGCGATTGATACCTGCTTATCAAACCTTCCTGAAGCCCCAATGTACTTAAGAAGGTTGAAGATTACGTATCTATGCGCCTTTGAAAAAAGACGTCTCAATGATATCCCTCCACATTGTGTTATGGGACCATTGAATTTGAAGGTCTTTCTGAACCGACCGTACAATCTCTGCATAAAAGCGACGGCATCTGAAACAGGAAGTAGAACCGCCGCCGGCAAAGAACATATCACATATATACAGAGGCAATCGCACTTTGCTCTGTACAGGTCACGGCGACGATAGATTGCTTCAACTCGCGATACGATGGTATGGTATACAATGGTATGACTAAGACAGCACAGACGAGAATGGGAAGAGATTGAACGCGCCACCAAGCGGGAAAACGTCGGAGCAACCTATGTCATCTAACTTAGGGTACGCTGGAGATGAAGAGCGAGCTCAGGGTCATGCTGCCGGGGCCTGTAGTAGACTTTGATGAGATTTAATGCCCAGCTGCTCCCAGTTGAATTTTCCATTGTGTGATAATGGAGATACATTGCATGTACACAACACATGCTATTCACAAGGCGGTTAAGAAGCATCCTACGGCCACGAACGAACTTATCTCGAGCACTGAGGTCTAAATCCCTCACTGCGCCGACCTACCCGTCCGCATAAACACATTCGACGGCCGCTCGCGATCCCGAAACTCCTCATCCACCTTATACACAAACTCTCCGCCATCCTGCTCGAACCCCAGCTTGCGGTAAACATGCCGCCCCATGCTCGATGCTTCCAGCACAGCCTCCAGGCCACCGCGCTCCCGCGCCTCGCGGAGCCCCCACTCCACCAATCTCGTCGCCACCCCCCGCCGCTGGAACGCAGGGTCCACAGCACATAGATCCAGCACCAGCACCGCCGGGGAGTCCGTGCCCGCAATCTCGCGGACGTACTCGATCCGACGGCGCTGCAGCCCGAACACCACCTGGCGCAGGTACCGTTGCTCGGCCGGTTTCCCGGGAATCAAGGCTTCCAGGTCCATCGTCTCACCGATATCGACGACGGGGGCGTCCCCGTATCCGGCCACCTGGGACGCTTGGACCCAGATGGCCACGCCGGCAATTTCCTCGTCGCCTGCTGCGCTACCTTCTGGGCGTGGGACAACGGCCTTGAGGAAGACGATGTTGGGACGGCCGTGTCGGTCGGTTGTGGTGGACGACCAGCGGGCTGCGAAGCGGGCGCTGCCGCTCTTTTGCCCCTCCGGCGTGTCCCAGCCGGGGTTCATGGCACACCAGACGCCGTCGTTGACCTGGTGGCCGAAGGCGAGGGCGGTGATTTGGAACAAGCGGTCGAAGTCGGCGGGGTCCGTGATGGGTTCCACTCGGAGCACGTCCCTGGTTGACTCCACGTTGGACGTGTTCTGGTCGCTCATGGTGATAGCTGTTGATCCGAATGATGCGGGGAACTTGGGGACTGATAAGGTAGATAAGGGAGGGGGGTTTTTCCTGAGAACAGTGGATCCACTCTATTGATCTGCTCTTCAATTCCGGCACGGAGGGTGATTCTTGACTGTAGATATAGGCGAATAGTAGAGCCACGTCACTAAATTAGATCATCAATTCCGTACGAGCTTACAAATCACGTGCCGAACAAAGCTAGTCAAGCTGGAATCTATTCCTTGGCATTTTGGGCCCGATTCTCTGAGTATCAGGGGCAGGGACATTATAGTCAATCTAACGTTGAAAATTAATGATAAGGCGGGCCCTTAGTTAACCCTTGGCTCTTCGCCTTTCAACCACCATGCCAAAAATATCAAGCTACAGGTCCATTCCATCGCCCCTAACAGGTCTGAATTTCACAACACTATAAACTCTATTACCACGAGATATAACTTCCCAATTGCTGCAGGGCAGTAAGGACTCCCGACGATAGGATGATCACTTAGGTACTCAGGTAGCGGGACATTCGGCGAACCCTTTCCCAGCGTGCGGATTACGCCACAGAACCGCGCTTTCGCAGTCTTGCCCGTTCCTGTATACTCGAAGATCGTCCGATCAGGCAGCGCCGTGACGTCGCCGCCGCTGAAGACTTGAGCGGGATTCTCGCGGTCCAGAACGAACTCCATCTTGCTCGAGCCGCACTTGAAAGGTAGCCTGTCGTGGTTCGCGTAGCTGTGCGGGTACTTGCCTGCGTCACGCCATTAGCTCTTCTCTAGGGAGAAGCCGGGGCAAAGGGGCCTTTACCTTTCCCAATTTGCTTGCCCTGGTTCGCATACTTGACAGCCTCGACGTAAGCCGTCGTGAGCTGTCCAGAAGTGTATGTGGTCTCCGTGTATTTGTCGGTTTTGGGGCAGGCGTAGCTCGTGCTGGGAAAGTCTGCCGTGGCCAGTTTTGGGGCTGTCTTGCCCCCGCTTGTCAAAGATGTTGAGGGTGGAGTCCTCGCCAGTAAATTCCTCATCAACAATGGTATCACGGGGATGGGAGTCAAAAATGGGGCTAGCGAAGGCAGCTTGGGACATGAAGGCTCCAGCCAGCAGAGCGTGGAGAGTGGGGGCTTTGATGATGGAAGGCATTTATATAGAGTCAACGAGAGTGGGTGTCAAGCAAGAAGGGCTGTGTGATATTCGCTTGACGCTTGCAAGGCAATTATAGCGAGAGGACAATATGCCCCTTATACTACACGGTTCTGGTGTCTCTTTATAGATCCCAGATACTTGAGTTCAATCGATTGTGTGTGCTTTTCAAGACTATATCACCTGTCAGGCGGTTTCACATTGAGCCAGAATACAATGGTAGAATGGGGCGTAATCATTGAGAGGGTGCACCAACCTTTCTGGCTAGTTGTTGTTCTGTCGCTCCAGCCTTTCAAACCATGATGCCGGTGGGGGTCCGGCCATGATCTCGCAGTGTGTGCAGGGAGTTTCAGCTTGAGACTGCAATGGACTTCTGTGGTAGGGAAAGAAACAAGGACCTTTTTGTGATGAGGAGCTAGTCATTGTTTGCTTCTTCTTCGTCTTCCCTCCTTCGTGATTGCGACTCTGTCTTGGCGAAGCTGTCAAGGTTGGGTTGTAAATGATATGGGAATATTGGTAGCGATGAGGGAACGATTAGCATCATCCATGAATCAATCCAGAGCATCTTGTTATGTTGGCTGCGGGTAAGCCGCGATGGCGCTTACAAGTGAAAGTAGGACAAAACGGGGCGCGATCTGGGGCCTGTTCCTTATCAAGCCCCCAATAAACAAGCAAACAAGAAATAGAGTGCCAGGGCGTGCGTCTCCCGCGCCATCGCTGAAGCAAACCCAGATACAAAGTACGGCGATCTGTGGTCGCCCTTCATAGGCGCCGTGGAGCGTTTTCCCCGAGCACTGCGACCGATTTGTGGAGTTTCTCATCGCACTGCATGAGCTCCCTGACTGCGATGGAGAATTCCAATGGCTAGAAGGCTTCACTATGTACTTGAATGAGTCCACTTACGATTGTGGATTTCTACTTCCCTCGTAAATCCTTGATAATATTTCCAAGCGAACAACACACCTCTCTGGCGCGGGAACTAAACAGTAAACAGACGTGGATACTGCTTCAACATGACCACCCGCGAGACCCAGCGACAACACTTCCTGAACGCGAATGTCTTCACCATCAGATTCTACCGGCGTCTGCCCCGCCCCAACCGCTTCGGATTCCTGATCAACCACGGCGTGTGGGTGCTACGCAAAACCTTGGAGCATGCCCACTTTGGGAAATTCTATCATCTGCTTATCGGGAACACCATTCAGGACTGTGACGAGGACGATGAGGACTTTTACAACATGAAGCGCGACGAGGCGCTCAAGATTATCGACGTCAGGGCACTTAATGGTTTCGTGCTGCCGGTAGCTGTGTGACTTGAGTACTGTGGGAAGGAGATCTATGAGAAGCAGGGCTCCCTGGGACGGGAGATCCGGGCGTACGATAAGTGGCAGGGATCGGAGGGCTGGTCGAAGGAGCGCTGGGCATTCTGGAAAGAGAGGTTTACCTGGATATCTACAGTTACGGCCCCGAATCGGAAGACGAGACGTATTGCGAAGAACGTGGTCGAACTGATGGGCAGGATTGAGCAGGGAGACGATGGGGTACTGTGAATGATAAGATTTGCAGATTGGTGCGGGTTTCTACATATCTGACAGGAGTGATTCAAGATAGACGTTCCTGCTATGCGAAAGCATTAATCGACCGTATCAGGTGAAGCGCTATATTCTTCGTGAGTCCGTCGGCGACCGCTGACGCCTTCGATACAGTTTACTTCAGATATTTGAGTGAGTTGCGGCTGATAGCCAGTTGTGATGAAGGTTTGATGGACTGAAGTATGTGGCAGGGCAATTATATGGCCATCATATAGTCACCCAGTTGTGGTATGATAGGTAGGATTAATCCCACAGGGGGTTAGTGGGATTTTTGTTTGGTTGACTCCATATCAGTCACCGTACATTTTGCTGTGCAGCAAACCTCATGCGTCATAGATCCCCAGTGCTGGGTTCTGTATATTTATGAAATACTCGGAATTGGACAGACAAGCTGTGCAGTGGGGGTGGGGGTGTTAGTCAATTTGTGCAAGTCCCAGCTAAGTCTATAAATATATACTTATTGCCAGGTTCGCACGTTACAGTCCGGAATCCAGCCCCGGTTCTTAGAAGTCATCTTCCCCTCTGATTGATACTTATAGCATACGGCGTTGACAAGGTATGCAATCTGATTGTATGGACAACTTGCCAGCCAAAGTGCATCAACCGCTCGCATGGCTTAGATGGTAAAGCGCAGCACTAGTAATGCTGAGATCCTCGGTTCGAGTCCGAGTGTGAGCAACTGTTCTTTTTTGACCCCCGATGGGCCTGCGACGCCCCTCTCTTTGGTCTATTCTTGCTACCTTGTCAACGATGCGGAGTAAGCTACCACTTGCAGAGGAAAATATAACTTGCAGCCGATATGATAAGGTGCTGTAGATTGCACTCATTGACAAGAGTTCACAAGAATGTGTCTTCCAAGTTGTCGGGTGTAGACTGTCCGGTATGTCTTTAAGTAGAATTGATATGCGCCTTTCTTCTTTTGTCTCCTACTTTTCTGTCTGACCACTGAGAAGACCGCGACCCACCATGCTCCACAGCAACCAGCAATGAGACCGACCACAAGCGAAAAATCAAAAAGATGGAGCTGCGGGGAATCGAACCCCGGACCTCTCCCATGCTAAGGGAATATTATACCACTAAACCACAGCCCCAATGGTTGAGAGGTATCCCAGATAAAACGTCTTACAAGCGACGAAACCCGCTCCCTCAATATCGTACCCTGCCGTGCTCTCTTAGCCAGCCCTACACTATACCCCAGCTGGATAATAGTAATTGACATAAAGGTGGTCTCAGACTTGGTGCATCTTCAAAAAGTCCAATTCCCGACCGCCCGATGATCTTCTCAAGCACTACATGTCCAACTGTATAAAGAATGATTAGAGGAATCTTCAGATGGTACTCAATGCTCGGGTTGATCCGCCCACGGACTTATATTTCAAGCACCCTTCGGAAGGAGACAAGAACAAACTTTTTCTGACAGATGCGAGTCGAAATATCTTCTCCCACCCGAGCTGCTCTAGGCTTTACTACAGCTTCTGACAATAGCCGTTCAGGGTTTCAGCGTAGCTTATATCATTTCCTATTTTCATACGGCCCTGTTGCGGTTAATTCTATTGCGGTCGGTTCTGTGTCAGTGTCTGAGGTACTAGTCGTTTCTCTAGATCATCCGGTAGGTAATTGAGAGAGCAGCCACTAGTAAATCTTTTGAGAATAGCGTGCTTGAATAGTGGCGTTGAGAATAGCGTGCTTGAACAGTGGCGGTGTTTATGTCTCTACACTATCCTGATACTGTTGTCGAACACGCCCTACTTCAATTATCAGCCACGGCCAATCTTGCGCCAGAGATGAAAAGCCCCTGGCAGCGACCGCCGGAGTGAGCCTTTTCCATACATGCGCGACCCGGAAAGGAAGGCAAATAACTCCTTAATGAGCTTTCAATCGATCCCTGCTCAAGTGATCTCGTGGGAGCCTGCTTCTCAAAGCGATGAACACTCGTGCTCCTGCCAAGTTCCCAGGGGCCCTGCTCTTTGCGAGGATGCGGGGCTATACGATCTGAAAGCTGGGTAGAGGCGGTGTTGAGCTTCGAAGCGTTCATGACACACGTCCACATACTTGGTCTCATAATGCCTAGAATCCGTGAAAACTTTTATTCTCCCTAGTAATGTCTACCTACCCCTAGAAACCATCGCCATGTCCATCTTAGCACAGAGCTGATCACGGGTAATCGCGCGATCGGCACGATGAAGCCTAGCAGAAGCGCCTCTAGTGCCTCTATCAATTGGGCACCGAATCTGAGCCATGGATTGAACTTCCAGACTAGATATGAGCAGTCCAGCCTATCGATAGAGTGCCAGATCCTTTGCGGTCTTTGCTGCAGGCTCTGCTTCTATCATCAGAGCATGATGTGAACCGGCTGATATTATACCGTCGAAAGACCACCCCCGCATCCCGGGCCGTCCAGAAAGTCCGGATAGCCCCTTGGATGGATAGACCATATGCCTGTGAGCAGCAGACCAATTCTGGAACCCGCGAGAGCCATTCGTCTCGTTCCGTTTGGGTCGCCAGCTCGACGCAGGCCACCAGGACGGGCAGCATGGCGAATTTGACCGCCTTCCCTGTTACGGACAGTGTGGTTTGCAACTGCGTGAGGATTGAGATGGCGATCACTCGCGCAGGTGCGTCATGCATCCCGAAGGGGATCTTCAGACGGTAGATCAGCAGCAGCGCGCACAGACGCATCGCCTGCACCTGGCAGAAGATGTGTGCGATCTCGACCGCCGAGAACACCGAGCAGAGGCTTTCAGGGACATCGGGCTGCCATGCGAGGACTGTCGACTCCAGGCCGTCGAGGTCTCGGGATGCCATAGGGTTGACGGCGACATTGGGACCGACAGTATCCGAGAGTGATGAATTCAGCTCCCCGACCCGTTGAAGCCGAGGCGGGAGCATCGCATGCACTGGCTCGAGCCTTCCACCCAGGAACACCGCTCCTTGATACTGTAGCATCGATCGCAAGATCGATTGCATGCGCGCGGCATTGCTATCGATGCATTGCGCCTTTTTGTAAGAGTTCTCGCAGATCAATTTGTGGTTGTGGTTGGTTTCCGAGAATGCACTGGAAAGAATTAGTAAGTCTTCTTCGGTCACGTGCCTGGCCACATTCTGTGAATTTCGGGCTGCTGGACACACAAGAAGATCATCATTATGACATTTGATTTGGTTCATATAGTTTGCAACCTTTGTGCAGGGGAGTCTCTTCGTACCTCTGTCACGTCTAAGAAGTGACTATCTAGAGTGTATATACAGTATGCAATTACCAGGCGTGTTACCGCCCATTGAATCGTCAAATTTGATGATGGATTGATCCTGACTACGTCAGGCTATCTACGAGAAACTAGCCAGAGCCACCGAGGTGGACGGTTCGCTACCAGTCTCAGGCAAGGCTTCACGGGCCCGCCGTCAATAGCCCTAGGCCTTATACCAACATCTTCACATTTCAAACCGTCTACTCAGTCAACCCACCACTGTGTAGCTCCAGATCTAGAACACGATCTATCTCGAACACACTGTCTTCTAGTCTACCACCAGGCCCCCATCCTAATCAAGCTTAAACCCCCGATCCAGCAGCACCTGCCGCATCCTCTCGCGTCCATCCAACTCCCCGGACGCCAACATGCCCGCAACGAACTTAGCCCAGCTATGCCGACCGAACAACTGATGCCACTCGTAGAACGCCCCTAGGCTCGCATTATACCGCTCCACATCCTCCCTCTGATGGCTATCATCCCACTTCTCACGGTGCAGTACCTCCCGCATCGGCAGCCGCGGCTTGATATCCGGAGCGTGCGCCTCCAGATCCGGCCAGCCCACCGCCATGCCAAACAGCACGACGGCCCGCGGGGGCAGCGCCAGCAATTCGCACAGCTCCGCGGCGTTGTTGCGCGCCCCGCCCACGTAGCAGATGCCCAGCCCCGGCGACTCGGCCGCCAGCGCCACGTTCTGCGCCGCCACGGCCGCGTCGATCGTCGACAGAATGAACATGTCCGTCTTCTCCAGCGCCTTCGCGGGCTGATCCTCCCATTTCGAGACTTTTGTGAGGCGGTTAAGGTCGGCGCAGAAGAAGAGCATGAGCGGCGCCTGGCGGATGAATTCCTGGTTGCCGCTGAGTTGCGCGGCGGCTGCCTTGTGGGAGGGGTCCTGGACTGCGATCACGCTCCAGCTTTGGAGCATAGAGGCGGTGGATGCGCTCTGGGCCGAAGCGACCAGGGCCTCGAGGGTGCCGTCGGGTTAGGGGGAGGGGAGGAAATGGCGGATCGATTTGTGGCGCCAGATGGTCTCGAGGACGGGGTTCGAGGCTTCCATGATGGTTGGCGTGGCGTGGTTGAGATACCGGGCTTTGAGGGCCTCGTTGGGTGTGCTCTTCGACACAGTATCGGAAATGTCGCCCATGGCTCTTGAGGGTTGGGGATGATGCCTGAATGGATGGATCGAGTAATTGGCTTTGCTCACGATCCCTAACGGTACCGTCCGGCTATATATGGCACACCCGCGGCCTATTCGCCCCTTGCGCGGCCGTCACCAGCCAGAGAGAATTGAGTTGATTCATAAGCCTCAGGGGTTGATTAAAAATTCAACCCCCCCCTTTGCAGTTCGACGAAGTTGATATTGATGATGATGGCGTAAGGCCTGCCAATGAAGAAAGCGGCAATCGACCGGCTTATGCGCACGCACATATTGCCACCCTTGAGACGAATGAGAGTGCGAGAAACCGCCCGGCTTGGCAGGCGGAAGTCTCCACCGGGGCTGGCTCCCGAATGGCGGCCGTATGCGCACGGCTGCTGGGACATACCTAATAGCTATGAAGGTCACTGAGGCATCTTATTGCTGTGACTGACATCTGCCTGCTAGGCGGAAACAGTGAATCTTCCCAGACTCACTTGGTACTGCTCCAGCTCAGCCTGATTCACCGGAGGGGTATTTTCCATAAGTTATTCACCTTTTGTACTCTGTGGATCGATAGCATAATATCGCCACGACTGATGTCTCTCTCTCCCACCACTACCTCATCCAAGCCTCCGTACAGCTACATCGCCACTGCTTACACCACAAAATTCGGGAGACGACTCCTAGTATCTTTGAGTATTGTCAGTCTTTCCAAATCTCTTTCCTTCCCACACCATCTCCAACCCTTAGAAATAAAGAAAAGACCACACCTGAGTGAAAAGGGAGAGGTCGGTGTCCCCTCGCCGAAAGCCACAAGCTCGATCCGGTCACCACATGGCCGCGAATACTGCAATGACTTCGTCATGATCCACCCATTTGCCGATGGGAATGGACGCATGTGCCGCTTGATACTGAATGCCATTCTACTCAAGTATGCTGGCATCGTGATCTCTGTGGGTGAGAATGACGAGGGTCGGCGCCAGTATCTGGATATCCAGCGACGATCTGGCGAGCATATGAAGGGCTCAGGAGAGCTGGAGACCTTGATACTGAAGAAGTTGATTCCGCGATACCGAGCTCTTAAGCAGAAGGTTACAGGGAAAAAGGGATCCTGGAAAGCGGACGCTTCGAGTCCTTCGTGTTGGTATTTCAATCGACATTAGTAAGTCTTGTGCACCGGGATTGCCTCGAGGGCCCAATATTTCATCCATTATGGCTGGCAAATATGCGTTCTGGTGCACCCTAATTGAGTTATCGAGGTTGCTGACTTTGGTGTACTTGCTCCGGACACAGATATTGCCGTCTCCATGTGATGACTGTTGAAATAGCCTGCTGCACGGGGTGCTGTTTCCACCGCAGATTCTGCTTAACCATCACCCGGATGGCGGACATCCAGCTCGCAGACATGGTTCGAGGAAGGATTCTGGCGAACGAACGAGTGCGAGAATGCCGAGTTGGATAAGGGGATCATGCCCTGGGATCATGCCTTACAAGCCTACCTGCCTGACACACGCAAGAAAGGGACAAAGGCATGTATGTAGATAGAGAAGGCGGGTAAGGAGAATGTAGAACCCGGTTGAATCTTGGTTCAGAGAGCAATGGGCCTTGTTCTTGGAAGACGCGGTATGAGAGTACTGATAGGAGAGGATATTTGTCGGCGTTCGTCCGGCCACGTGATCCGCGACGATTCACAAAGCGAGTTGCCCACTGCACCTTCAGATCTTAGCTACTTCATCAACCAAGCAATCAACCAACCGCCAAGAATTCAAGAAATCGTCTCATATAGTCCATGCTCCAGAATAACAAGAATGTGACACTCATACTGTTGTTATTTTCTGTGCTAACCTACATATTTTTACTCTCATTATAAGCTTCTGAGCTCTAGGCTGTGCATTTGACCCTAAAGTATCACAAAGCTAGAAACATGCATAACCTGACCCCCTTGAGAAGAGTTTGCATTGCATTGAATTGATTATGTGCCACTTAGGCACCCCCCGAAGACAATTCCCGCCTACTCATCGTCGCGAATATCGACGACCGTCTTCTTCCACTTGCGCGCCGGGACCCGACGCTTGAACAGAATGTCAATCTCGCGGAAGGACCGGTCCTTCATCTCCGGAATCCACTGCCACGCCATGGCGGTGCAGATGAAGGCCGTGCCCGCCCAGACGTAGCCGCTCTTGGCGCCCAGGTTCCACTTGTCCGTGTTGAGCATGTAGCTGGACAGGAAGATGCAAGGGATATTGATGAAGTAGTAGGCGCCTCGTCCCACACCGGTGGTCAGGGGCCGGAGGCGGACGGAAGAGGTCTCGCCGATGATGACCCACGAGGACGGGGCGGGGCCCAAGCAGAACAGGACGGAGACGATCAGGCCCAGCGATGCCTGTGCATTGCTCGCCGCCGTACTCGCGCCACATGAGCCCGCAATTCCGAGCGCGACCAAGAATATACAGTTGATCGATTGGCCGTAGACATAGATGGTGCGCCGGCCGAGGTAGGTGGTGAGGATCCACGAGAGCATGACCATGATCAACTGGAGGGCCGAAGTGATGAGACCCAGAGCAAATGCGGTTGTCTCGCCCATGCCAGCCTCTGGAATCTGGTGTTAGTCTGCTATGAGGTTGCGAGAGGGAATTGATGGGACTCACGTTTGAAGAAGTACACGGCTTGGTTCGCAATCAGATTGCCTGTTAGGTTCTGAGATGCGTAGACACCACAGACGATCAAAGTGCGATAAAGATCGGTCCCCCGCACCAGTTCCACGAGAGTGGGCTTCTTCACAGTCTTCTCAAGCTCGATTGTGCGACGCATCATGGCGACTGCGTCAGCGGGGTTTTCTTCCACGCTTGCGCGTCCCAAGCGCTTGACAGCCTTCTCGGCCTCAGCCAGACGGCCCTGGCGTACGAGCCACCAGGGTGATTCGGGCGCAAAGTAGAGAAGGATAGCGAGAGGAGTGGGGAACATCCACTGGAGTGCAATGGGAACTCTGAGAGAGATTGTCAGTACGGTACTCCCTCAATCTCATCCCTAGGAGCAGACAAACCTGTACGCCGAGGAGTCATTCTTGGATTGGTAGTGGTAAGTGATACCGCCGACGATGATGGAGCCAATGGCCCAGAACATCTGCAACATCTGCGTCGCGGGCGCTCTCAGTCTCATGGGCACAATCTCGGCGCAGTAGGCGGGTGCATTGGCGATAAAGATGCCCCACGGGATGCCTTCCAGGATCTGGGCGGCGAAGAACATCCCCTGGCTGTTGCCGAAGTAAAAGATGAAGATGAAGGCGTTCAAGGCCATGAGACCGCCAATTGTTGCCCATCGATATCCGATCCAACTAGTGATGGGACCTGCCACGAAGACCCCGATGAAGGCCCCCAGTGGTCCACTACACTGGAATGCTGACTGCCAGGAAGCCTCGATGATATAAACCCCTGAGACGTCGCTATATACCCCGAAGTCGTCGGCGAATTTCTGGGTGGCGATGAACTGTCCCATCAAGAAAACACAGTAGGACTCCATGATCTATAGCATCACAGTGTAAAGGGTTAGAAAATTTATCTGTATATTGCGGTCGTAGGAGGGAAGCGCTAACAATGGTGCATGACATGACGAAGGCCCAGGCGCTGGCAGCAGGATAAGCCTTAACAGCCTCGAGCACAGTCATCCGATGCTCGACCTCCTCAGCACCGATGGCGCCCGCTCTGTCATAGTCGACCTTCTCGCTGGCATCGTAGACAGGTTCGTCCTTAGAGGTGGGTTGGTCCTCGACCTCCAACGCCGAGGTTTCCTTCTCTGTGGGGTCGCTAGCCATGTTGGCGATTTCTGGGAAAAAGGGGGTGGATGAAAGGGGGGGAGACAGGAGTAGGGGAGGGGGATCTGGGAGATCTGGGAAGATCTCCGACCTTTATAGCTGCGACACACCGCTTGTGATGGTACTGGTAGTAATGGTGGTATTCCGGTATTGGTGGTAATGGTGACATTAGCCTAATCGAGTGAAGCTTGGGCTTACTGCGGAGGCCCCGGACTTGGACCTCGTCTGGAACCCAACAACCCCACTCCGGGGGGTGAGTTTTCCGAGCACGTGGTCAATAGGAGTGTGGCAATCACCTCGCATCCACCTCCCATTCACCTCTATCGCTTTCTCATTGCACCGAAGAGTCTCCCTAGCGTCCTAGCGCCTGGGTATGACGGGTGGAGGGATGATTCTGGCAGTCTTCCGGTGGAGTCGGGTGGAGATGGCCCGGTCCACCCCCATCGGCCCAATTTTCCCCGCAGTTGCGGGGGGCCAAAGGGGTTTGTGTACGGATAGTGTACGGATCGTGTACGGCTCGTTTACGGGGTTTTAGGTTTTCCTGTCAGCCCCTTTCCCCACTCGGCTAATTCCAACCCCAATCAGAGGAGCTCAGATGGACTTTGTATATTGAGCTCATTCACTACGAGATGCTATTATACAGTCACTTGACATGAAATTGCACCAATCGCCGCCTGTCTTGATTATTCTTGATTCCAAGTCTCAGACTTGCCCAATGAGCGTTGACTAGCTCAGTTCTGTAAATCCAGGATTGTTACCGTAAGACAACCCTCGTACGTTGTGGTGACACAATGCCCCTGCATATCAAGTAGGGTCAGGGGTCTCAGAGACTGTCAGATGGCATGATTCATCGTTGCCTTGTTGCTCGTTGAGACCGAGGTCAGGTTTACTTACAGAGTACTAAAGAACTCTAGCCCCTTGTGACTGGGAATAAATTATCATGACCGACAAATCTAGATCTCACCCCGTCGGAGAACAGACGCCAGGAATGGCAGCCAACATCCCAAAAGATGCAGACACAGTGCGCCTGCCGCCCCTCGTATCTTGGCATTAGTGCTTATAGGCCTCCAAGCTACAAGAGTAAAGTTACGACGTCTGCGACATCCCCATCTCCCTTATCTTACTTTCTGCCGCTGATTGGCTACCTCGTGGCCGCAGGCGTGGGCCTGTCGGCTCTTCCACTGAAAGAGGAGCGTGACCGGAAGGAGTTCGTCCGGGTGGTTCATACCTTCGCCGCCGCCGCGGCACGCCACAACGCTCCCTACACAGAAGCCATGAAACGAAGATGAAAGTGGTGACGAAGATAATTTCTCATATGTTGAACGTCACGCAGACAAGGGGAGATTGTCTATTCGGTAGATCATGCGGCTCTTGATCGAATAATCCGTGATTTATAGCTCAATAGAGATGTAATGTTTTCTATAGGGGACCAACACTCAAAGCACAAGTGTCTACATCCATTGATATAGCCAAACTTCATTAACGAGTGGGAAGTAAGCAGAAGACCAAAGTAAAATTCCAATCCAAAATCACGTTCTCCTGCCGTTGATCGAGCGGCTCTCTTCTTTTCGTACGAAGATCGACCCTTCGATGCCTACCGCATCTACCGCATCTTCGGCGGCAATCGATCAGATCGATCAGGTTGACATGCACCTTTTTCAGAGCCTGTAGCTCAGTTTCTCACTAGTCAGCCTCTTCCGCAAGTAAGGGAGCGTTTAGTGCTGCAAGCACTCGGGTATCTGCATGAAACGTACTCTTCGACATTGTTTGATGGAGCCTTAGGGACCGTCCACATGCAACGCGCCGCAAGGCTTGCCATTGCTGGAGCCGGAGGTCCCTTCTCTGCCGATACGTGGAATTAACGGTGAAATCCGGATCTCAGGAAGGCCATCCATTCACGTTGGTAGGTCCCGGAACCCGACTTCTAGTACTACGTAGTTCATGTGCGTGGCTAGCCTCGCGAGTTTGCTGGTGACCGCGGCCGCAGGGTCAGGGCAAAAGTCGCGGAATCGCGAGCAGTCATAGCAACCACTACTAGTATTCATTGTGGCTTCACGAGTTTTCTCTGGAAAGAGAGGGCTACATGGGATGCGACGCGTCAGAAAGTAGACCCAATGGTGTGGGAAGAGAAGGTGTTGTACATGTTAAGGCAATATGTCTCTAGGCAGGTGGTCATGAACGTTTATTTTTTCTCTTGTCACTGTGCCGATCTCCAACCCCCAGACTGCGGCGACAAAAGTGAGCGGAGAGCGCTTGAAGGTAATGCCGAATTCGGACATAAATCCTACCGGTCGATTGGAGAGAATAGCATGGCCGACCTGCGTCATCTTGTCTGCGCCACCTTTGACAGGAATGTAAGAACGCCTCAGCGTGGAGGGAATCTCTCGCATATCAATTGAACCATTGACATTTGGGCGCTTTGTGAGTGTTGTACTTTAGCGCTGCCACGTGGTGCGCAATAGTTGCAAGAACCAGGCAGAAAGAGTGTTCTAAGCCGACCGCGAGTGATTTCGATGCTTGTACATGTGCACCACCCACCTGCTGCTGTCATTAGATCTTCAACCACAATGCATAGGCATGAGGAACGTTACGACGGATCGAGATCCCACCAGAGCACAAAGGCTCAATATGGGTGATGAGAGAGGATAATAAAATGCAATGGCTTAAAAGTACCGCCAGCTGCTGGCACATCTGGATGCCCTAGGTAGCTCCATCCACCTACCCGCCGTAAGCCACAATCCAGTCAACTGAAAAGGTCAGCACAGCCACAGCAGCGCTTAGAAGGATTGAATGCTAGAGTTCCACCTTCCAGTTCACGGGCTGAAATCCCCCAACCCATCACCCTTATCTTCCGGAACCCACTTTCCAATGCTCAGATCCCCGGGCTGTGAACCGCATTGTGAAAGCAAGTTGCCAATTCTAGTAGCTTGCAGGCTGGACCTTCGTTGCGTGTCTTGTCACCTCTTTCGAACACTCCGAGACTCGAAGCTGTAGACAAGTCTCGTAATATATATTTGTACCTCTCTACTACCCGCTCCCAAATCTAGGCTAATACCTTGTATCCCCAGTACTAGTCATCGTTTTATAATGCAAACTGGTAATGGGTTTATGAGTGATTGAGAATTCATCATGTTGGATCTTATTCACAATGAAGAGTGCAATGTCTTGTACAAAAATACGACCAGCCCCAACAGCACGTGGCACGAGCAAGAGGGCCTGTTCTGCAGGTGACTTCCGCTGGCCACGGCGCTAGTATTGGAGCGCCCTTACAAGGTAGGTAGCGGGCTAGGTCTACCTACCTAAGTTACGACCAAAAATTGGCCCGTGACCTGGGGCCTCCACCCGGTGATCTCTAGGCAAACTAGACAAATATCAGCTCTGGTTTATGCGCTGATAACAGTGCGCATAGTCCGGCATGACTCATCTATCCCAAGCCAGGCCCACTGTCCAACAAAACGTGGATCATGTGACCTTGCCTGATATAGCCAATCAGACAGTATGTCCTCGCACAGTGGAGCCGGGGAGAACAGGAGTCACGTGGCACCGGCATTCTTCCTGATGTACGGAGTAGTGAGTTGATCCGTGCTTTCTTGCAAGTCATGAACTATTATCGCTATCTGATACAGACTTGAACTTGAGCCAACTATCCCTACCTCTCCAAATATCAATTCCGATGGACCTGATCCCCGAAAATACTGGGCACCGTAAGGCTAGCGCGGATTGGAACGAAGTATCTCACAGCTTGATGTTCATCATCCTAGATACCAGCATAAAACAGCAAAGTTAAATGTGACGCGGAAAGCTTTCTCCGCAGATTCTGCCCTGCCGCTCCCGCCCGGGAGCCCACTGGAAAGCCTGTATAAAGGGCCAAGAGTTCAGTTCTTCCCTGTGAGATTGTGAGAGACATTTAAAGTTGACTGATAATTGAGGCCACCTGTAACATAGACTAGACTTAGTAGACCTACCCCATTAACCCATGAGTATGGGGATGCTCTTTCAACCTTTGTAGTCTAACTTCAACTTCAACCTACCACCGATCCAACACCCCGTTTTTGGGACCTTGCTTCCCCTTCCCTGAAATGTGAGACATTCCTGATCACCGATGATTCAGTCCCTGTCAATCACTTTAAATTCGGGTATGTGCACATCATCCGGCCCTTGAGATCGACCAAGCCCAATTTTCATCCACCATCCATCGTGATAATATCCTTTTGCTAGTTTGACGTTTCAACATCTCCACGGAGGCACGTAATCCCCACAGAGATAGATATAAAGGGAAGATCATCCATCAACATCAAGCATCCCTCAACAATCAACACCCACCATCCCACCGCACTTCAAACCAAACCACACCCACAGTTTCTTCAATCAAAACCAGAATGAAACTCTCCATCCTCTCCGTCCTAACCCTCAGCCTCGCCGCTGGCACCCTCGCCGCGCCCACCCAAGTCGCAGAGCGCGACCTCCCAACCATCAGAGGCGTGCTGTCCGGGATCGGCACCAAGGTCGACGCGCTGGGAACGGCCATCCAAGCCTACGGCGGCGGCGACGTGGCCAAGGTGCAGCAGGCGTCGGACAACCTGGTGACGGCGATCAACAGCGGCAACGCGCAGGTCAGCGGCACGGGGGCGCTCAGCTCCGGCGACGCGCTGGGCCTACCGGGCCCCGTCAACGACCTCAAGAACAAGATCGCCGCCGTCATCACCAAGCTCGACGGCAAGAAGTCTCTGATTGTTCAGGCTGGCAAGGGCGCCCAGACCTACAATGATCTCACCCAGCAGAAGGCCGCCGCTAAGCAGCTGTCCGACACTATTGTTTCCAAGGTGCCCCAGGAGCTGCAGGGGCTGGCGGGTACTGTTGCCGGTGGCATAACGGATGCGATCGACACGGGTGTGAAGGATTTTGCGGATCAGGCGCCGAAGAGTAAGCGCGGGATTGATGCGGGCGCTGTTGTGGTTTGAGGAGTGTGTGGGGGTTTGTTGGATCCCTTGAGATTAAGGTAGTTCTCTGAGTGTTTGCTGGCCTGGTGCTTTGCAAAGGAGTGATGTCTTTAGAGAGATGATGTGTGGAGGGATGTTGTGGATGAATTGGTTTGGATATAGATGAAATGAAGTGCTTATGGCATCAACACTCCCAATGTAGCTTGATAGGAGCCGATAGTATACACTGATCTGGAAAACAGATTAGAAAGGTCCTATGAGATAGAAAGACCATCGGATCCCTACTACCCTTTGCCGATAATCGCTTCCGAAGGGGTAGGCAAGAAGACTTACTAGGTACCTACGAGCATTTGCGATGCTTCTGGCTATCCCACTGGTGCCCTAAGCCCAATGTTACTCTCGTCCACTTCTCTTTATAACTCCACCCACATAGCCGCACCATGAAAGCACAGCACAGTGTTTCGCATGCTCCGGAATTGCCTAATGTTTGCCTTTGCCAAAAACCTCGGATTAACCACAGCGTTTCTCACCTCGAAGAACCAGCAAAAACATTGCAAATGTCCCGCTGTCATCAAACCAACGGATGGAAGTGGGCCATGTTGCCCGTTCCGCGAGTCTTAATTTACTATACAATGCTCAATCCAGACATAAGAAACAACCACAGCAGAAGCTGAGGGACCCAAAGGTTGTCCCTCGTAGTACACCAAACGCCGCCATCACATCGCTCTACCACCGCACTGCATAACAGTGATAAAGTTGCCAGTTGTGCATTCATCACAGTATCAAGACTAGGTCTGCAGATCTTCCGCACTTCCCTCGTTGTGCTTTTCAGTCTCAGAAAGAGAGAGGTCGAAGAAAAACGACAGAACCACCCCAAGCGCCGCCATTGCGATCGCACCATAGTACCCCGCCCGATATCCATCCAAGGCAGCGCGAGGATTCTCAACGCCTCCGTGGTTAGAGGCCACCGAGTTGGAGATCACCGTCAGAACGGCTACCCCTAGCACTGCTCCGCCCACGTTCAGGAACATCTGAACGTCATCATGGCCGGTCGGTCAGTGTTCATCATGAGTATTTGGGTAAGAGAGAGAACGAAATCTGGTCAAGTGAACAAGCTTACATTGTAGACTCCAGACACCGTCCCCTGCTGTTCCTTCTTCGCTGTGGCCACCACACTCACATTCCCCACGAAATACACCGTCCCGACACCGGCAATATACAGAATCATCCCTGGGAGACAGAAGCGCCAGTAGTCATCGGCCCCGCCCATCCGGGTAAAGAGGACCAGTCCGCCCAGCGTCAGGACCAAACTACACACCAAAAGCGTGCGAGCGCCGACCGGGCCGATCAGGACGGGGACCACGAAGTTGACCACTAACGCCGTGACACCGAGGGGAATAAAACGTATCGAGGTCGAAAGTGCGGAGCAACCAAAGCCTTTTTGATGGGATACTGTTTGTTAGTGGCACAGTCGCTGTGTTCGTATACTGGGATACTTAACGGGAAAAGGCTTACTTTGGAGCTGAAGGGTCAAGAGGTAATTGCTCCCTTGCCAAACAGCATAGGTCAGGGCGGCGTTGGCACAGCCCAGAGCTTTCACTCGGTCAGTGATCACGTAGCGAGGGAGAATTGGATCGGCGGAGAATTTCAGTTCCAGAACCAAAAAGACGCACAGTATCACCACCGCCAGAATCAACGACGCAAGAACATTAGCCTGGTTCCAGCCATCGATGTTCCCGGTTGTGAGCGCGTAGATCAGAAGGATGAGGCTGGCAACCGATAAGAAGGTACCAGGGAGATCCAGACGGGTATGAAGAATCGACAGCTCGTCTTTCCACAGATTTATAGTGCCATTTCTGCCTAGATGGTGGCGTTCGTAGGTAAGGATAAGAGCGATGACTGCGAGTTGGAGAGCACCTTCCGCAATCAAGGAGAACCAAAAGATCTAAAGAAAATGCAATCAGACTCGGTTACCAAGACGCAGTAACTCATATTCGTACCCATTTCCAAGTGACCAATGAGGTGAAAACGCCACCTAGGATGGGACCAAATCTATAGATATGTAAGTCAGACGAAGCAACAAGAAAAAGGGAAGACGTACACAAAGCCGCTGGAGCCACATGCACCCCAGGCGCCAAAGGCCCGGACACGAGCCTTCGGATTCTCAAAAGCCAGAGCGACCAACGACTGGGCGGAGGGAATGGTGAATGCTGCTGTGAGACCTGGGAAGGGTTGTAACCCGTAAGAATCAGGGATTATTGACCACGCACGACCGGCAATCCTACCTTGGAAGGCTCTCCCGATAATGAGCCCAATCTGAGTGTGGACGAGAGCGCAGACGAGAGAAGCAATATTGAGTAATGTCATGCCGACCAGCAGAATCAGTCGATGACCGAATATATCGCCCAGGCGGCCACCCGTCATCAAGAATCCGCCGAACTGGCCGCGGCCACCGTCATCAGATTGTCCCTGCCCTTGTGATAGAGGAAGTGTTCCTTACAGTCAGTGAATAAGCGGTCAAGATCCATTGTAGGTCTCCTTCGTTGTATCCGAGTGCCTGCTTGATTGTCGGTAACGCGATGTTGGCCATTCCCACGTTCGCTGTGTCGATGAAGAAGACAAGGCATCTATAGATCATTAGGGCGACATAGAGTCTAAGGAAAACAGTAATGGTATGACTGACAGCGATACTAGAATGGCGACTCGAGCCGCTCGAGAGGACGCATTATGGGCTTGCATGATTATCAGATTCTAGTAGAGGGGATAGATTTAGAGCGAAGAAGAAAGAAGCTAAAACTCGAGCTCGCCCGACCCGGTTTGGCTGTTAAAAAAAGAATTCTAGTCGTCTTAGGCATCAGTAGCGCTGACGCACTTCATCGCACACCCCCTGTACTCTGGAATGCCAAAAATGTCTGGTGTTCCCACACGAACCTTATATGCGCGTGGCATCAAATCTAACTCTCCTCAAACAATCCAGCAGTCTTAACATGGACACAGTGTAGGATAGTGCTCGCTTCCGTGAAAGCTGTAGCGCCTCAGTCGGTTGCAGGCCGAAAGAGTTGGATTATGGTTCAACCCATACAAAACTCAAAGCTCGAGATAGAGACGGGATTCTGCCTATCAGTACTTTCAGACTGGCTACAGGCGATAGGAAGGAACAGAAACCCGAACTAATCATTTCGGCTTCGAAGTCAGCCAGGGCGCTTACGATGCAAAATAAGCGTTCGTTGTCACACAGACAAGTGAGTCTATTTAACACAGCAAAGACTAAGCACCGAGCCGGAAGAATATGGCTAAAACTCTACCCAAGTACTATCAAAACTCATCCAACACCTCGATACAAATAAAAGCTCAACCATTATGACAGACCAACCATTTGGACCTCAACATCAAGGGAAGGGCTTCCGCCGTCCAAAGACATAATTGTGCTCCCAGTCTTCCTCTTGCTGCTGCTCCACCGTCAGACCGATACCGGCCAAAGCGAACTCTGTTCTCAAAGCAGCCAGTGGGCCCTCGCACATGTCGATCACGAACAGGTGGATTACGTTCAGGCGGGGAAAGAGTTCCGGGCCGTGCCGTACCAACCGCAAGAGCTCCGCCACCAGGTTGGGATAGTCGTCGGATTCGATATCGGTGATCCCCAGGGACTCCAGCGAAGCGGGCAGTATACCCAGAAGTAGCATCTCGTTATCCGCCGAGGGTTGTGCTAGAAGGAAATGGTATCGCACGATCAGTGTCTGAAGGCCCGAAAACTCTCTGAATGACCCAAAGACGGTCTCCTCATCCTCCTCGCGGTCATCTTCATACCAGACTACTTTATAACTGCAGGCGCCTTCCAGCCGAAGAGACCTGAGTGTTTCAGCGGAAGGAAGAAGGGCTTGTCGGAATTTCAAAGCATAGAATCTTTCGTTCGACGGCATATCCCAGTCAGTAGTCATCGGCGGGATGAACCGCGATCTTTAACGTGACCTGTTCGAGACGCGCGCTCACTGCGAGCCAGTTGAGCATCCCGCGGCAGTAAACGGCATTCGAGACCGCTATGCTTCGCACGGGCCGCGAATCATGATCCACGACTAACGATTCAGGTGCGGCGGAGGTCTCGGCTACGGCGAAGACATTGACCCGGCGGACCGCGGGGAAATAGAAGAAGGAGGTAAGGAGATCCGACTCAATCCAATGTAAGCGGCCGTGGGCACATGCGGTTACTTCAGTGAGGTACGGGAAGGGCAAGGTGCGATGGAAGGGCTGCTGGCGCTGCGCCGCCTTACGCAGGATATCGCCGATCAGGTCGGAATTGTCGTATTTCACGGAAAGGCGTCGCAGATGGGATAGGCGAACGAGAAGCACCCCCGCCCAAGCCTCCTGGCAGCGAGCTTGCAGATGGTGTTCACATCTGTCTCGGGTCTGGTAGAGAGGCGCATCGGAGCCGAAGATCTCATCCAGGGCCGAGTTGATGAATACGACAATTTTGCTTTCGTCTTCGAACTTGCTCATGTCACTCGAGCCACACTCCTGCCAGTGAATATCGAGCCGATGCACCCGCTTGGCCAACTCTGCGTCATGCCAGAACCGTATGATCAAATCAACGTCATGAAGAGCGATACGATTACCGTTATGACTGATGTGAATCTCCGAGTATCACAGAGGGTTGAACATGTGATAGAAGCGCCAGGAGCATAAAGACAGCGCCCACAAGGTCCTGAAAAGGGGCCTTCCTCTCGGCTGTACTGACCAATATAGTAAAGTAACTCAATGCGCAGACGTTCCATCGGTCAGGGTGGATTATTGGATCATTCTGTGTTGGCTGACAAGCGAATTGAGGTGATCGAGATAAAGATGTGTGCTGAGGTGTGTATGAGAGTATTGGAGGAGCATTGATGAGGGCTGATGAGGATACTTGACAGATGGCGAAGAGAGTTGAGGGAAGAGTTGCCGCACGTAGTTGAGGAAAGTGCTGTCCATATTCGATGTTCCCGAACGAGTAGTAGTGAATGTCACCTGACCAGGACTGTGTATCTATCACCATTGAATCCTATAGGAGGTCCATAGTTCTAGAGCCATTCTAATCTCAGACACGGGTCAATGAGCTATTTGGTCTCCTTATGCTGTTGAATCAATGACTGGGACGTTGGGGTTGACGGAATTTGTGTACAAGAACTGAATCATCAAAGACAGTAATAGCCATATATTGAGAGGGAGAGAATTTGCTATCACTCGCGTATAAATTGATTTGGGTATCAGCTATGTTCGGACACTTGGAAGGCTAAGTTGTATAAAACCGTAATGGATTGACGCCACGCAAGACTACTAGGTATCCACTCCCCGGTTACTTTCCACGGTATATCAAACCACAACTGTGAATCTATGTTTGATTATCCTTGCACGAGACTGAAACTACATGTTATTACCCAGCACTTGGATGTAAATTCATCCACTTTCGTCCTGAGGACAACGTCTTTTACATTGTTGTATATATTGTTCAATTCTGGGCAGTTAATACTTGACTCCAAAGTACCAGCCGACCGTGACTGACCTATCGCAGTACAAGTCAGCATCAAAGGCCGCCAGGCTTATAGAGCCCGGTGTAGGTTGGCCTTGAACCCTCACCAGATCATTGATGACATCTCCATGAGACTATCCAAACTCAGACAAGGATATTTGCTTTGCTCGTGGAACACATGGATAATTATGGCTGGTGCTTGATGGACGAGATTGAATGACGCCTAGCAAGGAGAGCGCTAGCTGCGAGCAGGAAACAGGCATCCATGGAATGTAAAAAGATTAAGAACATCCCGGGGAAAAAAAGCAGTACTGTAGCCTATGGTACAAGGTACAAGGTATGAGATAGCCACTGGACGCATGGGCAACAGCTTATCACTGGATCAAAAATGGCATAGGCCCCAGATTCTTGTAGTACTCACAATTGGTGGCTCGCCTTAACAAATCAGAAATGTCAAGCTTTCTCTGGTGTGCCACAGGGCATTCGGTAGGATTAGTCCTGCTATAATACATTTTCTTTATTTCTAGACTGATAGCCTTACGCTGCCTTGTAGTCGGAATCACATACTCCCACGTGACAGACTTTAGGAGGTATTGACACTTTGTCGAGAACAGACGCTGAAGCCACCGCCCCTTGCCATGAACTACGTAGTCAGAGACCCCCCTTTCTCTATCCGTTTTGAGATCTCTTCGCATAATCGAATAACCGTGAGCGGGCCAGGCGTGTTCGGGCCGTGCATTGAGCTTACTTATCATCACATATGCCAGCCACCATGAACAAGGCCAATTGAAATGGTAGAAGAAAGAGATATATAGTACAGCCCAGTACTTACACATAGTAGAACGACCGAATTAGCAGGCACGAGTGGCCGTGATGATAGTGGTGCCTGGGGCAACCACTGTGCCGGGCCAGGAATGGCAGTCACGTGGGCGTCATCGTGTGATTCTTCCACTGAGACTCGAACCCCCTCCTTCATCGCCTCGAGAGTCGCTACCACCCGGCCTTTCTCTAGTATACCACCGCAATGTACCTAAAAATTCTATACGTTGGCATCCACCGGGGAGACGACTCGAACAATGTCCGTGGAAGGATATTTCTCCAACCCATTCCCGTCTGCTGAAGTTCTACGGGTGGGAGGCAAATCACAACATTAAAAGTGACGGCTCGTATTGTATGATATTTCGCAAAGATAACAAGCCTGGGCCCTTGCCCCTCGTTTGCCAGCTCCCTGGCTCCATGTCATGTACAACGGTGGGGTAAGGATGATCGATGCGGGGCAAGCTGGATGACGAATGCCTGAGATACGCGATAAGAGTAGGGGTAAGCAGCCCGGTGAAGGTCCGATCGGCCAGAGTGTCAGGATTATTTAGAGCGTTGTCTATTGACCAAAAGATAAACACGAAACATGAGAATGAACGCCAGATATAACTAGCAATTGAAAAAGATTGTCTTCTGTTTTCCGAACTTACAGAGGCTGGAGAGTGCGGGAGATGTATGACTGTGACCATGGCAATCACTACCAATCTGAGAGCGACCCCTCACACGCATCCAATTGACGGTTGACAACCCCACGACCCTCGCTCTTCTCGACGACTACTATTATCCCTAATAGAACAATCGAGCATTCTGATACGTACTGCCCTCGAATCAAGAATCCTCAGCCCCTGCCTCCTGCGGAAACCGCAGCCGGTTAGCCTCGTCGACCGCTCTGCGCACGCCCGCCACATTCTGCAACACGGTCGGCATATCCGAATGCACACAGATACTGAACGGGGTGCCCTCGAGCCCAAACCGAAACTCACTCCCCTCGATATCCTTGCCGACATCCGTCAACGCAGCGGACCGCGCCCGCTCGTAGCACAGCTCCGGCGTCGGAACGCGGGACTGCGCGACCGGGAGCAGCCGCCCATCGGGCGAGTAGTCGATATCCACATACATCTCGCCCTGGAACGGCACGCCCAGCTCCTTGCACATTGCCGCCTGCTTAGCATTCTGAGAACCGTACACGGGCACCCGGAAGGTGGCGCAGGCCTCCAGCACCGCGCGCATGATCGCCTCGTCGCGCTGCATGTAGAAGAACAGGTCGCCGTGCGGCTTGATGTGGGCGAGGGCCACGCCCTCCGCATCCAGCATCGCCTTGAGCGCCCCGACCTGGTACAACACCGCCGCGTACATGTCCCCGGGGTCGACCTCGATTTTGCGGCGGCCGAACCCGAAGAGATCCTGCTGGCCCGGGTGCGCGCCGGCCCGCACGCCGTGCTGCTTGCACAGCCGGATGGTCTTGAGCATGATGCTCGGGTCGCCGGCGTGGAAGCCGCAGGCGATGTTGGCGGCGTCGATGAATGGCATCAGTTCTGAGTCGGGGCCCTGTTTGTGGTGGTCGGTGGGTTATTCATTGATCTATGTGGTGGTTACATGAGCGAACGGTCTACTTGCCATCTTCCAGCGGCCGAAGCCTTCGCCCATGTCGGCGTTGATTTCATATTTGCGTGCCAACCCGGTCATCGTGGAGGGGGATAGCGGCGAGTGGGGGTGGTGGTTGGAGACTGAATTGGAGAGTTCAAGGGGGGCGGGCGGGGTTGGTGTTTTAAGTAGTATGTATTGTACTGTAGTGTACTGTGCGCGGTCGTCGTGCACTTTAGACCTAACTGCACTTGATAGCACCGCTTGCCTATGTTTCGCTCATATGTTTCGCTCAGCAAGCGGGCTTTCCTAATGTGACTAGCGATCTAGTATATTGATTATCAGGAGTGACGTAACGCGATGCTGCAATGCGACCATTCTCTATTATATTTATGGGTCTGTACGGTCGGCGGTTATCTGCGGGGTTCGGGGGTTCAGAAGCCTGTCTGGGAGGGAGACCGCCAACAGGCCTTTCGCCCCATTATAAATGTCAAGCTTGAAAGACGTCTTGTTTGCTTTAGAGCGCTGAACAGTCTCGCCCTGGACAAGAAAAAGTACTGAAAGTACTAACTCATGTATCGACATTGATTCGAACCCGAGGATCCATGAGCCTGGATATACAGAGAGCATTGCACGTCCTCAAGACGAAACCCGAAAAGCGGGGCAACATATAATTGCACAGCAGATACATCTGCAACGGGGCAATCACCGTGTATAATATCCACGCACTGAACCACCTCACAGACTGGGAATATCCTTTTAACTACTGACCAACCCACCGCGCAGGTCCCCCAAAGCAACGAAGCAGTGTTTCGGCTGCCGAAAGAGTCCATCGACCGCCGCGTACGTCGCCAGGGCCGCGGGACACGGCCTCAACTCGAAATGCCACACCAGCAGCGCGAACGTCATGCGCAGCTGCAGCTGGGCCAACGGACGCCCAAAACAGCCCCGGAGTCCGGCACCGAAGGCCAGGGTTGGGCCCGCGTTCGGATCGAAGGTCGATGGGCCGTCGTCCCCGGAGGGAGCCACCAGCCATCGCTCCGGAACGAATCGATCGAGATCTTCACCAGACCACTCGTGATTGGGAGACTGCCGGGCGTGATCTTGCTTTGCGGCGATCGTCGGCATTGCCGTCCGAGACAGAGCGCTACTACGCTTGTCGTTGGGGATCGGCCACGCCGGTGACGTGAATCCGGGCCCGCTGCTCAGGGCCCAGACGCAGGTGCCCTTGGGAATGGCGTAGCCCAGGAGCTCGGTGTCCCGGGTGGCGATGCGGTCGATCATGAACGCGGTCGGAGTGAACCGCAGCATCTCCTCGACGGTTGCGTGGAGATAAGGAATGGTTCGGGTGGCCAGTTCCAGGGCGCTGGGCGGGCGTCCCGCCTTCAGGGCTTCGGGGAAGCCCGCGCGTAGGCATTCGCGGAGCTGGCTCTGCACCTGAGGGTGATCTGATAGAAGCTTGACTCCCCAGGATAAGGTAAACACGGTGCTATGCGAGGCGCCGAAGATGGATCCGTAGAGCTGGTGGTGAGCGGGTTAGCAGTGGGTTATGTTTATGGTTCAATGTCACGCACCTCATCTTCCATCGCTGGAGACAGGTAATCCGGTTTCCGGGATTCCTGTTTCGCCAGGTCTCTTTCATGCCGAAGCATGGATTCAACCGACGATTGGGGTCGGTCGGGAAGCTCTGATGCCGAGTCCTCGGGTGCACCAACGGTGCTGGAGACCGCAGTCTCGAGCCATTCCCGCGTGACCCGGCGTTTGACCCGGAGGGCGTGGGCCAGTCGGGGTAGCATGGACATCATCCACCATGACTGTCGTGGGAAGAGCGATGTCCCGCTCTTTTCAATGGCTTCACTGAGCACCCCGTGCGCACGGATGAACTCGTGAGGATCTGAATCAGGGAATGTGATGATCTGCGGCTCACTGGTTACTCTCGCCCTGCCACGGGGTTCGGCGTCCCGGAGAAGCTCGATTTGCGATGAGATCCCGTCTTTGGGAAAGTCCCGTCCGAATGAGATTTCTAACAGGGTATCAAGGACCATGCGTTGGAAATCCTTTTGAGGTGCAAAGTATGCCGACGATTCTCGGGACAACCGCCCCTTGATACTCCACAGTTCGACCAGGCGCACGACAGACGCGTGGATCGCAGGCGCAGCAGTGTTCTGAAGGAACGGCGTGGTCACCAGATGCTTCACCAAATTACGGTGTCTCTTCCACTCGGGGCCAGTGCTCATGGTGATATGGTGAGTGGGAGACAGGCCGGAGAAAATGTCCTGCACCATGGGTGTCCGGTCAAAGTCTCGACTGCGATAGAGCAGTAGGTCAAGGGCCTCTCGCGGATCGCTAAGGACCACAATTGGCTTACCTAGAGGGTCCAGAAACAGTTGAATCAGAGGAGACTTCAGCCGACGGGTCTGTTCCAGAAGCCAGGACTGGATGTCCTGCGTACTTGCCATTACCTTCTGCAACTCAGGAAGGTCTCCGAGTAGCCTCCGGGCAGACGCCGCATGGTGCGGAATATCGCGGATCGGTCGAGGTAGCAGGAGGCGGTTGTAGACTTGGTGTAATGCCACAAGCACGAGGCCTACAGCCACAGCTTTGATCACACCATCCAAATCGAAATCCATCTTGAGGAGAAGTGGGAGGCGCTAGAGCTTGAACTGACTGTATGCATGCTTTTATTACGAACGGACGATTATCAGGTACCAGCGCCTGGCCCCCATGTGACATGTCTATTGGGGCTGTCACAATACTTGCAGGCTCGATCGCTGTGGGGCCATGCAGGATGAAATGCCAGGGATGGCTCTGTCCTAAATTGGCCCTCTCTCTATCGTGTAGGGGTCTATATGATACATCACACGGCTCATGACTTGAACTCCTCCTCTTCTTGCACTTGTGGTTTCTTTCCCGTATGGTGTCCCTACATAATTCGTCTTTCCACCCAGTGACATTCGCTATGTTATAATTTCTTCTCAAGGTGGCGGGTATCACACTTGATATTTTCTTGTACTGTACCCGCGAAGCCAGCAAAACACATGTAGCAACCAAGATACACCACTCAACTCCGTCAATGCATCTCCCACGACAACAAAAATCTACCTCAACCTTGAGCATATAGCCTCCGAACGACTAGATTCCTTTCCTTGTACCGGTCCTGGTCGCCTTCCCAGCACGACATTGGCCGTGCACCTGTACCGCGATTCGAATAAAATCACGCGTCCAGATTAAAAACAACCCCTGCAACGCAATTGAAATACCAGACAACCCCAACTTCACATTCCGCGCCAGGCAGACAGCACCTGGCTGCACCTGTGCCCGGACCGCCAGTCTCTCCCATCCTAAAGCGCCCGGATCAAGCATCATGCGTCCCGTCACGACGAGCTCACAGTCCCCCGCGACCGGCAGCAGGCGGTGCAGCGTCCAATGAAGATAGGCGAACATCACGTGTCGAGTCAGGACCCAAACCACAATGAAGGCAAGGAGCGAATTCCGGAGGCTCTTCTGATACTTCAAACATCGCTGGATCTGCACGAACTGCTCCGCCTGTTATCACAGATCTTAATTCTGGCGTTTGCTCCGTCGGAATCTGGTGCGGGGGTGGAACCTACGGCCAGAAGGAGATCCGCCAGGTCGGCGGTGAGGAGAATCCCATAGAGCAGGGTGTACACCCGGCTATTGCAGCAGGCGACCACCACTGTGCAGGTCAGGATATGGTGAAGGAACTTGTCGAGGAAGTCGTCTTTGATCGGTTCCACGACCATGACCAGGCACTGGTGCAGGTAGAAGGCGAGCCGAAGCAGGAAAAAACACTGCATGGGGTGGGTGATTTGTGATTGTGGCCAGTCTTGGAATAGACGCTGGGGATTCAGAAGGTCGGGGCTGTCGTACCAAAGGCCCTGAATGCTCGGAGGATCAGAGGCGAACTGTGTGAGCCTGGCTGGGAAACATGGGTGTATGGGTGGAAACAAACCAAAGCATATAGTATCAAGATACCGCGGGAGACGGCCTTCCAGCCCAGGGCAGCGAGATGGGAGGCATCCTGCGGTCCAAAGCCATACTTGCGCAGAGTTGGCTGTAGGAGGTACTCTGCTATTACGGGACGAGAAAGGGTGAATATGAAGCAGAAGACCGCTAGAAAGCCCTGGTCATCTAGTACATCTCGTGAATGTATAGTGCCCTGCTCGGACCTCCAGCACAGGATTGGCGCCTGGATAGCTGAGAGAAAGGCATGCTTATCGGCCAAGGCGTGCGCGAAAAGAACCAGTAGCGAGAATTCTCAAGCGATCATCGTTAACATTCAGAATAGTATCTTTGCTGACCGGGCAGGGAAGGAATTGCGCGCTTACCGAGCTGATGCGCCGCAATGGATTGTCGCACATTCACCTGATCTGAAGCTATCATCGTCACGAGACTGTATCATTCAGGAAAACTGGCAGAAGCGTGTCTCTGACACCTCGCCTCCCAGACTGCGATGCTGATTGAGATGAACCGAAGCCCAGGCAGTCTCACGGCAGAAGATTTCAGTCTGGTAATTCCAGCAAGTACTCGAAGTTTTACGTGCGGACTCCACGGCGATCAAATTGAATATCGACTCCAAAAGCGAGGGTGTTAGTGCAGTGCTTCGAGATTTACAGTGTCTCTCTCACCTGCAGGCTGTCCTTGACAGCTCCACCCGCATAAACCCTTTACATACGTATCACGCGAAGGAATGTGACCCGGGAAATGACCCACTTTTAACCCGTAAATGCAGAGACGAGTCAAACTAGGGGCAGAGAAATAGTATACATCGCAAAAAAAGAACGATCTGACTGACAGAATTGAGTTTGGTCCCCTATCCCCGCAAGCCCGTGTTTGACAGGTGTTCATTCTCGAAGCGCAACATGGTTCGTGCGCTATCGCTCTTATTTCGGTCTATCTACTCTATCCAGTAAATGAACCTCACTGAGACGCGAAAACTCCTTCTGGGGAGTGAGCCAACCCGGGTGGAAGACGGCACAGATCCCCACCAAGAGCACCATCATCACGGCATCCAAGGTGATCAAGTAATTTTCATGCAGCAGAAGATAGCCGCCGGGCCCCTGCCCGAGCTCGACGGTGCG